ATATATAACAGCAACGGCCTAGTTCTAGTTAATATAATAATCTATCCGAATATAATAGCAACTAGCTAACTAGCGCTATAATACTATCTAGTATTTTAAACTTACTTAGATACTAGATAACTCCGGGCTATTTACGTACACCTTTTCTAATTAAATTAGCCTTTTTATACGGTACCTTATAGATCTTTTATAAATAGCCTTTAATCTAGTCTAGCTATACGCTATACCTGTACTCCTTATAAATAGCTAATTAGAATTCGGCTAAATATTTAAAATACCTGCTTTTAGTACTAGATTTAGCTATTTTAAATACTTAGTCTGCCTTTAGAATTAACTTTTACTTAATATTTAATAGGCGGCGATAAGTGCTACTTATAAGTTGCTAGGTGCAATTTCCACCCCTTTTTCGCCTTACTGCTATAGTTACTACAGTTACTAATTACCCTAACTACCTGCTAAACTATTATAACTATAGCCTAACTTATAATATAACTATACCTGCGCGGGATTTATATATAACTGTATAGGATCTGCGCTAATATATACGTCCGGGCTTAAAGTTCTCGTCCCTAACTAAAAATTAGGCCTATAGCTACCTTATTTACTGCTATACCTTTTTTACCTGCACCTAATACGCTATTATTAGATATTAACTACGCCTGCCTTTTATAGGTATTAGTTTAGTACTACTGCTAATATTTATATAGTATATATAGCTATAGCTAGTAGTATTCTACTGTGCGCTTAGTTATAGTTATAGCAGTTCTATAAATACTATAACTTCTACCTAACTCTAACTAACTATATAGGTTAACCTAATATAAATCGGCTGGGGGGTGTAACTAAATACGCTAAATAATATACTAAAATTTAGTATAATTCCGGCTATAGGATATAAATAGAACCTGCCTTTAAAAATAAATAAAATAAGCCCTATACCTAAATCTACGCCCTAGTCTAGTATTTTCTATTCTTAATAAATAAATAGAATAAAGGCTAGTTCTATTTACCGCTATAGAATAGAATATTTATATTACTTATAATATATTCTACTACTAAGCCGGCTAAACTACTAAGCCGGCTACTTTTCCTTAGTATAACTAATACTATATTTACATAGCAATGTATTAATAACGCAGTAATTATCTATTTTAGTAAGAAGGCAGTATTAATCTCGCGCTTTAAGCCTTTACCTTTAGTTAATTTAGGACTATATAACGCGCTATAGCAGCCTTTAATATATAATATTAGCGGCTTTCTAATCGGCTCTACGGAATTATATTTCGACCTTAATTATAACTAAACTGCCTAAAGCTTACTGCAACTAAAAAGTATACGATTATATAATATATTTTTAACCTAGACTTATAAAAATTTGCGCCCTAGTTATATAAAGTAGTAGATATAGCAGATAAAGTACTAGCTGCGTGTAGTAGAATACTAGTAGGTAAGAACTAGACTTAATAGTTTATATCTTATATAAAGGAGCTTAAAATAGCTTTTAATCGGGTAAAGAACTGCTAGAAAATACTTTAGGAAGACCTAAAGGTTATTAATATATAGTTTATTCTTATGCAAGAAACTATAGCTAAGTATAGTATCTACCTAGATAATATCTATAACTTTAATAAGACTAGCTTTTAAATAGGTATAATTAGTATAATAAAGGTTATTACAGGTTTAGAAAAACGTATAAAGCCTAATTTTATTTAACTAGGCAACTAAAAGTAGGTTATAGTTATCTAGAGTATCTGCGCTGCCGGATATATAACCCTACTATTTATTATCTATAAAGGACGCGTTTATATCTCTATATAGTATAAAAAAGTAGAAATACTATATAATTAGAAGCTTTCTATCTCTAAGAACGGCTGGACTAATAATAAGCTTAGTTTTAAGTAGTTAAAGCACTTTAACACGTATATAAAGGCGCGTTAGGTAAAGTTATATAGGTTGCTAATTTTAGACGGCTATAAAAGCTATTTTAACTAAGATTTTAAGGATTATTACGTTAAATAACAAATTTTTACCCTCTATATACCTGCGTATTTATCGTATATACTTTAGCTACTTAATATAGTATACTTCTCGCTATTAAAGCTAAAGTACTTTTAACGTATATAAAACTTAGCACGCTAACGCGTCTACTATATTAATAAAAAAGGCTTTCTACCAGCCTTTAAAAACGCGTTTTTTAATATATTTACGTATAAAAACTGTAAAAAGGCCTTTAAGGCCTCTAGATTAGTTCCTATTAATACGCAGGTAGTTTTTAATCGCCTTAATATACGGTTATAGACCCTACTACTAGCACCCCTACTAAAAACACTATAGTAATTAAAAACCCTAAGTAATATATACGAATTTAGATTATAGTTAAGGCTAGTAAGTAATTCCTTTATATAGTTACTAATAACCGCCTAAAAAGGCTTCTTAAAGCTTATTAAAGGAGCCGAAAAAATACTATATAAAAATATACTTATTAAAGCCCGGGTTAAAGAGCTTAAAAAGTAACTAGTAGAAATAACTAAGCGTAAAAGTTATAAAAGAAAGCGAATCTAGACTAGCAGTATAATAGAGTATAGTATAGCAGCGTTATATATAGCTGCTAAAGTATCTAGAATATCTAATCCACGGAAAAAAGTAGGTAGTAGAAATAGTATAAATAGGGCTTTACTAGCTTAACAGCGCTATAAAAACTATAGAAAGGCTAGGTATAATATACGTATATATAAAAAGGATTAAAAAGCTTTTTCTAAATCTAATCTAAGTATATTATATATAAGTTCTATAGCTAGTTACGAATAAATTAACTGCGCGTATATAGTGTTAGTTATACTAAGGAAAAGTAGCCGGCTTAGTAGTTTAGCCGGCTTAGTAGTAAAATACGTTAATAGCTATATATATTTAATAACTAAAAGGTTAGCCTAATAATATAGAATATTTAGCTAAAGCGCCTTATATATTCTAATAGTAAAGCCTTTTAAAAAGGAAAATATTAGTTAAATAGAAGTATTATTAGAAACGCTTTATTTTATCTATATTTACTTTTTAAATTAAAAAACTTCTATTTATTTTTTATTATTACTAAGCGCTTTATTTATAACGTAATCTATAAGTTAGTAGCCTGTATAAGCTAGTAGCCTACCTAACTTAACACGCGACGCGTCGTTTAATAACCACCCTAATAGCAGCACTATAATAATAAAAAGCTATTTTTTAAGAAGGCAAAGTTATTCTAGGCGTTTAAGCCTATAAGACCGGCTAAATTATATTCTTCTAAGGCGTTGAAAAACTATATAATATGCCTAGAAAAACGGTTATACGTCGCGCCCGTGGTATTCCTTTATAACGCGGTGCTATCTCTAAAAATCGCCGTTTTACACCTGTATAAGAAAAGGTTCTTATATAGAAGATTTTGTTAATAGACTAGTATAGTATACCGCCCTGTATTACTACTATACGGTAAATAGCTAGTATTCTAGCTAGCTAACGCGTTATATAGAATACCCTTTTTACTATTAGCTAGAACTAGGTGCGAAATTTTATTAGCTACTATAATAACCTAAAATCTAAATTTAATCGCAAATACGACTATTAGCGTGCTAAATACGAAGATTCTATACTTATCCGGGCCTAGTTTAAACGCGTGCAAAATATTAAGATATAATATAGAATTCTTAATAAAGATACCTAGAATTTTAATAAAACCGGCTGCTAAATAGGTGTTATTACAACTGCCCGGGTTATTACTAGAATAGACTGTGCCGGCCGGCCTAGGACTATACAGCCGGGTAATTAAGAATAGGTTATAATTATCGAATATATTAATATAATAGGGGTTAAAATTCCACCCCTAGTTATTTTTAAAGTAATAATATACTAAGCCGCTTAGTATAAGGTTATTCTAAAGGAATAGTTAATTAGTATTAGTAAAAATAGCTGGATAATAAATAAAATTAGCCTTACCTAGCTAAAACTATTCTATAAGTATATAAAAAATCGCATAGTTAGCATGTATTAGATGCTTATATTAGACGGCTATAATAGCTATATAAACCCCAAATTCGACTAATTCTACCTAGATTATAATATTATTATTATCTATATACCTGCATATTTATCGCATCTGCTGCAGCCCCTAAATATTAGCTATTTCTCCGTGCTAAAGCGGTTCTATAAACGCCTAGTTAAACAGATTATAGGCTATAGTATTAACTATATTAATAAATATAAATTCCTACCTATATATAGGCAGGCTAGGTAGAAGGCACTATATATAGGTAATATACAGGCGGGATTTACAGCTACTAGCCTAGTTCTATACAACCCCGATTATATGCTATTATTACTGCATGCCGGATATTATACGCCGCTACCCCCCTTTCTATAGCTATAATTAAATAGATCCTGGACAGCCGAAACACTCTATAATATCGCCGAGCTATAAAAGCAGATAGCCCTGCTAAAGCGCTATCGCCAGCGGCGTATATATAGCCTATAAAGTCCAGTAGAACAGGCCCTTAGCCAAATTATTAAGGCGTGCGAAACAGTAATATTAAACGCCGTGCTGCTTATAAGCGAAAATAAGAAGCTGCGTATAGAGAATTAGCGCCAGAAACAAAAGAAGGTAAGGAAGCGCACGTATATAGCTAGAAAGGGTATTCTATTAGGTAAAGAAGCAGCCGATCGTGCACAACCTGTACAGGAAGGGGCAGCAGAGGAGGCAGCAGAGCCACCGGCCGAGCGGCCACAGCGAGCAAAACCTAGGTGCAGCATGTGCGAATCAACAGAACACAATGCACGTACGTGCCCTAGGCGGCAGGCAGCTAGCTAGTATATAGCTGCATTAAATATATTTGTTCGTGGTGGAGTAATTCGGAATATTTGGCCTCGGTAGCGTGGTTGGGTAGGCCACTAGCTTATGCGGGCTACTAACTTGTGGATTACGTTACTAAAACCCGAAAAAAAGGCGAACTATTTTATAGTAATACTTTAACTATAGTATATATATATCCGGATTTAAACCTTTAGTTTATTTAGTATATATATTTAATTTTCGTGTATATATAGTTCTTATCACGGATCGTGTATTTTGTAGCACGGCAAATTCTTAGCGGCTTGGCGGCAGCTCGCGAATGTTTTGGCGCTCGTTGCTGGGTTATATCCCCCACACCTTTATTATACCACACTGCTCTAAGGCACGTTTTCCCCGTCACCAGCTTCAGGCTATTCACCGTATCTAACGAGTACATAGATGTCGGATCGTCAGATCGCGGGGCCGAGTCGGCGCGCCAAGGGCAAGCGTCCGGCGGTTTACGAGGAGGAGGATGGTTCGTGTACTCTGCACCCGCGTTTCGACATGGCTGACTGTGGCGTAGTGGCGATGCCCGACGTGAATGTCGTGGCGATGAACGAGGACTTTGCCAGCCGGCTTAGTCGGATGGACATGGAGGAGATCCGGGCAGAGGCCCTGGAGGCGTCGCGACGAGCAGGGGAGCTTGTGTGGGCGGCGGCCGACTACACACTCGCTCGGCGCACCGAGGAGAATGTGGAGCTTGGGCATCGGCTTGCCAGAGGCGAGATCTCCGAGGAGGAGATGGAGCGGCTAAGGCTGCCGGAGTCGCGTGTTGAGCGGGATGCTGCGGCTCAGGGCTGGACTCCAATAAGGCCTGATGGGCAGAGAATGGTGAGCGGCGTTCTCCGTATACGGCTTCGGGCCTTGCTAATGTTTTGATGTAGCCCCGTCACGTGGCAGGTCATGGGGCGCAGCCTGGGCAGGTTATTGAGGACTGGGACGACCCCCAGTATACCATCTCTGGGTCGAAGAGATGGACTGATAAGGATGAAGAGGAGGAGCGAAGGCAGCGAGAGGGTGGATTGTAAGCAACGTGTTGTCTGTGGCTGTGGCCAAAAAGCTAATGGATCTGTAGTTGTAACTCCGGGTTTGACCCGCGGAGTTTGATGGGTGCCCTGGTGCATCCGGATGATGATGAACCACCGACGAGTGCCTCCCGGCCAGCCGCCGCACCATCCAAGCCCGCGGTGGCTGCGCCGACTTGTCCTGCGGTAGTACTGGCGGGTGCGTGGGCGCGGGGTGCGCCGAAGGCGGTGGTACCAGCTCCGGTGCCAATTGGAGCTCCATCGGGAGCTTCATTGGGAGCGCCGACTGGGCCGGCGATGCAAGGTGGAGGATCGCGGCAGCCGGGTCGTCTAGACCCTGCGAAGGAATACCCACGTCGGCCGTATGGGAATGGCAGGGGTGCCATGTCGTTCGACAAGCAGTGGAGGCGGGCTAGAAAGTCCCTGTACAAGCCTCATGGGGAAGCAAACTGGGATGTTTGCTATGACGAATTTTTTCGGGAGGGCGGCTGCAAAGTACACTTGTGTACTTTGAAGCATGCTCTCTCGGCGGAGCAGGTGAGTTCGATTGAGGATGCTGACTTCGCCGCTAGGTATAGGCGGCGACTACAAGCATCTCGGCCGAATGTCCTAGGGGCACATCCTGCTGGAGTGTCCAAGTCAGTCCGGGGAGGGGGTAGAGGTCGGGGGAGTGAGAGAGGCCGGGGCAGTGAGAGAGGCCGGGGCAGTGGGCGAGGAGCCTACAATCCTCCTCAGCGATGGGTAGGGCCTGCCAATGCCCGGAGGGAGGTTAGGCATCCGCAGAACCTCAATCCGCAGTGGCGGGCGGCCACCCTAAATACCGATCTGCTCCTGGGGAATGTGGAGAAGCGGGAGATCCCGGAGGACCAGCGGAACCCGGGGTACCACGTACAGCGGTTCACGCAGAGAGGCAGTGGAAAGGGGAGGGTAGAGGAGGTCTACCACGACGACGATCGAGACTACTCTGGGGGAGTGAACCTCGACCAGTAGGGGTCTCTTTGCCAGGGCTTTATACTTTGGATTTGCCAAAACTTATGTTTTGGACACGCCAGAACTTTATGTTTGGAATTATTACTACAAAAAAGCGTGTATTAGAAGTATAATTAAGAACGGGTATATACCTATTATTGCCGTCAAAACCTCCACTATATTAGAGGCGTGCCAGCGAACTTATCCTAGAAATATATCGCGATATCCCACGTCTAGTTAGATAGGAGAGGCAATATGCAGGAAAACTTGATACCTCTTTATCAGTTAAGTACAATCGCCAATCGAGTCATGCACGTCTTTTAAGACATGGGAGAAGGCCAGCTAATCGCGTTCTAGATGGATACTTTGTGTGTTTCAGTGGGTCGTAAATATGCCCGCAAAAAGGCTATCATGTCAATGCGCCGAGTGTACCGAGATGCGTTGGCTACTCTTGTCCTGGACCGGAGCTTGGATAGGCCAAGCAATTCTTTCCTAGAATACTCAGTGCGCCTTCTCTTGAGTTCGTGGCTACGAGGCTATGGACTTTGCAGGAGGGCGTTCTCGCGCAGCGTCTCTTCGTCCATATCGGACTTGGAAAGCCTGGACATTGCAGGTCTTCTTGCCGCGGGTCCTATCGCTAGCGTTGGAAACTCAACGGCGCTATACTACGAGACTAAGCCGAGCCTGTCTCTTATCTGGTCTCACGTAAAACAGCACATGCTAGATATATCGAGGCCAGACAGTGCCTTAACTGTCAATGGCCACACGGGCGAGGATAGGGCCAATCTCCAAAACACCGAGGGACGTGCACAAACCTTCCTGAATTTGTGGCAAGCAGTCTCCTGGAAAACGATTAGTAGATTAGCGGATGAAACTCTCTGTATAGGTGCGCTCCTTGACCTAGACGTTGAACGTCTTGTTGCCCTGGCCGCAACAGAGACAATGTCTCCCCTAAAGACCATGCTATTTCAAAGTTCCGTCTCTTACTGCAACAACTTAAATACCTGCCGAAACATCTTGTGTTCCAGAACGTCACACGTATGGGGAAACCAGGTCTCCGGTGGGCCCTAGAGAGTCTTATGGGTGGTAATCGAATATGGAGCAGCGAGGTCTCCGGTCCAGCTGACATCGGTCGACTATTTAAAGATGGGTTTGTCTTCACATCACCGGGCTTTCTGTTTCCCATAAAACGGGATCTCAGGCCCCTTACAACCTATGGATATTACTTCATACTAGGGGGCCAGGAGAGGCACAAGGATGAACTTTCGAAGACGTTTACATTTTATGTCGAGCCGATGCCCGACCCCAACGTCTGCTGGTGGGCTGAAGAAGGAAAACGTCGACTAAGAATTCAAATCGACGAGAATAAAAAACCGCTGGCAATAATTGCGTTGGGTCCAATCTCTAGGCTTACAGGGGACATGAGAACCAAGCCCGATTTCAAAAACTTCATGCCGGTTGCACTCGTGCTCGTTGAAAGCAGCAGCAGGGATGGTATCTTGGGGAGATATTTCTGCAATGGACGCTTACGATACTGCGAGGACACGGAGCAGGGGCTGGGCTCCAGTGTTGATGTGACAGAAGTCCCGGAACATAAGCAATGGTGTATCAGCTAGATTTCCTACCCTAGATTGAGTTCTCGTTCTATACATCTCGCACGCATTCGTCTACTAGATGAGTCTCATCAGCCAATCAACTCACTCAAGCACGTTATTTGCGCAACTTGAACTTTAGCTTCGTGACACTACTACCTTGTGATTTTGCCATATGAGTTTCCTACTAATAAGCTAGAACCCACCAATATAAATATCACCACAATACTATCGTTTTTAAAACAGGTACACGTGTCTCACAGGATATCATGGCAGGATCGATTCCATACAATCGCGCCCACATCTTTCGGCACGGCTCACACTGCCGCACATCCCACCAAATTGCCACTAGACGCCATTTAGCAATGCAGGAGGATAACAGGCCGTTTCAAGCCGACTGCCAGAAATCTCGTTGCAACTGAAAGGTGCTGTCGATGCTGCCGTTACTACCTTAGTGATATTCGTAGTCACTATGGACCCCTAAGCCCTCGTAGTCAACTTGACATGCAACTCCGCCTTCTCCCATAAAATGAAAATCTTGTTCCGATCCATCCAGTCCCGATCTTCTGGCAAAAGCTCGAGGTCAAAGTTCCAAAGCAACTTCGCCATTAGAAGGCGCATCTCTGCCCACGCCAGACTATACAACATGTTAGCACCAATTAAAATTCAGTAAGTTAATGGAGAAGATCTTACTTTTTCCCAAGACAGTTCCTAGGCCCATATGAAAATGCCTGCGACGCTTTCTTATGATCCCTATCATACTTTGGATCGCCCAACCACTGCTCGGGGATAAAGGAATCCGGATCCCGCCACATGCGCTTCGAATGATGGGCTGCCCACGCTGTAACACCTACCTCCGTCTGTACGGAAGCCAAGTCAGCAAACTCATATCAAAGTAAGCTTGTCATGAATACTTACACCTTCAGGAACGAAGCGGCCACATACGACTTCTCCAGCTTTCGGCGCAATTCGAGGCAATGCTGTTGGTGCTGGTGGGAACATACGTAGGCCTTCTTCGATGCAAGCGTTCAGATATTTCAACTGGCCGACGGATACGATGGACATGTTTTCGCTTGATTTGAAGGCGGTTCGGATCTCATTCTTCAGGTTTTCGTAGACTTCAGGACGTTGGAGCACAAAGTAGGTCATTCCTGTAAGAACTGTAGCCGTCTAATCACGATTCACGTGAGCATAGTGTTTTCGAAACATGGAAAAAGATGAACCTACTGTCTCACTTCCCGCCAGCACCAAGATCAATGTACTCTCGTTCAGCTCATCGGGTGACATGCCCTTCTCCCCCTTCTCTCTCAGAATATACGACATAAAATCTTTCCGATCCGTCTGCATCCTCACTCGCTCTTGCGCTTTATCCGCGCTCCATTTCGCATGATTAGTCCTCACATCCTTCAGGCTCTGCGGAATCAACATCTCTAGCAACTTCTCAATGACCGGGAAAATGCGGGTCAAACGCATGAACTCCATCATCTTGATGTAGTCAAACGTAACAGCAATCCAGGGGTGCAGTTTCCCGGACTCAATGCAGCCAAAGGGATGCGCAAACGCGAGATCGCCGATCAGATCGAAAGTCGTGAAGTTGAACCACATGGAGATGGGAACGATGCCTTTCGCGGGGCCGGTGACTTGCTTTTGGAGACCGCCGATGAAGCTGGTGACGTACTGAAGGAGGAAAGGCTCTTGTTCTGCGAGGGCTTTTTCGGAGAAGGCGTGGGATTGGAGTTTGCGGAGGCGGCGGTGGTCCATTTCGTTAGCCATGATGCTATATGAAGTCAGCGATCAACGAGCATCCTGAACGAGTATGTTGAGCGGCATTACATATTTGGCGCTCCTGATGGAGTAGGACCATAGAATGAGTAGTCCTTCTCGAAGGTCTTGGTGTGCTTTCCCTTGATATGTCCATAGATGTCCTCCCAAGCTTGGTCGCTATCGTAAGACAGGTAGTTCGGCGAGACGCGAACTACTTCGCCGTATTTGTCATGGAGCTCTTTGATGGCATATGGAAGTCTCCCTTTGAGAGCCTGGATGGCGGATGGGACGAAGCATGAAGCCCATAGTTTCGGGCCAGGGTAGGATCGCAAGGGGTGGAAGAAGACGTTGTAAATGCAGTAGGTGACGGTATAGAGAATGGCCTGGGGTACATATCAAGAATGAATATCAGCCGTCAAAGAACTCTCCATGGTGGACGTGGGGTCCTACCGCGCCAATGCTCAACGCGAGAATGTTCGCGTATTGCGCCCAATGCATAGTGACGCTGCGTATCTACAGCTAATATGTGCAGAGATGAATAGATGAGGACAAAAAATGAATTCAACAAAATTCGCTCGCGGTCAAAGAATTTACAGCTATTGAGATCGAGTGCGGACTAGTCGCGGAGGTGCGTTTGCGGGGGTGGACAGTAATGCCGGACAGTCAGCCATATAGCCAATGGAAATGTTCGTCAGTCATAGAGAGTAAGAGGGATAACCTTCGAAGTGGAGTCACCATTAGGACTTCTCGGGATCCAGAGAATCAGGCTGCATCCCGACTGGACGAAGGTCGCGGGCTATATTCACTGGCGTGAGACGGCTGCACGTGAGTAAAGCATGTAAATTCCGCATGTGGGGCCATGTTTCCATCGGCCAATAGAAATCAATCCCAGTTCCGGTCGTGAAAATCTTAAGGAGACCATCGCCCACCTTTGACAAGTTCAACACCAGAGTTCAAGCATTTTTGAAAAGTCTCAGCAGCATGTCAGGGTTCTTGTGATTGTCTCAGCGTCACGGCCATGTTACGAGGGCTAGTCGATGGGGATCATGATTCACAGTAAATTCATCATCAATCGACGATTGCATCAACGTGCGAAGAGCATTGTAGGACAACTGGATTGACTTCTAAGACTACGATTCACATTCTACGCTATATGCGCAGGTCAGATTCCTGGAATTAATTTAGTCATTGACTCTGGTAATTCACTCGCATGAGAAAAGAAACACGAAGCAAGGTGACTGCCAAACACGTCGATGGTATTTTTGTTCCAGCCTCCGTGATTAGCTTTCCTACTCTTCCATCTCCACTATTCCCAGTTCCTCCGTCTCCTAAATCTTTGTAGCAAGATGATCGCAGAGATTAGTAACATCCCCTCTCCGGCGCTCTCCACGTTCCCAAGCATCGACCCGCCACACGATCTGTCCAATGCCCGACGCGCCCCAGGTCTACAATTCGAAAGCTGGGGTGTTCCAAGGAGCGACGACTAAGAGGTTCGAACAGCGGACCCGGCTAGACAATGACGTTGCGCGGATATGATGAGATATGAGCGAATCCCTGTATATAGAGTCAGTCGTAGAGCTTGCCGATACCGTTACTAACACGGTAAACACGAAGACCAGGGAAGAAGAGCACGCAAGGGAACGGAAAAAGATGACCTACATCCAGTCAGGCTATACTCCTTCCAAAACGTGGCCATATGGATTTCCCAATCGCCGCCCACAATTCTCCATAAGCAGAATTCCACACTTCTGCTCCTTTCCTAAATCAGGCAGCTCCTTTCTGCTAGCTTTCTCCAATTCCTCGGAGACCGCGTTGCCTTCCCACTCATAGTACCCATAGAACCTCGGCACAATAGGCTCAATCCGCCCCAGCTTCTCTTCACGACTCCCTCCCTTCTCTTTATTTCTATTCTTCCGGCTCTTGCGCTTCACTTTCTTCATGCCCCCCATCAATGTGCGAGACATCCCCTTCATCAGCTTTGTATAAGTCTTTGCTTCATCCCTCAACATCTCACAAGCATCCTCCCAGTCGGAGTCCTGCCCGGTATCTTCGTTGTCACTACCATGCTCGGTGCCATCCCCTTTCTCCTCGTCGCCGTCCGATTCCGGATGATTCACATACCCCAGCTTTGCCATCACCGTCACCGCAGCACTCGGCCCCGCGTTCCGCTCCTGAAGCACCAGCGGCGCGCGGTACACCGCAGCATGCGACCCGATACCAGCGAGGCTGAGGAAGTTGATAGAGAGCTATGCAACGCTAGACTCTTCTCCTAGCAGACTTTTCTCGATGGGTGGGTAGACCCGCACGTGTCGTAACAACTTTGCCGGCTCGTCCGATCGCGACTTTACGATGTGGTGCGTGAGGCGTTTATTATTCTCAAGGTATGCTAGATGCTGGCTTGGCAATACTGTGTCGTAAAGTTGGGAATTGCCACTGTAGACTATGTCCCGCACTTATGTACACGTGTGTGGTTCCGAAACTAGAAGGGTTGTAGGTAGTTGTGAGCTGGGGAGGAACTTTTCCAGTTTTGGGGGTAAAGCGGGCTTCATATCGCTTGCTCTTGAGTGTCTTTTCTGCTGTGAAAGAAGAGCAAGTTTGAGATAATATTTGGGAGGTAAAATCTGAACTTTGAGGTCATCACGCAACGAAGAAAGGCAGCGCACCATTACGTATGGAACTGTCTCCAAGGTTCGTTTGACACCCGTTTGTCGTTAGCAAGGTCACGCCTTTTGTCTCGCAAATATACGAACACAATGTAAATGTTCATGCAGTAGAGACCAGACTTCTTTTTCATCACCAGGCTATCTGCTAGCTGGGCCCTGCCCATAGTGATGTCGTGCGCTCCGGTAGAAAGGTATGATTACGGGGAAGAATAAAAGTGTAACTATGAAATAGTACTACAGCAGTAAATTGGCCAAACGCGGATATGCAAACACCCGGACTCTATCTTCTCTCATGGAACCATCGCGAAGAGGGACATAGGAAAAAGAATAAACGGATTCCGCCAGTCGCTCACATGCTAAGCTGCTTCGCCCCAATGTGTGGGCGGTACCCTTGGGACTCCTGAGCAGTCTCTTAGAAAGAATCGCGAATGAAATGCTTCGAAACTCAGAGCATCAAGGCACCACATCTACATCCCCCACGACTGCCCAATCCGTTCCGTCTAATCTGACTTCTCTCAACGCACCACCGGCCTGGAAGTAGCACCTGCTCAGCGGGCTGTCTGCCTGCAACGGCGCATTCGCGAAAAATGATGCCTGGGTCATGCACGCAATGCTGGTGCCGTTATCGGCATTCGCGAAAGCTGGAAACGTAGAGGGACCTTTCCAACTTGAGTTATCGTCTTTCCATATCACTTGAATGGTCCCGTCGCTATCCTGATAAAGGATGTACGTGTTTAGCGCGGTGTTGGAGGAAGAGGGACGGACTACAGAAAGGGCAGCGATGGAGGCGTCTGTGGGGAGGGAGACGCTGAAGGCAGAGGCTGCATGTTGTATGAGCTTCAACGAGATCGGTTTACATAATGCGGGAGTACATACCGGTGTTGAATGATCCTGAGGTTGTGTTGCGGGCAAGGCTCATCATCTTGTGGTCATCTCGCTCGTAGATCAGGTTCATCTCCTGCAGATTTTGCTCATCAGGTAGAAAGGCGATATTGCTCCCATCTGCGGCCGAAATGTTCAAGGAGCGGTTACTCCAGCATCCAGGGTATGTGCAGTCGTAAACAATCTCGTGAAGGTTCAGCCCAGCATCTTGATAGATGATGAAAGGCCAGTACGATGCTAGATGTGAGTCGGAGCCTGTGGCGACTGTATAGGCGGTTAAACTGCCGCTACTCCCCGAGATGGTTGTGGAGTCCCAGTTCCATTCGCTGATTTGGCCTTGGCGAACTATTAGTGATAGGAACGCAAGGCGAAGCAAATGATGTCTTACTCTTTGAGTCTAAATAGAACAGCTCCTGTTGCATGACCTGGAGTTTGAAGGATTAGGATAAGACAACTTAAACCAGTTAGAGTCATTATACGTACTGACTCATCATTCCCGTACCATTTCTTGTCAAACGAGGTGAAAGCAAATGGCGTTCCGGCCTTTGCTTTCGTAATGTTCGAAGTCTGTTTCCAAGCGTTGTTTGTGGATTCAAATGCTGAGTATTGAATCATGTCATCGTCGCTCTGGAAGATGGTGCGGATAGAATATTCATCGCCAGTGACCCATCCAGTGACTGCAAGAGGTGAGTTCTCTCGGATACCACGGGGCTTTGTCGTCGGCGATGGAGTCGCAGTTGACGCCGGTGAAGATGTAGCGGAAGGAGACGCCGTTGCGGATGCGGAGCTTGCTGCTTCACTGGCCTTCTTTTTCACATGATGGAGAGTCCCTCCAAGAGCACCCCCGATCACAGCGACGATAATGATCAGAACAACTAGGGCAATTATACTCAGAAGTTTCCGCTTTGATTGTAATTTTGAAGGTTTTCCTGCCGGTGGTAATGCTTCTTTGTCGTTTTGAGGGTACTGCGGTGGATATTGCGGCGGATATTGCGGCGGATATTGCGGTGTCTGTGGCGTCTGCGGCGCAAGATGAACTGGCTCTACGTAATGGTGCGCCCATTTCTGGTCTTGCTTTGGCACAACTTCGAGGCCGGCCTGAGGGTAATAAACCTCCGGGCCGTCCTGTCCTTTGGTGTCTTGGCCTTTCTAGAGAGGTGTTAGAGATCGTGGCCAAGGTTGGAAAGGGCAGACGATAGAGAAACTAACTTCGTTCATTTTCCAAGGCTCAAAGCTTTCCCGTTCTTGTTAAGTGGAGATGGCCCGCAAAGGATTTCGAAAGAGCAGCAGAGAAGCAGGGAACAATGGAGCGGGAGGCCGTGGTTTTCTGGGTTCTGCAATGATTTCCGAGTCCTGCCATGTGGCATGGGGTCCGTGTTCCAACAGCTGCACTATTCCAAGCCTCATTCCGGATAGAGCGCATCGGTGGTAATACGAAGAGACGCCGATCGTGAAAAGTGGTGATCTCTGCACGAAACCCAGCAACCGAACCACCCTTCCCGTACTTGGAGGCTTGGCCCTACGGATGTTGTTGGTGCCCCTGGGGGCGTGCCGTGTTCTCTGGATAAATCCAGGCGCGTCTCTTGGCAGGCTATCTTAAGCAAAGGAGTTTCCGCGTATCAGCTCCGTGCCATCTAGCTGAACTGTGGGCCGGTCCACGGTTGAAGGCTCGATTTTGGGGGCACTACTGGTGTCTGTAATAGAAACCTTGACAACAACGGCGGGGCTACACGCTAGGGCTAGATTCCAGGGGGCAGGGGTCCACAGAAGTTGGGGGCGCAATGAGGCTAATACCCGGCGCTTTCTACCCCCCTCGTAGAGCAACTCTACCCCCCTCGTAGAGCAACGACAGCGAACGGCTCCGTCATGGTGAGTACAATCGAAAACGCTGCCATCAGCACAACAACTTCCCGCAGCTGTCCGTTTCAAGGCGACAGCGTGGACAATTGAGCGCTGGGGGCCTGGACTCATAAAATAAGTCTACAAGGGGCTCTCGAGAGCTGGGCGTTTGACATGGGGGCGGAAGCGCCTTTTGGGATTAGGGGATCCTAGAAAAATGATATATCTCAACGTGAGATTTCTCGGGCACCTGTTTACGTTTTCGACCGCCGCTATCACATAAGACCAATGTCGCTTGAATTGAAGGGTGTGGCTGCAGGAGACATGTTAGTGATGTTGAGAGGAGTGTGGTGATGGAGACGTTGCGGCCCCCGCACGGCATTCCCCGAATAGTTCCATGGCCGAGCACGTGATCATCAACCGTCACGGTTTTCAAAAGCGGAGGAAGATTCTTCGCTTCATTCCACAAGTGCACTCCTTGATAAAACCCAATACTTTAATCACAATTAATCAGTTTGGCTGCAGTTCGCCATTCCAGATGAAATGCAGTCTCTATTCTTAGCTCTACGCATCACCGCGGCGGCCATAAAGAAGAGAGGTCATCTCCTCCTCCAGCGGAGGCAGAATCTGCGCTTCAACCGTTTTCGAAAAATATTCGTTCTTCAAGCTTGCACTGGGGCCGACGAAGCATTTCAGACAATATCCGGTCGCAGAATGAAAGGCGAAGGATGAAACCTCCCCGGCATCTTCCCTCTCCCGTAACCATCGCAACACCGCCTGGAAATCCGACATCTCGTTCGGCTGATTATTTGGGCCTAGATCCTCTGGTTTCCGGACGTCTTCAATGGGGAGGCCGAAGAAGATTTCCAGCAGCATAATGCCAAGCGCAAGCAGCTTGGGCGACTCGTTTCCGGGCGAAGTGTGTTGACGGAGAAGGGTGGTGGTGTTAGACTTCTGTTCGCGGGTGAGATACGGATGCTTTCACGTCTACTGTCGTTCCGGCAACGGCGGAGCCGCCTTTTGCTCGGAGAAAGATGATATCAGTCTTGTTCCATGAATTTGGAAGCCATAGTGTGTGACTGAGTTGGAGGAGAGACGATGTGAGTGTGATTGACAAGGCGTACTTTTCTTGGGGGATGAGTGCACTCTTCACGAGTAAGTTGTCTAAGCTGACGCCGTCGTCTACGAATGTAATGCTACGTTGAGCCGGGACGGCTCCAAAATCGAGACGAAAAAGGCTGCCTAATTCGCGGGCTTGAGATTCTACTTTGTGTAACACCTCTGAAGGTCGACATTGTGCAACGTGGGCTGAACGTGCGGGAAAGTGCATTACCAGCCCCCGGACCGATCGATACTTCGTCCCCAGTGACAGCGCTAATTCCTTCAACAAGCTTTTCTGACGGGACACCTCCAATCACGCTTTCAATAAACACAATCGACCTCCTACACAGCAATTATGCCCAGAAAACCCTTCCCGCTCCTCGCGGGGCAAGTACCCGCTAGTAGGGAAGAACGATCCTTTGAACCAGAGACGCACCCACAGAACGAGTCGCTACCAACGAAGCTTGAAGAATGCCTGAACGACGGCTCCTTTCCCAGCCTCCTCCTCGTCCATGACACTAGTCGCTGTACTTCCATCGAAGCGGTCAAGCCGCTTTCAAATACAACAAAATCTTCGCCTACTAATGCCCTATACTCGCATTACACTGGCGTTCTCAAAGGCCAGGAAAACCAGACAACAGTTGCGCCAGAGGATCTCGAAGCACCCAAAGTCGGTTCCGAGCCGCTCAGGTTCGAGCGACCAGTCCCGAAAATTATTGGCCCGTAACCCCAATGGCAGCATTATCGGGGAGGCGCATTGACACTATCGTTCCGGAATCTTGTCGGGGTGAGTGGCCACGGTGCGGTCTATCGCGCTTCTCTCAGGCTTCCAGATGTTGTGGACGTGAACGGGCGATCAAAGACAGGAGAGGTAGCGGTGATTGCAAAGCTGAATTACCTTGTATCCCACAACAGCGAAAACAACGCCCAAATGCTAAAGAAGGAAGCGACAATTCTCGGAGGATCTTTGAAAATGAGCGAACTGCAGCAGGAGGCATGCCTTTGCCTATCTCATAGCAAATCAAGAGATGCCGTCACTATGCTGCATCATAAGGGACATTGCAATCCTCATCTTGTCATGCAACCCGCTGTGCCCAAGTTCTACGGCTACTGTAAGTGGGATCGCAAGGGGTCGAATAGGGGACAGCGATGCAAAATCTTACTAATGGAAGATTGTGGACAAAGCCTAGAGACACATATGAAGGCGAACAGCAAGAAGAGAGTGCCTGTGGTATGGATGTGAGTTCTCACTACTCATTGGCCACAAACAACACGCTTGATAAGATTGCTAACAATGCCCGAGAATGAGATCAGAGCCCTCTACGAGCGGCTCCATGACGCCCACTTCATGCATGGCTCTGTATACCCCCGCAACATTGCCATACAACCGGGCCCGCTATCTTCTCCTCCAACAGACCGATCTATGAATACGCCGAGCTTCAGAATCATTGACCTGGGGCGCGCTAGACATAAGAGTGATTACAAAGATCAGTCGATGTTCCGAGCCTAGCAGCAGCGTGATATGGATGACTTAAAAAAATATCTGCTGGTCGAACTTGAAACCGTGATAAAACCAAAGAAGGCAGAGCTTAGAGAGACCAAGGCTACTAGGACAGCCAAACTGATCTCTGCGGAGAATGATGAAAAAGAAAGTACAGCTATTGATATGGCGATAAACGACGCCGTGACGAGCATCAATAGCGATAATCGCGCCAAGTTCGTCGCACAACATGTCGATGAAATCCAAAACCTACACCTCGTCTTAATGACTCTAATAGTCGGATGTCGTTGAGGGATTCGGATCACGTGATGTGGCAGCGTGGCCTGTGCATTTGTGCGAGATAGAATAGGTCAGTCAACGCGAGAGGGGTGCGACCGCGAGGGAAGGAGGCAGTGAAGCAGTAAGACAACTCACCAATGCCTCGGGTGGAGAAGCATAGAAAGGTGGTGTATTCATCGTAGACAGCAGTGCAAGTTCACGATCAAAATCGTTAGTTAGTAAGAACGAGTCCAAGTCATGTGCACCAGTCTCTAACGAAACAACAATCCATTATTAAGTACAGGATAACACCCCGTGTTCAAAAAGCCAAGCATTAGGTACACCAACCCCCCCATCGTCTCCCGCAATACCGATCCCCATCCAGCCTTCTGCTTGACAATGCAGCTCAGGTGAGCTCTCCTATGGCTTCAGTGATGACGATCTGCGGGGTATGAACATCCAAAAAATCCGTCGAATTAGCTGAGCGCCCTGCAGCCATTGACGGTTGATAGCCGATTCACTTTATTCCTTCGTAGAGTTCTTGTCTCCCACCGACGTTTAGTCCTCAGACTCAGCCTCCTTCGACCAGCGGTAAAGCGGCTCAGTACCCTCACCCTCCTGGATACGGACCCAGCCCAAAATGTGCTCATACTTGAAGCCGTGGTTGACCGCATTCTCACCCTCCGGGTCGGTGGTGTAGAAGTGGGTACCGCAGTCGGCATTGTACCACTCAAAGAACGGCACGACGTCGTTCTGGCCCTCGAGGTTGGTAGAATCGTCATCATCGGGGATGATGAAGAACTTCTGGCCGTCGTACTCATAGCCGTAGGGCGAGCCCAGGTCGTTGGGGTCGGTGGTGAAGTAGTAGTCGCCGGACTCCTTGCGATTCCAGCGGTAGACGGGGACGAGATTTGGGTAGTTGTCCTCCTGGTGCTCGGCCTCGCATTTCTCCTGCTCGGACTGCTCGCCGCCCTTCTCTTCGCCTCCATTCTTTTCACCACCCCAGGAAGGAGTGGGAGTGGCAGTGGGGGTAGGGGACTGGTGAGCGGCCTTGCACTTGGCGATCTGCTCCTGCTTCTTGGCCTCCTTCTCCTGCTCCTCGACCTCGAATGGCTTGTACGAGTTGTACGATGGCCAGACGTAGGCGGAGACGCCCTGGAAGAGGTAGCCGTCCTGCTGCCAGTAGGAAGCAGACTCGGTCTTGCAGTCGGTGCTGTAGGCGTAGGTGTCGCACATCTGGTTGTTGTCGGCGGCCGTAGCTAGGTTGGCAGCAAGGCCGAGGATGATGGCGCTAGCGAGCATCTTGAACGAGCTGCAAGAAGATTAAACAAGTGGAAGAGTTTAGTTTGAGATGTGAGAATGTCCCACGGGATTGGATGAGAGAATGAGGACGAGAGAGCTGGTTGCGAGGTCCCGGCCCTTATATACCAGGCCGCACCTAGGGCCGGACTACTCCGCTTTCCATCAGGGAACTGCCGTTCTGTGGGGATGGAAGTCTCGGTCTGATGATGATGGAATTGATAGTGACACTAGAAGGTATTCAGATGCCGCATTAGAGTCGAATGAAGATTTCTAGTAGTATCTGTGGTGATCTAAAAGAGTCTCTCCGTTGACCAGCCATCGAGCATCCGAGGAACACTGGCATCTCGCCCTATGGTGTTGAAAGGGGAGGAGGCTTGTTGTTATTCATGGCAGGCACTAGTCCGGATTAACAGCAGTGGTGGATATATCAGGTACAAGCTTCTGAACAGAGCTGATAGCGCGACGCATTGACGTGAGTTCAGCGTATATATCGTGAAATCGGCATCCTGGTGATCCACTTACCAGACATACAGCTGCTATTCCTGAAATTTCGGTGGCAAAGATGGTTCGAGACGGTGGAGGTCGTCGGTTATGTACCTAGGAAAAGATTATGAGCAACCATAGATGTTGAACTTCGACCCATGGATCCATACCTGGAAAGCCCCAGCCTTAGAACAGGCGTCCTATCGCAGTCCGAATGAGTTATGACATTGTGGAAATTGTGACAAATGAGAATACCGCTGAAAGTTCTAGATGCGCGCGAATGCGCCGACGCACAACATTCTTCCGTCGGTAAGATCATCTTGCGTGAATACTATCATGTGCTCCGTTATCAATCTTGGACGAGCAACGAACTTGTGCCGTGGTAGTAACATCCGACAACGAATGAGGTAAGAGTGTTTAAAATAGACATATATTTATGCATAGTTCTCGCGGCATCGTGGAATTACCTTGACTTGGCTCCCAGCGACTGCGTGACCAATGAGCACCAACTTTGTAACGGAATCAACTCCAAAAGCATGAACGAATCCAGGGATATACAGCACCCCAATAACGCCAACGCTGCAAATCACACAAGTCTATGGGTCCAAAGTTCCTTTAACCACTCCCGTTGACTCCCTCTGCAGCCTTCTTGGCCGCTACCCTCTTCCTCTGCTCCTCGCGCTCTTCGACGTTGATGTTGATATTGAAATGCGCGTTCCTAATCTGCTCATAAAATCTGCCCGCCGTTACTTCCTTGATTGGCTTCTCGAACTTGCCGGTGATTTGCGTCGTCAGCATGTCCGTATCCACAATGACTGATTCGTGGGCACGGAGCACAAACACGATGGAGTACCGGTAATTCGGCAAAGGTTGACGTGACGGCGAAGTAGAAGCTTGAGCTTCGGTACGACCGTAAGCCTTGACTTGGTGCCCGCCGGCACGATATCGATAATTGGAGAGCCGTTCGAGCTGTCGCCCAACTAGGAGAGACGCGGCGGGCCTGTCGTATGTCTTCTCGACTGGAAAGAAGCATTGCGTGTGGATGTCCCAGACTTCTAGGCCCGGCGTATCGCCAATGACGAGGCTGAGAAGGCCGAGGTCGCTGTGCGCTGTATGTTGTTAGATATGCCTTGATCCGTAGGCTACGCTGGACAATGCCAATATTGCCAAGCAGAACGCTCTCAATAGCTCCGATACGCAAATACTCAGCTCTCGACTTGTTGATCGCATTTCCGCAGGCTGATACGCCTGCTCGAATGTAATTATGAAAATATCGGTCGAGGCCGTGATGCGGAGACAGATGGAAGAAGCACAAAAGAAATCTCAACGTACGCTCAGCAACCACCTTCCTCTCATCCCCCTCATACCTAAATAGCCTCAACATCGTCGCCGTCTTCTCCCCATCCCTCTCCTGAAACTTCTTACACGGCCCCACATACCGCCTCAGCCCGCCCTCCTCCGCCGCCGCCCCCTGCAGCCCCAAACTCTCCCCAATCCTTCCCAAGCTCTGATCCAGCAGCCCCCCTGCCGCATTCCAGTACGCCCGCGCCGCCGCCTTCAGCACCTCCGGCGTCCCCTCCACAGTGCGCAGCGTGATGAACTCCTTCTCCCCCTCGATCCGCGACCAGCCTTCTTCGGAGCCAAGCTTCGTCTTCCAAACTTCCTTCTCGGAGAACGGGAGGGCGAAAAAAGCGCGCGAGGCTTCGAAGAGTTCTTCGGAAGCACGTTGGAGGGGGTGCGGAGTGGGCAGGGCTGGGGAAGGCGGGGGGAAGGTGACAGTAGTCCAGCCTTGGAAGGGGAGGTTGGGGGCGTGTTCGTCGCGGACTAGGGGCAACAGACTCGGGAGAAGGGGTGGCCTGGTGTCGAATTGAGGGTTTGTAGTTGATTTGGACTTTGATGAGGCGCGCAGGCGGGCTTTGAAACGCGACCAGAGCGGTGGGGTGTCGTGCGCGGGTGAGGCGGGTGAGTCGGTAGAGACAGCCATCGCGTCTATTGATTTGGGCGGAGGTAGAGCTGTGTATTAGGGTATTAGGATATGAATGCGCTACGAAGGCTGATGGAGGGAAAGCGTGAAGATAAATGGGCTGGGGTGGAGATGGGATGACGTTGCTGAGGGTCACGTGGTCATTACAGAACACAGCCACAGCACAGCCATGCCAAAGCTGGTCCATGAAAGCGAACTGGAAGGCTGAATGCTGCACGGATATTAAAGCGGCATTTCATGCAATTTTGGTTTGATGCGGATGCCTGATATTCGATGGTATTTGGTCATATGTGAGGAGGCTAATTAGTTTGCCTTTTGCTTCGACCACATCTGCTGCTCTCGTTCTCTTAGCCATGCTGGAACCATAGGCTTGACTCTGATGTCTGCATCTGGCGCTTCGGGATATTGGACACCAAACTCCATTCCAGGTCTCCAGCTGCCACCCTCAGCGCTGACCCGAATATCCGTCATCATCTCCAGTCTGCACAGAGCCAGACCAACATTTCCGATATTGCCTAGTAACTTCCCTGCGGCGCGTCCCTTCTTAATCGTGCCGTCATCGCTCAGCTGCTTTATATCCTTGCTCTGAGAGACCTCATTTGAAGGATCGTCAAAGGTCCATTGAGGGTCGAAAGCTGGTGTCTCCGCCGTCGGCAGTACTTCATTGCCACGGTATAACTGGACCGGAAGTATCCGCTTCCTCACCACCCCAGTGTGCTTCGTCCGAATGGTCAACTCTTGTCCAACGTAACATCCTTTCCTGAAATCAATGCCATTCATGAGGTCGATGTTCGATTCCATAGGAAGCGCAGTGGTAGGCGGAATCTCCTGTGGCCCCTCCGGTATCCCGTACATATATCTCCGCAGATGATACCACCTCAAGTCCACCATGTGCTTGTCCAGAACCTCGCGAATTGGCCCACCCTTGATACTTTCGCCGGAAATCAGTATGCGCTGCCCGAACCCAGGAGCTCGCGGATCTGGCAGGCCGCCGGGTATATTGTTCGAGTCGCCACTTTGCCATGATGCCCATACACCGCCCGCCTCCTCCTCTACCAGCTGCAATTGGATCTTTGACCGTAATTTATGCCTCTTCAAGTGCCTCAGCAGGTTATCCGCTTCCGTGGAGTCCACCTCGATAAAACAGGTCCATTCGGCGGATTTGGGATTCGAGTCTGGGAAGATGAAGGCATCCCATAGCATCCGCCCTCTCGCATCCATGAATGCCGAGTAGAAGGGTGTTGTAGTAGTGGGGCCGAGATTGTTCGAGATGAGGCCTTGGAGAAATTTGGGCGCGTCTTTGCCTGACAGGCGGATCAAGCGGCGATGGGAGAGTCGTGTAACACCGATAGCCGGGGGACCTTCGGTATTCGTAGCTGCACCGACATAGCTGCGGATAGGGAGGTGAGGACGATGGGAATTCCCTTTGAGGCGTGAAGATAGAGGCGGAGATAGGCTAGCAGGACGGGCGGCGGTTGAGAAGGTCGCTCGAGGAAGAATGAAGACGCCGGAGGATTTCGATGTTGTGCCGAGTCTATGAAGACATCTAGAGCAGACTGAGAGGGTGGATTGGGGATATACGGCCATGTTGCAGATGTTCTGAGAAATGAGACGGATTCCAGTGACGCAAAAACCCCCGGCATTTGCCGCTTCGTTCGGCTTGGCGGCACAGCGGTACTCAACACCACGCAACCTCGCGAGATCACCATCTCTATTCCTTCACCAACTTGAATGATCATACCAGCGAAGACTCTTCAGCATCTTGAACTCGACGATACTATACTAGTCACACGCATTGAGGCCATTTATTTCGATTTGTCGTTTTGTGATTTGGCTTTGGCTGTCTCATCACCTCATTGTTCTCATTACTTCTTCACAAATTCTCGCACCACATTCATTTAATCATCAAAAAGAATTGCTTCATTGGAACAAAGACTCAAGCTACTTGTGCGTAGCGAGTAAGAGTAATAAGAAAGTCCGAGAACCCGATACAATGATCCCTAGACAGTCCGAATCCCATAAAATGCCATGACTGCCGACATGAGCTCAACGAAAGATTTTCAGGCTACGAACTCGCCACTGAGAAACAACTCGAGCCCGGCTCCCGCGATTTTCACGGCACCCTTCGCAGCCCCCTTGAACGCCTTTCCCAACTTACTCTTTCGTGTAGGACCCGAACTCACTGCAGTGCTCTGAGACGAGCGCAATTCCTCAGAAGCATCAACTTCCTCTGACGGCTCACCTTGTTCAGACGAGTAATTCAACGCCACAAAAGCGTTCACTCGCCGTCTGTCTTTGATCTCATTCAGGATCCAGCCCGCCAACCTTTCCCTCTGCGGTTAGGGTTACTCATCATGCATTTCATCTACGCTATTACCGCGCTTTCCGCCATCTTCGGCCTTTGCCTCGCGATGCCACATAGAGACGAGCCGTAAATGGATACAGCGCTTTGATAGTTGTCAACAAGAATCTTACCCACTACAGCACCACCCTCGCCCATCGCAACACCATCACCCCGCCCCACTGAATGCAACTTCAGCGACCTTAACACCTTCTCCGACAGCGGCAATAATTGGTGCCTCCGCGGCTACTACTCTGACAACAACATCGGTTGCACCGATCACCCCTCCGCCGACTGGACACCCCCGTACTACACTCAATCCTCCGCCGACTACTGTGCCTGCCACGGTATCGACGCCGACGCACTCGGGCGCTAAACGAAATCTATCGGGATCTGGTTCAAGGGCCTCAACAACCCGCAGTCCGGTCTTGCTCGCTTGAAGCATTCTCTCACGCTCTTCTGCATTTGACCTTGCCGTCTTCTCTTCCGCTAGCGCTTGCTTCAACAGCGATGCTTCCTGCTGATGTTCTTGCAAGATATCTTGTGGACAAGCTTCCAGACTTCGCTCTATCTTTCCTTCGCGTGGATGATCTCCATCTCAAGTTTCGCTGCTGCTTCCATCAGATGTTCGATCAGGTCTTCCTTCTCTTTCAAGACTCTCGCCATCTCAGTATGAGCACCGATGCGCATCCATTGTAGCTCTGCCTCCAACGAACTGATGACCGTCTCTTTGCCTCTCAACAGCGTATCCATGGCCGCGAATTTTTCTGAGGACTCGCCCTCCTCCAGCTGACGAATCCTATATTCGACTTGGAACACTTCGAAGTCAAGATTCGCTATGATCTCCTCTATCGAGCATGTCAGTTGACGCTTTGCCTCCATGAATACTCCACATAAAGAAGTTAAGACATACTTTAGCATCTCGGAGCTCATTCTCTCGCTCTCTCATCTCTATATCTAGAGCTTGAAACCCCATGGTCAGAGCCGTTAGCTCTTCTCGCGATACTGTAGGCCCTTTATGGATCGATGTAACTAGACGACACACTATAGCAATGGCTGGCGGTGCTGCTGCGGGCGGGACTAGTAGGAGATATTCTAGATCGCGGCATTAGCAAGCGCTTCCTTTTTGTCTGTCTTCATCGGGGGCTTACCGGAAGGCATCTTGTCCTGTAGAGAACGATGTCGACCCCGTCTACGAGGTAGTGTCTTCGTGACGGTGAGTGTGGAGTGGATGTCGCAGCTGTTCTTAGAGCAAGTTTCGAAATGAGAAAGGCGGAGGCGCTTGAACATTTTTCCGTGTCCCAACAAGTGAAGGACTTGTCGCGAGGTTGGATTCCCTCGAGTGAGAGTGGTGAAGATGTTGGAGATTGGCGGTGCTACAATTTAAACCCTTGTCTTAATGGTTCGCTATTTCACCTCGAACTAACGCGCATACTGCTTTCTGGTGCCGTGATAGAGAAGATATACGCATCGAAAACTGCGGCACTTTGGAAGCATAATTTCCAGGCGAGGCTTCTTGATGAGTTCAAAGTCTAATACTTCAGTTGGGCCTGTGATGGTGTCATTAGAGACATCGAGCTGGCATACTGCGAGCTGAATATGAAAGTGAGTCTGATCGCTATCAATAGACTCGTGAAGTGAAACGAAGGTCGATCACTTCCAAATCCCCACTAGAGGTGAGGTCGATAATTGGAACCTTGGTTGCGGCGTAGACTAGTGTAGCGCATTGATGCCCACCTTGCACTAGTATACCTTTCTCTTCACGCGCCAGCAGCTGAGAGAACCACTCAATTCCCCCTCTGACGCTTAGGACGTTATCCATCCACAGCACACTACCTTGAAATTTCACGTTGGAGAAGAGATTAAGATGGGCCCTATGAAAAGAGCCTTTTATGTAGGGGAAGACTTCTTGACGCTATTCCACGTCAGCTTTTCCCTTTAAGTAACTAACGTATGGAGGAAGATATCGCACCATTGCAATCATCCACCAAAGTTTGTATGAAAGCTCTTCCGCACCGTCTCCACATCCACCTTCTCAATCAGCTTAATCAGCCCCAACACACTAGCATTTCAATCATATTCGATCGAATGTCAATTACCTAACTGCATAGCACGTAGCCATCTCTACCTACTCTCCCCAGCCCCCTTTCCCCCAGCTTCAAATCCTCCCCTCCCTGAACTCCCTCGCCATCTCCCCAAACGTGCACCACTCCACCCCCTCGTGCCCATTAATCCACTCAATTAGCCTCTCATGCATCAGTAAGATATGTGGTCTTCCCGAAACCTGCGGATGAATGCTCATCGGAAAGATAAACGTATCGTACTCCCTATAACACCACTGAAACTGCTCTTTCCACATGCGCTCTACACTGTGTGGGTCTACATATCCGTGGGCATTTGGCCGTGCAGCATCCCACTGGAACGGCGGCCAGTCGTCCAAGCACCAGGAGGCCGGGATCTCGACAACGTCGGAGGTGGTGGCGTGCTTCATGGGGACCATCCAGGTATCCGGGTGGTTTTTGTAGTCGGTGGTAATGACCTCTTCAAGGCCGGTGGAGACGTAGTAGGCTTGGAAGTCATCGTGCATGAAGGAGTGATCTGGGTGTTGTTAAGGGGAAGTGAGTGGAGAGGGGAAGAAGAGGCGGACCGTATTTTATGCCTAATTCTTGGAGAAGGCCGATTTGGTCGGGGCTGTTTTTCCAGGCAGGAGAGGTGAAGCCTTCGGGCTTTTTGCCGCAGAAGTCGGTTAGGATTTTGATGGTTTTGACGAGGATCGCTTCGAGGCTCTCTTTGCTGAGGTCGGATGGGAATCTTGCGGAGGAGTCAGGAAGCTGCTCTCTGCGTTGATTTGGGGACTCAGGAGCACAAACTCGTGCGTGTAGCCGTGGAGGCCGCTGTTTCGTCGAGTGTTAGTAAGTCAATCTCCAATCCGTCCAAAGTAACGGGATTCCTCACATCTCGTGTCCAGCATCCCTGATCTTCGCCATGTCCTCTGGAAATGTCTCGATGGTATGGCCTGGTATGTACCAAGATGTCTTGATGTTGTTCCGCTTCCAAAGCTCCAGCAGCCGCTCGACACCGCGTGTAGCTCCGAAAACGCCTAATTTGTCTATCAGGTCGAGTTCCAGGATGTTTAATGCGAAAAGCAGCAACTTAGCAGCTCCTAGAGGCAATACAAGATCCAGATACTTACCTCGAGAAACATTACACAGATTTGCCTTCCCGCCCACCGTGGTGTTGATATGGTTGCTCACAGCGTCAACATCAATGCCATAGCCCACGAGAACACGCTTTTTGCCCATATTTTCAATCAATAAGCCCAAAAGCAGATGTAGTTGAAGCTACAGATGACACGATTGAAGATTGAAAGAAGGAAATGGCAATCGCTCAAAAAGATTCAAAATCAACGAAAGGTGGGGGACGCGCCAGTCGCGTTGCGGGGTACGAATTTGGACGTCGACCAGGGCGTCGGGAGCGGACATGCGCGATGCCATGCATGGTGGCGGCGAGACTCCACTTTATATCCGCGATAGGACCGGCGTTGCGGTGCGGTGGTTTTAACCGCTTTGGGGTAATATCTGATATTGACTAGTTCCACGTAACCTCAATGCTAGACCGGCCAGCCGTTCGAGTTATCACAGAAGAATACCGTTAGATAGTCCAGATGTATTGAAGAGCACCATTTTCACGTTACCAACCATTCAGACTACAACTTCGCCTTCTCCTCCCCACAACAGTCTTCCTTACTAATATCCCCAACCTTCACCTCCCCAGCCACAACCGGGTCCCTTACCAATACACTCCCGTTTACCTCCTGCACACTTCTCGGTACATCCAACGCCGGATTCCCCTCAAAGAAATCCGCCGGCGTCAGCCTCAACGTGCTCACCTCACACGGCATGACCGGAAAATCCTCAACCCTCGGATTATGCGTCATGCCAAACGTCGTCCACACCACGACATCCTCATTCCTGACCTTATCCCCCCTCGACGCATAATCGCGCACCCCGTCCACCTCATCTAAGCTCTGGTTCGTCCACTTCCCGCCAGCCCAGAGTTCGTGGTCGCGGTAGGCTGTCACCCAGAGGTGGTGCTCTGCGAAGCGCGCACGGCGGCGGACGACGCTGTTGGCGCCGGCGAGGATGAGCTGGCAGGGTTGGGGAATGAGTTTGTAGCCGACTGGGTTGCCGGAGATGTGATTTGTGACGCCCTCGTTTACCACTTTGAAGACGCGGTTGGCGAGGGGATTGGCGTCTGCGTAGCCTGAGGTTTCGAAGGGGGTTTTGACAAGACGCCAGGCATTGCCGTGGGGGTTCTCGTCTTCAGATTGCGGGACGGGGATACTCTCTTCTTGAGTGACGGTGTTGAGGGGGCCGTCGAGCATGGGATCGATGCGGAGGGAGAAGAGGTGCTGGTGGTTTGGTGCTAGAACCCCAGGGGAGACGACGTTGCCCCATTCCGAGGTCTTACCAGCATCGATGAGGTGAGTGCTTAAGATCCCGGTGGCACGTGTCTCAAGCTCTATGTTGCCGTTTTGCATGAAGTGCCAGGCGAAGATATACTCGTAGTTTCCGACGGTGATGATGCTTTGGAGGACAAGAACTCTGGCGCGGGTGATTGCTGCATTGCCTGTGCGGTGGTTCGTGTGCTTCCAGCCGATTCCGGCATCCTGCTCGTGCATACAGATGACATTAGGTGCTGGGATAGGGGCGCCGGTATCGTCGTTGAGGTGGCCGGAGAAGTAGTAGATGCTACCTAGACAGTCGCAGCCGAGGGCGAGGTTGTTGGCAACGCTTCCTGCGCCGCAGTCGCCGATATCGAAGGCTTGTTTGCGGTGGAAGGGGCTACGAGGGTCTATAAATGGCTTGCAATTAGCGTCACATCCTCTGGCAGTAGATATGAAAATAGTGTTGAAGCACCCCAATAAGTGATAGACAAGTGTGCGAATACTCACGACGAAGAGAGTAGGGAACTCGCCTCCATATGGTACCGTCATCTCACTGACACTCAACCTGTAGAACACAGGCCGTCCTGCATATCTTACGTCATGAATAGTCATGCCTTCTCTGAAATTGAAGCCTACTCGGAAGCGCCACTTCTGCCACTCCACGCAATTTCCATCCAACACTTTAAAACTTGGACCATCTGGCTGCAAAACTCTCAGAATCTTCAAGTCCGATCTTGGCGAGTCTTTGTGCAAGTCGTGGTGATATTCGTGCGGGACACAGTGCTCCATAGGCTTCTTGGGGGCGGTATGGTATGCGAGTCCGTCCTCTTTACCTCCAGTAGCCAGATCATCAATGCGGATGACTTTGCCCAGGAACAGGTCAAATACTGGTGAAAAAGGGAGCGGGAAAGCGTATTGATTGCTATCAGGGTGGTTATGCGGAGCACGTGCGTAGAGCAGAGCCTGCATGAGTTTGTGGGTGTCGACGTCTGAGCCTCGGTCCGTCCCGTACATCCACGTATCGGCTTGAACAATAGCATCATCCGGGAGATGCAGTCCCTTGATAGCTTTGAGAACCTGCGGGTCGTTGAGAATTTTGCCCATTGCCAGCTTGTTCTCGCCTCTGTCGATTGCTCCGTGCTGGCCCTTTGCGGTCCCTGAACGCTCAACCTCGTTGCTCGCGTCTAAGCTGATGATGCTTTCGATGACAATGCGGTCGTTGTCGGGGCTCCAGATTACACCGAGGCATCATGGGACGAATGGTCTTTCCGATTTTGGTTCTCCAGCTGCTTCGGCGTTGAGGTAGGGCAAGAGTAGCGCCTTTGGGGGCTCATGAAGCGAGATGCTCTTGTACCGAACTCTTGTAGCATTGTCGCCGCTCGCACTCTGCTCTTGCGCCAGATTTTCAACAATTATCCTAGCCCGCGATATTTCTTGGTCCGTAATAATTTGAAGTGGATGCGGTCGAATGTTCAGTGCAGCTCGAGGCTCGGCCATTTTGCTTGGCGAGCTTTCTACGGGAAATTCTGTAGCCATAGCTGTTGAATAATGAGGGATTAGAAAGAAGAAGAAATTCGCTGAGAAAAAGACAAGTATTTGTTTCTTGAATGCAGCAAACTTGTGGAGGGTCGAGATATTCGCTACCGGAGTTGAGAGTCCGCCGTTTGGACGTACTGCAATCACCTCCAGATACTTGTATCCTCTTATCTGGATGTCAGCCCTTGTGTACTTGGGGAACATCTGTAAATGGCCTATAGAGAGATAATAGAATGAATTAAAGTTGGTAATTGCGATTGCGATGTTCCGAAAGTGACGGTACAGTACGTAAGACGTGGCGATAACTATGACTCCGATAAGGCGTATGAATTCGGAGCTAGCATCCGAAGAACCTCCAACCAATATTATATAGGGCTCCGCGATTTCGCCATTGACTTCAAACTTGAAGTGCGCGTGCTTGAAGCCCCTGTGCTCGCAGATCTACGCGCTTGTACAGTGAAGGGCGGCGTCAAATCCCCTACTGAATAGGAGCAAACGAGTTACCAGTAAACAGAGCCCCCATGGCTTGTCCATGCTATTTAGGTGAGGTTTGGAGGGTGTGAGATCCGAACACCCACGCGGGGCATGAAAAAGGTGGCACACCCAGCAGCTCAACACCGTCTGAGGTGGCCAAAAGAGCTATCAGGCTTGCCAAAGCTGGTCTTTCATGAATAACAATAGAATGCTAGAGGATCTCAAGCAGTGCTAAATAAGCGTACACAAGCATAGAAACAGCTGGAGTGTGTATAACTATACCTCGCAGATTTCTGGACTGCCACTTTCTGCTAACACTCCTCAACCATGCTGTCTCATAGGTGCAACCTGTCTACCACTGCTTGAGGTACTTCAACGAGTTTCCACATAGCGCAGAGTCAAGAGCGTCTATCTTGTTTAGATTTCTGAACATGTATTAAAGCACTCGAAGCAGTGGCAGACAGGTGGACCCACGAGACCGAGACAGTTCGTCTAGAATTAGAGTGCCACCTTTTGCATTCCCCGCGTGACACCCTCCAGAATTTGGGGGGATATTTGACCATTAATGATGAGGCGGAAGTCTGTCCTAGACTGATGCAGGCAATTGTGGCCTCGGGAGAGATGTGGATGGCGTTAGAGGTGCAGTTTCAGCCCTACGGCACTACGGGTTTCCTCAGCAACGCGCCTCAGCACAACAAATGATCGTCGACCTCCCATCTATCCACCACCTGCCAGCGTCACCTCCACCATCTCCAGCGCGCCCATCTTCCCTTCCACATTTCCTTTCACCTTCAAGAGTTTAATATTTTGGCAAAGTTGGAGACGCGCTTGGTGTCGCCCACCATCTCTACCTATCCCGCCGCCGGCCTCGTCACCGTCGACCGCATTCCTCGCTTCAACCTCGAACCCGGTCTGCAGTGCATGAGCAATTGAGCCACCACCGCCGCTGGCAGGTACCGCAGTCATGGACACCAGCTATTTGGCGCAGCAAGTTACCACCATCATCGGGCAGCTCCATGGCCTCTTCGACGAGATCGGCGTCCCCAGCCATGAGAGGGACCAGCGCGAAGCAGAGGTACTATACTCGCGCCAGGCTACAAGACCCAGCTAACACTACTCACAGCTCTTCTCTGCTCTATCTGAGACTCTGCACAATCAACTGCGCGTTGTCACCAAGTAGGTCCAGCTGAGTTCCCCTAGAAACAACAAAGCTGATTATATGGCGTGTAGTGAGAAACATGAGATGACCGAAGAAGCCCGTCGCTTGTCCAAAACCATCAAGCAGATGGAAGCCTCCCTCGATGATCGCAAATCGAACAGCGCCTACGATTTGGACGACTCAGACTCCAAGATCACGTATCCATTGACGCGCTGTTTACAGACCCTCAAGGAGAAGTACAACACCGTGAGCAAGCTGCATCGCGAGCGCTTCGAGCAAGTCAAGAGTGCGTGTATAAGGGTGTATATCGTATTCAAATGCTAATATACCGCAGAGCTTGTTGAGGCCCTTGAATCCTACGCCTCCCATCTCGAACCCGCCTTCGTTCAGATCAAACTCCCGCCCATCTCGCCGAACACTCCCATATCTCCGTCCTTCGATATCTCCCATTCCTACATAACCTCATTGGATCGCGAATTCTCTCGTGTTTACGACGAATACACGCGACGCGTCGAGACGGTCAGGGTCATGTCGGACGAGATCATCCACCTGTGGGCGGAGCTTGGAACCCCGAATGCTCAGACAGATGCTGCCATTCTCAAGTATGCGCGCGACTGCCCGGAGCAGCTAGGCCTCCACAAGGACGACTTGGTCAATCTGCGCACTAAGAAGGACAAGCTCATTGAAGAGAAGCGGGGCCGGGAGCGCCGACTGAAGGAGCTTCGGGGGACCATCGAGGACCTCTGGGATCGCCTAAGCATTGAGGAGCATGAGCGTAGAGGCTTCTTGGCTGCGAACCGTGGATGCGGAATGAGGACCATCAATGAATATGAGGACGAGCTGGCTAGACTCAACGAGCTGAAGCGACAGAATCTGCATCTTTTCGTGGAAGATGCTAGATACAAACTGCAGGAACTTTGGGATAGCCTGTACTTCTCTGAGGAGGAGATGCTCGACTTCACGCCCGCATTCTCTGGTATGCTTGAATCAATACTCACAGAAATGCGCTTACTGACCTGTTCTAGATGTCTACAGCGATGCTCTGCTTTCAGCGCACGAGGCCGAGATTGCTCGATTAGAAGCCCTCCGGGAACAACGCCTACCTACACTGGAAATGATTGACAGGCATCGCGAGCTAGTCAAGGAGCGCGAAGACCTTCAGGCCTCCAGCCAAGACGCGTCTCGTCTTATGGCGCGCGGCCAGAAGGGCGAGAAGCGTGACCCTGGAAAACTTCTTCGGGAGGAGAAAATGCGGAAGAGGATTGCTAAGGAGTTGCCCAAGGTTGAAGCTGAGCTGAGGAAGACTCTTGAGAACTGGGAGAACGAGTATGGTCGGCCTTTCCTCGTCCATGGAAACCGATACCTCGACGAACTCTACGCAGCTGCATCCAAGTCGGCACCACCTAGGTCAAAGACGCCCTCAGTTGCGCCTCAGGCGGCACCCAAGTCTGCAAAGTCAGCACCACCCAGCCGGGGCAATTCTGTTCGCGGACCTCCACAATCTACAGCTAGGGCGAAGACACCAACTGCGAATAGTTTCGCGATGAGTGTATCGCGGAATCCTCTCCCCAGCTCCGCCGCGCAGGCCGGGACTGGTGGCAACAAGAGCCCGTCCAGAATTCCAGCACGCGCTCCGTTGAAGAATATGCCTCATGGCAACAACTCCCCGGAGCGTCAGCCGCGTCAGGAGAGGGATGAATCCACGATTCGCAAGATGGGACCACCACGTGCTCCGCCACCAAAGATGAAGGATCTCTTCATGCCACCACCGCCAGCGCCTGCAGCAACACCAGCGCATCCTTACTCATACAACTCAGATCGCAGCGGCAGCATCGTGCGCCATGTACAGCCAGAGGATGTCTACGATGACCGCACCTACATGTCAAATGCGCAAATGGCTCGGACGCAGCAGTATCATGAACACGGATATCCACCGCGGGCTCCCCCAAGCAGACAAATCTCAGCAACATCGTCGGCTTCCACCGCCAACACAGCGCCGGGATCCGAGAACTGGGAGACATGCTCTCACGATGACGAGTCTGAGGACGAGTACAACTACCAGAGGCAACAGGCTGCACGAAAGAGATTTACTCCGGATGGTGGCTATGCTTCGCCTCGTGGGGGTCTTGGCAAAAAGCTTCGAGGCAACGGTGTTCCGCAGACGATGATGGAAGGCGAAGGCGGCCAACTCGTGCGGGTGGAAGGCAGCGAGGCTGGCTGGACCGACGAAGATGCTTTTTGAGCGGCGTCTCTCACCTTTTCTCTTCTTCTTACGATTCACGCTGACTGATGCATCACGTGTAGGACGATTTCCCTGTCGTTCCACTTCGGGTATGATTTCAGGTACACGGTGATGACGACAGCTTGCTCGGCATGATTGGTGCAGAGCGAAAATTTCTTCGGTGGTGTTTTGCTTTTTTTCTGTATACTTCATTGGTTGCAACAAGCGGTGTGCCCTCTCATAATTTTCTTTGCTTTCGATTCTTTGCCAGGCGGATACGTGGCCACGACTGTACTTGGGAGTCATCTCTAGGTCCTCTGACGGCAGCACGCAGGTTAAGCCGGGATGTGGGGGGTCTGGTCTCATCATGTTCCTACGTCTGGTGGCCGCCGTGCCTTGGGCGATCGGTGGCAGGCCCTGGTCTGCTTCCCCACATTTTGTCAGGCAATCGGGAAGGAGGCGTTTTGATGGGCGTATGGGCGGCACATGTTTCTGGGATTTGGCTCCATCGGTGTTTGGCCTTTTGCAGCTCGTCTCCAGTCTCTCCAGCTCTCCACGCTCTTCTTGGGGCGCGGCGACGTGTCGCGTGTGCTTAGCGGCGTGGGAGACGGCGGACAGGGCGGCGAATCAATGTACGATGATGCAGCAGTGCGACAAATAAATTCAAAACGAATATACTTATACGCGGGCGCCCTGAACGGTGAAGGCGGGAAGGAGTTTACTCCGCACAGCAATCGGTATACGTGCAGATGCTGTAGCTAACCTCGGATCGAGCCACGCACCTATGGCACTACTTACTCAGTCTCAGTCTAGGCAAGCCCCGGGAGGGTCGGGAACGGCGGTTGTCGAAAATGCTTATCGGCCTGCTCCCCCAGGTTTCACAGGATAGGCAGCCTGTTTGCAGTATGGCGTAGCTGTGGGGTAGCCTCGCAAGGGGCCCGGTATTGTAGGGGCCCGCGGGTTGGCGGAAGGCGGCCGCTGCACGACTTGTCGGCGCGCATGATGCAGCAGCAGGCCATCTGACGCAGGCCCTCAGATGCTGAGGGAGATAAGCTCGCGGCAGCTGAGAGGCTGGCGAGCGGGCACGCGTGGTGGGACGGGGGTGACCTGGCCTGCAGTCGGCATGTCAGGATGGAAACTGGCTGGAGGATGCGCAGATGCGGTGCTGTGCTGGCGCGGTGAAGCCGCCCACGACCGAGGATGCAGCGCCTGCGGGCTCACCGCTTGCGCTGTTCATTTGGAGAGAGCGGCGTGGACGTGACGATGCATCTGTCCCTGGGCGCCGGCTCAGCCCTACTGAGGCAGGAGGCGCGAGTGACGAATGGGAGGCGGGCTATTCACGCGCCAGATCTGGAGCCCGTCGTGAGCCGCGACTTCGGGATGCCGGCGACAGGGACGCCTGCACACCTGCAGAGCCAAACGCGACGGTTCTTTCAGGCTGTGCGAGCGCTATTTTCTGCCTCGTCCACCCGGAATAGGCGGCCGCTGCAGCCTCAAAGGCGAGGCCCGGGCAAGCCAGCAGCCACCTCAGCCTGAGGGCAGCCTGAAGCCGGTGCACACGCGACTGATCCCGCCCTTATCGGGATTGCCTTGACTTGTCGTATCCGTCATCACCCCCAAACTCCCCCATCCTCCTGCCTGGCGCTCGCCCCCATCCAACTCCCCTATATACCCAACCGCACGTCGCTTTGTTCTCTGTCCAACAGTCCAACACACCACACACCACACGACTCTCGCCAGCCTCGCCAGCCTCGCCAGCCTCGCCAAGCCGACCTCACCCCTGGGACGCCCCATGTCAACCTCAGTTGCCCCGTTGTTGCCCTGCATCCAATCCCGCCGAGGCGATAACGTAAAACGCTCCGCCAGCGTCCTGCGACCAACGTCACGAACCTTGTCTGGCAGCCCTGTGGCACCCGTCACGTTTGTTACGTTCGTCACGTTCCGTGGGCGTGGATTCGGTTCACCATGATGGTGCCAAGGTCCTACCGCTTGCTCCAGCGGTCCGCCTCACCCGACACCCACCAGGACGAGAAGAAGATGGGAGCCAAATCCGCAGGAGCCCCGTTCGTGCCGTCTCGAGTCTCTTCATCACCACCGCCGACGAGGGCAAACTACAAACCGATACCCGCCAGGATGGCTTCGGACCCTGCGCCGCACTCGAAGCCTGTCGTCATTCCCCCGCGGACTCCCACCAGGTCGTCCATCTCCACGCAGACTGTGAGGGCGAGAGGACAAAATGGCGGCAGGAGACAGCAAATCCCCAACGACCACAGGCCAAATGCTATCCCCCCGGCAGTGGCAGCCCTACTCGCAGTCACTGCGATACCTCCCCGGCCAACTCGCCGACGCAAGAACCCCACGAGTGATAGACGGATATCGATAGACGAGTTGATCCAGGAGTGGAGGCAAGAGGATGTCGGCAGTGGAAGCTCCAGCGTGAATTCATATCTGGACCTGCTGTTGGAACAGCCAGACGAACGCGAGGAAGACGAGCCTGGCAGCTTGGGGAGTCCAGAGCAAGACAAGGATTTCATGTCGTCGAGATCCGTCTCGAGCGAGTCAATACCATCTGTGCCATCACTAGAGGGGGACGAGCAGTCGGTAGCATCTTCATGGAACTCAGCGGCCACGCCTAATTTTTCGGTCAGGAAGCCCGGAGCGGAGCGCAAGGAGAAGTACATTCAGTCTCCGCCAACGGAAGAGTGTGTTCTCGACCATCCTCTGCTTCACTTCAGCTCCGACGAGTACGAGGAGACAGATATAACTACCACGAGCGTCTCCCCGGAATCTCAACCATCGACGCTACGCTTCAAGACTTTCAAATCCAATCTCACAGCATCACTCCAAGCTCTCAAATCCGCCGCCAAATCCTTCTCCAACTTCACTGCCCCCAGCGTCCCCCCAGATGACCTTCTCACCCGCTCTCTCCTCTCTCCCCGGTTCACCAGCGAAATGCGTCCCAAACCGCTGCAAGGTCTCCCAACACCCGCCCTCCGCCGCTATCTGAACCCCCAACCAACCTCGATCTCCCCCACGGAACTCTCGATGCAATTCCACGACGGCCTCGACACCTACGACGCCGATTCCTTGCCACCAATGATTCAAATGCAAACCTACGACCGCCGGTCTCGCTCTTCCTCCCGGAAACGCCGAGGCAGCACCGGATCCCTCCCCGAAGAGCGCACTCCCTTACCGACGCCCGCCGTCCGCCAGCGCGAACCCCGCGAGAATGGCGATTTCCTCCGCGTTATAGTGCTCGAGATGAACATGCGACGCGGCGGGAAGCTGGACGCCAAAGCCGCAGGCCGAGCGCGAGTTTGGCTACCACCGCGCAAGACGAACGGGAGAGCAGATGCTGTGGACGCGGATGGCGGTGTGCCGGCGCGGTGGGTGGGAATGCTGGCTGAAGAGCTGTAATGCCGCCAACCGCCCGAAAGAGAAAAATCGGGATGTAGGTGCCACGTTGCACTGTTGGGACTGCTCGTGCGACATCAGCTGCTGCGCGCCGGGCGGCTGGAATGCAGGTGACGCATGCCCCGCAGTTTTGAGACGCAAGGGTCCACACTCCACTCTTGACGCGCGACTATTTACGAACCTGCGCCTTGGAACTTGCCCTGACGACGATCCTGGGAGTCCTTTCTCCGGCGGCGGGGATGGCTCCGGAATTCCTCCCCGTCCTAGGTTTTCTTCACGAAGGCGCAAAAGGTAGCCTCACGAGATGACATCTGTAATCGCGAAATCAAGAATAGAGAATGCGCGCTTGCCAGCTCCTAGAAGGTCGCACACGGTCCACCGCAACTTTAACCGCACAATAATCACTCGTTCCTGCGTCGTGGATCGAGTTGGGCTAGCCTTACGGTTACGATACGACGTTGACAGCAGCCACGACAGCGCACAACTGATGGCATGACCTCTGTGCCTCCACCATTTCTACCTACGACGCTAGGAGTCCCGCGCCATCCTGCAGCGGGAGCTGTCTTCCGCCACCCTACCTTCCCTCTGTCCATCGGCCCTCAGCGCGAACCGGAAGCGCGGTGTTTCGAGTCCGCTGGATTACCTAAGATTTATTGTGTCCTGTCTTGGCGAAGGGTGGAGCGGCAGGTGCCGGCCGGCGTGCCGATACGGCATTGGGCGGTGAGAGAACCCAACGATGAGGGGGATTTCGGTCCGATTGGGGGTTTCAAGAAGCGAGTGTGAAGGGTGCAGAGATAATTTTCTTTGTCATTTGAAGAGACGCGGGTAGGACGTCGGCGCTTATATTTTTTCTGATTTTCTTTCGAGTTTCTGGCAATATGTGGGTTTGGAAGGATTGCGAATATCCACTTTGCGCTGCTGGTTTGGCCTAATCGGGCAGGTTTTGGCGCTTTGAGGAACATTGGGCTCGGTGTTGGGCTGCGCTGCAATCTGGAATCTGGAATGGCTGCAATTACTGGGATTATTTTTTTCGTTTGTTGGAGGGTTTCATTGGGCGGAGTCTGCATGAGAAATAGGAACGGGATTTTCGGACAGGCTCAGGGAGCATACATTGCATTAGCATCTTCGTGGGAAATATAGCATTTAGCGTGGGAACTTTGGATTGGATTGGGAGAGTTCCAGATACGATGGACAGACTTTTCGTGCGTGAAGTCGGAACGAGAGTTTCTCCTCGTATATAATATAGGTACACTAGAGGTGAGCGTGGATATCGTTCAATCTACACTCTTGGCTCTTTCCAACGTCACTTCATAGATGAGTATTGTATTCCTTTGCCTTCTTGAGCCTCTAGCCATTAGACAACTAAGAAGAGAACTTCAATCTCCCCCCCCTCCCCCCCCCCCCCCCCCCCTTCTCATCTAGATACCTCCGGCTAAGACACAAAAATTACCCATATCGGCAAGTCTTAGCAATATCAAGTGTCGAACGCAGAGAGGAATTTTGTCTCTTGGCGTTCCTGGGATTTTGCCAAGAGACAAAACCCCTCTTGGCGTTCTCCACCAGCGATATCGCCGAGAGCTTCTGCCCACCTAAGCGGGAATGAAGGGGTATGGAGGATGCTGGGTCTTGGGTGCAGAATAAGGAGGGGAGGAGTTGGAGGCGGGTCAGGAGGCTAGTGGGGAGGTACAGACTCTTTTGTGCTGTGTTAGCTTTTTGCTTGGCGGGCTTTTGAGGGTTTTGGGGATGTCACGTGTCGCCCATCCTCCATTTATGGACTCGGGTATAAAACCCACCGCTACCGCTGCTCATTCTCCTTCCAACAACCGGGTCGTGGGGCTGGATGAGCCAGCAAAATAGAACAAGATGGAGGATGATGTCTGCTGTCTACGTCAGTTGGAAAATGAGGCTACAAGAGGACACATGGAGAGTCTCGGTGGTGGAAGAAGGGAAGTGGTGGGTTCACGATGACCTCATGCCAGAAGCTGCTGGAGACTATCACTCTGCCGTAGCGTTGAACCTCACCACCTTCTCTTCTCGATTCGCTCTATACCTTTCCTTTTCGCTCCAGCTGGTTAGAAAGAGAGAAGGATGCAGTCCATCATCACCCCTTCCAAAAAGCTATCGTCTACCGCTCTTCTCACTCTTCCAGCCATCGGCGTCGGCCAGAGGAGGAGTTGATCCACTCAGCGCCATGTTTCCTGTCGTCTACCAATTTTATTCTCGTCTGCCATCCAACGCGGTTTTTTGAGTGTCTCTTCCGTTTGAGTTCTTGGAGGAAGAGAGCGGTGGAGGCTGAGTGGAGAGATTTATAGTAGAAAGAATAAGGGGAATAAGAGGTCACGTGATAGGTATCTGTTATGTGAGGGTCTTGGTGGTTCGATAAGGGTGGGGAGGCTCTGGGGAAATGGTGAGGGGATGTAGATGGGGAGCAGGGAATGGAGGCCTCGATGTGAAAGGAGCATAAATTGGCGCAGAAATTCACGTGAATGGAGATGTTGATCGATAAATTTGAGATACAGAGGTTTGAGTTGATGCTTCCTATTTATCGCCATCTTCGAAGAGCCTGGTGCAAGAGTAGAAGAAAGGAGTATAAGTCGTATTCATTGAGAGAGCCGTGAGTTCATGAAAGATTCCGTGTTGCCGATGACCGTGATTCCGCAGTATGTCCAAGATCGATATGGAACCATGTTCGGATTCGCCTTACTCCTTGCTGTAAGAAATGTGTAGTCGGTGTTCCACGTCGGTAGTTTTTGGATGTAGATGTGGAGTAATGTGCAAGTGGGAATGATAAGGGGAAGTAATCAAGAAGCAAAGGGAGACGGTAAGGAAAGATAAAAAGAAACCTCGCATATCGCATTCATCGAGGAAAAAATGCAGAGCCAGGTATGTCGTGGACGGGTCATCAACTCAGCACCGTCGTCGATCGTGATTCAGTCAAGTAAGCACCTCCGAGCAGATGCTTACTTAGACGATATCATCGCGGACGAGACCGCACTTTGAGCACCTAGTGCTAACTTTCACGCTTCTTGCCCTTGCAGCTCAAGGTTGAACACGCCTTGTAGACTGACTTCGTGGTGTTGGCGGCTCGAGGATGGAAGTTTGATGGTTTCTTGTTCGCGCCACTGGCGTTGCTCTGAGTATTCGAAGACATATTGTAAGAGAACTTTAGAGGAAGTCTGGGAGGCGGTTAGTCATTGCTGCGACGGAGGCGAGGAGTGGTAAAGGTGGAGAGGTACTGTAGGGTTATAACTAGGAGTATGCAGTGTAGTGATTGAGTCGAGGTCAAGGTCTGATGGAGACGAATGTATTGATGGAGCCTAGCTTCTGAGAGTATTCTTTGCTGCTTGTTTTATAGCAGAGACAGAGAAATCGGGCAACGTGGCCGAGCAGCTATAAAAGCGGCATAGTTGATTGTTCGGTGAGGCAAGAGAGTGTGAAGTGGACATTAGGGCTCAGCCGCCGTTATCGTTCGCTTTAGGGTAATCAAGGAGAATGCATTGCCGTTCTTGGCCGCTCTGTAAACTTCACTTCACTTCAAGTCTAGCTCCTCTACTAGCTTCATGAAGAAGCATGGCCTATGCTCATTAGTGAAGCTGTGTATAGCAGCTCCAATAGCGTGCCTCTGGGTGTCCTCAAGAGCCATTGAAAGCAAGTACTCATGCCCATCCCCAACCAGTCCCATCTTCCCCTCCGCCCGCTTCACAGCCTCAATGTACTGCTTCCTCTTTTCATACGTCTCGATAGTATCAGGATCCGTAGGGTTCCCCTCATCGTCGTAGAACCACGGAAGTTCCAATTGACGGGGCGCATTCGAGATGAACAACGGAAACTGCGCGAACGCTTCCCACGGCGCAGCAAACGCGGCATCCCAATCAATGATGCCTACAACCTTGAAGTTGTCGTCAACGAGGATGTTCCAGGTGCCGAAGTCTGGGTGATGTATTGGGAAGGGGCCACTATCACGAGCGGAGATCTTGGGAGCAAGTTCTTGGATGGCGGCAGGGAAGTGTTTCGCCGATTCTACGAGCACATCGCCGTATTCTGGAGGCGCGCAGGCGCGAATCTTGGCTTCGGGTAGGGCAAAGGTGTGATGAGAGCTCCAGGCGTGGAAGTAGGATGTTGCGGTCGAGAACGGGCCGCCGAACCAGAGGATAGATTGGGCGTATGTACCGTCTGAGTCTTTGCCGGCGATGGGTCCGATCTTAGGCATTTGAAGGGTGGATAGTTCCACCTGGCGATATATGTTAGTTTCGCGTTAACCTCCACCCATGGCGATGAGGACGTACATGGATCTCTGCAATCCTCTCAGCGAAGTTCGCGAAATGCTCCTCTGGAACCTCCGGAGATCCGGTAAGATCAGGAACCGTGTTTCCCTTCATTGCCTTCATGAGCATGAAAGGCGCATGTACGCCATACTCGTCCTCGGCCTCATATGCGTATATCTCAGGGACAGGAATGGTAGTGCGCTCGCGAAGAAGGGCATTAATTGCGACTTCACATGCGGTATTCTCCTCCGCCAGATCCCACTGGATACCATAGGGCTCCTCGCAAGGTTCGTCCGAAGACATGCGGAGCTTCACTATCCACTGATTCTGGTCGTCGAATTGGATCAGGCGGACGAGCTGGGATCCGCCCATGGCGACGCTGTCTGGAAGGAGGCTGCAGGCGACGCCATTGCGCTTCTTGGTGGCGTATTCGAGCAAGGCATCCCAGTTTATGATTTCGAGTGAGCGGAGGGCGCGGGCTTCGAGGATGTTTTCTGAGTTGAGTGATTCTATCGAGGCCCACTTGTAACCTGAGAATGCGGGCGAGTCTTCTGGAGACTGGGGCGGGTCTGTCTGATTATTAGCTTTAACCTGCAGATTTGAGGGGATGTAGGACCAAATATACCTAGTGCAACGTCCACCATGTTTGGGAAAGTGAGTGTTGTTGCTGTTAGAGGTTTGCTCATGCAGATAGATGACGTGAGGTCACTACGTCACATGCTATGGATTCATATCATTCACCGTGACAGGACAAGGTTCCAAACTTTGGCTGGGGGTTTCAGTCTTGAAGATGTGCACAATCATTCATTGAGATCAGGGCGAATTCTGGGATCAGTGTCATTGAACTTTATCCAAACCTATCTAAGGCGTACTGCCATGGAGAGTGTCAGGTCTCAAGGATATCTATAACCGGTTGAAAGACTCCTCGAACTCCAGTAGTGATGTAGAATGATGTTGACTAGGGCCCAGTTCAATCGGTACTGGAGGATAGAGCATTCACTTCGCTGTGGATGGTCGCTCTAAGTCGTGCTCGGGAAGGTGCCACTGGACGATGCGGTGGTAACATCTTCTTTGACGTCGCTGACCTCAGATTTCTCCAGGAGACTCTTAGCAAGCTCATCGGTCACGTTGCGGTACCAGCCTCCTCTACCATACGCGAACAACGCCATCGACGTCGCCAATTCCTGTCGCTTGGTGTCCTGCAGTGCTGCAGAAAGGAGATACGTATGATTGTCCAAGGTCAGTCCCCTCTTTGCTTCCGCTCGGATGACGGCGGCGATATACTGCTTCTGATGTGCCTCTCTGAGTTTACCTTCTTCATCTAGAGGACGGACTTGCTCATCCGGGTACCCCGGTTCGCTCAAGGGTCTAGGAATGGTGTCAATGAAGTGCGGGTAATCCCCAAAAATTTCCCAGGGTGCCGCGTATGCCATCTCCCAGTCAATGACGCCCAGCACACGGTATTGCTCGCCCATGATGAGATTATTGTGGCCGCAGTCGTCGTGCCAGATTGGAAACGGGCCTTTGTCTCGGACTGAGATCTTGCTAGATAGCTCATCGATAGCAGCCTGGAATGCTGCTACTGACGCGGGTATTTCTACACTGCGTCCTCCCTTAGCTGGCCAGTCGACTAATCCCTTAGGATGTCCGAAGCGTATGTTCTTTGCCCATGCTTGGAAGAACTCAGTCGCCGTGTCGAAAGGGCCGCCAATGCGATGAATAGGTCCTTGGATGTAGGTACCATCCTCGTTCTAGCCAATCACGGTGCCGATCTTTGGTAGCAAGACGGTCGATAGGCCGACCTAACGCTTGTCAGCTTTTTTTCAATTGCGTTAAGGGGTCGAGTTCACTCACATGAACCTCGGCGACACTATCAAAGAAGGTGGCCTTTTGCTCATCTGGGAACGTGAAAAACGCCTCATTATCAAACATGTCCGATCCCACATTGCCTTCCACACACTCCATGAGGATGAAAGGAGCATGCACTCCGTGGGCATCAGTCGTTTCATGGGCGTAGACCGCAGGGACGGGGATATCGGAAGATTGCCGCATGAAGTTGAGAAAAGCGACCTCGTTGTCGAAAATTTCCTTCGCTTGATCCCACAGCATAGTGGTGCCCCCACGTGTTAAGCTATGTGGCATGCGAACACGAGCAGCCCAGCGTTTGCCATCGTTGAACTCGATGACACGGACCATGTTGTTGGCGCCCATACCAATGTCCGGCAGCAGTCTGCATTCGGCGCCATTGCGGAGCTTGGATGCGTACTCTAGCAAAGCGTCCCAGTCCGTGTTCGCGAAGGCGGCATCAGCCCGAATGCGCAGAGGCAGGCCGTCGGGGAAGCTGGAGAAGACGTTCCAGCGGAAGCCGGCAGCTGAGGTTTTTGTTCCTAGTGTAGTTTAGCTTATTTCCAGGGAAGTCACTTAAATCAAACTCACCAGTCATGATGAAGAAGCAAAGTGGTGTTGGAGGTAGGTGGTGTTGGATGTGGGTGGTCTTTCAAGGTTGTGTCGTGGAGAAGGGGAAGTGTTTTATATTTAAAAAAAAGAAAAATATGAGGACCCCAGCGATGTCACCAGTATTCAGATCATTTCTTTCACCGATGACATGGTGATAGAAGTATAATTCATATTTGTAGACCTTGGTGGAGGGCAGGTGGCTTTCACCATCACGCTTGTCACATTGCCTGATATTGTTGCGTGGAGGCGGAAATAGACATAGGCACGAGCTCATTCGCATTAATAACTCAGCACATATTCGTACACTTTTTTCTGCCACTCTTTGAGGTTCCTCGATGCATTTTTGAAATTTTGAAATCCAGAACTTGTAGCTAGAAATCCTGTAAGCTTGCCGAACCACTGCAAACAGTGACTAACAGAAGTAGAAACTTAGCTGTATTGTCTAGACTTACAGATTTCTATAAGAATGCTGGAGCACCATAAGCAGTGGCACAACAGTGTACACGCATCAGTGACGAGGCACTGAATGAAATGGAAAATGATTTAAATAGAACTCGACAGCAAGGAATACCTGAATCTTGCCGAGATTAAAACTCTCAGTGAGTTCACTGAAGTAGCCCACAAACGGGGCATACGTAGCCTCCTTGAACGTAGTTATTGTTCGTGCAATCAGGTGTCTTGCACTTCGCCAGAGGGAGAGAGGGGATAGCAGGGTCGACTCGGAGTGGCGAGACCTGAGTGCGTGGGTCGCGGGGGTCATTGGGATCGATGACGAACAGGTCGTCGGTGGGCTTGCTCGGTGTGGAGGCTTGTTGGTTTGCTCCCTTCGATCCTGCTCCGCCTGATCGTCCGCCAGCTGCTCCTCCGCTAGTTCCGCCGGATGCTCCACCGCTGGATCCACCTCCGCTGGCGCCTCCTTTGGTTTGCGTAGACATGACTACTACGAATGTGAGTCTCTAAAGAAGCTATGACAGGACTATATCCTTACCTGGTGACTGAATGTGATTTGAGAAGAGGGTAGGTGGGTTTGGTAATTTGTGTTGGTGTGCAGGCCGTAGCATCTGAACATTGATGGAACGCGAACATTATGTACATGAAAGCTCTGTTTGCTACCAGCAGTGATTGCTGTAGGTGATTGTCATGATCCAACAAATTGAAGGACATTATCCATTGTTAGTAGCTAGTACAAAGAAGTCAAATTAGGTCCAAGCTAACATGGTTGATTGTCTGAGGCTCTGGTGAGGGCTCAACGTTGATGCTGTTGAGCTGCTCCGGTTTGTGGGTGTTTGTTGTCATGTACAGCTGCCGAGGGTGAGAGGCGGCCGTTTTATAGCTCTGCTAACACAGTCAATAAGAAGAATACATCGTCGACAAGGGCTTGCCGAGCGTGTAGGCGCGGTAACTTGATGGCGAACGGGGCACGTGAAGGACGTTCAGCATCTTTGACCGAGCTGGGGCCCCGAGAATATACGTACCAAAACATAGGTTTAGGCACTTTTTGCGACTGTTCGTGGTGCCCCGACAGGCATTAGAAACTCCAAATACGATGTAAAGGTCACCGCAGTGGAAACTAGACTACCTTTTGACCAGCGTGGTTAGTAAACCGTCCGATTGATTACCGGCCTTAAGATTGGATTAGACTGTTCAGACCAAGATAGGGATTAGATTGGATTGGCCGGATAAAAGTGCGGATTGATTGGACGGATTGAGAGATCTCTAGCCAAAACCTCAAAAAGAGTATAAATTTTTCTACTTTAGGCTAAGCGAGAGACAATTGGAGCGGATTAGACGGATTGAAGGTTGACAAAACTTTGGATTGATTGATTGGACTGTTCAGTGTATGTTCTAACAAATCGGCCATCAAACCGATTGAGGATTGGACGGTTTACTAACCACGCTGCTTTTGACTGATTGAAGACGTGTTACTTGGGGCACTCCTCACAGTGGTATCGAGAGAACAAGAGCGAAGTCAGAGCAGGGGATATCTGGGTGCCCAAGCTGATCACGAAATACCGTATGTCAACGTGGATACACCCAAGCTCCGTTAAATATGAACATGAAGCAGCAGCTCACCACCGTCTGGTGTGTGGCCCGGAGAACTATCAGGCTTGTCAAAACCGGCACCTTACCGGTCTTGAGAACCTACCAGGGGACCCCAAGCGGTGCCAGGCAAGTGTACACAGACACAGAAAGAGTGTACCTCATGGAACGAAATTTTATATCGGAACCTCGGATTCGTGGGCTGTCGAATTGCTGTTCCAGGGAACTTGACACTACCGTACCATATATCTGTGTACACTCACCTGCTGCTCCCTGAGGTGGCTTAACGAGTTTACTGGTTGCGCAAAGCAAGAGCATCACCATTTCACTCAGGTCTGTGAACCACCTCAGGAGGCAACAGGCAGGCGTACACAGATATATCACGAGGTCTTCTGAAAGAGAGTGACAATGAGATAAGATTCGAAAGTTTACTGATCACTACATAGTCTAGAGATGGAAGATTTTATGAGGAGAATTTCGAATTTTCGAATGTTTACCAATAAACCCTGCTCTTAGTCCGCACGATTCAATCGCATGTACTCATCGCCCTCAAAGCTGCTTGGGAAAGTCAGTGAACTCCAGGAGCTGATCGATAACATCCGTGACCATTTCCTCAATCGGTCTGAGGCTCTTTAAACCAAGGATGTCCGCTGCTCGGCTCGTATCGTAGGAGCCCGCTGTAGGCTTGTCCTCCTCGAGCTTAGAACCAATCTGAGGATACTTCCGTCGAGTAAACTCGGCTATATCTTCCCATTTGAACGATGGGGCAGCGACTATGAACTTCGCAATGCCTCCAGTCCAGCTACTTGGATCCGTGTAGGGGTCTTTCTCGGCTGCGAACTCGAGTGCCTTAAGGTGCGCTTCAGTAACATCGAGAACGTGGACGGCACGACTTCCTACGAGAGGCTGAGGTGATTGGAGAGAATGCCAGAGGAAGCCATTGGTTCCAGAAAGCTCAGAGAAGGATGTTTGGAGGATGTTGCGGCCGTAGATAAACGTGGGATGGATGGTTACGGTAGAGTACTTTGGCTTTCTGGCTTTCACGAAGTCGGTGGTTGCCTGGTCAGCGAGGATCTTGGATGCGAAATACGCTTCTTCATAGCTGGTGAGTTTGTGATCGGGAGATATGTGGATGTTGGCGCCGCTTTGTTCTATGATCTAGTTAGCATCGATGAGGCGTATGCTGAGTCGAAGTACGCACCAGACTCTACAGTGCCATCAGGAACGCCTTCCAATGGTCGCAGTGCAGCAACGGAAGACGTGATCACGACTCTCTTGACGGAGGGGTACTTGGTGGCTGCATCCAGGATGGTTGTAACGCCCTTGACGGCTGGCTCGATGTACACAGCCTTGAAGTCAGTGTCGGCGCCCTTTGAAGGTTAGCACTACCGCTATAGCTCATTCAGAGACATCTTACATGACTAGGAGACGCCAAAGGCGAAGCTACGTGGAAGATGTAATCGACACCATGCAGGACAGCATCATATGCCCCTTCTTGGGTCATATCGGGGATGGTAGCGAATTCAACTCGGTCTCCATAGCTGGGGCGGAAGAAAGCTTCTAGACTCTCGACCTGAGCTTGTCGACGGACTGTACCACGAACACGGTAGCCTGCCTTTAGTGTCTCGTTGACCAATTGGGCGCCTAGGAAGCCAGAGGCACCAGTGATCTGAACTATCGTTAGCTTCACGCTTGGAGGGAGCTTGCTGTTCGTACCAAGACTAGCTCTCCAGCCATCTTGAAGGTTTAGCTAGTGCTTGAAGCGCAAGGGCGTAGGTTACGATGCTTCGGACGATGAATGAATCTTAGCAACGGGGTCTCTCCGTCTTTGGAGCTGCAGTGTAGATTTGATAACGATCTGGTTCTTGCTGAGTAGCCGCAGAGAGTTTTATGGCATTGAAAAGACAGAGAGAAAGAGCACTATATATATCCGCTCACACAGCATAGAAAATACACGCTGTATGCCTTGTGTTGACGCCATCCTGCAAAGTATCAGTAATACAATAATGCCGAGGGCTTCGCATCAAAAGAAACGTGTTGAATCTGGCGTAGATAGGCTTGGTCATCGTTCTGGGTGGCCTGATAGTAATCTATAAGCTCCTGCATTAACAATAGGGACCTAGGCCGCTCAACCATCGTGTACTGGTGGTGTTGGCATGTCGTCTCCTCGGATGGACGTGGGCCGGCGCGATCACGTGTCAGCGATTTCAGCCACGGTCTGGCCGCGTCCAAGGTCCTTCAGCCCTGTGTCTCACCCCCAAGACGGCCAAGAAAGGACAAGCATCGATCCAGCATCAACACATCTCCATCCATTCAGCCTCCGATTTCATCTCGTCGATGCTGCCGCTACCATTGCCAGTACGACATGCCTAGCCGCCCTTCACTGCAGGACCAGTGATGGACCCGAGAGCCATGGCGGGCGACGAGCCCTACCGGAGGCAGTTATGGAACGCTGTCGCCGCGACGTCCACCAAGCCCTACGAAGTGTGTATAGTAATCCCGCGAGCGTGGAACAATGTGCTAACAGTTGGCAGCACTGTCAACCCTATACCCTCCCATCCTTAGGCGTGATTGAGATCAACCCCGACTTCACCGTGACCCTCACTGCCAACGCCGTTTTCACGCCAGAATGCACGTCTGGCGCTCCCTCCGAGGCCACTGCCGGAATCGGGCCAGGCAGTGCCGCTGACATGCGGGATCCCTTTCACGCCTCTATCACCCCTCAAGCATACGCGACCGGCGCGGCCACAGTAATCGCGTGGATGTTGGTCATAATGCTGCTCATCACCCCGCGGACGTTCTTTGCTGGCACAGGAGGCCGCTCAGGGCTCATGGGACGACGCGGAATGATAAGCGGAGCAAGTGGTGGTGGATCAGTCATTGGTGTTGGCACACGTCCGTGGCTGCAGAAAGTTGCGACATTGACGGTTGCCATATCGTTGACCTTGGCCACTGCCGACACCTTCAGGATTGCAGAACGGCAGTACGAGGCCGGATACATGGACGCCATGGCCCTGCGCGATGAAGTAGTCGGCGGGATGGAGATCAAGGTCTCCAGAGTGATATCCGACATCTTTCTATGGCTCGCCCAGGTTCAAACTCTCATTCGGCTTTTTCCCCGCCACAAGGAGAAGGTCATCATCAAATGGACTGGATTTGCTCTTATCATGTTGGATATCGCCTTCAGTTGTTTGAATAGTTTTATGGGGAGTTCGGCTGGTCGACCCCGCCGTTTCGTGGACGCCATACCGGCACTCAGCTACTTGTTCCAGCTCGCTCTGAGCATGCTCTACGCCGCCTGGGTTATGTATTATTCCATCACCAAACGACGATACGCCTTTTACCATTCCATGATGTGGAATATCACGCTAATCGCGCTCTTATCATTTATTGCCATTCTCACTCCTGTGGTTTTCTTCATTACCGACATATCCAATTACACCGTCGCCGGGTGGGGCGATTACTTCCGTTGGGTGGGCGCTGCAGCTGCTAGCGTCATTGTATGGGAATGGGTAGAGCGCATTGAAGCTCTAGAAAGAGAAGAAAAGAAAGACGGAATCTTGGGACGAGAAATATTTGATGGTGATGAGATGCTAGAAACCACGCCCACTGATGACGTCCACTGGCCTCGAAACGGACGGAACGATGAAAACGATGGTTCTGGAGGTGAAAAGGGCCTCCGAGGTGGGGTCCTCGCCTCAGCCTTCAGTGGCCATGGTTTGAGCGAAATGGCACATCGCTTGGCTCGAACGGGACAGTCGAAGAAGGACAACGTAATCGTTGCTCCCCTTGGTCGAAAACACGCGCCGCCAACCATGAATGAAAAGCAACCATCACAAACACAGACAGAAACTGGCTCGGCAACATACGCTCCCGTGGCTACGCCTCCACCTGCGATAGTGTCGCCAATAAGCAGGACAGACACAACCAGCGCTGCTAGTACAGTCTACACAGTGCGGTACCATCCCGTCAGCGACTCACCTCCTAATATTGGGAGGATCATCTCGGCAGACCCAGAGCAGACATTGAATATCAACACGGCAGTATCTCCACAAAGGTCATCTGATCCATTAATACATGATGACCAAACAGAGACCGAGACTGAGCAGATAGCAAATGAACGGATCCGATCCCGTTGGCAAGCCGTTCCAAATCCATTCAAGCGGCGGCGAGCATCTCCACCTCCTGAGCTACAGCGAGGGAGAGTCATCGATCCTCTCACCGTGGACGATGTTTCTGCAACTATACCACCGCAAAAAGAATCTCGGCGTGGTCTGAAGTCGAGACTCGGAGCATTCGCAGCGGAACAAGGCGACAGGATTCGAGAACGAGGAAATAGTCGGCAGGTGGAGCCGAACTTGCCTGTCACTATCATCCCAGCTCAACCCCGTGGTCGTACTTGGTCTCCTGAGATTCTAATACAAATGGGCCAAAGTCCGACAGAGTCCTCGTCGACCCCTATCATACCGTCTCAGAACGTCACTGGGTCCACGGAGACAGCACCATCTGTCGCTCTACAAACGACATCGACGGAAAATACCTCCGCGCCGAGAATCAGATTTACGCCGGAGACATGGCAGAAGCCATCGACAAGACAATCAGACCTCGACAGGACTCTAGCGTCTAGCCCCCCCACATCTTCACGGCCAGCTCAAGGCATCTTTCAACGGAATCCACCCAGTAACGATACCCTATCTCCTTGAACTTTCTCAGTATCACGACGGCGCATTATGGCTCTGGATCGGGCTCGTTTGGCTTCAATCGGCGCATCTAGCGGAGAGGAACAAAAAGCCCAGGCATTGTTAGATGGCAGGGATTAGCATTGCATGATACTTGCATTGGCGCTTTTGGTTGCTTTTTGATACCCTGTGGATGATACCGGTGTATCTAGGGGAGTGTTCTTGATAAATACATAGTTTCCGTTTAATTGAATTGCATCCCGTCTTTATTTTGAAGACCGACGAAGAATAACGACTGTCCTACACATACAGCCCATGACGTGAGGCGAGGTCCACTTGAGATGAATGCCAAGTTGTGTTTATCGAAGCTTGGACCGCGGCCTAGTGGTTCCTTGCGAGCTGCTCCCGCCGCATATCCTCCGTCTTGCTGAACGGCGACGCTCACGATGCTTCAGCCGCCATCCATCGTCCTCCTGTACCTCTCTCGTCTCTAACCGCATCGCGATTGATACCCGTACCCTCTGCCTCGAACCCTAGCGCAACCCAGACTCTCGCCGTGATGTCGCTCTTCGGCGATGACGATCTGCCTGCGCGGCCAAAACAGTCCACTCTCTTCGATGACGAGCCGAAACCAGCAGCCAGGTCAGGCTCGAGCCTGTTCACAGATGACTTCAACGATGCCGGCGACTCTCCCTGGGGCCTTCCGACGCCCAAGAAGGCAGCGCGCGGGAATCTGGTGAAGACGCTGCTGGGAAGTGGGGACGTGCCAGAGAGCTATGTCGATGCATTCGATGCGCTGATTGCATCTGGCGACCGTACAGGAAGCGGAGTGAGCCTCGCTGGAGTGAAGAAGCTGTTGGCAGACAGCGGACTGCCGGCCGACGTTCAGGCCACCATCGTGGGCATCGTGGCCCAACCGGGACAGGACTCGACTGCTGGATTCGGCAGGGGCGAGTTCAATGTCTTGCTCGCCCTCATTGGCCTGGCGCAGGAAGGCGAGGATGTGACACTGGACAGCGTGGATGATCATAGACGACGTAGGTCCCAGCTCTCAAACGCCTTCACCCAGCTGCAGCAGTACCCTCCTAACAGCCCGAAGACCTCCCAGAACCCTCGATCAAACTACCCACGCCTCCACAAGTTGCGAAACCAACGACTCCTCTACCTCCCCATACTCCTGCTACGCCTCGAAGCCAGCCGGCAGCAACCCCGAGTCAGCCACGTGCTATGCGCAAGGAATCATTCGGATTCCCGGAAGCGGATCCGTGGTCAAGTCCAGCTCTACACCGAGGCCATGAGCATATTGTGGAACCTGGTGCGCCTCCAATCAACGGGGCGACTTTATCAAGCGCCGGGATGCCAGGACGAACAACAAGCGCCTTCACAACGGCGTCTGACAATACCAGCTCCCCCCCTCCAAGCAACCATATAGGAGAGCGACCAACTACAGGTGGAACAGCTGGCTGGGGAGCATACAATGGGTCTTCACACGATGGGTTCTCTGGTGCAGGACTAGGAGATGGGTTTGGAAACGAGGGAGGAGACGAGGCCAATCGCAATCCGGGTGGCTTGGGAAGATCCCTAGGAGGAGGCCGGGTTGCAGGCAGTGGCGTAGAAGAAGTTATCACCGTGACGGCGATTGCTGAAAAAGAGGGCATGTTTTTATTCCAGCATCGAAACTACGAAGTTACCAGCGCCCGCCGCAACAGCAAGGTTATACGAAGATACAGCGATTTTGTATGGCTGTTGGATTGTCTACACAAGAGGTATCCGTTCCGACAGCTTCCGCTACTACCACCGAAACGCGTTGCCAGTAAGTCTCCTATGGCCTGTTTCTGCGTCACGAATTGATGGTTTCTTAGTCAACGGAAACTACTTAGCTGCAGATGCTTCGTTTGTCGAGAAGCGACGTCGTGGCCTGGCGCGGTTTGCAAACGCTCTTGTCCGCCATCCAGTACTCTCGCAGGAGCAGCTAGTTGTGATGTTCCTCACAGTACCAACGGTAGAAGTCCGCTTTATGATCTGTGCTTTGAGACCTCATGCTAACGGTTGGTGTAGGAGTTGGCTGTATGGCGTAAACAAGCTACGATATCTGTCCAGGAAGAATTTACTGGAAAATCTCTGCCGCCTAGCCTGGAAGACTCTCTTCCTCAGAACCTACAGGATCTGTTTGACCAAGTACGATCGGGCGTCAGGAGATCCGCAGAGACATACATCAATCTGTGTAACCTCATGGAGCGGCTCTGCAAGCGTAACGAAGGGCTGGCGGCTGAATACCTTCGATTCTCCCTCGCCCTACAAACCCTGACCGAGGCATCATCGGACACATACGCTGTTGATGCCAACGACGTTCCTATGCTCAACGAAGGCTTGAACTCTACGGCGAAGCATCTCTCAGCAAGCCAGGCCTTACTGGAAGATGAGGGTCGGGCTTGGGACGAAGGCGTCTTGGAGGATCTGAAAAGGCAAAGGGACTGCCTTGTCAGCATGCGGGACCTGTTTGATCGGCGAGACCGCTACGCCAAGGACAACATTCCTCAGCTGGAGAAGAGGATACAGAACAACGAAAACAAGTTGCAGGCCATCAGAAACAAGCCGGAGGCTTTGCAGAAGCCTAATGAGGCGGAGAAGGTTGAGGAGGCTATTGTACGAGTGAGTTTGCCGATATCGCCAATGTCTGGAACACAGCTAATGAATATCAGGACAAACAATCAATCGTCGCCCAACACGCCCGCGGCGTCTTCATCAAAGAATGCGTGCGAGACGAACTCCTCTTCTTCCAGCATTCGCAGTATCATATCAGCAGGCTACACCAAGATTGGAGCCAGGAGCGCGTAAAGTACGCGGAGCTGCAGGCGGATAATTGGAGGGGGTTGAGTGAGGAGGTTGAGAGCATGCCTATTGGAGACTAGACGGCGGCAGTTGTAATCTTCGGCGTCTGTAATTTCTAGCTTGGGGTATATCGGAAGTCTGCTCTTAGGTTTCATCTCTAGCTCTCTCGGCGGCTCAGATGACTGTACAGTTCGAGGTGCGCGCAGCAGTTTTGGGGGTTTGCGTGCATATTTGTAGTCGATATTCCGGGGAGGTCTACTGTCTCGTAAGAAGCAAATTGAGGTCCTAAACCATGAAGCTGTTGCTCCAGTACATGGTTATAACATGGCTATAGATATCCGCAAGGCGCCACAAGCGGTGGCAGAAAGAGACACGGTCTGATCGGGAAGCCGCGTCTGGCCTTCACCAGAGGCATCTCCGACCTTCACCTGGCGGCGCCCGAGCGTTGAGTCCAACGATGAATCTCTTGCGCCGCGCCCTCTCACTCCTCACACCCGCTTCGGGCACCGCATCTGCTGCCTCCACCACGATGCCGCCCAAACGCAAGGCGAAGGCTGTCGAGCCCGCTACCGAGAAAGTCGAAGACACGAAGCCGAAGAGAGCTCGCAAGGCCAAAGCAGAGCCCAAGACGACGGTGACGGCCAAACCACCTCCCAAGACGACGGCCAAAGCGAAGCCCAAAGCTGCGCCGAAATCGAGTCTCAAAGTGACAGCCAAACAACGGCCGGCCGCAGAGGAGAGTAAGTCGCGTTTATATCGGCGTCAGCCTTGCCCAGCACTACCTAACGTTACCCCCACGCCGCCACGGCGACGCATGTGTGCCTGAGGCCGAAACAAACCCCTCCACTGTCTTGGGTGGTGCCTTACGTGCGCGAGTCACCTCCGTTCGACCTCCGCACGACCTCCGCTACACCTCTTCCTTCTGCACCCACAGTGCTATTCTAACACCTACAATCCCACCCTATCTGCACCTCCTTTGAATCCCTCTCCTTCGACTCCACCTGCGTATACCCACGACACGGTGCTAACGCGGCATAGCGATGCCTCCAGCCTATACTGCCACGCAGAAGAGTGCCATCACTCAATTCATGAGCTTTACCTCGTCGGACCGCAATACAGCTGTAAAGGTGAGTTGGCAGCCTCGAATCCCCGCATTTTTACACGCTTTTGCTCCCCAGGGTGGTTATCCCACGGACTGCGACCCAGGCATACCCTGCTGATTGAGTATTGGCTGACCTGGTATTGAATATAGCACCTCAAACTACACAACTGGAATTCAGAGCAAGCCGTCAATGGGTAAGTCGTTTTCCTACATTGCCTGTTTTCGCCGAGCCCGTCCGCCGAACCTTCCACCATATACCATCCGGAATGACGACCGAGGACCCGGCCATATACGAGGAGGAAGCTGCGAATACCCTGGGATAGACCTACACACGTGGACCGGCGAAGAAGGAGGCGAATGCTGTCGGAAATGCATCAAAGAAGCGCTGAATGCCGCTGGGAAACCTCGTGCTGGGACCTTCAGGACGCAATTTCATGCATTCCAGAGCTCTGGGCCACGATATGCATTTTCCATGTATTCCAGGTCTGAGATCGACGGACACGATTTTCGAAAACACATTAAAAATGGTCGAGACGTTGCGACCTGTGGGCTGATACACGATTGCCTGCGGAGTCTTGGAGACAATGACTTCACGTGGGACCTGCCTTCCGCAACTACCCCGAGCACGTAGAGATAGGAGCGGTCGGCCACGTACTTCCTCGCATCTCTGAGGATCAATCGATCGATCTCTCTCAGTCTCTTCCAGCTCACACGTCACCAACGCTTTCTTGCAACCATCTTACTTCCGTCCTCACCATTCAATTCTCTACAACTCGCATACACCATGTTCCCGAATGGATCTTGGTCCTCTAATCAGGCCAGACAAGACGGAACAGACGAGCAGCAAGAACCCCCACCATTGGACATCCAAGTGAAAATCTACGAGGAGATGATGTACCCCAATCAGGTGGAACATCACCCCCCTGCACAGAAGGCCGCCGTCTGGAGACAGAAGTACGCAACCGCCGAACAAGCCCAATTCCGCAGTCAAGGCATCCAGAACAACTACCATTTCAGCCAACTGTTCAATGATCAGTAAGTTTCGCTCCGACCTGAGGGAGAACCACATACTCAAGGCCATGTCCTGGAACTCGACTTCCGTATCCTGGACGGCCTTTCTCTCGTGTCACCAGGGGTGCTCCAAAGTCTCAGGCCCGCCAGCAGTCCATTAATCACCCACCACCAATCCAGCACGCTAAGAACACAGAACTGGATTCACCAGGAAAGCCGCGTATCTCCTGTGTCTATTCACCCTCCTCATACGAGTGAATTTCGAGGCCTCGATCTTCACTTGCAGCCGCGGCTGAATCCGGAAACACTGGTGCCTGGAGAATGCCGACACCTTCAAAACCCCGCGGACGGACCTCTGGATTCATTCCTCTCCAAACACCACAACACACACTTGACACACCTGTTACTTTGCTAACCACAATGTCTCGTGCCAGGTATTTCTCAGGCGGTGGAGCAGCATCCGCTCCTTCAGGTTCGTCAAAGTCAGGCTTGAACAAGGTGTTCGACAAATATCGAGGTACGCTTAAGCTTAACTCTTGAATACCTCCACCTTACTGACTATTTCTAGATGACAAGACCACTCCTGATACCATCGGCGTCACTGGTATGATGTCCTACCTCAACGACATCAAGGTCGAACTCGAAGACATCGGAATGCTGGCTGTGTCGGAAATCATCCAATGCCCCACAATGGGCGAGATGACTCGAGAAGGCTTCACCGAGGGCTGGTCGGCATACAAGTACGTCACCTTCCCACAAAATCTCGTATCATCACTAACGCTTCATCTAGCTGCGACACTGTTGACAAGCAAAAATCCCACATGAAAAACCTCCTCAAGACCCTCCCATCCAACAAAGACACATTCACACGCATCTACAAGTACACCTACAACATCGGCCGCACCGGCAACCAGAAATCCGTCCAGCTCGACACGGCCATCGAGTACTGGAAAGTCCTCTTCGGCTCCGCGTCCTCTCCGGTGCGATGGAACTCCCATGCGAACCCGTGGCTCGATTGGTGGGTTGAGTTTCTCACGACGAAATGGAAGAAGAGCGTCAATAAAGATGTGTGGAACGAGACGCTGAAGTTCGCGAACATGACGCTGGAGGATGAGAGTCTGGGGTTCTGGACTGAGGAGAGCAGTTGGCCGAGTGTGGTGGATGAGTTTGTGGAGTGGGTCAAGGAGAAGAGGGGTGGGGATGAAGGGGAGGCGATGGAGGTGGAGTAGATTGGTGCTTCGTTGGTGATGGGCATGGGATTTATGGGGTTCTTTGCATGGTTCTTCGGCATGATTATCTAGCTCAGGACGGAGTATGGATGGCATACTTGGCTGGCTGGCTGATCGAGTGGGTGCGGGCTGGGATGATGATGGCATTTTATGGTGGTAGGACGATATCACAATCACAACATTTCTAGGTTGGAATTAATACCATTCGACGTACTTCAATGCAATTTGAAGAAACTGATTACCAGCCTGTGGACGGACGCAGTTCTTCCCAGTACAACACCTCCCAGTGCCGCATTTCCGGTTCCGGTGTCGTGATGATGATGCTATGGAGGTCGTAGGGGCAGGTGGTAGCAAGAAGGGAGGGGATTTCGATGAACGAGTAATTAAGGAATACGAATTGCATGTTGAGCTAGCTACTTTGCATTTACTGGGTAACTTCGATGGTCTTATAGTATTGACATCAAAATAATGAGCAAGACGTGCCGGGCTAAGTTAAGACAAGTCTCTGAATGGTATATCGTCTTCGTCCCTAATCTCCAAGAAATATCCACAGAATTGAATTAAAAAATCCCAAAAAAAATTCAAGGGACTGTCTCTTCCCCCCTCTGTCTATTCTGCTCCACCTCACCCCGAACAAACACTCACAGCCAATCCTCCGCCTGACACCGCACTCCCCACCGGCTGCACCGCGCCCGGCACCGGCACGTAATACGCCTCGGCCGCGCAGTAGCTGCCGGGCGCGCACCTCATCACATCCCCGCCGGCTGCCCACATCTTCAGCCCGCTCTCCCATCCCGCACACTGGCTCACATCGCGCCCCGCGGCGCAGTTGATCAGCGAGATGTCGTACCACAGCCGCCCGCCGGCGATGGAGTACTCGAACTACGTCACGGCGGCGGGCGTGTTGGGGCGAGCGAGTTTGAGGCTGACGCCGCAGCCGGCGCAGAGGCTGACGCCGCAGCCGGCGCAGGGGCTGCGCAGGGGCTCGGTGTGGGTGCTGCCGGCGGGGAGGGTGATGGGGGCGGGGGAGGCGGTTTGGGAGATTGAGGAGAGGAGGGGGTAGGGGCAGTGGTTTGTTATCGTGGCGGTGTTGGGGCTTAGTTGGGCGGATTGGGGGAGGGCGAGGGTGGTGGGGAGGCGGGTGAGGAGGAGGGTAAGGGAGAAGTAGGCGAAAAGCATGCTGTGGGTAGTTGGTGGATGAGGGTGAGGCAGGGAGGTGTGGGGATGGAGGTGGAGAGGATGTGGGTGATTAGGGTTGTGATGCGGAGGTGGGTGAGGGATGGGATCATGGTATGGTGGCCGATGGCTAATCGAGGGGTGGTGGTGGATGGGGGTTTATATTAAAAGTCGAGGCGTCAATGCCTGAGTGTGGCGTGTGAGTATAGCATTGAGAGAGGAGAGTGGGGTTCTCTGTTCTTAGGATTCCTCTCAAAGAGACGGGGATTCGTTTAAGCTAGCTTCTTTGTCGTCGATTCTCGGTCAAAGGGTTTGATGTCTTTGTTTTCTTATTGAAGTTTGCGGCGTGTGTAACGTGAGAATGACGAACGCCCATGAATTGTGTAATGGGATTGTATCCATAGCTTTCTGTTGCAATGTATGGCAGTTGGTCTTGTGCCGTGACATTCGTTCTTTGAGAACCTGTGGTTCAAGTGTATGAGGCGGTTTTCGTTGCAATAACAATAAGGAGACTCGTTACTGGACACTGAAACGATCTGAGACATATTCGTGGGTTTCTGAATGAGCTCAGTCATGATCTACTGAAAGACAGTGATATTGTGAGCGGAAGGGATGCATAACTTACCAATGATGTCTTGTAGGAGCTATGAACCGCCCTTGAGAGAAGAGGCGCAATACAAATGATACGACTGGAAGATGGGATGAAGGATGACACTCTATTTATAAACGCAGGCTATACAGCAATGGAATCATCAGAATAATCATAAGGGGTTCCCAGGACTCCAGCCGCTGTAATCTAATCTAATCTCGCACCTCTAGAAGAGCTTCTGGCCTTCTGGCCCTCTGTGTCTTGCTTCGGGTCTCCATCCGTCACGCTCTCTTCATCATAATCGTCCTCGTCGCTATCCTGGCTATACGCCACGCTCATATTGCGGATCTCGTCCCCAACCTCCAACCACTTCTTTTTGCACGCTGGGACGGGGAAGAACTTGCACAGCAGCCAGTACGTCACGCTCGCAACAATAAATCCACCGAAAAAGTTGAGGTTGTAGATGTACGTCGCGCCAGCAGGGACCTTGCGACCGACAGCACCAGCGAAACCGACGACGTTGATGAGGATACCGGCGAAGTAAGCAGCGTATCCGCGCCAGTGCACGCCGTAACTGAAGTAGTAGGGGTCGGTCTTATTGCCAGAGTAGAGATTCTTGACCTCGAGGTAGCCTTTGCGGACGACGTAGTAGTCGCAGACGATGACGCCGGCGATGGAGGAGAGGAAGACGGAGTAGGAGGAGAGGTAAGTGAGGAAGGAGTTTGAGGACTTGAGCAATTTCCAGGGGCAAATGACGAGGCCAACGAGGGCGCAGATGTAGCCGCCGCGGCGGATGTTGAGGTAGCGAGGGAGGAGGGCGGTCATGTCAGTGCCAGCAGAGACGGAGTTGGCAGCGATATTCGTGCCGAGCTGGGCAAGGGTAAAGGCGGCAGCGATGATAAAGACGCCGAAGCGCTGGCCGGATCCGCCTTCTTGGAGGAATTGCTCGAGGAGGTCGAGGGGGTTCCAGATCGGCTCGCCTCCGAAGATGACGGTGGAGGATGATCCGACGATGATTCCGATGAAGGAGGTCACGGCGAAACCGACGGGGATAGTGATAAGCTGCGACCAGAGCGCGTCCCTGGGCTTGTGGGCGAAACGAGCGAAATCGGGATCGTTGACAATGAGCGTGGCGAAGTTGGCGATGGAGCTCATGATTCCCTTGACCATTTGCCATCCGAGGTCGCTTCCGTGAGCAGTGCTTCCCTGGTGGACGATTGGGCCAAAGCCTTTAGCACGAACAACGGCCCAGATGAAGAAGGCCAAGCCAGCGATGGGAACGAAGTAGGCTTTGACGGTGAACAGATGCCTGATCTTCTCGACGGGGAACCAGATGGCGGGCAAGCTGCCAGCCCAGAAAAAGAGAAAGCTAACGAACATGACTGTGTTAGTGCCAGAGGCAGGGATGCCGTTGTGGATGTTGTCCTGATGACATTATCAGCACTCGTTATCAGTGCATCTCGCAGGGGGTTTCTTACGGGTCTCCAGTTGTTCCAGATGGCGCGGATCATAAGATATACGCAGTGGCCTCCGATCCAAGACTGCACGCCATACCAAATACAGGCCATGGCAGCACGGTTAAAGATAGGCCAGAGAGCACCCCAGATACCGAAGGACGACCGAGCGACGACGGGGAAACTGATGTGATAGGTGGCACCGATATGACCGGTGCTGCAGACAAAGCATGCAGCAATAGCATAGCCAATCCAGACACAGATCCATGACTGCCACCACGAAAGACCGGCTACGATCATGGAGGAGGAAATCATCCAGGTGTTGATGTTGAAGGAATCGGCTATGAAAGGGTTAGCTCGACTCTCAACGAACTAGGAGGTGTGATGTCACATACCAATCCAGAAGCACACAAAGTTCCAGGCTCCCCATTGACGACGTTCGGGCTCAACGGGCTTCAAGTCGTGATTGAACAGCATGAGCTGGGCATTGGTGAGGCCGGACTCATTCTCGACAGCGATTTTGTTGAGGAAGTGGCCGACCTTGGAGGTGCGGACTTTCTCCATGATGAAGTCGATGATAGAATCTTCGTCGGAGGGTGGAAAGCGTGCTGCTGGACGGGGTGATCGGGAGGAAGATGCTTCTGAATAGACATTTGCGATGCTGTGACGTGGAGAAGATATAGACGAAGACGGGTTGCTGAGCAGCGCCTGGCGCTCGTGAGGATCCGTGGTACTAGGAAATGCTTCAGGACCCCGGTTGGAGTCGACTGAAGCCGGACTTGGAGGACAGGATGGATAGTCGGTAAGTGCGATGCTAAACTGTTCGTCGTGGGGAGGGAGTGGCATGCTATATAATGTGGGAAGCACCACTCACGACCAGGTTTCGTAGGGCTATTCACATCGGCGGCGTGGTTTGCATCGGCCCAGGCCGATTACGGACCTCTGTGGTGGACAGCCTTATCGGGCTCAGCTGGACGTTATCGGCGTAAGGGTGTCAAGCTTCTCGGCTCTGCTACAGGGTGTTGGACGCATCGCCATCAGACTTTTTCGGCTGAGGCCGTTCGGGTCAGGTGTGTGGACGCTGCGGCGACCGTGGGCGCGCTATTAAGCAGCTGTGTGAGAGTGAGTCCGGTGTCCAGGCATGCACCAGGCGAAGTGCTTGACCACGGAGGCCAACAACAGGGGGGATGATGAGCGTCGCGTTCTTGGCTGCCGGTGGTTTGCAGGAGGCTGGCTCTCACGCTCTGCAGCTGCGGATAGATCCAGATAGTCAGTTGACTCGATAGGAACTGCTAACACACCCAAACGTGACAGCAGTCGGTCCTCTCTATCTGTCGGTATCGCATGCACCGGCCACAAGGTTGCTTTTCGCAAAATGCTTCATGCTGGCCCCCAGCAGACGGCTGGCGCCATCGCTAATCTGGCATCGTGTGGTCTCGGTGGCACGTGGGTGGTCAGCCGCTGAGGATAAGGTGTGGGGAAGCGGGAGCGGCTCGGGGATTGCTCGATGAGATCGAGTAACAGCTCGCTGGGGAGAGAGATAAAGGGCGCATGGTTAGCGTTCATATCTCGCGTAAACATCCGTGGATCGCGTGGTGCCCGTTTGGCAGGTCCCCGGCCGTCACCCTGAACAACATTTCCGCGTACCTGCTTCCCCATTCCTCCCGAACCACCATCGCATGCCACACGACTAAGTTTCACAGGTCAGCATGTACATCCCACTTTTAACTGTCAGTCCGAAAGGCCGGGTCGCATGGCCCTTTGAGGCCCGTGGCGTTGACGTCGCCTCGCTCGCTCACCACAGTTCCTTCTCTGTCCTGTCCGGGTCATCGCTGCCACCCTCTGCATCGCTTCAGCCATCTCATTTTCCTGCAGCTTTTGTTGTCATCTTCACTGCCCATATGGTCTGTGACACTCGCTACACACTTCCAGAATCAGTGCGTGTTTCGGACTTTCAACCTTTCGCTTTTTCTCTGAGTCTTCGGATTTGTTCCAGATCATCAGCCTGGCTGGAATACCCGCTCCAAATCCGCGTCCCATGACTGGATTGCCACAACGTCTTTCCCTCGTGCCATGCAACATGCTTTTCGACCCGCAGGGACTGCCTGGCAGGTTGGTCATGTCGAGCTCTAGGGACTCTTCAAACGCCCTGGAAACGCGAGATCAGAAGGTAAACCCAGACTTCTTCTAGGTTGCATCGCTACAACAGTAGTCGATTTCGTGCAGAGTCGTCTCCGCCACAGGGGAGGCTAGGATACGTACCCCATATCAGACCGAGTTCTAGGTTTGCTGTGACCTTTCCCGGTCGTGGACCAAGAGCATCAAGTTCTAATTCTAGTTAACCTTCTGCGAATTTAGTACTCCTCGGAATATCCTAGACGTTCATCAGCTAGCAGCTGTCGAGATCGGGGCCGGATGGTGGCAAGTAAACGGTGATGTGTCTTCCTGCGTTCAAGTGATGCTGTACTTTTCATGTTCACGGATATTTCAAGCAGATGCACCCGACTGGATGTGAGGATGGCCGAAAAGCGAGCTGGAATACTAATTGACAGACAACGTCATTCAGGGCGTTTGCGATCTCCGTTGGATTGTGGCTGAAGAAATGAGTATGACTGCAAACATTCGCGAAACTGAAACACATTCGAAAACCCAAAGTGAATGATGAGTATTGTTGCGAGGATTCGCTTGCCTCTAATGATTTAGCGCCGTACTATCTCGTCTCAAACCCTCCCTCTTCCTAGCTTTCTAGCACTACTCGACGTCGGCGAATGCGACTGGAGTTACGAGATTGGTTCGAGCAAGACCGGCGACGTTGAAGGGCCCAGGCGAGATATTGCGGCGGTGAAAAGCCAAGCGAAACAGATCCAGGGAAGTAGAAGCAGACTGATTTATCGATCATTCGCATTCGAATCTGCAAAAGTTGTACCGAGGTACTCGGCTTCCGAGAGAGCGAGCCGGAGCCTTGTTGCTGGCAAATTGGCGCGAATCTTCTCCATCGTCTTCATATCTTCTGCTGGCAGCCTGATCAGGTGAATTCGGAATCGGCGTGGACGCTGAAAGGTTGATTAACTTTGGTAAGGATGAAGACAAGGTAAGTTTCTGCTTTGAAGGAGAGTACGGCGCAGGATATGCCGAGGGAAGTCTTTGGAGCTGTTCCGGTGAAGCAGACGATGAGGGAGTTTGCTGGGAGCATAGGCATAACGCAACCGCGCTCTAACGACGCACCTAGCGGGGTTCTTCTTCCCCCCCGATCTCCTGCTTGACGCGCCACACGTCCTTTCGCCGATTCAGAGAAGCCGTCATTCTCGTCAGGCCAAGAAAAGCTATCATTTCATCAGACAAAGATTCGAGCTTGCTGTCGCAGCTGTGCTTGATCAGGTTTCTGGCCGGAACGACCCCGAGATTTTCGTCCAACGATCAAGAAGAACAAACTTGAGCTCTCGATGCAAATTCAGATGTCAGAGTTCATGATACGCACTCGATATCGGGGTCGTTGTAGGTATCTTTTACCTTTTTGTCACCTTGCCGTTTCCGTCTTAGCGCGGTTGTCCGACGTCACGTCAAGTGATACCGTGGACCTCTCGCGTCTTCATCCTTTGCATCTCACCTCACCTCTCAACTCAACTCAGTTCACACCACCGGTCCGAAAGCCGCCATGGCGTCCGAAGTCGACCCGCTTGACGTAGTGCTCGGTGTCTTCAAATCCATGAAACAGAGCAGTCTACTTACGCTTCTCGCTTCCGTCTGCCGCGAGGATGAACGCACCCTCGAGCTCATTGCAAAACAGCTTATGGCTACTTCGAATGATGTCGGAGAGGCTGCCTCTATAACGATAAAGTCCGAACCGGGAGAGTCAAAGAAAGACGTCAAGCTGGAACCGGCTGAATCGAAAGTTGACGACCAGGACGACGCAAAGGGAGCTGGCAGACGCAAGCGCAAGCGGGCGGACTACGACATCCTTTGTTATCAAACATGCGGAGGATGCGAGAAGCAATTCGATGTGACGAAGAACAATAACACAGCTTGTACCTTCCATAGCGGTACGATGCCTTGCCTTGCGTTCAGTCGCACCCTCACGGGTTTCAATACTAACACCCAGCTAGGCATAGTCCGACCAATCCTTACCCTCGCTGTGAAGAAGACAGGCGAAAATCAGGACGACTTCAATACCCTGATCAAAAAAACCCGTGCATTTGGAACTAGTGGGCACAACTCCTTGGAGGCGAACATGCTCAAGAGGCACAAGGCTGAAGCGGACTTGATCAAGGAACATCCAGAGGTGGCCCGGTGGGATTGCTGTTACAGGTTTCCATCGTCTACTGGATGTAAAATGCAGCGGCACATGGTGAAGGAGCTGTAGCTTATGCGGAGACATCTCTGGTCCTCGAGGCGATACACTATAGGAGTATGGCGCACAAGGGCGGTGCATGTATCGGCGATTCTCTGGGATGTAATTCAAGAGGGCTCTCACACGAAGGAATAGGGCTTAGGCACAATCTGTGAGCCATCTTCGGCCTACTACCAAATCAATCGCATTACCTGAGATCTTCAAAGCTGCCACTATCAAAGTTGTATTGCCGTACTTCTTTCTCGTACCTGGACTTTCTCTTTCATGCCAGCCCCCTCGCCGTGATTCTATCTCTCGCTACCTGCCTCGCCGACTCACCTTCATCTTTATTACGGTCGTCATCCACCTCCCTAAGCCCGCAAGCGCAAATACCACGCCAGCGGATCGTGAATCAGTTTTAGCACTCGACATCTAATAAAGGAGGCCACCGATAAGGCCACACTTTCAATCAATACAACCATAACCACGTTACTAGGTGTTGCTTTCGTGGCTCAAAAGCTGTAACTAGTTTCTCGCAGCCAAGGCGAACAGCCCACCCACTAGAAGCACTTCCAGACGATGAAACACTCCGCAAGTCACCATTCGCGTAAGCTGACTAAGCACCGGTCCAGCAAGAGAAATTGCTGTCCGTCTTGTTCATCGACAGAACACGTGCAGTGAGCTTGGTGGGCTCAGAGGCGGTAGAGCTAACGACATAAGGGCATAGTGGTTGAGGCAACGGAAGAAGTGTGACGGCGAAATCTGACGCCTTGAAGGGGTTGCATTGAAGGCACAGTCGCCCGATAGTTCTAGGCGATTAAATTCTATCTTTTAGGGATCCTGCAGAAATAAATTCCGCATGTTGATTTTGCGGTCCACGAATAGAGCGAATGTACTCCGAAAGAAGACGTATGATTGGTGGTGACTTTCCGATACCGCGACTCCGAGAATATGTGGGGCTACTCTTATCTGATCCGCTTCTCGCATCGAAGGATCTGCACCCTGGGACTGTTTTTCACGTCTTTTCGAACCGACCTTCAGGGGAATTAGGCCTCAGTCTATGGAGAGACCACTCTGAGTCATCAGTGCCATTTTGTGGTATGCCTAGGCCGATTTTCCGCACTTTGATCGCGCTCAAAGCCAGCTCGCAACGATTCAAGACGCCGATCCACTCCACGCTAAAGACGGATCTGATAACTTTATTTGTCTTAGTGAGCAGGGGGTGAAACGGCGTTCCGGAGGTCGTCGTCGGGAACCTTGCTCAATGCAACCTCGATCCTCCCTCCCAGCATGGAAGAGTATCTAGCATTCCGTTAGCCTAGGCGTCAACTTGTAACGCTTACAAATGTGACGGCGTTTCTGCCTGTATCATGTCTCTCCCCGCCTTCTCAATCGCCGTCCTCCCTTAATCCAACTTTCGTTTTATACCTTGAGCAAGCAGCTGGCACATTTGCCTCCACTCAATCATCATGGCCCCTAATGATGATAAGGTCGCTCCCGCGAATGATGCCGCTATGCTCGAAATGGGCTCTATTCCTGTGCCCGCTACTACTACTGCTACTACTGCTACTACCGCCACGAAAGCGGATGACTCCTTTCTCGTCACCTTCGACCTGCCCTACGATGCCGAGAACCCGCTCGACTGGCCCACGAGCCGCAAATGGGCCGTAACCGATGTCCTATCTGCTACAGGCTTCAACCGCATCATGGTGTCGACAATCATGGCGCCCGCCCTCACGACTATCGCTAAGGAGCTGAACATGACCTCGGCCGAGTCTGCAATGGCCTTGTCTATTTACCTTCTCGCTACGGCTTTTGGTCCGCTCTTCATTGGCCCACTTTCCGAGATCTATGGCCGACAGGTCATTCTGCACGCCTCTAGCGTCTGGTTTCTCATCTGGAACATTGTCTGTGGTTTTGCAAAGACCAAGGAGGTCCTCATTGCGTCTCGTTTTCTGGCCGGTTTTGGTGCTAGCTCCATATATGCACTCGCTGGTGGAGTCCTTGGTGATGTATGGCGGCCGGAGCAGAGAGGACGCTCGCTGGGTATCTACTTGCTTATCCCGTTGCTTGGTGCAGCCGTTGGTAAGTTCATCACTAAGATTAGAGGGAGTAGATCAGCTAATCTGCCATACAGGACCCATAATCGGCGGTTTCATGGCGGCACGCACGACATGGCGTTGGATGTTTTGGTCTACGTCCATATTCCAGGTCGTAATGATCTTCGTATCGCTTCTTACCTTCCGCGAGACGTTTGGCCCACTAATTCTCCGGCGCCGAGCTGCGCGCCTTCGTCATGAGACCGGCAATCAGCGATACTACACAGCCAGCGAGTGGCTAGATAGCGGCAGGTCAACATTCAAGAAACTCGGGCGAGCCCTCAGCCGTCCACTGCGCCTGCTGGTCTTCCACCCGATCATCCAAGTCGCGGCCATTATCTCTGCCTTCAATTATGGTCTCTTGTATATCGTGCTATCCACCTTCTCTGACCTCTGGACGCAATACTACCACCAGTCTGTAGAGATCAGCGGCCTCCACTACCTCGTCATTGCTGGGGGCGAGATTGCCGGCTCGCAGCTCGGTGGACCTTTGATGGACTTTCTCTACCGCCGGCGACAGGCTAAAAATACCGCCACGGTACCAACACCAGAATTCCGCATCCCACTCATGTTCCCGTGCGTCGTTTTCGCGCCCCTGTCGATGCTCTGGTACGGATGGATGGCGCAGTATCGGCTACACTGGGCAGCCGTCGATGTAGGCATGTTCGTCTTCATGTTCGTGTCCCAGATGGGAGGCATGCCCTTGACCGCGTACATTATCGACTCCTATCCAGACCATACGAGCAGTGCTATGGCGGCGACGCAGTTTGCTAAGAGCTTGACTGCGTTCCTCTTCCCGCTATTTGCACCGCGGATGTATTCGGTGCTTGGATACGGGTGGGCTAACAGCACTCTTGCATTTGCGGGCTTGTTGCTGGGCATCCCTGCGCCAGTGTTGATGTGGAAGTATGGCGCAAGGTTGAGGGCGAAAGCAGCCTCGAGTTATTGAACGAACTTATCATTATAAAGAAGAAGAGAGCATCGGAAGAATACCGACACTACACAGGGACGAAGACATGATGTTGGGCGGGCACGTGTGAGAGGCCCGAGCGCGTTTGGTATGATGCCATTTTCAGGGTCCAACCTTAAATGAGTCTATATATTTCTGTTACTTTTAAACTCCTCCCATACTAACGAAACAGCATACAGATGTAGGCCATTCAGTCATCCCGTAAAAAATTGCGACCTTATAGTATAAGGCGCAGGGGTGGCTGAGCGGCCGAACTGTTTTGCCATTTGAGAGTCATGAGTTCAAGTGCTGCCGTATGCGATTCTTTTTTGATCTCATTTCGGTTCAGTAGATACTGAATACCTCTTCTCCGTTTTCGCGGTCTATCCTTTCGACAGCTTCCCCTTTCATCAACCCGTGTACATAACACTCGCCCAGGAATCGATATCCAGCTCCAGCAGGGCGAAGAATATATGGCACTTTCCCGCCGAAAAGCACCGCAACCACGTCGCCCTCCCATACCGCTGTCGAAGCAACACCCATAAGTCCGTCGTCCGTAACGAAAAACCGCCTAGCGTACCCAGCATCGATATATTGGCTCTTGAACTGCTTCTCAAACCTCGAAATCCCCAGGAATGGCGCCAACACATCTGTAGCCTGTTTAGCAATTCCCTCGTCGTTGTGCCAAACCGCCGCATCCCCACCAACTATCATCTTCAGCTGCTCGTACTGTTCCGCTATCGGCCCATCCAGCGATGTCACCCACTCATCCCGCCACTTCCTCGCTCCCTCCTTGTGAAGCTGTTCATCGTAGGCGACGTCCGTCTCTAATAACCCCTCATGCACCAGCGCCGCTGTCTCCGCCAACACTAACCTGTGCCGCTGACACATCTCTGGCAGTGTCGGCGGATTGGGATTCAGCATCTGTCCATACCGGAACCACAGCATCATGGCCTGGTTAGTCGCAAAGTCAGCGTAGACGCTGTCTCTCCATGCCATATCCTCCGGCGCTGCACCTTTTCCCTGCCGATTTGCGGAGTCGAACAACACTCTCGCGCCGCAGAGCATCGTCCAGAGCAGTGCCTTGATCAGCGGCTCTTCATACGGCGTCTTGGCGTGCTGCAGAGCGAGCCGCCACGCATCTCCGAACTGATCGAGCACGTGCTCCTCGTACAACGGTTCGTTCTGCGGATCAAACGCCACGGTACTGATGTGCTTCACCACGTCGCATCTCACACCCTCGATCTTCAACACCAGCTCTTCCCCCGCCGCTCCATGATCGTGGGCCAGCTTCAAACCCCTCCCCCCCGCAGCATCAAAACCTCTCGCCTCTGCCAGAATCGAAACAGGCGTCGCCCCCGCCCTCTCCCAATGCGGGACCCAGCTCGGCCACTCGCCCACCCCCTCAGCCCCCTCATGCGCAAAGGCGCTCGCAAGAACCTCCAACCTCCCCTCTTTTCTCAGCACCGCCCTCGCCGCCTCGGCAAACACCCCTTCCACCTGCCTCTCTGCCACTAGGCGCAATAACCCGTGCAGTCTCCTCTCCTTCAAGATAAGCGGGTACGCGCATAATAACGCCTCCCGCCGCACCGGCGCATCAGGCATGTCGTGCAACCCCACACTCTCCTTGCACCATTCCAACGCCCTCGCCAATTCTTCCCAGCTGAAAGTGGTAGTATCCCAGAGGATCAGCCATGCAGGCGCGAGGATGACCTCCTGCAGGATCCACATGCGAGAAAAGTACGGCAGCGCAAGCAGCTTGTTAAACGCCGCCCATTCTTCCCCATCTCGCCTCGGTAAGCCCGCTGCCTCGAGGTTCGCGGTCGTGGGGACGACCGTCTCGGGCCAGAGTTTCAGAGAAGAGTTTGTGAGGCGTTTGACCATTTGGAGCGCGGTGGGCGCGGAGGCGGAGGGGTCGGGGCCGAGCCACATAACGACCTCCTTCGCGCTCTCATAAATTTTACCCATGAGGCGGACTTGGCTGCTTCTCTCCTCTAGGTTACTCTGGTCGATACATAATTGGTCGATCCATAATATGCGTAGCTCGTCGCTGCGGAGGCGGAGGAGGACGGTGTGGAGGTTTTTGGTGATGGGGACGCTGTGGTCGTTGAGGAGGATGTGGTGGGATGAAGTGGGTGGGCCCCAGACGTAGGAGAGGGCGTCGAAGCTAGGACAGGAGGGGGAGGGAGGAGCGGGATGGATTGAGAGGGTGGCTGAGATTTGGGAGGATTGGATAGTTTGGGGATGGAGGGTTAGTACGCGGAAGGTAGAAGGGGGGAGGGGGATGTATGGAGTAGGCATTCTAGAAGATAAGGCAAGAAAGAAGGAGATATTGAGCTCTGATATAAGACTGGTCGTGGAAGTACTATGACGTCGGAGTGTAGAAATAGCGTGTACATGGCTGAGAGCTAGTATGGGATGAGATGCAAGCTTAACTAGAGCCATTGAAAGGAATTTGGAGTACAAAACACACCGTAACTTCGTTTCAGCTCGGAAAGACATAGACGTTATACGGAGAGAAGTAACGAGAAACTCCTACACATTATATACCCTTTTAACCTACATACACTTTGGTCTTACTCGCCAGCCCAACATGCCAGCATTATGACATAATGGGAAACCTGCGCATGGAGGGTCGTACTACCCGCCGCTCTGCACGGGCATATCAGCTATCTCATTGTCTCTGCTCGGTTCTTGGCACCGTGCCTCTATTGCGTCCGTAACAATAGTGCCATGACACAGTTACATTACCGCACAATAACCGTCACAACATCCCTTCTTTGATCCCATGATAGGCTGCATTACAGCACTGTTGATAGGCCGCTCTGCCCAGCATTCGCTCGCATCGTTCGCGCTAGCAAATGAGATCCCGCCACGACCTTCAAGCTCTGATTGGCCAGATCCAAGGGTATTAGACATGCAGGCAGCGGCAGGGTACTCCGCAATGCATGGGATGGGTGCCCCACTGGTTCTGTACTAAACATAACCTGCCAAGGGTGGCGTTAGTATAATGAGAGAACAAGCACTTAGCTATTTTCTAGTCCCGCCGGGCTTTAGCGGTGGTGTTTCGCCGTTTCATAACCAATTCTTCGCGGGAACCAGGTGATTGGCTCTTGCTTTGTAACATGCCAAGACTTCCATTGTCAGGTGATGTATGAGAAGTGAAAAGAGTAGATCGAAGACTTGTGGAGTTGTATTGGTGGTGACGCATATGACAATAAATGTACAAGAAAAATGTCTATACCTGAACTTACATCCTGTTACCTATTCCAGCAAACTCCGCTACGCTCTTCATGCCACCGAAAGCTGTCCCAATTTATCAGATCTAATGCCGTCCATCCAAGGTATCATTCTCCTCGCTCTCTCATGTCCTTCAGATTTCCTATCAAGCTGTCTCCCTCCACCTCTCAAGCAATCCCACGCCCCCCGCCACCGTCCCTAGCAGCCCGACCAACGGTTCACTCACTACACCTGCCTCCGTACTCCAATGTATCGTCAACGGCGCATACGCCGCATTACTGACCGCATCCCTCCACCACGCCCTATCCTCCTTACTGCCTGTCTCCACCTCCTCTTTCTCCCCTTTCTGCTTTCTATAAAGCACAGCCAACCTCACCCCCTCCAACGCCACATGCGCCGCCCAAAACCTACTACTCCAAACCCACCACCTCGCCTCCCTCCTCTTCCCTGCTTCCCCTAACCACCCCTGCGTCACAAGCACCCCCTTACTTGCCAGATACGCCCCATTCTCCAGCACCTGATACGCCGCACAACTCACAACCTGCCCCCACGCCACCGCCCTCAGCACCCTCTCTTTCCCGCCCGCTCCCTCGGGCAATCCAGCATTCCACACCCCCTTCCCCCACGAGTATATCCCCAGCAGTCCCCACAACCGCACGAAGATCCGATAATCGCTAATCACGCCCGCAAGCGCCTTCGACCCCGCCGCGCCGCTCGCGAGGAGTTTCGTAGAGGTAGGGGCTTCGAAGGTGGTTATCAACGTCTCACCCGGGAGGAGGACGCCATCGGCTTTGGTCGCGATCTTTGTGGCCAGCGCGCGCAGGCGGAGGTCGAGGAGGTGAGAGAGGGCGGGGTGGAGCAGGGTGAGGGTGTAGCCGAGGGTGCAGAGGAAGGCGTCGGTGCCGGCGGGGGTGGAGAGGAGGCGGGCGAGGTGGGAGAGGGTTGAGTCGGTGGAGCGGGCGGTTGTGAGGGTGGAGGAGATGGCGAGGTTGCGGAGTTTGGCGAGGCGGGCTGAGGTCGTCGGAGTAGGGCGAAGCTGTGGTGTGGGAGGTGGAGTTGGCTCTTGCTGTGCAGGTATGGAGTCTTGCGATAGAGGCGCGGATTCAGGCTCGGATGGTGATGGTGGGGCGGGTGGTGGAGCTGCGCTTGGGATTGTGGTTGTCGTTGGAGGTGGAGGGGCCTCTGGCTCTGGTGTAGCCTCCATCGTGAGAAATTCGTAGAGGAGTATGAAGGAATAGCGAAGGAGAGCGTGAAGATAGAATTAGATGTATGGCGTCCGTGGCGTGGTGTTTATCTCTCACGGTTCAGATAGCCATTTTGGCCGAGGTTGATCGGGCTGGCAAAGTTGGATCATGAATCACGTGCAAATAAGAATAGGGGATATGATAGGACAGGGATTTCTTTTCCGTGTTGTATTTTTATTGATTACTACCATTGCTGCCCTGAAGCCGCACGCTTTAGACCGTCTTTCCCGTCCTTTGAAGACGCCGTCAATGTAAATTCAAGAAGCCCCCCAATGCGTGGATCCATTTATCCCCGTTTCGACGCCGCCCCCGGTGCTATGCAGGTCGTGGTATTACAATTCGGTCAAGTACTGCAAAATAGAGGTCCCATCACGGGTGCGATAGTGCTCTGAGAAGGAAGATGAAGGAGAGAAAAACAAGGGAAATCCTGGAGAGTGATTATCGCTCCGTCTCGCCGTCGCGATACTGTGGAAGAGACAGTTTTGGGAGTGGTACAGTGCTTGTGAAGGACTGCAGAAACCTATACCTGAGTCATGATTTGCTCTTCATCCTCGGTGATTATATCCGGTGTAAGTTTCTCCACAGACTCCTCCAGCAACGCCACACCGCCTTCAACCTCAACCTCGCTGCCCTCAGACAAACTAGAATACTCGGAGCAGGCATCAGAGCTAGAGGAAGAAGCATCTAGATGGTCTTCGCTGATACTGATGTCTGACGTGAATCCGCCGCTGGTAGTCAGGGAGCCTTCCTGCTCGATGGCAAGCCGCCTGTGACTACGAACTCGCTTGAGTGACCCGAGATCGAAATCGTCAGTCTCATCCGCCCATCCACCACGGTGTCTACCAGTGCGCGCTAGAGGCAGTGTGATGTTTGATCCATCGGAGGAAGGGTCCCTGCATGGGCGAAACAGGCCATTGAAAGCTTGCTTCAGACTGCTGCGCAGACTGATCTTCTGGAACTCTCGTCTCAGCTCGTTTGAAGGACTAGAGCCGAGTTTATAGAAGTCTCGCGGGCCTTGCCTCATAATACGGAGATCCTCTCGCTCGGAACGGGTAGTCGTGATGGTGTGTTGACTGTCGTAGCTGGCAAGAAATTCGCCGCTGTCATCGGTGAGCAATCGATGCTGTCGAGGGCGTAAACCAATGTTGCGAACAATCTCGGCATTGGCAACAGGAAGATCCATAGCCTCGTCAGCTGTTACTGCAGGAACTTCATTGGCGAAAATAGCTCCGAATGAAATATAGATGCGATCCTTGTAGTATGGTCGGCAAGCATGGCACACCTTCAATTGGCATGGTGGGTATTTTGAAATCTTGCTCTTGAGAGCCTGGTCTGGCTCATTGAGGCTAGTCGAGGTGGATGGGGTGGACTGCGGAAGCGGGGAGATTTCGTCCTGGGGCTGCTGGTTCTCTGCAGAGTCTCTAGCGCCGTCATTTGTGGTTGGAGGATCATTCTCAGAAGACGGTCGATCCATACCCGAGTCTTTTCTCTTATGAGCTTCAGCGTTTATCCCAAGCCCCACTATTTCCTTGCTCCGAGGACTCTCATTTCCGTGAGAGACGACCTGGTTGAGGCGAATCTTCTGGTCTTTAATTTTGTTCAACTCCTCAACCGTGTAGCCACCCTTCTCGGCGGTCTGGACGACTGATCTGCTTAGGCCGAGATATTCCAGCTCGGCGCGCAATAAGGATTTGAAGGTGGACTCATTCTCGAGGATGTGATCAATGAACGGGAGGGGTTCCGCGAATCGTTCGTCTTGGCGGCATGTGTAGAGCCAACCCATGGAGGGGAACTTTCCGCAGGACTGGCATTGGTGGTATCCGAAGATGCGATCCATGTCGATATGGGTACAGTTGGGCCTCGCGGCATGGCGGCGCCAGGCAGGCCTGCGATTCTGCATAGCCTTAGTGAGTGCTTTACGCAGCTTATGAGTGTGTTCGGCGACGTGGTCACCTACGTTCATGGTGAAGAGTAGAGTATTGGCTGAGAAGAGGTAGTGGGGCTGCGGGACATGCAGCGGGTGTTTTGTCAACAGAGCCAATAGGCTGGAGGTCTTCAGACGGTATGAAGGCGCTAGACGGAGCACGGGGAAGGTAGATCTGGTGAGGAGAAGCGAGAGACTCCCATTACGGGGTGATTGGCAGGATGGATACGAAGGAGAATTTGTTGTGGTGGAGAAGATGAAGTTGGAAGGTGATGGCGGGGCTAAGAGATGAAGCCGCGGTGGGAAGGATGGGCTGGTAACGATGGATGCGGTTTGCCGGAATGGCTTAAGAAACGACCGTCACATAGGTAGGCCTAAAACGACATTCACGGAGGAGAAGAAGTACAGGGCGCACCAGGAGAGTGGGGGCGTTTGCAGAGCCCCGCGCAGGGTGAGGAGGAAGCTGTAGGCTGCGGGAAGGCACGCCGTAGATTGAGACAGATATGGTCCAACAAGACTACTTCGCCTATCTTACCACCTACTATTACTATGAATTGAAAGTCTCTTCAACTCCAGACTGTTCAGATCCGTCGTTCGCCTCGTGATGTATCCACAGTAGCACGTCCTCCCAACGACCAAAATGTTAGCACTTACAGTACCAAGACATAGGTTTGGGCACTCCTTGCACCTGCTCGGGGTACCTCGACAGGGTTTTAAAACTCCAAATGCGATGTAAATGCCAAGGTAGTGGAAATCAGAGTCCTTTTCGACGAAGCTAATATCTGCTAGCTGGGCACGCGGGGCATGAAAAAGGTGGCACTCTACACGGGTGTGCGCGCGTGTATGCCACTGCTTGGAGTGCTTCGATGCATCTTCAGAAATCTAAACGGGATCGAGGCTGTTCACTCTGGGTTACGTGGAAACTCGTTGAAGCACCCCAAGCAGTGGTAGACAGGTGCACCTATGAGACAGCTTGGTTAATACGTGTCAACAGAAAGTGGCAGTGCACGAATTCGTGAGGTATGTGCACACTGTTTCCACGCTTGTCCGCTCGTTTAGCACCGCTTGAGGTCCTTCAGTGTGCTATTGTTATGTATGAAAAACTAGCTGTGGCAAGCTTGAAAGCTCTCTGGGGCGCTCCTTACAGTGGTATCTACCGCGACCTCACGCTTGTCTCGATGTTCGTTTGGAAGCTGTTTAGGCCACGGCGTACGGACCTCGCCGTCGTGCGCAGCTATCCTGCCGTCCCTTCGCCTTCCGGATGGGGCGCAAATTCTCACCTTCCGTCCCGGCCGCCTTTCTGCCACTGTTTGTGGTGCCTCGTAAGTCTTTCGGAGTCTCGAACTGGAGAGAATTTCGGTGTTTTGAACAGTTGGTAACCTCGCGAGTCCGCTCCAGGCGGCGGCAAAGTGGTGTGCACACGTGAACAGTGTGATCCGTCGCCCCCTACGTTTCTCAACACCGCGCGCTCATAAGAATAGCTGCACGCCGTCGTTGAGACAGTAATCGTCGAGTCGTTCTTCACAGCCGTCGTCGGCGCGTCCCGAGGTCCCCAGAAAAAAGCAACCCCTGTCCGCGCTAACTGTCGTCGTGCTAACGACAACAAACACCTCTCCACCCTGTCGTCGCCAGCCATCACCACCTCCTCCCAGCCCCCCGACCCCCCCAGCGCAACACAGCAAACACACCACACGCGCCCTCCCGACTCCTGCGACCTGGCGCCGTGACCCGCATCCGTCGAAGCCATGTCGGTCAAGTTCGAGAAGGAGACGGTCAAGACGACCGGCATCCCCGTGCCCGGCGGCAAGCTGGACGATGGAAAGCACCACATCGCCCGCGACATCGGAAATGCCCTCACCAAAGGCGGCGGGCCAAATGGCTACCTGGCTGTATGTTGCGCGCCATTGCGGTGCTGCAAGAACGCGACGCTAACTATCCGGTGTGCAGGCTTATCTCAAGCAGCTCAACGACAACCCCATGCGCACCAAGATGCTGACCTCTGGCACCCTCGCTGGCCTGCAGGAGTTTCTGGCCTCGTGGATTGCGCATGATCGGAGCAAGCACGGCCACTACTTCACCTCGCGCGTTCCCAAGATGGCCATCTACGGCGCATTCATCAGCGCGCCCCTCGGCCACGTCATGATCAGCCTGCTCCAGAAGCTGTTCCGTGGCCGCACCAGCTTGAAGGCCAAGATTTTGCAGATTCTCATCAGCAATTTGGTGGTATGTTCGATATTTCTTGCTCTCGAGCTGCCCCGCTAACCATCTCCTCAGGTGGCTCCGATACAGAACACCGTCTACCTCATTTCGATGGCCATCATTGCAGGCGCCCGCACCTTCCATCAAGTGCGCGCTACCGTCAAGGCCGGTTTCATGCCCGTCATGAAGGTCAGCTGGATCACTTCGCCCATCTGCCTCGCCTTTGCCCAGCAATTCCTCCCCGAGAGCGTATGGGTGCCCTTCTTCAACCTGGTTGGATTCGTTATCGGTACATACATCAACTCGCACACCAAGAAGAAGAGGCTTGCCGCGTTGAGGCGGAAGCATTATGGAGATTCTGGACGGGATTCTTCCGGCCTTGGACGGGATGCATCAGGGCGGGATACTGGACGTAGGGAACCAGGCAGGCCCGGTGATGATTACGACAGGCGGGGTTACTAGATATACCACAAGCAGGCGTTCTAGCGGTTTGTTGGCCTGCCACCTACCCCTGAGAGACGCCGTCACTATGGACAACGGAACTGTGTCACGAGCGACTTTGTACATTCAATGATTTTTGGCCGGGTAATTGGGGGGTAGGCTAGGTGTTGCTTTTGGATATAACTTAAATTCCATTGCCTCGTTGTAAGTGTTTACACTCTTCTGTCGCTGATTAAAATGCTTCATTGCATTCTCAGAAATCGGAAATAGGTGGATTTCATTGATTTGAATAGCTGGGCCTGTCCAAACGGCGCCCTAGACTAAAACAGGATGACGCGTTCATATATCTGAAATTAGTGAAGCATCACAAGCAGCGTCAGAAGAGTGTACACAACCTACGACGATGTATTGCCAACTTTCTTCCCCGCTCATCTCAGTCATCTTTGATATTTCGTTCCATCAAGTCATGCTAGCTAACTGAACTGCAACACACGTATAAGTACAGGTAGACGATTCTTCCCGTTTTCGCAAAGTTTCCGTCTCTCTTTTAGCCAGGTCATAAACTCCATCGTGCGTCTTCTCTCCCAACGCGGTGGTCTTTTCAGCCGTTCCGTCATTCTCCTCTATGCGTCGTCCAGGCATCATTAAGAAGCACCACGATAGTATCATGCGGCTACTTGACTTATGCCGACGCCGTCATTTCATCAGTAATATCCGGAGTTTAGTACTAGTCCTAACCGCAAACTGAGCTTCCCCACGATCGCTTTAGCATCTTCTTCTCGCGTTGGCGGTGTCCACATCTACAGCTACCCGAACCCGATGATTGTCCCCGTGATTGTGGTCACAAAACAATCTTACTGGCACAACAATACGCTAAGCATCGACAAACAACCGCCATTCCGATGCTAAATGACGTGTTCAACCTTCCCTACTCCAACACTTGTATCAACAACTGGTAGGACAGAGCACATGAACAAACCGCTTTCTGCCCACGATGCCTGTCTACGATGCTGGACGATGACAATCTCTATGCATTATAAAATTGCCCGGCACGCTTCAAATTGCGAAGACACTGCTATCATCAGCTCAGTCCAAAATCATCAACCCAGCATCTATCACTCTCATGTACGCCCACTCAGTAACTCGAGTCACTCGTCCTGGTCATGCTCCTGTTTCATGGAAGAATTATCGCATGGATGATGGCTCCTATTCGTCCGAATACGATGGCAACTTCAGGACTACCTACCCGTTGCGGCCTAGGATTGGAAGAACCCCCCCTTTTTATCCTGATGGTCCATATCTAGGAATGTCGCCCAATCCAAGAAGACCTGCACAACCGTTCCTACACCCTCCGGGCGTGATGCCTCGAAAGAAGGGCCCTCCTTCGCCTCTTGAGAATCCCAATCTGGAGTACAAGTTCACTTCGAAGTGGAATATTGACTACGCTACCGTGTTTCTTATCAATCGACTAGGGAAAGACAAAGATCTAGCAAATGGCATAAGCAAGGTACGCGAGAAATCTCGTCGATACGATAGGCGAGAAATCCCATACCGATCCTTCGACAGCCTTAACGACACCCTGTTCGCAGGTCGACTGAAAGATGCCATCTACCTCAAATGGGTAGATCTTGGCCCTCACGTCTCTGGCACGACGTGCAATGCTGGCGAAGGACCTGACCATCGTGTCTCTCGGATCACCCTCCTTTTGAATTCCACGTTGCACCAAGACGCCCATCCCGATGAGATACTGGCCTCATTGATCCATCACATGATCCACTGCTACTTCATCGTCACTTGCGGCCCTCAGCTCTCCGACGAAACAAAGTACGGCCGTCTCTCCCACGGCATGCACTTTGGCAAGATCATGTCGACCATCAAAGACCTCTCCGGCTCCACTGGTCGCCGCCCCCTCCCTCTCGACTTCGGCCACAATCTCGCACAAGACAGAGATTACCAATATGACAAACCAACCACCGTTCTGTCTCCCCGCAACCTCTCACTACTCCATTCTCAAATGGAGCCACGAAATCAACGCTCTCCCACCCGCAGCTTCTGCCCTCCCCATCCTAAGGCCCACCTGCCCACCCAAGCGGAAGTGGATGAGTGGTACACGAAAACCTGCCAGCCCCTTCCTACTCTTCCCAAATGCGTCCGTGGACAAAACCTCTACACGCTCGTCCTGCCCGGCTCTGAATTCCGCGAGTTTCCACGCGCAAAGGCCCCGCCGAGTCAAGAGTATGTGGAGCTCATCTACGCGGAGAAATGCGTGTATATCCCCGCTACCTCCATCTCCACGTATCCTAGTCTGGCCGGGAAGTTTGAGAAAGCAAGATGGCTCGAGATACCAGATGACACCTCCTTAGAGAGCTTCAAAACCCTTTACGAATTCCTACTCCGCGGCAGATTCAGCCCCGACCAACCACCAGATCACGACTCCGCATACCACCACAGCCATAGTCCCCCCCTCATCCGCTCCCCCATCGCGACCGCCGAGCCCTACCTCACCACCTCCATCAAAGCCCTCAAACTCGCCGCAGCCCTCAAGTTCACGGAGCTCGAATCCCACGCCCTGCACCGCCTCAACGCCCTCTCCCACACCCACGAAGACCCCCTCGCCATCCTCTCAGAGATCTACACCGACTCCCCAGACCCCCACCCGGACCTCCGCGCCTGGGCCCGCGCCTTCCTGCTCCGCCGCGAGCCCGAGCACCCCGTCATGGCCTACCTCGACCTCGCCACCGACGCCGGCCCCCCCGCGAACCTCGAGGTGCTGGAGCGCGATAGAGGTATGCAAGAGAAGTTCGAGCATCTCCTCGAGCACGGCGGCGCGTTCCACGCTGACGTGAGTACCGCGCGAACGGCGCTAGAGCGTGTGAGGGAGCGCGATGGCTTTCCTTGGCAAGCTGGGCGCATGCATCCGCATCCGTTTGATATCCCCATCCCGCCGCCCCCGCCGCCGCGCCCCATGGATGATTGGGACCTCCCGCCGCCCCCGCCACCTCCACCGCCAATGCATCCCCTGCATCCGATGCACGCTTCCTACCCTTCTTCGCTGCCTCATCCCCTGCACGGTGGCTACCCGCCGCCGCCGCTGCCGTTGTTTGACCCGTTCCCGCATCATGAGTTTGGTAGCTCGCAGCGGGAGAGGGAGGCGAGGTTGGTGGCGCTGGGATGGGGTCCTGTGGAGAGGGAGGCGGATGGGTGGTGGAGGCGTAGGAATAGGATGACAGGGCAGGTTGCTGTGAGTCGGGGGGAAGGCGGGGAATGGTTTTTGAGGGGATCTTGAGTTGAGAGCGGTGGGAGGTGATAGGAAGGGGTGGGAGGCTGGCCAACGGTATTGGTGATGGAGGCTGGTTTGCGGCGGAGGATTTGACGTTAGCTGAGTAGCTTGATATACGATTTGTGGAATTCTTGTCGGAGTTTCACGGTTGCGAGAGTATCTGACAGGTTCAGGACGATGGCGGGAAGTCGGAAAAGACAAGCTGATCTGAGTGGCTTGGTTTATGCATGTCTGGTTCGCGCTGTGGGGAATTTACGTGGCTGATTTACGGTGTTGAGGATTGAAAATCGATGAGGGTACTCGGATAGAGAATGGAGCTGGTCAAAAGCGAGACAAAGGCGAGCTGATTTGGGTGGTGAGGATTTTACATGGCTAGAATTGCGGCATCACAAGCGTTATATCAAGAAGAATTTCCATTGATAGGGCGTAGGGTGGTCTACTGGAGTAAATAGGATGTCAGAGAGCTTGGAAAAGCAAGGTCTTCTGGATTATTAGAGTTCTGGATGTCTAGTTTGCGAGATGAGGATTTTACATATCTGATCTACGGTGTCAAGAGCGTTACATCGAAAACTCCATTTCCGGATAGGCCGCAGGGGGATCACACAAGTAAGTAGCTTGTCAAAATCACGATAATGTCAGCTAATCTATCATGTCGAGGATTGAAATCCGAATTTGTAGAAAAAAGTCTCATTCAGCGATCGTAGCTACAAACACACTCCGCTACAAGTGTCCCTATTTGTGCGAGAAACGGACCCAAAAGACCACACAGCCAAGTCTCTGTCTCTGTTCGTCCTCCACGCCAATGCCAAAACAATCTGTAGCGCTGCCGCAGACCCAGTCTATGATGTGATAGCATGCCGGAAGAGAGAAAGGGACGAGAGCGTGGGCGAGAGCGTAGACGAGAATGTGAGAAGGAAAGGGCATTCCGTACCTTTTCAGAGGTCCTTCGCAAACATATCGTAAGAAGACAAGAATCAGATCGTAAAACAATGACTAGAAAAACAAACACCGGCCGTAAAGGAAAGTAAGGTGCCCTCTAAAGAATTGGGAGAACATAAGAGAAGCCTCTGCTAGTGCTGTCCGACACTAGAAAGACCCGCAGTATATGAAATACCGCCATATGTATAACAAGGCAAAACAAAAGAAATAGCCATAGAGTCTACTCCTCCTCGGACTCGTCAGTCATAGGCTCCGGAGGCTTCTCACCATTACAGAAACTCAGCCTCCATCATCTGGGTGAGATCGCCCTCCTCTTCGTCCTCGTCCTCATCCTCATCCTCCTCCCCGAGTCTGGCTTCCTCTGCCTCTTTTTCCGCCATGTACGCGGCATACGCCGTTGCGTCGTCACCGCCGTGCTTTGCGAGGAACTCCTCCATCTTCCGCGTCTCTTCTTCAGCTTGGGTGTTCAACGCCTCGTCGTGCTCCTCCGCCTTGCGGCCCTCCTCCTCAGCGCGAGCCTTCATCGCCTCATTGTAGTCATCCTGGAGTGACTTAAGGAGCTTCTTAGTGTCCTCGATGTGCTGGACGGCTAGGAGGTAGACAAGCGGCTCCTCCTCCTCGGCGTCGAGTTCCATACCGCTGTCAGCGGCCGCAGCATGAAGGTCCTTCTTGGTCATGTTGAGGAAGTCCTTGATAGACTTGGGACCTGTAGCCATGGTGTTCTTGCCGGCCTTCTTGCCACGCTTGGTGGTCTTTGGGGCGGCCTTCGGCTTCGGGGCAGCCTTTGGCTTCGGGGTGGCCTTCGATTTAGGGGCTCTCTTCTCGTTCTTGGCAGAGGCAGTGCTCTTGGTGACACGACCTCCGACGACGGCATTCAAGGAAGTAGGCTTAGGAGGTGCCTTCTTCTTGGGTGGGGGCTTGGAGGGAACAGCTGGCGCAGCGGAGGGGACGGCTGGCGCAACAGTTAGGGCTTCCTCCATCTCGTTGCCATTGTCATCTACAATTACCAGCCCGCTATACTCGACTTCTTCTTCACTGTCGTCATCGTCTTCGAACAGGTCGTCCACGGGATCTACCTCACGTGGAGGTGTTGGAAGAGGTGCAGCTAGCGCGTGGCAAACTTCTGCAGGCTCCGCGGTAGGAATTGGTGTCTGATCCACCTCCATGAACTCCTCTGTGCCCGTCTCTTGAGTCTTCATCTTCTTCAACGGGTGAATTTCTCGCTGCTTGGGCGCGTCATTGTTGAGGGTCGTGTCGAGCTCAGCACCATGCGCAGTCCGCTTTTGAGGCGGATTGAGAGTTGCAATTTGCTGAACCCGGGAAGCAGTCTTGGTATTCTTCTTCATCTGCATAGCCCACTGAGCTGCAGCTTCGCGGGCTTCCTTTGTGGCAGACGAACCTGGCTTGGCCTGAGACTTGATGGTCTTCTTCGGCCGGTCTTTGATAGCCGTCTTGGGCTCGACGACATAACTATCCAGATCTATCACCTCTGGCTCCTCTGCCTTCGCCTTCTTTTTAGGCGGTGCCATCTTCTTGGGTTGCTCCTTAGTCGCCTCCTTCTTAGGCTGCTTCTTGGGCACCTCCTCGGCCTGTACCTTAGGCTCATCATCGTCAAAGAGTATCTGAAGGGCAGCTGCGTTCGCTGACAGCCTCTGAGGGGGACTTAGAGTGGTCGTCGGAGCTTTGTTGGCCTGCTTTGCTTTCTTCTGAGCCTCCTTGGCTGCAGCCGCCGCCTTTCGCTCTGCCGCGATCCTGTCGCCCTCCTCGCAATGTCTGGCCACAGCCTCTTGCTTCCGTTCTGCTTCAATGCGCTCATCCTCCGCCTTCTTGAGCAACTTTAGTTGCTTCCGACCTGCTGCGGTACCCTTCATCTCGATGCGGACTGCGTCCGACATGCTGATCAGCTCAGTGTCAACAGAGCCGTCCTGGCGAATGCTCATCGGGGTAGTGACCCGATCAGCCGGCGCCCGAGGGGGGACGTAGTCGTTAATAGTCCTTGGGATAGGAGGGGCTTCGGCAACAGGCCGAGTCTTGGGGACAGTCGGCTTAGTGATGAAGAGCTTGGGGGCAGCACGCTTGCGCTTGATAGGAGCCTTTGGAGGAGCGGTTTCGGTGGCCTCGCTAATGTTGGGGTCGGTGGAGCCAGACATGACAAGAGGATTCATGACGAGGAAGGTAGAGGTGTGTGTTGGGAAGTGTTGGCAAGCCGGTGCTTGTGCGTGGGAAAAGAGCGGGTGGTGTGGTGGGAGTGTGAGTTGTCGAGGATGGAGTCGACAGCTGGCGCAACAGCTAGGAGATATGCCGGCGCGCTGGCGGGACACGAGGGTCCGTGGTGAATGTGAATATAGAAGAGGCCTTGAACAATGTACAGTGTTTGTACACGACGGTCGATACAAGCAAGCTGCTGGCTGGAGACTGAAAGCTGGACGCTGGGTGTCTGTGGGTGGCTGCTTGAGAACAGGGCTGGTGGATGTGGTGGTGCTTGTCCAAGGTTGGTGGAGGAGGGGTTGACGAGACTGTGAGGACGAGACTTTGGTCATGGGCAGAGGCGCGGAGAGCTTGGGCACCGTCTGCGGCAAGTAGTGAATGTGAAAGCATCTCCAAATCCGGCAATACCCGCCTCCCTCTGCCGCTCCCACGCTGTACCCTCTTCTGTGAACCTTCAACTTACCTGAAGTCTTGAAGCATTCACCTACTCCAACGCGTTCTCCCAAGCCACCGGACATGGAAATACTAAGAAGAGGCTTCTTATTTGGGAGGAACAAAACAACTGCGTATCTCTTCGAATCTACTGGCTGGTCTTTCTATATGGAAACACAATACTGTCTCACAAGTGCATTTGAATTCAGAAAGGCCAATCAATGTGTGAGGCAGGCTACTGTATTTAACGACGTTGAGAGGGAATCGAGCTACCCCCCAGGAAGCTCGAGATAGTAGAAATTCAAGTATGGTTATGGCTCAAATGAGAAGAAACAAAACAAGATCCTCTTCAATATCCCACACAAGGTGGAAGTATCAATGAGGATGACCAGTCCCGAGCCGAAGCCCTCGCCACCAGAATCTTTCTGGTGACTACATAGAAGTTTTTATCTATGATTCCGGAAAGTTGGAAAATCTCTGCATGTATTTACAGAGAGTGTGTCGAATGCGTCGACCAGCTAAATGTCGAAGACAAGCGCGAGGCGATGGGCGGAGATATCAGTCGACAGTATCTCGAAAGCGCCGCGACGTCAAGCAGTTTTTTGTCACTTGCCTGATATTGAGCCAAACAAAATTGTTCGAATGGTGAAGTACTCCAACAACTTATAAGTGGATCCAGGTTGTGTACCCAGATCGCGAAGCCAGCAGCCAGTGTCTTTATTAACCCCGGAAGGCATAGTCGTCGCGGAGCGTGAAGCACTTTCCGTGAAAGGTCACCAGTGTTTCATAAATTCTGGAGCGTATGACCCTGCTGGGAGAACGAAGCGTTCGCTGCATACTGGGCAGCCCGGAGGCCCAAAAGTGCGCGCTCGGATCGCATCGCCATCCTCCTTCCATATCGTCGACGCTGGTACAGAGTCACCATATCGAACCCCTTTGCCGTCTCTTGATATCATCGAGAGCCCTCTCCTAGCTTGATCAACAATCGAGCCCGACTCATCATGCCGTTCCCATCCTACGTCCACGATGCGTGAGATGCGTACTACGCCAAAGCACAAGAACGAGAGGATCTGATCATGGCCGACCTTCAGGCCTTACGAGCGGCAAAGGTTGCTTACCAGGCCCGCAAGGCCCAAGACGCCCGCAAGGCCCAAGACGCCCGCGACGCCCAAGAGACCCGCGAGGTCGCCGCCTCATCTTCGACAGGCGCAGATGCCTCGAACATGTCGCAGAACAGCGCTGTGACAGACACAATCCCCTCAAACGACAATGAGCTTGCGACTAGAGGGCCATCAGTGGAGCGAGAAAGCGCTTCACTCACGACTGATCTGCATCATAGCGATGCAATGGTAGTGCAACGATCATTGAAGCGGAAGAATGCTTCAGCTACGGAACCTCGGCAGTACGACTGCGACAGACCGCTCCAGGCTTTTCTTCGCGGACGCGATTAGAAATCCATCGTTGCATACAGAGAAGCGACCACAGCGAGAGAAGCCAGAGGATCTCGCAATCATGCCAGTCCTGAGGCTGTGAGACGAACTGCCAGAGGATACGGAGAAGCACCATAAGCCTTCCTATGCGGACGCGGTCAGAAGCCCGCCGCTGCGACCAGAGCACCGCCTAAGACCGGAACAACCAGAGGACTTCGCGATATTGCCATTCCTAGCGCTGGCGGATGATTGGCCAGAGGATACTAGGAAGCCTGGACAAGAGGCAGACCAGACTGAGGACGAAGATCCGCCTCAGCAGAGCAGCCGGGCTCAATAAGTTGCCGGGACTCCTAACCACGGGCGGTGGCCGTTCTGAACACACAGGCTAGACTCTCCGTCTCCTTCTCCGCCGACAACCGTCAGATCGTCTCCGGCTCCCGCGGCCGAACCATCAAGCTATGTAACACCATTAGTGGGTGTCGTGCGTTCGATTCAGCCCGAACCCCCAGAACCCCGACCCTCTCACCTAATCGAACTTGGTAACAATACTGAGTTGCTCAACGATTCCAACTTGGTAATAAATTTGAGTTGCTCCACAGTTTCAACTTGGCAAGAAAGCCAACGATCTCAACGAATCGAACTTGGTAATAACACCAAGTTACTCGGCGATTCCAACTTGGTAGCAACACTAAGTTGCTGACTGGATCAAGCTTGGTAAATAAACCAACTTTCTCAACGATTCGGAACTTGATCATAAACTTGAGTTTCTCAACAACAAGTGCCGAGTTACGAAGAGAATTCCGTAGCCGGCTTCCGGTAGTCAAAGAAGACTACTACCCCGTTCGAGCTTGCACTTCTGCGTAGTGCTGGGGACTAGTAGCCTTCGGGCGAAGCTAAGGCAAGCTCAATCGAATCCTCAGATCTGGAACCGGACGACGTGGATGGGCGGAGGAGTTGTGGAGTAAGGTTGAGCATATTCCGCATCATTGTTGCACCCCACTTCTGAGGAAGTTGCGTCTACCCTCTCGCTTCTAGCACTGTGGCTGTCCGCCGGCAGCCCTCTAACACCAGGGGTTTAAGCTCCATCTCTAAGATACCAGCAGCAGTTGATACAACGGGGAGTCGATGGACTGGGCGCGGATGCTCTGGGCGATGTCAGCTTTGAGGCCTTTCTCGTCATTGAGGCTTCCGGCGCAGCTTGTGCGCTCATTGGCCACAATGGTCAGTACTCCGAGGTAACTTGTTGGGACAATGGATTTTGCGGAAGAAGCCATGCCGCTGCTTACAAGGCTGCTTCAATGGATGTGGTGTAAAGAAGCCAAAGAGGATTTAGAGTGCTGCTTTAGACTGTCTTGTCTCAACGTCAGTGCGCTTTCCCACTTAGGTTTGAGATGCCCAGGCATTTTGCTCCATCCTTTGCGAGCAGTAAGTGATTGATCCATATTGGTCATTGGGATCACTCGACATATAATTTTGCAATCAGTTTTAAGATGTATTTCATACGCTCGAGTCTTAATGTTCGTCTTCATTTCGTCTTCGGTCTGTCTTCTCGTACATATACAGCCCCCAATGGCGCCACCTCACTTGCTGTTCGGAGGAGTACTCACATCTCTCCCTAAGCAAATAGCATAACGAGTGCCGCCATCCCCCCAGCAGCCCCCACGACCGCCGCGCCGGTCCTAGTGACCGCACCGCCGGCAGACGTTGTGCTGCTCGCCGGAGGCTGTCCGGCCACTGAACCAACCGAGCTAGACGCTGTCGTTGCAGTCGTCGGCGCCTTGGTAACAACAGCCGCACTAGCTAAGCTCGAGGGAGACGACGAAACTGCCGAGTCGGCGGCGGAGCTGCCCTCGATCAGCGTCCCCACCAGATTCCAGTACGCCACGAAGGAAGACACGTCGCAGTGCAGGTTTGTGAAGGTCGTGAAGGTGTCGATGCCGAGGGAGAGGGAATCGGTGGCGCACCACGCGGACTCGGTGTTAGAGCTGCAGTCATGTAAGCAAGAGTAGCGTTCGTTGATTGATATCATTTTGCGTTAAACGGAGAAACGGGCCGGGGAGTGGACGACGAGGGCAGAACATTTACATACCAAGCAACCACCTGAGAATTTGTTGCGCATTCCGGGTTGGCCGCGCACGAGCCTATGTCCGTGTAGTCCACGCAGCTGGTGAAAATAGCGCAACCTGTCACGGCGCCGGCAGACTGGCCAGCGCAGCAGCCCCACCAGTCGACCGTCGTATTGTAGCCGCACACGCCACCGTTGTGGCAGGTAAAAGATACCCAGGGCTCGTAGCTCGCGAACCCGCAAACACTTGGGTCTCGTTTTCGCAGTTCAAGAAGGGGGTCGCCGGTTGGTTTTGGCGTGAACCCGTTCACGGAGTAGTCCTCGAGTGTTGGCGTAGCTCTTGGAAATTTATTGTTAAAAGCCGTTGCAAACGACGCGAGGCCGACGACTATTAAAATACGGTGGTGAAGGGAATACATGGTGGTTTGCGGCACAGACAAATTGCAGGATGTGTAGATGTAGGAGTGAAGGATTTGGAGAGATCAGCTGCTGGTGAATGCATCTTGGCTTTTGTATTTTTCGCCCGTAGCTCCAGTCTATGAGGCGCTGCCGTCTTTGGTTTAACGTTGCTGAAGTTGGTGGACCTAAGCTTGAAGTCCACAACCGCTTTGGCAAAGCTTCATTTGTTGTGTATCTGAGTGTTTCTTCGACATCAGGAAGGGGAACGCTGTGGCGTATTGGCTGTGGCGTATTGGCTGTGGCGTATTGGCCGGGCCAGATTGGTTGAAATTAGCGAATTACCGCTGAGAGCGCTTCGATGGAGGTTAAGCTACCACTCACGGTGAACGCTTGAAGGCCCAGCCACGCAGCCTCACGTTGTGTTTCGTCTAGTGTGTGCACGCTCCTCCTTCACTGCGTTGGAAGCGAGCTGACCTCACGACTGGAAATAATTTGGCTCGCCAAGCCCGCTAAGCCAAGTTGGGTCATGCACACACTAAACTACGCTGCGTCCAGCGATCCAGCGCAGTGTTAACGCCACAGGGGAAATAAGTGGAGTTGGCGCGGAGAATGCCCCTTTCTAGAATACATCTTACCGGGCTTGAGCTGAATTCATGGAAAGTCTGGTACTTTGAAACGTTCCTTTGGTAGATTGCCCTCTTTTACGGCTTGCCAGACGCAAATAGAGGCTGTATATACCCATTCGTAAGTCAGCTACACTGTGGCTACAACGCATTGGGCCACTTTTTTGACCGTGATAAGGAGGCGTTGTGCACAGGCACGATTTCAGCCAACCACAAGTTTTTCCAGAGCCAAGTTGAGTCGACAAGAGGCCGTCGCTAGGGCGCCAGCTTTTAAAATCGCACGAAAATGATGACTCCCAAAGGGGTCGCATTTTCACTCTAGAAGTCGACTGGACATAGTTCAAGATCCCTTGTGAATACGCCGGGCGTGCAAAAGGCGAAGGCGATTTTGCAAGCTACATATTAAAGGGCAAGTTTACTCGAGGCTTGAGGGCCGGAACTGGAGCCTGGGAAGTCTGGAACCTTCTGAGGCTTAATACTGGGTTACGGCCTAGGGCCGAACTTAGGCTTGCTCATTTTACACTGCCACAAACCCTTCTCGATGCAAAAATGTGAAAGTCCATCGGAAACGCCGATGAGTGCTGCGGAAACGTCAGCCTCTGGCCGTGGACCCCGGAACCAACCTTCCCCAGCCTGCTCCGTTGCACTGCCACAGACTCAGGCACAGAAACTGGAACCAGGCGCTAACAAGCTGCTCGACTCACAACTCAGTACTGCTTACTCATGGTTGAAACTGCACTTATGCAGGTGTGAAAACAGAGCTCGAATTTATAGGATTGTAGATAAAAGGCAGCTAAGTAGGCATAGAGAGGAACACCTCGGCAGAATTAGTTTCTAAAGCCCATCCGTTCTGGCGGCAAATGCCTCCACTATCGTAGGGCATTATCAGTAAGGGTGGCATTCCTAGATGCAGCATGTATCTATCCATACGAGATCAAATCCGTCCGCGGCAGCCACTATGCAGCATCTTCAATTTTGGCGTATCTCTTCCCCTCGAGTAATTTCGTGACTCTGAAGGTCTTGGAATGTGACTTCGTCTGCTCCCCATGTAGAGATGGGAAGAAAGATGAGACGAGAGGGAAAGATTGATGGGACGTGCGGGGATTAAGCTAAACCCCTTTCATCGCGGCCAAAATAAACACCGAGCCGCTCTTCCCAACTTCGTTTCGTCTCATCTTCTCTTTTCTCCCACCAACCCGTGAAGATGTGATGCCAACATCCTATCTGCCCATCCATCAATATGGCAGACCCCGAAGATGACCGCCGTGCTGTGGAGCTGGAACTCCTGTACGCCATGTACCCCGACCAAATTACCTTCACAGAAAAGTCCAGGGAACTCAAATTCGCCCAAGAAACCGCTGCACTGATCCTTCGTCTTCCAGAAAGTTATCCCAGCTCTGGATTCCCAGAAGTTGTATCCGCAAGCGACACGTTCAAGACCGACCTGCGAAATCGGATGAAAGCCGGGATTGCCAATCTCGAGCTGGCAGAGGGCGAGGAATCTCTGGACGCAATCATTGCCCAATTCCTGGTTCTCCTGGATCAAAATAAGGCCACTCATGATCAATTGCACACCGATACCTACCGTGAGCGTATCCCAGGCTCCAAAACCGTCGTTATCTGGCTGCATCATCTCTTGGCGACTTCGAAGCGTAAAATGGCACTCAATCCCGCCATTCCTGGGGTCTCTGGTATCACCAAACCCGGATACCCAGGCGTAATGATCTTTTCTGGGCCGGTGGCTGCAGTAAATGATCACGTGAACACGCTGAAGCAGGAGAACTGGCAAGCTTTCCAGGTGCGCTACGAGGAAGAGGGGCAGCTTTGGGAGTTTGAACATCTGAGAGGGATCAAAGAGGTGGAGACGATGGGAGAGGTCGTCAGAAGCATTGAAGTTGATGGAGCGGGAAGAAAGGACGAGTTCCTTCAGGCTGTCGGGATCAAATGAGGCTGCGGATGGTCGGATCGGCTTTCAATCCATGTCTATAGGTGCAGTACATTATCTGAGGCTCGTGTTCACTTTTATGATGCTACGCGGCTAGCTACACCGGGGTCTTAGGGATCTGAACAGCATGTTAGTCGCGCAACAAGGAGATGACGGTAGACCACTTTCTCCTCTGGACCAACCCTTTGCGAAGGCAGAAAGATCATAGAGCTGGCATTTAGCGATCAGGATGGAGAACGCAACGAAGTAGTCTTATAAGCGGAGAATCAGTGCACATAGAGTCATGATTAAGAACTTTATGAGGCTTCATTCCGACCGGAAAGCACCGCGGTCCGAATATCTCGAACATGGAACTCGTCATCTAGTGGTAAAGCAATCGAAGTACCAACCAAACACGTAAAGCTCTCCATACCTCCTTCAACGGCATCCTCTCTTTACAAGGAGAAACTACAAGACATGTCCTCCTTGAAGCTCCGATGCACCCCTATCAACAACTTTCCGTCCGTCCTCTTGTCGTTCAGTTCCATCACTCCTCGCTCATATTGCGTTCTCCCACGGGCTGAATACAGGGTACAACGGGAAAACGAACGACCATGAGATCTTCTAAACTTCCGACAGCCGAGAGCTGAATTTGGAGAGCTCGAGAATCATTTCCGCTGATTCGAAAGACTGGTAGCATGGAATTCCTGCTTGCGATCATCGACGCTGGTTGTATTCGTCTTGCATACGCCGAGCGTATTGTCTTGCCGCCCTGGACGATTGGCGGTTTGCATTAGATTCAACGCCGGTGCCACTGCCATGGGTGCCGGAGTACTGGTTCTGAGCGCTACTGGGGTCCTGAGGTCCATGGGCTGGTAGAAGGTTACCGCTTGGCGCTTCTAGGACAGCGTACTTGCTATCTTTCAGCGTGAGCAATCTGGTCAGCTCTTGCGCTGGAGCCATCTCATCCATTTCTCCAGCCTCGTCAGCCACAGCACTTGGTTGCTCCACAGATACTCCTCCTTGATGGATGTTGGGATTGCCTGCAAGCTCGGAACGACGTCCCGATGGATCCTGTTGCGTCGGCAAAGTCTCTTGGGCATCATTTGATGGCTCCGCAAGACTTGCTTGGTGCGTTTGCACTTCTTTTTCAAGATACTTGATCCTCCTCGCCTGCTGGAAATTTTCGCGCTGCAATGCTTGCTGCTCTGCTTTAAGGCGCGCCACCTCCGCTGTAACACGATTGGCCTTTTGTTCTGCGGCATATTTCTTATTCTTCTCTGCGATCCATAGATCTCTCCAGTGACGGGCGTCATCCTGGCACTCGGCCAACTCTGATGCTAGGCGGTCTTTCTCCTCCTGCTCTGTGAGGCATTGATCTCTCCAGATGCGGCCGTCGAGTTGGCATTCAATCAACTCTGATGCCTGGCGATCTTTTTCCTTCTCTGCCTCTTGTCTCTTCTTATACGCTCTCTTCCATAACGCATCACGATCATAAAAGAGTCGGAGGTCGATATCTCCTAGCGCTGCTAGCCGTGCCAGTGTGTCGGGCTGATAGGCATAGACATACTTCAGATCCTGGACCAACTCCCATCGTCCGTAGTTGAGCCTTTCGAACTCTTCCTCAGAACAAGCTACATGGAGATCATTGCTGGCTCTGATTGCGCGGTCTCTTAGTGCCGGGTGAGCTCTAATCGGAATAAGGCCTTGGTCTCTATATCGTTCGGTGTGCTCGGGAGGTTGACGGTCGATCAATTCTGGAAGAAAAGTCAGCGTCGCGTCTCAATCATGTCGAGATGGTTTCACTCACGTTCATGAGAGGCGTTTCCTTGTCCTGGACCTCGACCCCGACCCCGGCCGCGCCCAGACATTTTGCGACAGAGTGAAAGGGCAGATCTCTCAAGGAAGTAGTTCAGGCCATGAGTGGTTGTCTCGACTGAAGTGCAAGAGGAGGGAAAGAGGTGTGGTTGCGGTGGAAAGTGAGGAGGTGAGGTTGGACTTAAGTCGGTCGGCGGGCGCTAACCCGTTTAGGACGCGGCCATCCAAAATGTGTCCCATATGCATAGCACACATCGGGTCCCAATCACTTTGTTGTAAGTAGAGACTCACGATAGAAGGCTATGTGCACTTGCTCACCGCTTCTATTCTAAGTTCCTCCGACGCATTTTCCAGAGTCGGCGTTGTGCATGTCACTTCTTGGTCTGCCGTTCTTTGGGCCTTCATTACTCTACACTAGCTTCTCCAATGCAAGGAAAGAACCATGGTTGGTTCCTGCAAAGGCTACCTCGAGGCAAGCATTCATACTTCATCATTCAACTCTGAAGACACTCAACATTCAGCATCTCCATCGAACCCTTACGAAGGTGGATAATTTCCAATCGTCCCCGAGCCAGTACCCGAGACGTTGCTGCTATGATCCAAGCGCGACGAATCTGTTAGTAACGAGGGCCAATTGATGCGTAGGGTCGGTGCAGCAATAGCGGACGATGGTGTTTCAGCGACTGACATCTGTTTGGGGGTCGGCTTGGAAACGTTGTTGTTTTGACTCAATTGCGACGAGACTGCTTGCGACGAACCTCGATCTTTCCGCAGAGACGGCGCAACAGTAGCGGCCGACGATGTATCAGCGACTGATTTACGTTTGCAAGTTGGCTCCGAGACGTTGTTGTTCGGGCTCAAACGCGACAAAGCTGATAGCAACGCATGTCGACTGTTCCGCAGGTACGGTGCTGTAGTAGCAGGCGTTGACGTGTCATCGACTGCTTTTCGCTTGAGGGTCAGCTCGGAGCTGGCAGTGGGTACTAGTCCAACAGCCGATGCCTTCGCAACCTTTCCAGCACTAGACATTGAGGTTGCTGTAGCGGCTGGGAGCCTTGTGGAGGCTGCAGCTCTCGTCTCTCCGGTAGGTCTGGATGCCGTCATTCGCAGCTAAAGTTGGTCGGGTCAGCTCTGTATTCTCAATGCTGCAATCTCTATTTCTGATGAACACTTTCTAGATTTGCCGCTGACCATCTCGTTCAGCGGGGGCAAATTCTTGTTCTTCCATATGAAGGACTCTACAAACCACTTCCTAGTCCTCTCAAGCTTCTGCCATAGCTCACGATTAGACTTCGCCTGGATTTCCACCTCCGCACGCAAATGAGAAATTTCATGTTTCGCCGTCTGCAACGAGAAGCGCAGTTGCCTTGATTTCAACTTCAGATCGCAGCCGAGTGTTCTCTTCCTCGAATGTCTTGGAGGAAGCCTTGTACTCATTCTTCCACTGTATTGCACTTGCAAGCTCTTCCTCCAGCTTTTCCTTTTGCTTCTGCATGTCACCCATTCGTACCGTGAAAGTCCCGGTAAGTAGCCGAAACTTCTCCCTCCTTTCAGACATCTTATCGTCCTTCGCTCGAAGAAGAGTGTCCTTTTTGTACAGCTGCGCTTCAAGCACTTCGATGACGTCACGAAGCTCCCGTCGAGGGGCTTCAGCAAGAGCCGCTTCCGGATAGGGCTGGTAATCTTCATGGTGATCGTCTTGCTCGCGAGATCCTCGTATATGCGCTTCGATTGCGTCCGGTGTGAGGCGAAGGTACGATGAGATTACACCGTCTGAGTACGATAGGTGCGCCTCGCGTTCGGCCTCAAGCCAGCGTTCGAAATGCTCTTCAGCGTCTGGGTCCGCCATCTATAGTCCATGTTAGCGCCTCAATCGATGTTCTGAAGTTGTTAATTACCATACACTTGCGATAGCAGTGAGGATCGCCGCTCCTCCGGATACGACGGTGGAGGGGTTTCCAAGGTTGTTTGTTTGGTGGAGCGGAAGAGGCCGTAATGTTGGGGTTTTGATACCAGAGAATTCTCGGCAAGTTTCGTGGAACATAAAGTGGCAGTCGATTCTACCTCGTTTGATGTGGTCGTAAAGCTATCGGGCGAGTCAAAGCTGTTGTTTTCCGATTCACAATTACAAACCATGGGACTTCAGGCGGTGCTAGGTAAGTGCCCCGAGTGGGTGTGTATCAAAAGTATAGGGAGTGTAGACTGCAAATGGTAGGTGAGGTAGCTCAGAGGTAGCGTCAAACTGCGCAGACTTGGACTCTTGGACCTCGAGCATGACATGACACTCATTCACAGCTTCAAAAATTGTATGAATCTGCAGTATTTCTATTACTACTGCAGCTAACATCTGAAGCCCTACCCCAAGCCATACAACTTGCTCAAGAAAAGCCGACGGGGTATTCCTCCAAGATACAGTAAGAGAACCAGAATCACCAACCTTTTAAACCCAGTCATCCCAAGAAGTCTAGATCCGCAGTCAGAGGAAGAACCAGCATGCCAATACAGGCCTGTTTCAGACTCGCCGTCCAAACAGAACTGTATGGACACAGCATCGACAAAGGGGATACATACCTGTCTCAACATCATTCAAGACCGACGGCGGAGCAGAGCCAGGTCTTCATTCTTCGAGTTGAGCATTCCAACGATCCTTCTCATGACGGGTGATCTTCTCATAATACTTCCTACCGCCTGGGCCTTTTCGAAGGGTCATCTCTGCGCCGGTGTTGGTAGTGAAACCATCGTACAGCTTCGTATCAGGAGGGGCCTGGAATCAATCAGTATTTCATGCAAACTAAACTCGCCCCGCAAAAACCATGAAAGTTTACCGGTGGATCATCTGGCTCTTGAAGAGCCTGGAACTTGTTCGCAGCTGGCTTAGGCTTCTTCCCCTTCGCGCCCTTCTTGCCCTGGACAACGGTGAAGTTGGCGTTGGTATCCAGGTTCTGGGCGCTACGTTCTGCGAGCTGCTTCCTGAGCTTCTCCTCGCTCTCGGCCATGAGGTCTGCGGAGATGTTGAGGGCCGCAATCTCGCTCTGAAGCTCCTCAATCTTCTTGTCCTTCGCCTGGACGGTCTCGTACAGAAGATCGTTGGCCTTGAGCTCACTTCCAGACATCGAATACACAGGCGCCACGACTTCCTCGATACCTTTGCGGACCTGCAGATGGCGAGTCTCTTCCTCATGCTTCAGCTTCTGCTCCAGTTCGGTGGCGACGGCTCTGGACGTGTCGAGCTTCTGCCATGTCTTCTCCTTCAGCTTGCTTAGCCTGGCAGCTTCCTTCGTCATCTCCGCGACCTTCTTCGTCAGCGCGTTGGCCTCCCGCTCTTTGTTCTGGAGCTTGACTTTGAGGTCTCGGTGCAGCTTTGCTTCTGCTTGAATAGCAAGATCCTTGTTATCGATCACGACGTCCAGAGCTTTGATGCGCTTATTCAGACCCTCGACGTCGGCTCTATGCTGTTTCTTCTGGCTCTCGATATGCCGATCCTTTGCAGCGACTTCCTTCTTATTGAATACTTTGATTTCAATAATCTTCTTGTCCTTGGCTTCGAGCTCTTCTTGGCACTTTTGCAGTTCCTTCTGGAGACCATCACAGCAACACTTGCTGACTTTCACGGTCTTGGGAAGCTCAGCAATGATCTCATCGCGCGCTTTGATCTCCATTCTCAATCGTCTGAGCTCGAGTCCCTTGGTGAAGACCATGGCTTCCTGCTCGCTGAGGCTGGCAATGGTCTTGTCACGGGCCGCGATGGTCTCTCGCAGTTGCTTCGACTCGGCAGTGTTTGCGATGAAAGCTTCCCGTAGGGTACGGACCTCCACTTCCAAGGCTGGGATGCGAGAGGGCGTGGAAGCCGAAGCAGGTTTAAAGCTAAAGTCGATGGGCTCGGCCTGCGCCGGGGAAGAGAAGACTGCGGCGGTGCCAAACTCATAGGTAGACCTCGACTCCCAGGCAGCGGTGGTGCTCGTATCGGAAACGGGATCCATGTTTACGGCGGACGGGCACATATCTGGGTCGTTCGGCTCCGCAGTCGACGACGGGTAAGGGAAATTGATATGCAGAGGCTCAAGAGGCGAGGACGGGCGATGGTACGGTGGTGGTGTTGAGGGTCGAGTGTTTTGTTGTTGTTTTGGTTGTCGCTCTGGCGAACGGTGTTTATCTTCGTCTGTTTGTTTTGGCTGCGCGAGTTCGCGACTGACGGCTTTCAGTGCGTCGTCTTGAAATGGTGAATTGCACGCACTTACCTTCCAGAATTGCCCATCTTTCCGCGGTTTCCCACCGCAAGGCGACGGTTTCACTGCCCTTTGTTATCACCATGTTGTCAGCGACTAGTCCGAAGCGCGAGAGACGGAGTTCGTGGGCGGCTTCTTTAGCGTCGCCTTGAAGACGTAGGCAAGGTGTGTTTGGAGCTCTTTGTTGATGACGTACTTGCGGTCGTGCGGTGAGGTGGGCGTGGATGTTGAGAGATCAAGTTGTCGAGTGTGGACGGTGGGGTTGTTGGTTAAGTCTAGTATCACGCGAGACGGTGAAGAGCTCCAAGAAGCAGCTCATATCTCCGCTACTACCCGACCTCTTTACGCCGCTCTCACCCGAAGAATTTGCACTTTCAAGTTCGCTTGTCGTAGGTACAGTGCCTTCTAGAGGTATCCGTACACTTTCCTGCCACTGTCTGCGGTTCAACCTACTAATAGAACCCGGGCGCAGCGGATAAAATTCCAATCTGCGTACGCCCAGTTGACGCCGTCTGGGGTAGCCTTGCGAGTTTACTACATGCCGAACTTCTCTCTTTTCTAAAACGCTGAAAATACTACGAGGTTCCTCACGTAGCAGTAGACGAGTGTACGGATTCCTATGATGAGGCATTGTAGAGATCGATCCGGGCAAAGGTTCCTGCGTCTCCGCCTCGCCTTCCTCCAACCAAGCTTTGAGTCGCAAATAAGAAGAGCTGCGCCATCCACTTCACTCGCCCGCAACACGTCTACGCCATCTTTCACAACGACGAGATCGCCAGACTAGAGGCTCAGCTCCCAGCCATCCGGGATGGGGCGAGGCTAGAGTTCCAGGAAGAGCTAGCGAAGACGAAAAAGCAACTAGAAACAGAGCATCCGGCCAGGTTGAAGCTGGAAGAGTCTGAGAGGAAACTTCTGGCCAGCGAGACAGAGCTAAGGCAACAGCTTATCGACAAACGCGCCGACAACCAGGCTAGACAGCGCAACGACCCGCACGTTTTCCAAGGAGCTCAGCGCCCCAATGCTGCTCGAGCAGTGGACGAAGATGACGAAGACGCAGACGAGGACGATGGGGATGGGGCCGATGATCCCGAAGTGGCGGCACCTATCGAAAAGAAGCGCAGGCGATAGGCGGAGAAAGCGGCGGAGAAGGGAGGCCGCAGGAGGCGGAAGGGGTGAACTCTCCTGCTACCTTGTTTGAGTATTGTACTAGTAACCAACCAACACACTCTACTCTCTAGACCTGTTCCTCGCATACTCGTGCCGTGATCATACCTGCGCGCTGCGGCACGGCCTTGCCAACCCATGAAACACTTGCCCTATAGTAACTCTTCCTGCTCTTCGAAACATGCCATAATCATACCCACGCGCCGTGGCACAGCCCTCCCATTCCCCTGAAACACCTCCAGCATCAAAACACCCCCCTGCCTTTCGCCACATCATCCAACGCCAACCCCATCACTACCCTTCCAGTCCCCTTCCTCCCCAAACCATCTCTTAAACCCCATCCCTCCCCCACCTCCCCCGCGCCTCACGCAAAGATGCACCACCAGCTCTCGGTCCTAGTAGAAGGTCCCGGCCTGACCCCGACCGCCCGCTCCCACTGGTCCTTCCTCCTCTCCACGCCCCCGCACCACCTCGGCCTGCTCCTAAACGTCGTCGTCCTCGACCACGCCACCTTAACCTACGGATTCGAAGCCCGGAGCGGCCATCCGGTGACCACCACCTCTAGCGAAGGGCGCGTCGTCATCGCCGACATCCCGGCGAACAGGTATCGGGAGGTGGTGGAGGTGGTGAGTAGGGAGGCAGCGCCGAGGGATGGGGTGGTGAGTTTACTGTAGTTTTTTGATTTGAGGCGCCTAGGCTTTCTTGTGGGAATTGGAATGGGAATGGGAAAGCTGATAAGTGGCAGGACCGCTGCCAAGACTGGATCCTCAGCGCGCTTATTAGTCTAGAAGCCGAGGAGCTGGTTCCCGCGGGCACGGCCGCGCTCGTCTCAGAGATGGTTGGGGAGACGGCTGCGAGTGTCGCTGCGAGGCCGGGGGAGAGGTGGATCCCCTCTGGGCCAGGTTAGAGCTAGGAGGTGTTTTCTTATAATACGGTACTACCGAACGGATCTGATATCGAGCTTTTGGTGTTATTACATCGCTATTTGAGAAGCTGCACCGTCTAGCTAGCTTATCCATCGCAGCCTGACAGAGCCGTACCCATAAGCCCAGCTCCAATACGCGGGTATCTATTCATAATCATACAATCACCCCTTTTCTGCAGCCTTCATCCTTCCATAATAACATCACCATCCCCATCGACATCCCCATTTTCACCCTCGTCATGCTCACCAACCTCATCCGCACCATCCTCAACACCGCTTCCATCGTCCTCCCCACCACTACCCGTAACCCCTGCCAACTCCAACAACGCCCCATCCCACTCCCCATCATCCTCCGCCGCCGTAATCGGATACCCGATATTAATCCCACTAACCTGTGGCCGCGGCTTCCGCCACCCCTTCGGCGGGCCCGTCTTCTTCTTCGCCTTCTGCGCCGCCGCCTCCACCTCCCTAATCTTCCTCCGCTTCTCCACTTCCACCTTTCCCGCGTCCGTCGTGCCGAGCACGCACCACCAGTAATCGCCCGGCATCACCCTAGACCCATCAGCGGAGAAACTTGCAGCACCAACATCCACAAGCCAGCCAACGATCCGTTCAATCTCCCACCTCTCCAAGATCTTCGCGAGCGCAACGGAGAGCGAAGCGACAGACGCCGGGGCGCGGAGGACGAGATGGCCCAGCACAGCCACGACGGCGCGCTCCCACCACGCGTACACAAAGCTTTCATTCAGGTCGCACCAGATGGGGATCTTGCCGTCCTGGCACAGCGGCGGTGGCACGATGGAGACGTCCCAGCCGACCCCGAGGCCCTTGTTCTCGGCAAGCGGGTTACCGAAGCGGTAGGCGGCCGTGGGGACGAGGTCGAGGCCCCAGAAGATGTGCTCGCGCGACATGGCGACGGCGCGGTAGTTGCTTTCGGTCCAGCCCCACACGGAGAGGCGCGGGAAGGGGTTGCCGATTGTGCTGTCGACGGCGGGGAGGTGGGGGACGAGCTTGGCGCGGGCGGTGGAGAGGAGGGTGGTGATGACCATGAGGGCGCCGCTGGAGAGGGTGAGGGAGATTGGGTGACGGGCGTCTGGGTTGAGAGTGGGTGTCGCGGATTCTGTGTCGATGCCGGACATGGTGACGTCGTTGTCTTTGTCGGCGGTTGGAGCGCTGAAGATTTCGTCGAGTTGTTGCTTGAATAGCACGGCGTCGTTGAGGTTGTCGATATCCCAGACGCGGTTGAGTTGCTTGTAGAAGGCTGGTGAGAGGGTGAAGTCGTCGCCAAGCAGTGGGTTCTTCCCCTTCTTGAGAAGCTTGAACGCACCGTCGCCTCTCAGGGAGGATAGTGCTTCGTCGATATAGTCCTCGTCGAGCTTGCTAAGCTTCTCGTTAACGGATTGCACGGCATCGCTGCCGACTGGTGCACCATTGGCAACGCTGGCTCGAAGCCACGATTTCGCTTTGAGCAGCTCTTCCTTCATAGACGGATCACCAACTCTAGGAACCTCGAATTTCTCGATCGGCACCGAGTAGACATAATCAGCCACCTCTCGCTCTCTGATATATGTCTGCATCGTGCCATCATACCAATGGTCCTGGAAGTCAGTCTGCTTGGGCAGCTCCTCGACGGTATAGTGATCGTAAATCTCTGCTCTATCCTCGGGAAGCAGAATTGATCGACTTGATTGCTTCAGCGTATTCCGGGCCCAGTCAACCAGCTCAACCCAATCATAGCTATCCGGATCGTCGAAATCAAACGTCGGCGCTTGACCCTTCTCGTACGCCTCAATGAAATGCTGTTGGAATTGCTCCGTCAATCTATCGACCAATGCTGTGCAACGCGACTTGACAGTGCTCCAGCGTTTCTGGAAGGTGGACATGTTGAACTTTGGATGGTTCTTGAAGACTTTGCCAATAATCTTCCAGTCGACGTTTTGTTCGATACCGCCTGCTAGAACCTTGGAAACCACAATAGTGTACAGAAGCTTGTCTGTGGCGTCGTTATCGATGACGCAACGAGTCAGACGCCGAGTACGTCGTGTAGGTCTCTTCTTTGGCTCAGAATCAGCAGTATTGGGGTCCACAGGTCTAGCGGCAGCCTTCTTTCTTGTACGCTTCGGTCCTGGCGGAACAGTATCAAGATACGCAAGCTGAGAAGCAGCATTCTCGGAAATTGCTGCTTTCGCCTTCTGGAGAGCGGTTCTCGGCTTCTTGAGTCCGCTTTGCTTGGTCTGTGTGCCATTTGCATGGGAGGAAGATTCTCCCGGAAGATTAAAAGTGACCCGCCTCTTCTTAGCAGCAGGACGCTCGACCGCACCGACATCTTCAATGGCGCGTTTCGTAGTGAAGGCCATTTGACCGTTCTCAGAAGACCCCTCATAAGTGTACCACACTGTGCCAGGGACATGTTTATGGCCTTCTATTCCAGCACGACGACGACGCTCTTGCTCGGCGCTCTCTGCCGCTGGGCGTTCGATATCCTGGCCATTCGCAACGACATGCTTTCCAGGCATGGTGAGATTGATGAAACAGAATTCCGCCTTCCCAGATACCTGAGACTTTTGCACTAAATAGTCGTGTCGGAAATCCCAAGAAGCAACCTGGTAGACATCCATGAAGTATTTCTTGTGATCAGGATCGACCAGCCAATCGTAGTCTTCATGATCGACGGCGGGCCTGAATCGCGGGAGTTTTTGAGCAGTGATGTCTTCGAGACATCGCGGAAATGGAGCCTTTGTGGGCTGGGGGCTCTCCTCTGACGGACTCGAGACTGTAGACTTCTTTCGTGATACAATCTCGTCGGAGAATGTCCCAATATTGGGGTAGAAGGTAACAGATGGGTTCTTCCAGAATGTTGTGGCCGCATGCTGTCTCCTCTTGGAATATCGTGTGGAACCATCGGTTTCATGGCGTTCTGTGAAAAACTCCCTCGAAATCTCTTCCAGATCTGAATCGTCTGAGTATTTATTGGACGGCGAGGTACCTTCTGGAGTGGAAAGAAAGATCGGACTAGGAGCATTGATGTCACCCTGCCTAGAAACTGATGTCTCGGTCTCAGGGCTGAGCGAATCACGCTCAGTGTCATCATCGTTATCAGAAGAACAACTGTCGGACAGGAAATGCCTCGATCCATGAACTTCCTCTTCCTCAATCTCAAGCTGAACCGGCGGCAGAAGCGCAGCAAAGTTATCGGTGTGCAACTTTGGCAATCGTGGCAGACGACCTGGCAGCTTTCCCGCTCCGCCCATTGCCGTGGATACAGGATGAGCACCACTAACCAAAGAAGCTTGCTGCAGCTCCTGCATTCGCTTGGCTCTCTTCTCTGCAGTACGTTCGCGAGCTCGCTCATTCGCCCGGTCTCTCTGATCTCGAATTCGCTCCTCATGGGTCTTCTTGACTCGGTCTTCAAGACGTTGGATGACTGCTCCAGGAAACATGGGCTCTACAGCCATCTCAGTTTCGATCTCAAACGTCCTATGAGGGCCCCTCGCTCGGACATCGGCGGCAAGTTCGCTGACCTGTTCAGGGAAGTAGATTTGAGGATGATGTTTGATCATCTGCTGTTGCAACGACTTGACCTCGATAGACAAGGGATCGACACCGGCGAGAGTTAAGATTTTCTTCGAAATAAACCTCCCGTTGTCGACTTCGAAGGTAAACTGCAAGCGTCGGAGAGTTCCATCAGAAACTAGCATTTTAATTTGCTTAGAAATTGTCGCACGATCCGGCATCGTCGTTTTCTGCAGATTTGAAGCCTTCTCCCAAGCACCTCTAAACACGTAGTGCAGTTCGTTATTTCCAGGGAAAACGCCTCCACAACTTGTGATGACGTCGAGGATGATACGGGTCCGCTGATAGAATATGGTCCCCCCTCCGATTATCACTCCTTGCTTCCTAGCGATATTCTGGCTGCACTTTTCACCTTCCAATACTTCTGCATCCGGGACGTACATCAATTGAGGGTTGAAGTAAGCTGAAGGACGTGGTGAGCCTGGAGGGGTGTAGGACTCGACCATTTCAACGTCGTGCAGCGGACCCTCAGGAAGTACTGATGATGTTTCCGGGGTGGCAGAGGTTTGCTGCGCAGCCGGTTGTTCGTCATTGAGTCCAATCTCGGGCGATCCTGGCGGTGGTTCGGTCGTGACAGTTCGTGTACTCCCAAATTCGAAAAGCGCATCTGGTGGTACAAATTTCGTAGAAAACGTGCCAGTCCATTGATGGAAAGTTGAACTAGAACTTGCGAAGGCGGGCATAGCATCCCCGTCTGGAGATCCTGTCGAGGTTCTCTGCCTCTTGTCGCCGTTGCCCACCAACTCTTCTGGGCTAGATTTTCTCTTGAGCGGCGACGTAACTCCATCGGGAGCGGCAGCTTGTTGGCCATCCGCATTACCTTCGACAACATCGGACATCTCCGTATTGACTGGGCCAACGCTCTCTTCTGCAATAGCTTCTTCTTGAGTTAGAGGCTTCCGGCGATTCCGCCAAGGTTGCGGCCTGCCACCAAGAGTCACCGGCGCCATCTCCTTCCCCTTTTTCAATTGCTCTGGTGGTCGAGGATCTAGAGGTAAGCCAAGCTCGTCGAGACGAGTCGACTTGAACACCGCGATCAAGGCTCGCCGCGGACGACCTCTAGCAATTCTTCGAGTAGCGAAAGGATTGATATACACGCCAGGTTCTGTTCGATCGTTGAATCGCGCGAGAATAGCTTCGACTTGGGCAGCAACATGGTCTTGTTGAGTTGCTCTAACAGGCGTAGCTATAGAGGGAGTCTGAACTGAAGGGCCAGGTGTTGCGCCTAGGTTAGCGCTATCAACCTGTTCTGTTGTTTCTACCACAGAAGCTGCAGCGTTTGGCTCGGTAGGCGTATCCTCTGGAATAAAACGACTGAGACTCTCTTCTGCGATTTCTGCCCACGACTTGTACTTCTTTCTGACTCGTTTTGCCGGTTCGTCCGCAGCAGTCGTGTCTAGAGAAGCTAGTGGAGTTGAAGTACGGCCTGGAGCCTCGCCAGACTGAGGAGTTTCCAATGAAGAAGCTTCCTCCATATCCAACCTAGATCTCTTTCGAGAACGTCCAGATTCATCGTCAACATTTGTCGGTGTTTCATCAGTGCCCTGGATAGCATTCGGAGTCGGAGAAGTGCGGTTCTCAGGTATCCCGTCGACATCTGGAGAAACAGGTCCTGTACTCGGGGCTCCTGTAGCGGCCTGCCCGGCTTGCTCTGGTACTTCCTGAGCGGTTTGCACCGGTGTCACTGGACTAGGCTGATAGTCTCGGGCATTGACAGACGTGAATGTACTTGAGGTTGGACCCCCGACACTTCCATCCACCAATCCCTTCTCCTTCAGTGTCTTCTTCCCCTTCGGCGTCTTATTTCCCTTCGCCGCCTTTCCAGCCTTCGGCGGCCTTCCAAGCTTCACCGTCTTCGATTTAGGCGCCAACGGCGGGATAAGCCCCTGCTCCTCAAGCATCTTCCGCGCAGGAATTGTCAACCGTCCAGCAATCGAGAACCCATTCTGTAGCCTCCACTCTCTCAACTGCTCCGCATTCAGATACCCATTCGGCTCCTCCGTGTTGCGTCGGTGAGGAGCACGTCTCGGCTGTGGGATAAACGCGCTGAGGCTGGGAAGTTGCCTAGTATCTCGTGTAGCTTGGACCGGGGTATCGACGTCCATCGGGGTATTGATATCCATCGCGTCGCCAACAGGGCTTGCCGATTGAGGTACAAAACTCTGAGCGCCGGCAGTTGATGGTGGTGGGACAGAGCTTAGAGTTCGAGAAGGCTTAATGGCTCCAGGCGCGGGAGTCTGACTAGCTGGCGTACCAGCTTCCATCCGCTTCTTGAACAGCTTCGGGATCTTGATCGCGATAGGATCGCAGTACGGGTATTTGGCGGTCATTCGTTCGACTTGTTTTTCCGTGTACAGTTTTCTCGGCTTTTCCGACTTTACTCCTTTACTCCTCGCCGGTTTGATTCTCTGATACCCGAGGTTCTCAATCAGGCGGTTGTCCCAACTATTCGACAGCACAAGCTCGTTCATCGACTCCCTACATTCCTGTAGCGTCGCAGCGCCCGTGCCGTTTGTGAAAAGCTTCGGAGAGAGTACGGGGAAGCCCCACTCATCTAACTGTACCTCTTTAACGTTCTTCGACTCTTTGAACTTGGCACCTTTCTTGTCGACAGCTTTCTTAGGATCTTGCACGGCCGCCCACTCAGTCTCATTCGCATCGACTGCCTTCTGGAAGTTATTATAGCTGCGGAAGATGTAGTGGATGAACTTCCTCTCCTGTGTGATGGCGGTGTCCCTAATGACGGAGAAATGCTTGATGTGGGAGGGCTGGTTCTGCTCCCATGTATCCGTGAAGCGAACCAGCATGGCTTCCAACGGTCGCTTCCAGAATTTCCCCAACGACGCAGTGCGGAGATCTTCGGAGTTGATACCTTTCGCGCCTGCAGCATCGATAGCATCGAAAAGGAAGCTCGTGATAACCCGATCAGGCGTCCACTGAGGCGGGATACGAGCCGCATCTAGAACAACTTCATCGTCGTCGAGATCTGCTTCCAGATCAAGGTCTCGTAGATCGTCGTCACCGCCTTCGTCTTCTTCGAGGATACTGTTGGTCATAGTAGGTTGGTTGACGTGAGTCACAGCCAAGATCCGGTAATCATCGTCGGTCGGTGCACGTAGAAGCTTCACGCATAGAGCAATCTTATCCTTGCGGCCTTGAACGCGGGCTTTCGTGCGGCTGATGTACTCGATGTTCTTGAGTCGGGTGAGGGCGCCTTCGAGAGCTTTTCCTTGCCAATTCTTGACGTTTGGGATGCCCTACACAAGTTAGACCGATGTCGTCGGTCGAGGATGAGGTTGTGGTCTTACAAGCTTCCTCCTGAGATCCACCTGCGAAACAATCCTGATATCCTTCAGAAGCTCATACAAATACGAAATCAGATTACCCATAATCAGTATTCCATCGATAAAAACATCCTTGCTATCGGTAGGAACATCTGTAGCTCTGGACTGATTCCGGGTAACTCCAGCGTTCTTGACCACATATCTCTTATGTACGCATAAACTCGTCCTCAGGCCCCTGACGTTGACAACTTTCTTCTCGATATAACCCTTTTCGGAAAGGTTGTCTGTCCGCTTCGGGGTCGAACGTTTGTCTTGTCCGGTGGCGGTGGTGAGATCTGGTTGGATGATGCCCTTCTTCCCCGCTGCGCAGATGACTTGGAGGCACTCGAATTCAAGAATGGGTAACTTCTTGTAGTCGATGCTGTGGCCGGCGATGGCTTTCCAGACGCGATTTTCGGTGGCATGCATGCGGAAGCCTTTTGCTGGGGGTTGAGGTACCGGATGGGTGGGTTCTCGGCGCATGAGGTCGCGGCCGTAGTCATATTTCTTGGAACGCGAGCTGGATGTGTCTTTTTTAGGTTCAGTGACATTACTGGAAGTCGTAGCATCCTCTAGCTGGTGCTCGTTGATCGTGTCGTTTCCAGGTTTAGTGGTGTTTCCAGATTGAAGGACGTCTTCAGATCCTCCGGCATCTCGAAAAATCGTAGCATCTTCTGGTCGACCATCGACATCCCCGGCCTCAATCTCTGCTAAACTCACACCTCTCATCCCCTTCCATTCATCTTTGACCACAAAGTCAGGATGTTCTTGGATCCATCCCCACACCTTCTCGTAAACCCTGTCATCCAGAACCACAGGCGGCGCTTCCTGGGTCCCAAACCGCCTCCCCGATGAGTCCGGATCCGGTTGCGCATAAAATTCCTGGATGAAACGACGAAAGTCGGGTATGCTAGCTCCTATATAAAAGTAAATTAGAAACCGAAACCTTGAAGTAGCGCGATTCGAACCGCAGGAGTCATCGACGCCGACGCCATCAACCAAAAATGGCGAGCAGAGCATGCATCTCATGCAAGAGCCCATTGGCTATACCCCAAGCTCTCTCCGCCCCCTCGCTAATGCAAGCTTGCGTGCATAGGGTCTTTGTGCAGGGCTTCTGACTCCAGCTTCTCACGTACCTCGATCCCCCGCCAACGCAATCTCAGCGAGCACAAACTCAATGAGCTCATCGAAGCCCTTCGTCATCGTCGTTTTCCACCCCTCCCCTTTCAGCGTTCCGTCGAATAGTGCGGGTAAAAAAGGCGGCTAAGCCATGCGCGGTGGGTGGGAGTCGAACGCAGGTTCTGGTGTCACAGGGCAGGCGTGAGTCGCGATTTTCGAAGGTGGGGCAGTGAGGTGGCGCACGGACGGCGGGTAAAGCTCGGGTGATTGGGACAGTGGACAACGGGTGGGTGAATGAATCAAAGAGCTTTGTGATGGTTTGAATGTTTTGTTTATCTAGAGGACTGATGGGTTGATGGTAATGAGATCCTATGAAGGTGTCTGCAGAATTTCGCTCATGTTGATAGCAAACGAGAATGATTGCTATCTCTTTCACAAGATGCACAAATGATATCTAGCTAGGCATTTGATATAAGTCTCGTGAGGACTATGTTGCTTGCACACCCCTCTTCCCATCCATCATTGCGCGATACTGCTCGATAATCCCCTTCCTCTGCTCCCCCAATTCCTCCCTCCGCTTCAAACTCCCTGACTTATTCGGCACATCCGCAACCTCAGCCTTTGCCCCATTTCGCACCTTGAACTTCTCCCTCGGGATCGTCGTAAACACCGGCGGCGCCTGCACCACATCATGTAGTCCCTTCGGCTGCTCCCGCGTCGCCTTCAGTGCCTCCCAAGGATCCCCATCGCTGTCGTCTTGCTCGCCTACCACCTTCCGCCGCTTGCTCTTCTTGCCTTTCTTGCCAGATAGTGGTGCGGTCTTGTCTTCCCATATAGCATCGATCTCGTCCTGCTCCTCTTCGGCCAGCTCCCGCGCTTCCTCCTCTTTGTCGCGAATCCGAGCCTCTTCCTCCCGCCAACCCTTCTGCAGCTTCGCGAGTTTCTTGTTATGTTTCGTCAGCCGCTCTTTCACACCCTCGACTTTCTTGCCCTTCCGCGAGAGTCCAGAAACAGGCAGCGCTTGGTTAACCCGCTGGGCGAAGTCGCTCATACGCTCGCCGGGCATGATCTTCATTGGCGGCGCAACATCCTTCGGTTTCTTAGAAGAGGCAGATGCACCGTCCTCGAGCTTGCGCTTCTTGCTCTTGCGCTCGCCGTCGTCCAGGCCTTTGGGGTTCCCTTTGCCGGTGCTTTGGAAATGCATCAGCCGGGAGAAGGCCTTGGGGGTGTCGTCCACACCATAGCCTTCTATGCGCTGCTTTCGCTTTTTTAGGGGTTTGGGTTTGTCCGCTGTGGGCTTGCGGGTGGGGAGGGGTGCGGCGCGGGAGGTTGGGGGGAGGTCGAAGCTGGATGAGCGTCAGCATCTTCACTGAAAGGGAAAAGAATATGTGATGCTTACGTCGAGACATCAGCATCTTTCCTCTTGTGCTTGTGCGGCATGGTTGCGGGGTTGTGAGAGCTGGCGTGGTTGTGAAAAGCTGCGCCAAGCTCTACGAAAATCTCGTGCTGTGGAAAGTTGACCGGGATGCCGAGCCAGACGTTTGCTCGGCGGCCCGGCGTGCCAGCTCGGCACAGGATCCTGTCGCACCAGGATCTGCAGCATCTGCAGCATGCTCCAGTCGTGTTCCCTTACTCGCTGCCAGAGAAGCTTGTTTGTGCGCGTGGTGATGGCGCCGGAGATGTCCATCTAACCCGCCTGCTACCTGATAGTCTGTCGTCCAGGCCTCTTTGGCTCTTTGGTTCTGCTCTTGGTTGGAGAGGCACTGAGCACGGACATACTTCCGAGACGCTTCACCAACGACAGATTGCGAAGATGGGGGTGGGATTACGACATCTGCGGCTGGCTTAGGGCAGTGGGCATCACAGCCACCGTCTTCGCCGCTGCTGCTTTTGCGCTTTTCGTGATGGAGAGAAGTGCGAGGCTCACGGCGAGAGACGAGCTCCTGCGATTCATCCGGGATGGATTGGAGCCGGACTGGCGACTGAAAGCTGACGGGGTCATTCACGCTGAATCCCTACTGCGTATCATGGGGCAGCTTCTTGAATCCCATTAGCGTCCCAGATGGTGTTGTTCCAAGGTAGGGTCCAGATACTGTCGGCCTGGAAGACAGCATGGCGGGACAGCATTCCGACGTATCGCAGGCCGCTTGTGAAGCACGCCGCTCCGAACCCTCGACGAAGTTCTCAACTTTCACACCTCAACGCCATCACGAGGCCCACCTCGGACGATCTGGTGTGAAGCTTGGAAAGATAGGTAGATGTGCATCCAATGAAGACAATGCCGTAGTGAAGGAACCGCCGACAAAGAGCAAACCAGATGCGTTCAACTGCGGCGTGGTGTTTCTCGACACATGCGAAGTGGTGGGTTGAAGGAGTCGCGGGGCCAGACCGCCGCCGGAACGGGTGGCCAGCCTCTTCGGCGAGCCTCTTTTCTGCACCAACGAGACGGCGGGAACGGCCAACGCGCCAGAGCTTCAGGAAACCGACGCCCGCTGCTCGGGATCCCAGCCGATGGGCCTGCTGAGGCCTTTGACACTGCCGCCGATATATGTCGTGCTCAAGCCCCAAGCAGCAGCCCTCGCTCTCGCATCCTGCTGGGCTATCTAGTAAATGCTGCACCGCCTCGTCGCTCCTTCAGCCGTCTTCGCCGCTCGCCTGCGTCATTTGCAGTTCCTGGAATAGGCACCGTCACCTGTGAAACACAGCACGTCGAACGAACACGAACGAGCCTACCCAGTGCTCGCGCCTTGGGGCACAGCCATCGTGTAACTCCAACAACTGGCCCCTTCGTTGCCCAGGATAAAGCGCTGAGAACACTGTGGCGCCAGCTGGACCGAGCCCTTTCTACATTCCTATATTGAGCGCATCCCCTGTGCCTGCCTGGACGGAATTCGCTCCTCTCAGCCCCAGGCCCCGTATACATTCGTCCTCAGCACCCTTCAACTGCGTCCACTCTGCCATCCTCCCCTCACCATCCGCACCGCTACCAAGGCCTCCACCTCGGAACAGTCAAGTTACCGGCGGCTCGACTTGAGCTCTCGTCGACCCGCTGAGACCCTTGCGGCTGTCAGTCAATTGGAGCCGCGCAGAACACGATCCGCGCCGGGTTTGCTGGCCACGCTCCGGTCGCCCTATTGGCTGGCCCCTGAGATGGCGCCACACGGACATCTGGGGAACGCGGAAAACTCGATGACGCGCGACTTCGAAGACTTCAACACTCCGCTCAAGGACGCGCCCATTATCTCGCTGCGAGCCCTGGAGAATGGCAACGACCTCTTCCACGCAAAAGACAGCGCCATCTCGATTTGGAGGCGGCTCCTCATGACGTTGCGTGGCCGCCGCGGAAATGCCAGACGGCGGGCACCTGAACTTGACAGCCCCGCTTCCCCAACCGTCCATGTCAAGGTTGTGAGACGTTCGAGCAGGGCGAAGTGGAGGAGGAGGTCGTGTTGGGGTTGTATTGCCATCCCGGTGTTAGCCCTGCTGTTTTTGTGAGTTAAGCTTTTTGGTCGCTTCATCCGGAACATCCGATCCACCTTCAACAGCTCTAACTATCTTGACCTCAAATCTCTGTTTTACAAGTCCGCTTCCCTCTTCAATCATGCTAGCCTCAAAACGAGTCGTTTCGTCCAAGTTTAGTGTATTTTCCCCCACGAACCACACTAATAGCCCCCAGCGGCATGGTGCACGTAGCAAATGTCATCATGTCTCTCGTGCCCATGATATGGGACAACGCCGTCGACACCGACCTCTTTCTCCCCAACTGGGGCAAGCCGAACTCCCCCGGCGAAGGCCTCTCCTCCTACCCAACCGACTTCACACGTGACGTCCGGCCCATCCCCTGCCACAGCCATAATGACTACTGGCGCCGCGTCCCCCTCTATCTCGCCCTGCACTACGGCTGCACTGGAGTTGAAGCCGACGTGTGGCTCTTCGATGACGATCTCTTTGTCGGCCACAACACCGCCTCCTTATCCCTTAACCGCACCTTCCGAAATCTCTACGTCAACCCCCTTGTTGAGATCCTCGACCGCGCCAATCCCTCCACCGCCTTCACATCTGCCGACCCAAGTCTTACAGATACGCTCAACGGCGTCTTCGACGAAGATCCCACCCAAAACCTCGTCCTCCTCGTCGACTTCAAGAACGCCGGCGACGCCCTCTGGCCCGTCGTCTCCGCCCAACTCTCTGCCCTCCGCGAAAAGAACTACCTCTCCTGGACCGACGGCTCAACGGTCTACCCGGGCCCCATCACTGTCGTCGCAACCGGCAACGCCCCCTTCGACCTCCTGACTTCCAACACTACCTACCGCGACATCTTCTTCGACGCGCCGCTCGCCGCCATGTACGAGGAACCCTTCTCCAGCGACCGCCCCTACCACGCACACCCTCCGCACGACCACGACCACAACTACGACCACAGCGAAGCCACGCCTCCCCTGCCTCAACTCGCCACCCCGCGCCGCGACAGCGGCCAAGGCGAGACCGGCCTCGTCCCTGGCTCTTCCTTCGACACGACGAACTCGTACTACGCATCGACGAACTTCCGCTCCGCGATCGGCTTCGTGTGGGGCAACCGGCTGTCGCATCGCCAGATCGAGCTGATCCGGGGCATGGTGGCGGGCGCGAAGAGCAGGGGCTTGGTGGCGCGGTTCTGGAACACGCCGGCGTGGCCGATCGGGGTGCGGAACCACGTGTGGCGGGTGCTGGTGCGCGAGGGCGCGGGGATGCTGAGTGTGGATGATGTGGAGGCGGCGGGGCGGGGGAATTGGGGGCGGCGGAAGCATTGGGGGTGGTTGTGACTGGCGACGGGGAGGCAGGGGGTGCGGAAAACTTCGAATAGGGGCATTGTTTTGATGTCTGGATTTCCGGGCTTTTGCGCGCATGACGACGGGAACGCGACTGCCGATGATGGAGATGGATACGCACACGAGAAGAGACGAGCGAAGGGATGGGGGCTTGGATGCATTGGGCGGTGTCTGTCTTTTTTTTGTATTTACTTCATATAGACCAGGGCCAAAAGATACCCGAATATAGCATTAACATTACGTCTTCCATTGCTCACCAACGAACCCACTTTACCACTACACCTCAAATATTTGCATGCAGATCAGGGCCTCAGGGGCATCCTGCACACCCCCTACTTCAAACACAACAGCGCCCCCTCCCCAAACTCCCTCGCCACACTCCCCTCGCTCCCAATCATCCCCTTCACCCACCGCCTCGCCCCCTCCACCTCGCGCGCGCCAAACTTCACAAGCACAAACCCCCGCACCCGCGCCGCGCTCCACAGCACCCCATCCGCCCCCTCCTGCCTCCGCCGCGCCCCCCGCCGCGCCTCCAGCTCACTCACCCGCGCCGCAGGCCCCCCGGGCGCCTCATCCTCCCACTGCCTTCCCCCAATCCGCGGCAGCGCCTCAAACTCCCCCATGAACGCGCCGCCCAGGCCCTCAAACAGCGGCCCGCGCAGGATCAGCGTGCCGAACGCGCCGAGCCCGTCCATGCGCGCCGCCAACTCCCCCTCGCTCCCCTGGCCCGCGAGGCGCGGCAGCGTGGGCGTGGCATGGCGGTCCAGGATCTGGTTGTCGCGCAGCAGCAGTTGACGGGCGTTGGTTTTAGGGTCGAGGGCCCAGACCTCGTTGCGGCTGCGGTAGGCGTGGAAGGCCCAGCGCTCGCCCCGCGCGGGGCGGCCTTCGCTGACCCAGTCGAGGACGCAGAGGCTGGCGGTGGCGTCGTCGAGCTCGTAAATAGCCGAGACGGCGACGGCGGAGTCGGCGAAGGGCTGCACGGGGTCCGGGAGGTAGCAGAGGGCGGCGCCGGCGCTGAGGCGGGTGGTCGTGTGTTGGCGGGAGAGGAGGGCGGGGGAGGGCGTTTTGAAGATCTTAGTGCTGCCTTGCGTGAGCAGCACGAGGCGGGTTGTGGGGGCGAGGGTGAGGGTCAGGGAGATGGTGTCGCCGGCGACGAGGCCGCCGCCGTAGGTTAGGAGGAAGAGGGTGTGGATTAGGATCCTCGAGTCGTCTGGTTTATTGGGGGTGGTAGAGGGGAGATATAGTGGCTCCGGCGCAATGAGCTTGAGCGGGTATTGGTATGTGACTGTTTGGAGAACCGGGGTATTGGGCGGGAGGAGGGCGAGGTGGACGGTGCCGTAGCCAGGGCGCGAGGAGGACGGGAGGAAGGGGTTTGTGAAGGACATGGTCCTGGTCTTGGGGGGGTTATCGGGGGTAGTGGTGGTGGTGCATGGTCAACGGGACCAATTGGTGTTGGCTGGGATGGGTAGATGGAGGTGGTGACTGGGATGTCGTGGTGGAGCTTATAGAGCTTTAAACTGGTGAATTAGTGCATGCGAGAAGAGGGGAGAGAGGTGATGGAAATAGTGGGGAGCTTGGAAAGAATACTGCCGTGATACTGCCCTAACGCTAGCTCCCAGTATTGTATTTGAAACACCAAACTTTTCGCCAGTGCAAGATCCCAGCACTCAACACTCGCCAGCGCAGCACCCAGGTACGCATACGGAGCGACATAGCTTTTCGTCGCTGCAGCAGGATGCTAGAATAATTGTGTCTTAGGACCTGCGTATTCTCGCCGCGTCGGACAGTCCAAGCATCGTCGGCCTTGAATTACGAGTAATATCTCGATCCCAGACTCAACTACCACCGTTAAACCAATTCCAATCCCAAACTTGATCAGTAACCTCGATTACCAAACCTTATCTCTTCCATCTCTACTTCCTACCTCCAACACGCGCAATGCATGCACCGTCGAGCTATGTGTGCATATCCACACCCTATACTGGAATCTGAATCTGAGACACGGGCCTCACTTCAAACGCATGGAAGAATCATACGCAGGACCCGCCACTTCCTTCCACCTCCGTGCCTTTCCGAACTAGAACGGAGAGTCGATTAGGCAGAGGTCAACGTACTGTCAAAATGTTCCGTGCTACTTACCAGCTACGGATGATTGACACTCGCGGTGGAAACCACAATTTCGTCAACCTCGGGAGCCTGTATGGAGCTTCGCAATGGTCACCTTGTATGTCGTTCTTACAGGATGGGACTTCTGTCATATATAAACGATGCCCCAATGATTTAGTGGGGGAACTTCGAGTTTTGGAAGGGTTCAACCAGCGCCTGCGAAGATTATTCGAGCCGAAATTCAAAGCCCTCAGGGAGCGGCAGATGGCTCATGTCCTCTACGTACTGTACGTCCATAGCTATGCGGTTGTGGTTGCGCTGCTTATTTTCTTCCAGCATGCCCCTCCATCAATCAACTACGCCACGCGGATTACGGCGGCCATTACACATAACTGTCTCCAGCAATCTCGATATAAATCGGCATATGTTTCACATCTATTGTCGCGGAAACGACCTGTCCCAAGGATTTGCGAAGTTTGAAATAAGCAGTATTACCAAGTCTGTGGAGCTGGATCAACTTCGAGACACTCTCCAAACCTTTCCTCGGAGCCAAAGTTTTCAAAGGCACGTTCGTTGATGGAAAGCTTGAACCCCGACCAGCACTCCCTCCGTCCTACCTAGACACCCTCAGACAACGAGCGACAATAGCATTCGCTGTAATTGAACAGTTCAATCCAAGGCTGGCACTTGGGCCAAACACGTGGAAACACGAAACAAACTTCTTCACTCCTCCACCCCACCAGCATCGTGCAGCACAGGAACTGTCTCCAACCAGTAACCCGTGGGCGACGACGGGCATGCTGGGCCAAATGCCTGTCCTTCCAGAGTTTCTTTACGCACTTTTCCATGGGAAGTCTCTTGACATACCAAGTTACGGTCATACCACTCGGGCTTATATTGATAAGGCTGTAGAGTTTGTCCGTGGGATCCGAAAACCTCGCCGTAAAGTCATACCTTCCACGGGACAGATTAATGCCACGGTCAAAAAACCTCAGCCCAAGAAGCCGCTCATCCGTTCCAAAGAACGAATATCCCATGGCCATGATCCATGGGCATGGACATCGACAGCACCAAGACAGAGCTCTAGTGCAAAAACTGTACGAAAGAAGGACAATTTGGAGGAGGAGGGAAGGTACGGTAAACTCTTACGAAATCTGAAGGCCGGGCCTGGCAAAGATGATACCGCCTCGAACCGGAGTAGTAGTAGCCTTGACTTTAGTGAACGATATCTCTCAACAAGGAAACTGTTCCAGGCGCGGCGTGCATCTTTGTTGCTGCCTACACCCGTTATCATATATAAGCGGAGCAGTGGCCGACCATGCGGGGCTGAACTAAAGTTTGAACCAGTGTCTGGTGAGAAGAAGTTTGTCAGGATCAACGGCTCTTCTAAAGACAAGGCTCGTATGAACCTGGCGCTTTGGCAAGATGCATTGAAGACAATGGAAAATTGGGAGAAACAAGGAGTACGCACATCCGCGTCTGTGGATACTGCCAGCGTAAATCTGACTCGACAACTAAGACTGGGGGAAATTGAATTTAAACGTCTCTGCAACTTTAATAGTGCTTCCTCCCCATCCATCCGTTATGACAAGACCAGTTCCGGGCGGTGGATGGCGAGTCTAGAGCTCAGCATTCCGATATATGGGAAGAGAACTGTAAAAACGAAAGTTGCTTTTGAAACCAAGGAGCAGGCCAGACTGGCACTCTGGAAAGCTGCATCGAAGGTGCTGGAAGAGCTGGTCCCTGCCTCTATAGACAAAAGCAACATTCGGAGACTGCCTTGGGTCCACAAACTCCTTATCATGCGATGTCGCTATTTCGGTATTTCCCTATTGAGCCGTTCTGTTGAGGAAGACCTTCCGGATTTTCCTGGTCGGTGGATTGCAAAGCTTGAGGTGGAGCTTCCATCAAGAGAGCAAAAAGTAACTAGGGCTGGGCTACCCCTCGAGCTCAAAGCCCCCACAGCAGTGAACGTCGATCTTGCTGCATTGCAGATGCTGGAAGAGCTGGAAAAGGAAGGGCTACTAACCTATTCGCCGTGGGCAGAAAACCGATCTGCCGAACGCTTTCACCTTTGGTGCTTGTCTCACTTACCAACGATTGCAGAATCTAAGGTCACATCTGCCCCGGCAAATTTTGGGGCAAGATTGGACGTCCGGCTACAGTCCACCGAGGAGATGAAGGTTTTTGCGGCCGAAGAGCGGTTTGAGACCGTCCGTGAGGCAATAGAGGCTGTTTGCGCTATCGCATTGGATTCATTAGATCCGCTACAAAAGACAAGAGCAATCACCTACAGCTCTATTCAGAAAGATTTCGGACTTGCCAATACGACTACGGCAGCTGTGATCGAGGCTGCCACGACTGCCATGACGACCACGGCGACGATTCCAACCTCTGATGTACCGACTGCCGACGCGTCTTGGGGTTCTAGCGCCCTCAAAGAGCAGAGAGCCACACTTTACCTCTCATTGTTATGCCTGCATATTGGGTATGGGACCCCAAGATATGTCTGTGGGAACAACGGTCCCGATTATTACTGCGAACTTACAATCGGACCACCATACGGACAGCCCGGGCGGGTATTTGGGGGAAGGGAAACGTTTTATTCTTCAGAAAAGAAAGCGCAGTCTGCTGCGGCGTTAGAAGCGATCCAATCCTTGCAGAACAACGCCTTGTTCGAAGCTTGGACTATGTTCATGGGGAAGCAGAAGTCTATTCGTCAAATGAATTCGGAATTAAGCGGTAAGCGAAGAGGGAATTCGTGGCTTTTTGTTCTTAACTTTTGTCTGCACACGAGCTGCGACTCACCGCCTTCATTGATGGTCGAGCAGCATGGCACCAGTTTCTCTTGTGAAGTTCGAGTCCCGCCATGGCCTATGGTCGTATTCGGAGGACGCGACAAGCTGTTTCCTACGGCACACGAGGCTCAAAAGACTGCTCTCACAGAGATTGCCCATTTCTTGCATGAGGCAAGACTCTTTGCCTGGGAGGAAGTAGGCAATGAAGATGCGAGATTGTTCCGGCAGGAAAAAACCTCCAGGCGATTCATTGGCTTTTTTTGCATAATCACCGATTTAGGCAGGCCGCTGTTCCTCACACGCAAGAGCCACAGCGCCGAGTTTTCCTGCGAACTCCGAATCCCGCGACTGTGCGTGGCTGTATTCGGAGGCCGAGAAAAACTGTTTCCTTCTGAGATTGGGGCGACAAAAGCTGCGGCAATGGAAGCTATCCAGTTCTTGCGCGAAAAGGAAATGATACGCATGCAAGGCGTACAAATGGAGAATGAATCCAACTCGGCAAAGCTGGGGTCTATTTCCAATAACACGAGGGCCCTTAGAAATCCTGCCACTGCACCACTCCAGCATTCTATCAAAAAATCGAAAATTAGCTCTGAATTCGTTCATCTACTCAACCTCCATACTAGATATAAATCATCACCGAGGGTGTTGTTCGAGGATCAGCCCACGGGAGTTTCATGCGAATTAAGAATCCCGCAACGGCCCGAGCACGTGTTTCGAGGGAAGGGAAAGAACGCGGCTGAAGCCGAAGAGGCGGCGGCATGGGAAGCTCTCAAGTTCCTGCATAAGACGGGCCATTTTGGAGTAATGGATTTAGCAGTGGAGGAGACTGAGTTCAACCAGAAAGAAGTCAGCCTTACTTCCGTGGCCCCTGTGAACCCCATAGCTCCGACAGCCCCTGAGCTTGTGTCTATAACCGAGACTTACACGGACTTTCTACTCTTGGTGTGTTACTACGCCAAGTCTGGCCCACCACGTTTCTCTTTCAAAGAACATGGCACCAAGTTTTCCTATCACCTTCGGATTCCGCAGCGGCCTGGACACGTGTTTAGAGGGACGGATAAGTTGCATCCCTCCAAAGATCAAGCATCGCATGCTGCAGCAGGTGAAGCTATTCAGTTCCTGCGTCAGGCTACGGACTTGCAGTTGAATGCATCTATGGAGATCGATCCCCATAGCGCAGTATGGAGATCGGAGGCACGGAACGACCAGGACAATGGTGGGCTTAAGTCTGCTGGAAATTCCCGTAGCTTAGAGCATCAAGATGTCACTCTCAAGCAAGAGAACAGTGCTCTCAGAGAAGCTAATCTCGAGCTCAAAGAAAAGCTCTTGACAGTTATGGAGAAGAATCTTGCGCTTATGAAGCTAACCAACGAGAATACGGCTGTCTCGCAAAAGGATGATACCCACCAAACAGTGGCCGAAGAAGCAGAGCCTGGCACTCACATCACGCGATCCGATCATCTGCAGAAGGACGAGCCACCGAGACCAGACGAAACCCTCTCCTCTCCGTCGAAAGACTCAGCCTCATTCTACCATTTTGCAGTTTCTGGCGAAGACTCTTATGAAACCCTCTCGTTCTCCCAGGAGACCCGCTCCTGCAGCCGCGAAGTCAAGGCAACGAGGCAACAGTCTCGACCAGAACGGCCGGTCGCGAACATCCCCGGGACATCTGAAAGCCGACGAAATCGAATAACTCAAGGCAAGTTGTCAATTCGGAGACTACCGAGCTCACATGTAGCATCTGAGCCGTACATTCAGAAACAAGCAACAATGCCACGAATCAAGGCTAGGGTGCCACTGCAGGAAACGCCAACTAAAAAAGCCAGACTCGAATACCAAGGAAACACCCATTCGAAGAGTTGACGAGACTGCGGCTTCTTCCGTGCCCGTAGATTCTCTAAAGCCAGTGAAGGACACGAGTCACGAGACGACAGAGGTGCTTCAGGGAACTCCTTCGGTCTCGAGGTCAGAAGACGATTCATTCAAGTCACGTCCGTCGGACCAAACCAAGAACCGCTTCCCTTCTCAATTTCATCATATCCGGTCGTTTTAAGGGGCACGGTGCTGTCAGTATTGTTCGTCGATGAGGAGAAGCTAATTATTGGAGACCGTGGGCACTAGCCGTTACTGATATCGACAATATGCATCAAAACACCATCGTCACAGAGCCAGCGTGCTACAATAAGCCATTTAGCAGCTTTTCACACACAAGAGAAACTTTGGTTCCAAGTCACGGGACTACGTCCTTCTTTTACGACCGCCGAATTTCAAGGGCCTTTCCGGCACTCTCCCCTGGAGATTTCTATTCTACGGACTTCTTGCTACCTTTGTCATACTATGCACAACTCCGAATCGAGCCCTGACCCCAAAACATACCATCAGGCACCATGGCTAGCGAAAGCGATCTAGCGCTAAATACTATATATCCCCCGCCAATATCTTTCACAGCGCGAGAGCAAAAGCCGCCTTTCTTCAATTCTCATTCCGAAGCCTTCTCGACACTGAAATCACGGAGCATATTTCGCTTCTACTTAAAATTCAACCTCTTCCGGGCTCTCATTAGGAGTCATGGCGGTTATACTAGGGAAGGCGGGATGCGCTAATGGATGCGCGTAGGATACCACCGTGAAAAATATGTATAGTGATGTAATATAGTATCAACAGTGTATTGGACGCTGTAATATATTGGCAATACATTGCCTTGCCACAGATATCCGTACATTTTCCTGCCACTGGCTTCAATGCACTAATAGAATTCGGGGGCAGCGGATGCACTTCTAATTTGCATACACCCTGTTGGCGCTGTCTAAGGTGGCCTTGCAAGTTTACTGGTTGTCTAAAATCCCGAACTTCTCTTTTATTTGGAATGCTGAAAATACTATAAAGCACCTCACGCAGCGGTAAACGAGTGTCCGAATATGTATAACAAGGCATTGTAAAGTGCTTTCGCAGCTTGTAGTGAACGTGTCAGCAAAGACATAATATGCGTACTGAGGAGCGAAGTCCGTAGGTTTAGGAGTCAGATCAAGATGGCTGTTCACAACATTAGGTTTGGGGTCTCATACGCTACACCGAAGATAGACTAGCGTAGTGGATCCGCCCAAATATTGGTAACAACTCCTGCATAGGTGGTTCCCAAGCGCTCGATCCTTTTTCAACCTCACTTCATCTTTCAACCTGAGAATACTCAAGCTAATTATTAATCGATAATGCGTGCAGAAAAGGCGATTATGAACGTCGTGTGTATCCACGCAATACTTAGAACGCCTCGAGGAGGCCAGAACTGCGCTCTGGCAAATATCGGTAAATATCTTCAGTCATAATCGTCTGAGATGGACCCCTGAGCCGAGAATAAGCAATCGTGGGCCCCGACTTACTCGCCCTCTGAATCCACGGGGCCCCGGATCGTCAAAGTGGATAGTACCCACTTTGGAGATCCGGGGCCCCGCAATGTCCCTCACAAGCGGCCCACTCGCCGTACTCTGGGGTACGATAAGCTGCCACTATAGAACATTTGCATATCTTACCTGTGGCCAGGTTTCCAGTCAATCACATGGGACTCTTCATCATCCCGGCAATAATCCCTTCACACGAAGGAGCGAGCGTTCCAGATACTGACCCTTGTATTCTGTGCTCGTATCCTTGGGACCAAGCCTTGGTATGGCTGCAAGTGACTATTGTCTACGCCAGAGAAGATCTGTTCCGGGACTGTGAGCTATCCGGTTCCGCGAGCGGTAAGCGGTCCACGCCGCCGGGAATGCCTCCATGGGTCTCCGGCCCAGATCATCGAGGCTCCCGGTGATCCAATAGTACCCCGCATTACGGCGAGCATGCATCTCTATGGTTCCTGAGGATCATCCATTCAGATCAAAGTTCTGGACTCTAGTCCTTAGTGTACTCGTTGTGGTCGATGATCAAGGATGTTACGACAGTGAGATTAAATATCGTCTCCCATCCTCCAATCTGGACAATCCTTATCATTCTAATTATCATTCCCTCTATTCATTGTTGAACACATATTTTCTTCTTGTGAATTTACCCATCATGTCTCTGCGTTCTGAGAAGGATGCTGTTGAGATGCATGAGAAAGCAGGAGACCTTGAGCATCAACCTAGCAAGAACGTTCCCATCGACACTGAGGATGACTTCAAGCTCACTTGGGGAATGTCATTCGCTATGTTGGTAAGAACAGTCTTCTCTATCACGTTGCTATCATTTTCAAGACATCGACGACTGACTTCATCTTCACAGGCTCTCCTCAGTGGATACATGTCAGCTGTCTTCTGCATCCAAATGGCTTCAGTCGCTCTAGTAACTATCAATGAAGATATTGGTCAGTTACCGATACGCCTTCTTCTAATGCTACCTAGTATCTAATGCGAGGCTATAGGACCAAGCTCATCTTTCACATGGATCGCAACCAGCCAAGTCATCCCAGTAGCCGTATTCGGCCCCATGGTCGGCCGTCTAGGTGACATTTTCGGTCGACGAAACTCTATAATGCTTGGCAACCTTTCCGGCCTAGTTGGGTGCGTAATCTCTGCGACTGCTACACGCGTCGAGGTTGTCATCGGTGGAGGAATCTTCATCGGCCTCGCAACATCACTCCAGCAGCAAGCCTGGGCGGCTCTCGGCGAGATCGTCCCTAAGAAGCATCGAGGCCTTGTTCTTGGTCTGTTCGAACTGGCCAACATCGCTCCTGGGGCATTCGGGCCCATCATAGGCACTGCTGTCGTCAGGGGTGCTGGATGGCGATGGGTTTATTGGTTCCCATTCATCCTGAACACTGTCGGATTCTTTCTCATCTTCCTATTCTACCGCCCAAAGAACCAATACATCAAGGAGGCCGGAAGAACCAGATGGCAAGAGGTCGCAGATCTGGACTGGGTAGGAATTTTCCTCTGGGGAGTCGGGCTAACCCTGTTCCTCCTCGGGATCTCATTTGGTGGGAGCCAGTTGGCATGGTATGATGCCCCGTCAATTCACGCATTGATCTGAAGTTAACCGTTCATAGGAAATCCGGAGGAACCATCTCCATGATTGTTATCGGGCTTGTTCTCTTGATAGCCTTGGGATTCTACGAAGCTTACGTCCCACAAGTATGATATCCACCCAATATGCCGAAAATCAAAACTCATAGAACACAGGTGTTGCCACTGTTCCCAGGCGTCGTCCTCCGTAAAATCCGAGGTGTCACTCTTGTGCTCATCGGCACGTTCCTCTTCGGCATGTTGTACTACTCTACTGCTGTGCTATGGCCTCAACAGATTCAAGTTCTATACACACAGAACATCATCAATGTTGGTTGGTACGCGTGCGCGCTCGGTATGGCCGGTATACCTACGAGTGTTCTCACTGGTTTCCTCTTTGCACGGGTCGGGCACTCGCGCATCATGTTCACAGTCATCATTGCTGTTGGCACTGTTGGCGCTGGATTAATGGCTCTCGTTTGTAAGTCCAATCTATCATGGTGTTCTGACTTTCAACCACCAAGTTTCCACTCGTCTAGCCGTATCCCTCACTAACGTCATCCAGCTCCCAGCTCAAGCACCGAGTCTACTGTCTTCGTCGCCTTGATCGGAGTATGCACCGGCGGAGGATTCGTCGTCGCCGCCGCCATGATCCAGCTGGCCGTCGAGCACGAGTACATCGGCATCGCGACCGCCCTGTGTGTCACGGCTCGTAATGTCGGAGGCGCTGTCGCTACCGTCATCTACACCGCCATCTTCACCGGCCGACTCAAGTTCTACGTTTCACAATTTGTCGTAGGGGGGTTGCTAAAGGCCGGTGTTGCTCCTACCAGCCTCGCTGGTGCTACCTTCGCTCTGCTAGGCCAGGGCCCTGTATCTGGTCTCGCCGGACTGACCCCACAGCAGATCGAGGTCGGCATGAACGCGGTGAAGCAGTCATACGCGCACGCTTTCCGCATCGTCTATCTGTCTTCGATCGGCTTTGGCGTCGTTGGAACCGTCTGTGTAGCCTTCTGCAAGAACTGCGATGACAAGATGACGAACCACGTGGACATCAAGCTCAATGAAGGCGCGAAGCTTACCGGTATTACTGATGAAGGGAAGGGCCATATCATCAGTGTTGAGGAGCAGGAGAACCTTCGTCATCGCCACCATCATCAATCAAATTGATCGATCGCGGATGCAGTCTCGATCTGGATCTTTATCTCTGGGACTGTATTGCTAGCTAGCTATCTCTAATATGGCAGACACAAGTGTGTACATAATAACATGATGTTTTACATATGCTTCTTTCCCACGCTGCAATGTGTCAACTTGCAGGCCGTAGCATTTGACCATTGATGGATTGCGAACATTATACATTAGCGCCCTGTTTGCTACTCGCCATAATTTGCCGTAGGTGATTGTCAAAACTTAACATAATGTACGATTCTTTCTTGCGCAACGCTTTTAGGCCACGATGTACAGTCATCTCTGGCCCTCCACGCGGAGCTGGGAAGAGGCGGCGCGCCAAAATAGGCCTTCGTCTTCTAGCAACGATTCGATTAGCTTTCTGTGAATTTGAAAAGCCACAACTCAGCGAAAGGGCGATTTCAAAGCAGCTTAGTCTTTTCATTAGAAAAGATCCACGTTCTAGTGCGTTGTGGTGGAGAGAAACGGCAGTGAGGTGACCAAATATTCAGGATTCAGCCCATTTTGGTAGTCTAGTAGTCTAATGTGTCACCTTTTTCCTGTCTGACGTGCCTTCTTCCCTCTCGTGCGATAAGTATAAAGTGCGAGATAGGGGGGTAGCGGCTGGGCGGCACGGGGTGGTGTGAGCAGTGAAAGGGGTATGTCCAAGAGTGCAAGGAGTCTAGCTAAGCAGCAAGGTTTGATTTGAAATAATGAGAAAAGAAAGTGCGGATGGCTTATTGCATGTTTTTCTGGCCAAACAGTAGCGTCCTTTCAACTCCCTACCGTCTAGGAGGAAACTTCCGCATATGAAGGTAGAATATCGGGTGCCCGGTCGGTTGGCTCGGTAGAATGCGATGAATATTTCGGACGACGGGCGCAAGAGGCGGAATAATCTGAGTCTCCAAGTTCGTCTGGTATCTTGATCACATAACTAACACCGTTAGCACCGATGGTGCGCCACAACAATGGCCCTGCCCTCCTACTTTCTCTTCTCTTTTCCAGTTGCGCACTCTCCAAATGCCCCACCATCTCAAGTCTTTTCCTGAAGATCGGCAGTCGAGTGCCTGCTGTGTTCGTGTGTTTCCGTGCATCAAACAGGCACTTGAAATGCGCCTCCTTTGCCGCCTCAAACCACTTCCGCACATCTGCTACATCTTGCGTTCGTTTTGTATTGTGCTTAAAATCGATCGGAGGAAACAGACTTGAAACGATTCCCTGCTCCTGTGCAAACTTGACTTCCAATAGACCATAGCGGTACCGCGAGACCAGCTCCGTGTGTAGGTGTACGTGTGGTAAACTCTCCGGCCCGCCTTTCTTAAGACCGCCCCATCGCTTTTTCCAGTGCAGAAACTTATAACGGCCGAGAATGCTGGATATGAACTGGGCATCCAGGTCGAGACGGTAACAAATAGCGCTGAGAGTCTCGTACCACTCGGTCGAGAATGCATGCGGTTTTCCACCAGGTTGATGATAGACGCATCACCATCGCTTGTTGGAAGGGGCGATAGCGGGCTCGGGGGTTGGCGTATTGATGTTGGCGTACTCGATGTGAAAGTAAGCGTACAGGACGTCAGAGATGTCGTCTTCGGTGATATCGCGCGGGGCTGCGATTGGTATGGACCGTAGACTGCGCTCTCGTAGTGATTCGCGTTTCCAGTAGTCCATGTTGAGTAGATTCCGAAGGCTAACCCGGAGGCGCTGCTGATGAGTTCAACGAGAGACTTCAGGGAAAAGATGAGGGGGTACTCGGAGAGGTTCATCTGGCGATATACGTTGTTCCAATGTGTGTGGCCTGACTGATGTGAGCCTTGGGGCGGGTCACCTCACTTCCAGGGAAGTATCACGGGCCACTTGGCAAGAGCAACCATATGCAGCTCGTTCACGACATCTTCTAGGCATTTCCAGCTCGGAACATGTGAGGTAAGGCTACAATGCCTCGTCATTGAATTAGTACGCTCGTTTGCCGCTGCTGCGTGAGGAGCTTCGTAGTGTCTTCAGCATTCCGAATAAGAGAGAAGTTCGATATTTTGGACAACTAGTAAACTTGCAAGGCTACCTCAGACAGCGCCAACAGGGTGTATGCAGATTAGAAGTACATCCGCTGCCCCCGGTTCCTATTAGTGCATTGAAGCCCCACAGACAGTGGCAGGAAAGTGTATGGATATCTATGGCAAGGCACTGCAGTTTGAATAAAATACCAGATAAGCTTCTAATATATGAACAGATGTAAGGAAATCCAACCAATACCCAATAGGGTGATTCCGCCATGATAGTCCTCCTAATCTCTCATGAAGCGCTAGATGAGGGTAGTGCACAGTGAGCAAGACAGGTTCAGAACAGTGAATTGGAAGAAAATTCCTTCGGCAGTATAGTGTGCCGGCCAATGATATGTACATGGATAGACGCAAAGAGATCTACAGGGTGGGATGTGTTACAATAAAAGGAAAATAGAAACACATGCAAGGAGATGGGGAAGTTTACAAACACAAGTAAGGAGATCTATGCAAATATATACAAGAAAACAATAAGAGAATACAGAGAGTATATGCTAGATATGCAGACAGGCACGAAATAAGGAGGATATCCCCGTCTTCTTAGGCTGCCATGCCTATCGGCCTTGAGCAGCACGCAATTCACGTCGAGCCTCTGCCCATCTTTCCGCGTCCTCATGGACCCAAGGCCTCATAAAATGGTTCCAATTTCCGCCTTCATTGTTCAAAAAGTCGCTAGAGGCTTTGTGTTCAGGCGTCCCAGGGTTTTTGAGTCCAGCGAATATCTCATCCACCTCCTCATGCTTCGCCTCAAGCCTCATTAGGTATGTCTTATCCTTACCAGCTTAGGCTGCATTATTGGTTTTAACATCTACTAATCATGCGCAAGCTATGCTAAATTCCTTAAAGAAGATCGCCTTCAACTACTTGCATAAGCCACGAAAGAAGGCATTATAACCTTCCTTACATAGATGTTATGTCAGGCCTCGGGCCCGACTTTCGACCAACTGGACGATGATCACGTGACTCCCGATTCACCGATGAATTGATTCACCAACGAATCGGTGGAGTCACAGGAAACAGGTGACCACGCGTTTGGTTGTTGTGGTCGCGAACCACTGAGCGTTTTGTTTTGACCGCGAAATGCCACACGCGAATTTCCGCGTGTGGCATTCACCGAAGGCCGTGGGCTCGGCGGGCACAAAACCCCCTTCGCCCTCGGAACCTTCTAACACCTTGTACTACAACTCCTATAAATTTCTGATAACACTGAATTTGATCGACTTGAAGCTCTTACACTTGCGAAATATAGAAACTTCCCTTAAAGGCTAATTAGTTCTTTAGAATCAGGTATATAAAACCACCTCTAGCAGGCTATAACTCAGGTTATAATGTGAACTCTGCTTGTATTGTAGTGGCCGGAAGGGCCGTCTATATAGGAAATGGAAATGATGCACCCCCTAGGGCTTCCATCCTCGCAACTACGAGAGAACCATGCGCAGCTGAGTAGGAGAAGACGGCCCGATAGTAGGGGCTAGTGCCCCTAGTGGAACGTAGCCGTATTGAGTTGTTGTTCCTAGGTCGTAACTTGTTGCAACCCGAGTTTATAGGTCATATAAATATAGGCGTTTACTAAGCATACATTAACTAACTAATAAGCCTAATGTGGCATCTAGAGCAGCATTCCTTAGGCGACCCTCTCCTACTACCCTTATAAAAGCCGTCTCCCACATAAGTCGCTTCATTAACCCGAGGGCACCTACAGATGCCAATTTGACAGAGCTTGCAACAATATAAGCCAACCTAGAAGTGCTTCAATTCAAGGAGTTGCGTGATAACCTGTCGCGAAAAGTTCGACAGGAGTCCGGTACTATCTAGAAAGGGAAAGAACCGGGTACTAAGCTCTACTAGATATATAAAAAGACAAGCGACAATCTACAGTGCGCAAAGATTAAGCTGCTGAAGATAGCTAAGAAGAATACAAGAAAGCACTATATCGAAACCGCCAATACGATAGAGATTAACAAGCAGATCGATCTGTTGTTCCTGGACCTCGATAAAGGCCAATGGGAGCCCAAGCAGGTTAAGCATTAGCTACATGAGCGAAGACAGGTTGCAGATCTCATCTGTCGACCGGCCAATGCCATTGCCGAAAAGGATACACTCAGCCATCATATCTGTACAGTGAATACGCTGATCGCACTATGCCGAAAAAGAGAGGCTCTACAGTCAAGAGAGCGTGAGCCAATATTCTCGTTTGATAAGATCAAAGTCCTAGAGCTCTCTACACCCGGCAAGTGTGGGAAGTATACCAGTGCATTTTCTGCTTCTGGGATGTTTCACAGTCAGAAGAAGTGTGGCTCCATGAGTTTCATACCATGCACAAAGCACGAAATCATGTCGAGCTACATCTCAAAACTTTCAAGATGGACGGGCCGATGCCATGTCCTGATCATGCCTGCTAGGAAGCCGGTGTTGTCCTTGACAGACAAATGCATTTCACGAACCACTCAGCTCGGGAACATGACTACAGTATCTTTGGTAGGAGGTAGTCATAGTGAGTATCATTCTTTGGTCCGAAGAGTTTGGTGGCGGGTGCCTATGTCGAATGGCGATACGGTGCTTGGGGTGGTGGCTAAACATGGATCAGTTGGAATCTCTTGAGATTTACGACGGTTGACGGGTAATGAAGATTCGTTCTGCTACACCCTAGAAACCTGGGCTTTTGGTGTCCTTCTGCCATGCTTGTCATCCCGTGCGATAGCTGTTGCGACCATCGCGCCCACCCGCCGCCGTGCTTGTTATACCTTGTGACGGCTGTTGCTGCGCTCGCCATAACTCAGGTTGAAATTGATGTGAACTCTGATTTCTATGGGTGTCTAGCTCGTTGTTTATATACTAGGGGAAGGAGGGGGGCCAGCCCCGGGGGCATAACGTGGTATCTCTTCCTGACGCGTTACTTGATTCATCCTGTTTCCTGATACAGTACTGATACTGTGCTGCAGCACTGCTGTTGCACTACCTGTTACTTCCTCCTGTATCAGCATGCTATCCTGATACGTTACTGCATATGAGTTGCTGACCCTAGGTTGTAGTGCTGCAACCCGAGTCCATACCCACCCCACCGTTGTGCTCGCCCTCGTGCCCGCCTGTCGTTATTATGTGCCCCGTTATTATAGCTTGTTATATATTGCGGTGGACGTTGCCGCCATCGTCGTGTACGCCTTCGTTGTCGCAGTCGTTGTAGCAGTCACTGTCACAGTCGTTGTGGCAATCGTTGTTGGTCGTCGCCATCGTCGCCATCTGCGCCATCATCGCCATCTGGCGCGTCGTGACCGTCTTCGCCGTCTGGCATACCGTCAGCGTCTTTGCCAGATTATCTCGGCTCAGGTTTCGAAGCCCATACATGGATCACCGCCAACCCCACCGCGACAATCTCGAAAAGGCTCCACCAAGGCGCTCAATCGGGCTCCTTCAATTCCTTGCCGAGCCCTAATTCGCCAATCAAAAAGCAGGCCGTGTTTCGCATTTGGCTCAGCCGCTCTTTTAGAGAATTGGAGAGTTCAAAAGCGAGATCAGGCCTTGCGATGAACTAAGTGCAGCCAGGGCGACCGTAGAGCATATCAGCTCAAGATTCTTCACAGAAGGACCATCGGGTCCTACACACGGGAGCGAGATCATCGAGAGAAACAATAGCTTCACCATCGTGTTCTAGAAACCGACCTTGACGGCTCATCCCCTGTTGCTGCTTTTTCCGCGGGAGTGGCGGCGGAGGACAATTGCTGTGTGGCTTTGCATGTTTTGCTACACGCAGGAGATGTGGCCAGGAACAATTGCCCTGCGGGAAGCGCTGACGCGCGCGGAAGCCGCGAGGCTACGTCCCGCAACCCCAAATCCCCTGCGGAAATTGCCCCTCTTCACGAACGCTTCACAATATCATCGGATGCTCCCCTCCCTTGATGAAACTTCTGCTATTCTACCCTGCTGAAGGCGCCGACCTAACTAATATGTGAACGCTCCACTGCCGACCAATACGAACAGGGTGACCAGCAGAGTGGTCTGTGAGCGTCGAAGCAGTACATGAGCGTTAGACTGGTACAAGATGAGGACTAGTACGACTGTCGTAGCAGTACGTGAATGATGAGCGTCGGACTAGTACGAGCGTCGTAATGGTACGTGAGTGGCGAGCGTCGGAATAGTACGAGGAACAAACAAGATGCTACAGAGCTGGAATAGAAACCCGTTTGGGCCTCTCCGATGTGCCGTAGCTGACCCTACTTAGCGTCATGCTCAATCGAGCTCCTGCAGTTAGTCGAGCTTGTATAAGCCTAACCGAGCTCCTGGATGCCCTTTGAGATGTCATTCGAAATCTGCTTGTCGTTCAAGTTGTTGTTCAAGGTGGCCTTCTGTCCAGACATTCTGCCAAGGCGACGTCCAGACGCCATTCCAAGGCAGCGTCCAGTCAAGGCGGCGTCCAGATCAGCTGTGAAGCGATCAAGGATTCCTGGTCGAGGCGACGCACGTCCAGCGTGATAATTACAGCGTATTTTGTGAGCAGCGATGCGGTGAGACGTGTATCATATTATACGGTACTTCTCCTTCACTAGACCCTCGCATAGCGACTCCTCGCGTCGGAGATATCACCAGGCTTTCCTACAAGCATGGCTGCAATCTGACTTGGCTGCCAAGCGAAACCGGGTTGTTGCAATCTCGGTTTCAAATCCAACCTGCAATTGCGGCACAGCCATCATTTTCAACCTTCCCTAAATATTGTCACGCGAAAGCACTACGCATTGCTTCGCTTCTCTCAACTGCCCGAGAAAACTTCGATATGGATCTGAATCAAAAGGAACAGTACCGCGCCTTGATGAAGAAATATAGAATTCATTTTGATGGGCCAGTCACCCGAAATGCATGGCCTGCTAGTCATACAAAGACCTTCAGCGATATTCAAAAGCTCGGCCGCATCGATTTTTCACTCTATCAGGAGAGCATCAGCGTCGATTCAGATTTCCATCCCTGGAGAGAGCAAACTAGAAGACGGGCGGAACGAATTGCGGAGCTGGCAATGCTGTGCTACAGAGGCAGGAGGAACGAGGCAGGATGGAGACTCTTACTCGAGTCTGAAATCCTTGTACGATTTACTATTGAAGTCACATGGTAAGAATATGTTCGAAAGGGGGAAGATATACCGGCTGACCTTACAGCCGTTCCTGTCGGGCCCGACTCTGGAGATCGGAGTTGGAGGCTTCTCTAAGCGCGCCAAACCAGTTTGCAGAATCCTTAGAGGAACGACGCAAAAGAAGGTTGCCATGCTCTTGCAACCCTACCCGATGGAAAGAAGAACCGTGAGTTCTTGGTCCTTGGCATGTAGCGTTCGAAATTGACAGGAACGAGTCATGAGCAGGGTGTATCGCTACTATTCGATGATCGAGCAGAAGAGGAGATCCTTCACTCTCCGACAGTGATGGCCGATCTACCTAAAAAAAGAGAAAAGCCTGATCGAGTGTATGGTCTCCGAATCACCAAGAGACTTGAGCGCCTGTTGCTATGGTCTGAAGATAAACGGGCATCTTCTGGCGGTAAAACAATCGGAGAAAGCATTAGGTCCACCCCATTTCGCGCCGACGGAGAGCCTGTCCTCTTCCCCTTTCTTGTAATTGAGGCTAAGTCCGAGAAAGGCCGAGAAGGGTTCAGCGATATTGAGGTTCAAACTGCCTTTGCTATCCGAACTTTGCTCGAGCTTCAGCAGGACTTGGCCGATGCTGTCGGTGAGGACAGTAGCTCCGAAACCAGTCCGTTGGTTTGGTTCTTATCCTACAGGGGGGAACAATGGCGAGTCTCCGCAGCATTTATCAAGTATGATGCTGGTGTCAAGACCTACGTTAGTCTCGTTACCCCAGCACGGGAGCCCAGGCTAACAGAATGAAGCGGATTGTAGATCTATGGGATGGCCGGCTCGTACCAAAGGAGGGAGCTCTTCGCCTACTGCTAATTATCGACTACATCTTCGATTGGGCACGCGATATATATCGCGAGACCATTATTTCCGAGCTTCGATCCCTCTCGGCGAGTGACACTCATAGTCTGTCAAATGACAGTGACGTAATATCCATGCTAGATCGCCTAAACTTTTCGAGCATGGAAATAGGTCTTGACGACAATACCCAAGAACCAGCAAATGAAATCCCGCCGGTCGTGGGAAGTGTTTATCACCGGTTAGACAGCGCTTACGGTGCCGTTCGCGATGCAAGAAGCATACGATCCCGTTTCATGTCGCTCTACATCACCGAAGACAATCTATCAGCATTCATGACGTCGATGAGAACAACTGAACAAGCCAAAAGTGCTGCGCGAGCTATCTTACGATTTCTAAGGGACTGTTGGCGCGTCAGCGCAGAAGCGCTCGATAACATCGAACAAATGTGGACAGGAAAAGATAGGGAGAACGAGAACTTGTACAGGCCGACAAAATGCTTTTTGGTTATGGTCACGTTATCGGCTTACCTCTCGCCGTCCTGGGAGCAGACAAGGGAGCTGAGCTATCTAGCAGTCTCAGTGGACGCCATTGAAGCTCTTGTACGGCACGCAGACCAGAAAATTGTCGGCGATTGGAAGGTTTCTCAGCTTCCCTACATCGACAAAGACGTCTTCGTGGGTTGGTTTAGAGCGTTTCGGAGCATAACTATTGAGGACAATCTGTTCGCGACTATCTCACGGGCATGTCTCTCAAGTAGGCTATTTTCCCAGGAATCAAACAGGAAAAAGACTAAAGAGTCATCGATGGTCTGGTTAACGTCGATAGAGGAGTTGGAAGATGGAGTTCATTATCGATTTGATGCTGCGTTTGGGCCCGAACGTACCGGACACGCCCGCGAATATGTGTCCTCGATTTACAACTTGCATAAAGTTGGAAGGAACGAACCTTCGTCGTCCATCCTACGATTGTCAACTCGTTTGGACGAGCAAAATCACGAGGAGCAGACACTCCCAACATTATGGCAACTTGCTAACCCAGGGGACATAATTCACGACAAATTCTTAGCCGTCACTTCCAAAAACCCCAGCAATGTATCAGAGTACCCCGAATTATGCCTCTTCGTTATGGGGGACGGGTTCATAGAGGAGATAGTCCAGTCAGAGAAGGCTCCAGAGCTGGTGGCTGGATGGTGCTTGCAGACACGGAGACTTGACTCAAAGCCCGGATGGGGTGGCTGTTGGAACAGTCCAAACGTGAAAACGCTGGACGAAAGCCTCCTTGACAAGGTACTTGAATTGCTTCGCGCTGTGCAAGACTACGCAAAGGCTTCTCGGCAGAGCAATACTCAATCAGCGAAAGGCAAGAGCCCTAAGCGGCCGTGGAAGCCCAAAGAAGCTCATGGGCATTGGAATATGGTCACAAAGGAACCCGTCAATTTGAACGAGGTGATACAATTTGGATCCTTCCTGCGGTCCCGAGGTCACAGGTTGACTTCTCTCACAAACAGGTATCCCGGATATCCCTATCCAATGACGAGCGACACGGGATCTGCACCCAGTAACTCCGTCAACGTTTATCCTGGGAAAGGTACCAACGATGGTCCGAGTAAACGGGTACATCCTGCAGAGAGCAGTCCAATATCAGACGATGAGGCAGGTCCTTCTGCCCCTAGGCCGTCGAAGCGATCTCATGAACCAATTTCTATCAGCGAGGATGAAGGAAACTATGGTGAGGGGAACGAAAAAAGTGAGGCGTCATCATTAAAGGCTCCTCGAAAGCGACGGCGAATTAATCAACTTGCGCGGGACCATCTTGACGAAGAAGAGCTCAACGAGTTGCTGGCTCAAGGGTTCTTTAATTAGCGGCAGAAATGAGGCCTTTGTAACTACACGTATTCGACGCCTGGGCCGCGCGTAGCTATGATTTGTGCTCTTAGTGCGGCGGATAAAGGGCTGTCCACAACGTCTTGCTCTATGGAGATTATCAGGCCCAGAGAAGATATGATCCTCTGCGTATTGGGCGCTCGCAACCTGACTAGTTGGCTCACCGCGGCAGTCTTTAGCTTTGTTCGAGGCCTCCGTATGAAAGCCCAGATCGAATGCAAGGCTGGCGAGCTCTTTCTCCACGGAACCAACACGCCTCGAGGGTGCTGGTTTGTCTCGTCGTGTTTCCCTTTTCAGATTCATAAATGCAAGTGATTCGAGGCTTCGGATGCAGAATAGACAAGGCTAGACATAGGTAATTTCCCAAGCCACATCAGGGACACTTGATTTCTGGTAGACTTTCCTGCCGTCAGGGAACTCAATCAACCGCCTGGTTGGCTCTGTGTGGCATGCGGAAAGGCTGTCTCGAAGAGAGAAGCCAAGATATTTCCCAAGCAGTCTGTTCAGAGGACCAGATACCACTTCGAGATACTTGCAATTCTCAAAGAATACTCGGAGACTGGAAATCTGACCTCGATATCTGAGAATGTTGTTGAGGAGCTCGTTTCTCACCTGCGAATCTTCGACCGAGCGGAAGATGCGATTCGATTTCATGAGTGCCCAACCTCCTACCTATCGACAAGAGAGTTACTGGGGGCGAGAAGCTCGAGCGTCTCCAAGGTTGCAAGATCGACGGCCCCTGGGCGGACAGACCCTGGAAGTATGTCTTTCTTCCAGGTATCCGCCACATGAGTCAGCCCATTCAGGATTTCCTATATGTAGTTAATCACTGATAATTGTTACGAACAAGACCAGCGGAGAGCCAACAGGAAACAGTGACGGGCAGGTTGCAGAACGCCAGGCGATATCAACGAGCAACAACGGTCGCACAACGATACGCGGGGCAGGATCACATAACAAAGGGTCAGGTGATGTTCTCTATATAATCTATCTTGGCGGAGGCTTAAGTGAGCAGAGCAGAGCATAACAGCATGCTCTGTGGTGATATCGGTGCTCTGCTAACTTCGGAGCAGAGCAGGATAGAGAAGACAGAGAAGGATCAAATTGTCTAAAGGAAGGAAAGGTATAAGAACACGGTCGTTCTCAGCGTTGCTTTCTCTCCTTCATACTCAACTTATGTTTTGAATTTTACTTATTAGATTGAATCTTTACAGCAAATATAACAAACCTATTTGTTACACACCTTCTATACTACTAAAGCCACCTTGACCCGTTCTAACGTTAGACTTATACCTCACGCTTCCTCGTCTGCGGTTAGCCTGCAGCTTAGCAACTGGTAAGTGGACCCAAACCTAACCATGCTAACCTCACTTCTGGAAGTTACCTGGCTCAAGAGATCAGACAAGTACAATCTGTGATTGAGGCATCTTTAGGTGAACAAGGAGTTCATAACACTATAGAAAGAGCTAATTTTATCTTTTTATCTACGGCTCCTTCTCTAAGCTAAGTAGAGAAAATAGGCAAGCAAGGAGACGAGGCGCTAAAAGCTAGCTCGGACCGTGAGACACAAAAGCGTTGAGAGACAGGATGGGACGGTTCTAGACGAAGCGGTGACGCAGTGAAGCGAAAGGAACCTTGTAAGAGGGCTGTGAGATGCAGCTTAGAAGCAAGGCTTCATTAAGCGGAAATTGGAAAAGACGGGTTAGGGCGCGAATGATGAGACGGGATAGTAGAGGTAGTAGGAGGTGATGCGCTTTAATAGAGAGGGGTTGGGGCGGATTACATAAGGGTATAAGAGGGCGCTAGTTAGCCGGAAAGAGAAGACCGCGTAAACCTGAGGGGGAGTTCCCTCGAATAACTTTACAACGCAAAATACACTAAGCAAGGAGAAATACCCATAGAGACAATAGGTAGGAGATATGATACACCAAGTTACAAGCCATCTAAGTCAGGAAACACCAGACCCGCTGTCACGCCCCTTTATATCCTCCATTCTATTCTCCATTCTATTCTCCGTTCCGTCCTTTATCCGAACCTCCATTCTACGCTCCATTCTCCCCTCCATTCTAACGTCAACCCCAATGTCCACTCTAGGCTCCATTCTGCCCTCCATTCTGAACCCCATTCAGAAACCCCGTTTCCCAAGGATGGCACCATGTATAATTCACTGCATCACCCAATAACGACCCCACCGCCCCTCCCCCAAACAGCCAGTCCTCAAGCTGCTCCATCTCCTCTTTGAGCTCAAAGAGAAACGGTACAGCGCCAATATACTCCCCAAATCCCAACTTGGACCGCATGCAGTTCGGGCAACAGCTGAATGTCATTTCTTCGCGTATGTTGTTCTGCACATTCCAGTTCGGACAGAGTGTGATGTCCCAGCCGGGGAAGGAAGGAGTGGTGTCGTTGGCGGCACGTAAGAAGAAGAGGACCTGGGGTTCGGTGGAGAAAATCAAGCGGGCGCTTCTGAGATGGCCGCGTTCGGCCCGTTCAGGGCAGAGAGAACAGAGAAAGATTATGGTCCAGGTGCTGTGGTTGTGGGTGCAGTCTTGTCCTTCTCGGGCGTGATCGAATATGGCTGTTCTGCACATCTTGCGGGACTAGATAATGTGATTGCTGGATGTGGAGGTGGTGCGAAAGGGGGAGATGGTGTCGAAGATGTTTAATGATGCTGTTACTAGCACGGCGGGACTGAGATGCTGTGGGTTTATCTGAAGTGCAGCTACTGAAGATAGATAGAGTTTTTTGTGCAGAAAAGGAGTTGACAGCTGATTTGAGAATGAGGTTCGTGAAGTAAAAGTGTGCTGCAGGAAAAGGCACCTTCGAGGAATGGAAAGAAAATACTTATACTCCTGCCAAGATGCGGTGACTCTTTGAACTGAGCGCTTCCTTTAACTGTTCAAAGCGATTGAACGTTTCACAGTGACAAAAAGAAATGACGATGTCCTAAAGCTCGATCGACAAATGATCGGGTTTAGTTGAATATATGCCTCATCATATGACTTCAAGGAAATGCAAGACCTTTAAAGAAACTGTGCGGGTAGAGTCGAAGTTCCGTATCGCTGTGCAACATGACTGCAAGAAGAAGGGAAGACCGTTGGGTGGCTGTTTGAACCGAGTGCTCTAATTAGTTGCTCGGAATGATGAGGTGTTTCATCGTGACATGGACAACGACGATGCTCCGTAGCTCGATCGCAAGATGATCGGAGTTAGCTGACTCTATGCTCCAAAACTCAGCCGCAAGATGATCGGGCTCAGTCGACTATACGCCTCATCATGTGGCTACAAGGAAATTCAAGGCCGTTGAGCGATCTTTGTGGATAGAGTCGACGTTTCGTACCGCTAAAGAATATGACTGTAAGTAAATGCAAGACCTTCAGGAGACCTGTGTAGAGAAACTTAACATTTCCTATCGCTATGAAGAAGCCATGGCCATTGGGTGAGCTGTTTGATTAGACTCTTTGTTTCATCAAACATAAAATGTAACGATGTTAAAAAATAGACTATCGCCGGACAGTAATCGGGAGGCGTTGAATGACAACTTGCTAGACACACTCACTGCAATGTCTGGTACAATACCTCGTCATAGACCCGTGCGCACTTTGCGGCCAGTGCATGGCTTCAATGCACTGATGAAACCCTAAGGGGAATGGGTCTTCGATCTGTGTGCACCCTCCTGCCGCCATCGGGTTGATCTGGCGAATTTATCAATAGTTTGGAATACTGATATATGTATTCCAGAATTCTAAAAAGAGGTATGAAACACTACAGGCGCTGTAAGGAAACTCTACGGACAACAATAAAGAGATGCTGCATCAGTAGTGAGTCTCTACCAATAAGGAGTCTCAAACCGCAAAGTTCAGCTCGAACTCCGGCCTTCCATTTCTCCACTCCGAGAACTCCACATCCCCAGGCATCTCCCTCCCATCCGCAAGCCTCAGCCTGGGCCAGTTCTCCCACTCCCAGCTAAAAGGCTTCTCCTCATACAGCGACTTCTCCGGCGGCCCACCCTTGCAAGCCTCAGGCAGCATCTCCGCAAGCACATCATTGACCAGCACAAGCGCACCACTATGCCACCCGGCCGCACTCACACTCAGCGCAAAATACGCACCCAAGCCATCCTCATCTGCATCCTTAAGCTCGGGACGCTTATCCCAGTCCCTCGTTTCCTGCTCGAACCACTCGCTGACTTCGCCTCTGACTGCGAGCTCGTGAGTAGCAAGTTGTATCCGCTCGCTTGCCTCAGCGGGATCCTTGCCACCGGCTCCCATGAAGCGCATGTACTCCCGCTTTTCTTTCTCGAACCACACCTGGCGGCCAGTGGTGTAAGTTTCGGGAAGCAGTTGACCTTCGCGTCGGGCACCGACAACGTGGATGCCGCGGATCAAGGCCTGGGAGTCGTTTTCGTTTCCGAGGCCGAGCGCGCCGCACCCCCGAGGGTCTTTACCGTAGGAGGTGATGCGGCCATTGCTGTGGAGTGCGTGGTAGTGGTAGTCGCCGAATGCAACGGATATCACGCCGGTGTTTTGGAGAGCGGGAATTCGCTGCAGGCCTTGGATATTTATCTGATCGGGATTGTCAAAACGCGCGTCCCAGCATCTATCGAGGTAGCCTTGGTCGGCAACGATGACCTCGTCATTCTTGAAGGAGGCGAAGTGTCGGAAAGACCCTTGGACATCCCAATGCGTACCAGTGCCGTTCCGAAGGCGACGGAGTTCCATGATATCGGTGGTGGTCGATTCGGCACCGATCTTTGCGGCAAACACCTTTCCAAGATCTGTAACAAAGACAACAAAATGCTCAAGCACGATGTAGTTGTTGACCATGCCTACTTCATCCCCGAGGGCCTTGTCGTCTTCAGATTGCCGAGACGCATGCTTCGTCCGCTGGTAGCTTGTCTTCGGTACGACTGCGGAGTCGACGACTAACATCATATCTGAATCATGTTCTCCTCGCGGACGTCTCACTGGGCTCCACAAGATGATGCCAGTCCCGTAAATGTACGCAGAGCTGTGGCTCCACCCAGCCACAACCTGCCGAACGCGTCCAATTCGGGTGGCGTCCGCGGTCAGAATTTGACTGCTCGAAGATGACGATGCTTCGTTGATGTCGACATGAAGGAACTTGACATGAAGCGCGTCTTCACAAAAGGCGTACCAGGACCAAATTCTGCCGCTATCTGATAGTGCTAGGATGTGAGATCGTCCAGACGAGAACTGTCGCGTAGCTACTGCCGGATCGTATCTGTCCGTGGACTGAGGAAACCCAGGTGGATACTTCAAGAGTTCGTACCTGTCAGAGCTGACTTCGCGCGGCATGTGCAAGCCATCGAGAACACCAAAAGTATAGAGGGAGCCTTTGGAAGTAAGAAGTGTTGTCGACCAGCCACTGGCGTCAACATTAGTTGTGCACCTGTTTAGAAACGATTGGGTGTTTGGAGATGAAAACTCTGGAGTTGCTCACCCGCATTGCATGTCTGCAATGATTCCCAGTTTTCTAGAATGCTCTACTTCCGTAGGGAAAGGCACATTAACGTTCGGGGCAGCCCAAAATCGCCCTGGCGACATGCCTCTTGGCAGAGCTTGCGAGTTTTTGTAGGTATGTCCCAGGCAGCCGTCAGTGTTGCTGCCCCATGTAAATACGCGGCTTTGCGTGAGCAGTCTGCGATACATCTTCTGCCATCGTACGCCATCTGATTGGACGACTGGCTGGTTGGGAACTCGGAAAGTAGATCGGGTAGCATAGCTCCAGTATGCACCGTCGAGACGAATCGAGGGCTGATTGAAGGCTGTGCAAGTGGCACATAGTGCCAGAAAGCTTTTGGCATCGAGGTAAGGAAAGACCAGAAGAAGAATATCCAGGGGAAGGTCGTTGAGGGGGGTCCCTTTATTCGCCATGTTTACGAGATTGACTCGAGGAGGCTTCAAGCTATGGAATGGTAGTCAACGACGTAAGTTTGGTCAAGTAGTGAGGCGAAGAAAGTTGTTGGTGATGTATGACGTGGGTGGTGCCTGGTGGGATGAGGTTTGGCTGCGGCTCACGCTAGCGGCATGACTCGTGCCTCCCCGGAATCTGGGGTAGGCCTTGGCGTCTTTTTCTCGAACATGACTCAGCAAAATTCCTCCCGTCACCACTCGACTTCAACCACTATCATCTGAAGTCCCTCAACTGCCTCTCACCAACCACAACGCCAATGCTAGAAACATCTAATCGACCGCATACTGCACGGAGACCTCTACCCACACTACACCCTAGCCGGTAGTACGACCGCGCAAACAAAGCCCCCGCCTTTCCTGTCGCAATTGACTCATTGTCTCCGAACCCACATCACATACTTCCCACGATGAGCGCCGAACCCGCAGATACCGGGGAGACTCCGGCGGCACCAACGCCTGCTACATCGGACCCAGCGCCTCCACCAAATGCTCCACCGACAGCCGAGAAAGGAGCACCCGAAAAGCCCGCACTCTCTGGAGCAGAACTGAAGAAACGAGCAAAGGCAGAGAAAGCAGCAAAAAGAGCCCAGCAAAAGGCCGCAACGGTGGGAATATCAGGCGCACCACAAGACTCGAAACCGGTACAACAGGAGCCCAAGCAGCAAAAGAAGGACGGAAAACAAACTTCAAAGGAACCGAAGCAAGGCCCAAAAGAGGCTGGACAACCAGGAACGCCCCTCCCAATGCGGCGAAGACAGTCTGTGACTCTTCCGCCACCAAAAGAGAAGGAGGAAGTAGTAAAGCAAGTCGGGTTATTTGGCCACTTGTATGGTCAACCAAAACAGCACTCGATAGCTGGCGCGGCCAAGGAAGTGCACCCCGCGATCCTGGCCCTCGGGCTGCAGTACTCGAGCTATGTGATTTGTGGGAGTACTGCTAGGTGCGTTTCGATGCTACTAGCTTTCAAAAAAGTCATTGAGTCGTACACAACTCCCAAAGGCCAAGCGCTGGCCCGGCATCTCACAGCTCATCATCTTTCTCCTCAAATCACCTACCTTCAGGCATGTCGCCCGATCAGTATCAGCATGGGAAACGCTATCCGCCATTTGAAAGACCTGATTGTGAAGATTGATCCAGCTGTCTCCGAAGCAGACGCGAAAGAACATCTAATAGACTCGATCGATAGTTTTATCAGGGAGCGCATTACGGCTGCGGATGAGCTAATATCAAGCGAGGCCATGACGAAGATCACACCTGGAGATGTGGTTCTCACATACGCGTCGAGCACTATTGTGCAGACCACGCTACTAAAGGCCCACAACGCTGGTATTCCGTTTCGAGTAATTGTCGTAGATTCGAAGCCATTATACGAGGGCAAGGCACTAGGTAAATCTGACTTTTCTAGCTCCTTTTCATCATTAAGAAGCTATTCCTAACCTCATCCGTTCCACAGCCAGGAACCTAGCACACCACGGCCTCAAAGTCAGCTACAGCTTGATTAGCAGCGCCGCACACGCCATGAAAAGCGTTACGAGGATATTCCTCGGCGCCCACGCAATGATGAGTAACGGGTACGTCCTCCCCATCTCCCCCACACCGCTCCGCTAACTTTCCACAAAGCCGTCTATACTCCAGAGTCGGGTAAACTCCCCACCTCCTCTAAACCCAGTTCCAACTAACCACCCCCAGCACCGCCGCCATCGCCATGCTCGCCCACGAACGCGACATCCCCGTCACTGTTCTCTGCGAAAGCGTCAAATTCACCGACCAAGTCGCACTGGACAGCATCGTGAAGAACGAACTCGCGTCGCCAGAAGAATTGCTCTCCGAGAACGAACGCAGCGCACTCGTCGATCTACTTCCAAAAGACAAATCTAGCAGTGCAGACAAGAATGAGGAGGTGATGAAGTGGTGGCGGGATGAGCCGAATCTGCAGATATTGAACATATTGTACGATGTGACGCCAGGTAAGCCTAAAGCTGTTTCTATTGGGATTCTGGAGTTGCGCTTGGGGATAGTAAGCTAATAGATGGTTGCAGCGGAGTATATCAGCATTGTTATTACGGAGCATGGATCGTTGCCGCCGAGCTCGGTGCCGGTGGTTCATCGGATTAGCACGAATACTTAGGGATAGCTGGAGAAATTCTGCGAGGCGTAGTCGTAATGCACGGGACCCACGGGGGCTGGGGAAGACTGCAATACCCCCAGCCTAATGAGCCTTCAAAAAATCACAATCTAAAGGGATGAACCACCTGAATCGGACTCGCGTTATTGAGGATGGCATTCCGCTTTTGGGGCGTGCTGGGATTTATTGTAGAGCTGTAAAATAGTGAAGCTATCACGCCGTTGAATGGACGAGCTAGGGGAATAGTCTCCTTTGAGAAAGGAAGACATTTTCAATTTTCTTAGTCAATGAAAGTGTTCCTCAGGCCACTCCAGGCCATATTATCCAGCGATTTGTTTGTACCGATGTAATGGAAACTGGTGCCTACCAGGCAGGCTCACGTGCTTTCGCGAACATCGTCCCATCGCGAAAACTCTGGTCGCCCCGCTGCAGCCTCCATTATTACATCACCATCATTGTATCCCGACTCCCACTGCCCCTGGACTCTTTTGGATCCCATCGATATCCCTTCCTGTATCATCTTATCTCGCACACCTCGCGTCGTGTCATCCACACTCGCTCACCATGAAATCCACCGGCGGCGGCGCATCAAAGCGCAAACGAGCGGCGCGCCAGACGCGCCTCAACTTCACACCCATCGATTCCTCATCACCTGCCGCGGCGCATCTCTCGCCGCAAGTTCGTGGTCGCGCGGCTGCGGTGTCGTATGACAGGTCGCCTAGCCCGGTGAAGCGGCGGAAGGTGGAGGTGAAGGGGGGAGAGGTTGATGATATCACTGGTACGATTTCACTACGCGTTCAAATTTATTATCTTAGCACGGTGTCTTCTTATCTAACGGTTCGACAGATAGCTTCAGAGCTCTACCTACACCCGATAAATCGTCTCAAGCCAAAATTCACGGTCACGGCAATACGACATCGGAGTTACTTCGCCGGCAACTGGATTTTGGCAACAACGGAAGCAAGGCTTCACAGCGACAGAGCAGAGGGGGAATGGGTTCCTCGCCTTCACGACCGATGGCGCCTAATATGTTTGGAAGCCCTGACCGAAAAGTGGTGGATGTGGCTACTAGTTCGAGCGGGTCAGATAAAGAGGAGCTTCCGACGAAGGTGACACGTTCTGTTCGGAAGGTCTCGAATGTTCACCCGCCGAAAGGAAGGGAGCCTCCACCGGCTGCTGGAAGATCGCGGAGGAGTGATAAGAAGCAGAAGGCGGAGAAAGTTAGGGAGGCGCAACCCGCTGCTAGGAGATCGCAACGGAGTAATAAGCACCAGAAACCGATGGTTATCTCCAGCGATGAGGGCTCGGATGGTGAAGGCTCAGACGGCGCAGAGGAAAAGAGTTCAGTGAAGGATCAGCCCGTTGCAGAAACTGAATCCGACAGCGAAGAGATGCCAGACTCGTCTCCACTCAAGAAGCCACGGCAAGCGGCAGCTACTCGAGCTCGTAGGCGATCCGACTCTTTCGAAGTGCCTGACGATGTTGTAGAGCTGGAAGACGATGAGCCGGTGGTCTCCCCTCGCAAGCGAAGCAGGAAGTCAAGAGCTTCGGACTCTGAGGATGAAGATAAGGACGACATTGTTCCAAGTCTGCGAAGGCGACTCCGACGTCCGCGGCAGGAAGAATCCCCAACCCCCACAGAAGAAGAAGATGACGAAGAGGAAGACGATTCCATTGTCATGACACAACGGAGATACAAACCCAAAACTCCTGACCAGAGCTTCAGCAAACAGGAAAAGGACGATTTGGACGACGATCTAGAGTTCCTGGGATCCGGTCGAAAGCTGTCAAACAAGGCGCGAGAAAAACGGGCCACGCCGAAGATAAATGCACGGCAAATCGCCCTCGAAGAGTTGAAGCGAAAGCGGGCTGGCGAGAAGGTCGAAACCACAGTCACTCCCAATCGTAAGAAGCCACCCGTCCGTACAATTGAGGATACCTCCTCCGAGGAAGAAGCAGACGAAGAGGACGACGGTGGCTTCGACGACCTCGATGACGCCCAACCTGAATATCGAGCGGATGTGCTAGATATGTTCCACGAGGATGATGAAGATGACGGATTCGTCGTCGACGAGGACGATGACGGTGACGACACATTAGGAGCGCCAGATGCCCAACTTCCATTAGAATTCAGCAGCCTCAGTCGCGCCAAGGCAAAGGACCTATTCAAATACGCTATCGAGTGGATGGTGCAGAAGAAGATCAACCCTGCTTTCGAAATGACCGACGACGTCTATCGTCTCACGTTCCAAAAGCTCGACGACGAAGTCAAGGGCCTGGCTGGATCCAAGTTCGTGTCCTCAGTATGGAGGCCCGAGTTCACGAGGTCCATCAAAGCTAGACCGGAGATGAACCTCTTGCAAATGTCTGCGGATGCGATGGACGCGGATTGCCAAGCTTGTAATCGCCGCAATCACCCAGCTACTTGGAGCATCCAACTTACTGGCAAACCGTATCATAAGGAGTCGCTGGAAGAGCTAGCTCAATCAGATGATGACTCTGACGACGAAGATGACGACGAAGAAGAGGAGGGTGATGGCAAGGAATACGATGCCGACGGGAATGAGCTGCCGGACCGGGAGCGATGGTTTAGCCTTGGAAGCACATGCAAGCAGAACGCCGAAATGGCACACATCCTCCACCACTGGCGCTACCATCTCAACGCATGGGTTGTCAGCTATCTCGAAAGCAGCGGCTACTGCACTCCGGAACAGCTCACCAATCGCGATAAAATGAGCGTGAGGAAGCGGCGCAAGGCTGCGCTCAAGATTGTCGATAAGATGGAGAAGAAGGGGGAGGTCAACCGGCTTTATAGGGACTATCGGAATCAACTCGATTGGGCTCAGAGTGCGAAGAATGATGGGTCAAGGTTTGTTAGGCGGTGATTGGAGAAGTGGGAGGGGACGATGGATTGGATGGCATGGTTGGCAATTGGAGTCTGATATGGAGACTATGGTGTCAAGGATACAAGATTGAATTGGATATCCATTGAGTAGCTCGGCTTTAGCTAGTTCACTTCCAATAATTGCTAGGCTTGATGAAAACTTTCTGTTGGGCGTCCCGAGAGCTTAGTTGCCACAGCGAGACATGGAAAGGTGGCACTCTACTTTTACAACAAACTCTTTTGACTATTACCTCGGAGTCCTAGGAGTCAAAGACTGTTAAACACATCGTCTTCTCAGAACACATACCTCCCGTCCCTGCTTTACCAAGTCCTCTCTCTGTGCGCGTCTTTGTTCTGTTCTATCTACCAATCATTTAGATATGGCCAAATGGACCACGACTTAATCCACCCAAGCAGTAATGGACAGGTGTACACACGAGACGGAGATGTCTGGTGGGATACTCTTCGCACGATTTCCTATGAACACATGCTCAACGTCATGGACCCTTTGATCTCTCACTCAAAATCCAAAACGATGCTATTCCACACTCTATATTTATAAGAACGTACTGAGATTATCTCAAGAATGCTTCAAAGCACACCAAAAGCGCTCAAATCCCCTCATCACTCCCCTCATCAAACTCCTCATTAGAGACATAAAAGGACCCTCCCATCTCTTCCCCCTGATCCTCCTCCACCCTCAACACCGCCGTCGACACTCCCGTCGTCGAATCCGGGTGCCCCCACCGCCTCTCCATCCTCCCCTCAACCTGTTCCTGCACATGCCTCCTCACCCGCGCCGTCATGCGATTCAAGCACCCCTCCATCTCCTTCTCCTCCCTCTCCTTGCCTTTCACACCCCCAACCCCTAAACTCGGCGGCGCCCACTTTAAATACACCTTGTTATGGCTCGCCGGCAGCGCAAACCCCGCATCCAGAGCAGCAATATACTCATAGCACAGATAACACGCAGGCTTGCTGCAGCCCACGAACTTATCGTCGTCGACAAATGGGAGCTTGCGCTTGTGGAAGAGCTGGACGAGGTACAGTTCTGCGTGGATGCGGGTGCTCGTGGTGCAATCATCGCGCAGGCGGGCGGAGAGGTTGCTCCAGCGGTCGTGGTGGGTGAGGTGGTGGAGGAGGGGGGTGGAGACGAGGGGTTTCGAGGAGAAGCGGGCGGCGAGGCTGGCAAGGGTGGTTTGTTTTTCCAGGAGGGGGATCTTGGCGGCGGGGTGGGAGGCGTAGGGGTGGAGGGAGTAGGAGCGGAGGAGGTGGGGGAGGTGGAGGGAGGCGTGGGTTAGGAGGCTGGCGGCGTGGGGATGTTCGCCGAGGCGGCCGGTGTTGTGGCGCAGGATTTTGAAGGGGCAGGTGGGGTTTGACGAGGAGATGCGGGTGGAGATTTGGTGGAAGAAGGGGGTGGATCTAAGGAGGTGGCATTTGCTGGCGATTTGGAGATGGTTGTTTGAGAGCGTGGTTGACTGGAGGTCTTGGAGAGTTTGGAGGAGGACTAGGGTACGCGGGTCTACCTCATTTGCACCGTCTTTGTCTCGTTTTGATTAGCAGATCTATCGAATGAAGCCTTCAAATGAAACGGGAGACTTACCTTGACATTCTTTGCTAAGCTGGCGGATACAAGAGGGAAGAGCATGCTGGACAAACTTCAGATATTCTTTGATTCTTGTCTTACAAAATGCGATGATACTGTTTAGTAGCTTCTCTTTAGTGCTTTGTCTCGTGTCAATGGTCATCCGAGCGAGATCTGCCAGAGTATCCTTAAGGAATTGAACTGTCTTTGGCTTGACCGAGTCATTTGCTGCAATCCAGTACTCGACTTTGTTCGAGCACTGCTGTAAAGCAATGGCAGTGCATGTCGATCCGCCCTTCTCATAGTCGCAAATGTAGGCAAGGTATTTGATGAGCGATCTTCGCAATTGCGTGGTGTCTACACCAGTAGGGTCCGCCTTAGGGTAGTCCTTGATCCTCCCTCCTCTACAGGGATCCAGAGCATGGAGGATGAGTATCGGCTCGTAGAAACGCCGAAGGACCTTCCTGCGGATTGGCTGCTCGACTAGCAGATTCGCGTTGACAGCCTTAAGGGCGCGGGACTGTGTGCCGTCTGAATCAACAGCAGAAGGGGAAACCTGAGTATGTAGGAGTCTCTCAAGGCTTTTTGCGACTGCGCCCGGTAATATCAGCTCCCGTCTACACAGTCAATGGAGAAAAACGACCTTCTGCAACGCTAGAATTCTTTCTAGCCGTCGTTTTAGGCATCGAAGTTCCAGTTGCTGGTTTCTTTGCTTGTCCAGTACCGTCTCCCACAGGGGCGACTTTGGCTTTGGGTTTCGTAAGAGGCCTCTCCATTTGAGGCTTTACATCTGAAACAACAGCAGTGGGCTTCGACTTTAACTTTTGTGTGGTTACATCGGGCGATGTCAGGGCCTTCTTCTTCTTCTTCTTCTTTTTAATTGGCTGGATAACTGCTTTTGCAGCATCAACGTCAACCGCGATGTTGGTCTTCTTCGCACACATTCTAGATTAAGTAATTGAGCGATTGGGAAATGACAATTGCGAAGCTTAAACTATGGAACAGATGGTAGAGAGTATAAATAGACATCCGTTATCTGGCATTAAGTTCGATGCTCTTCCATGCACCTATACATCGCCCGAATGGCCAGATTCCTGTTCTTCATTGTAGCGCAGCCTTACAGCCATTAGGATCCCCGCGCTACACCTCCGGATTTTCAGTTTTCTCGAACCAAAGTTCCAGAGGCTGCAGCTGCATGCATGTCGACGATTTGGTAGTCTGAGTCAGATGTGCGGTGACCGGTGAGGGGTAGAAGAGGAAGGCTTGCGATTGGTGCTATACTGCGAGGGCCTATCAGAACGTTTAGGGAGCGAGGGAGAAAAAAGGTAGAAATTGTAGGAGCGTATGATACATACTCTCAAGGCAATAAATCGACAGTTCTAAGGTCAAATCTCTGAAGATTGGGTTGCAATAGGATGTTGAAAGTTACTTTAATGCAGGCGCAAACTGTGACAAACAACGTAACTCTCGCAAGCTGGACTTGAGAAATTAATAGGTAATGCTTATAAGTGTACTCGGCTACATGACTTCCTTTGTGTAGAAGTAGCTTGATGAATAGTATGGATATCGACAGCTTGGATATCAGCGTTCGAGCATCTGCAATTACGCAGTATACCGGCCCCAGCTCCTGTCCTGTCGTGCATGACCAAATATGCCACCATGCTAATTGCCTTGACTACTGTAGTATGTCTCATACAGCTCTTGTGGTATGTCACCCTCCCACGACCAGCTCTTTGGAAAGGATTTCAATCCTGTTGATCCCGTCTGGCTGTCAAACTAGAGTCCAGTCCAATGGTAGCGGCGCCTTCGCAGTTTCCTCATAGTAGCCCATCACCATAATTCCTCGAGTTATACCGTCCCCTCTGCACCCTCATCGCGGCAACCCACTCCCCTCCCCCCTCCCACTCCTTCCTAGGACACCCGCCTTCAATCTCAACTCCAACCCTACCGCCGTCCCTGCTCCCTCTTTCCCCTTGCTTCCACTGACGCCCTCTCTCGGTCCCTTTCGCAACAGCTCCTCAAGCCCCAAGTCCCGCCACGCAGGCTCCTTCTGCTTCATGGTCGCGCGCTGGATCCCAAACGCTGCATGCTGGTCCGGCACCACGTCGTCTTCGTCTTCGGGATTTGGGGGCTGGTGCTGCGGCGGGACATATATCTCTTCGGGGGTGAGGTGGGAGCGAGTGAAGTCTTCGAAGAGGTCGGCGACGCGGGGGTGGGGGAGGTGGAGGGGGGTGCGGGAAGAGTCGCGGGACTGTGAATCGTTAGTCAGCTACATTTCTGTGCCTTTGAGGAGAGATTGGCGTACCATATTGGTGTGAAATTTTGATTTGCGGGGATTGGATGATGGCTTGGTCTAGTGTCTTGATGTTTTGGTGTTGTTACTGATCCTCGAGTGAGGTTGAAGGCGTGCACGTGATAATGGTCTAAGCGTCGCCGCCAAGCCTGTCTTCGCTAAACTTCCACAACGCCTCAATCTCGAATTTGGCCCGCGAACTTCTCGACGACGATACCGACAACAAGCCCTCACGACATCACTCCAGCCGGCCGAGCAGCGATTCCGATGTACGTATACCCCATGTTGTAAATCCTCCAGATGTTCAGAGACTAACGTGTTTGGGTGTCTGCCAGCCGCCCACTCAACAACACACCGCAATCATGTCTCACGAGAACGTCTGGTACTCGCGCCCGCGCACGTATGGCAAGGGCTCGCGCTCATGGTGCGTTTGACTCTCTCTGTTTGTGATGGGAAGAGATGATTGGGATAATGAAGGCGGAAATGTGGAAGTGGGATGGGAGAACGGAAATGGAATATGGCAGGATTGGAATGAAGGGAACACTGGCTAATAGATATACAGCCGCGTCTGCACCCACCCTGCCGGTCTGATCCGAAAGTACGGTCTCAACATCTGCCGTCAGTGCTTCCGCGAGAAGAGCGCGGACATTGGCTTCGTCAAGGTACGGATACTCAAACCACTACTCTGCATACCAGGAATCATCAGCAATAAACCTTCGACCTCAACAACAACCACCACGCAAACGCTCCACTTCATCGATCCCCAAGATATGGCTTGGATAACAGTGGCTAACGGCTTTCTAGCACCGGTAAACGCCCACCGCCAACAAAGGAACTCGTAGTGGAAGGTTCAAACGGTGTTCTGCTTGCTGCGACACGGAAAAGCGAGTGGATGACTCAATATGAAAAGATGAAAGGCGGAGTTTCATGTGCAGTGTGGATATCCTCCTCGGAGGTCTGAGGCGTGGGATACACTGGGTTTCTCTTTTGCGGGTGCTAGGTATACAAATTCAACTGAGCATCACGACCAAAACTTTCACTCACGATATTTCCTGGGGCGCGATGACCAAGCGGACGTCCCACAAGCTTGTTGCAAGTTTATGAAGGTTCTATAACAGCTGTACTGACTACGGAAGCTTTTACTACGTTTCACTTGAGATACATCTTTTCCGTCACTCCCGTGGAAGCGTCAATCCACTCTCCTCTCCTCTGCTACTCCGCCGAATTCAAGAATCTCACGCACAGAAAATCCGGTCCGCCACCACATACCAATCGAAAACACGAAATGATTGATCCTAGTCATCAATAATGCGCTAGTCGCTCTATGCGGTGTGAAAACCACGGTCGACAGGGCAAAGGTGGACCAAAGAGCGTTAAAAAGGACTGCAGTTGTCAGATGAAAGGAACTCTGCATTTTTGCGAAAGGGAAAGAAAGAATAGTGCGGATCAAGGCTTCTCAAACAGGTATAGAAGACTCGATGTGGAGACTTACTAAACGGCGGCAGCGAAGCACGATCGAAAGACCCCCGAACGTGGGCAAGTCCAATCGCCACGGCCTGTGATCATGTTAGATTTGTGTCAGATCAGTCTTGCCCGTCGCACCAACATGTACAGTACGGACAAGATCAAACCTCCAAAGCAGAAATCACAAATTAACCCACCATAATCGCAACAACATGCTGCGCGCTCCTCGCCTCCTCTCCGAAATTCGGCAACGGCAGTCCGGTGGATTCGCTCAGTGCTTTGCTGAGTGCGCCGTGGTAGATTACTGCCGGCTTGATGAGCAGAATTGTACGACAGCAGCATCGGCGGCGCCTTTGATGAAGGTGATGGGGGAGAAGGAAGCCATGGCGAGGGAAGGAAGTGTTTAGGAGAGGGGTGTAAGTAGGTATAGGTGGGATAGCTAAGTAGGTAGGTAGTTAGGGAGATTGCACATAAGCTCAAACTGACTCGCGGGAGGTTTTACAGGGATGTACTCGTTCGTATTTTACTTATGCAAGGCTATGTATGTAATCTTTAACGTCTAGATCCTTTCAAAGATGGGCCGTAATTTGTTTCGATATGTGTTGAGGCAATCGATGCCCGGGTTTAGACATTAATAGAGAAGCGGGTGCGGGGGAATATCGTATGACTTACTATCAAGTCACCCTTTTGTTGAGTTTTCACATTTTCTTCGTCTATGATACCACCGCGGCTGAAGTGACTCAGTTTTCCTCCTCGCAGATGTTGGAATTCTGAGTGGGCGGATCAAAACAAGTGAAGGAGTGGTCGCATGGAGTCGTCGGGGAAGCCTTTTGGCTGGGTGGATCAAACCGAGGCAAAGGCGCAAGCATTAGTCCGGCGGAGAGTCAACACCCGCTCAGCAACGAACCATGGAGTTGGAGCGCTCTTGTTCATACAGAGTGATGATGGTGAGAATCTTGTCGACTCAATAATGACGATGAATGAGATGAATGGGTTGTGTAGCTCTAGATTATCACTAGTAGAGTCGGTTGAAGATTCGAAATAACTATGGTTTAGCGTGATAAATGTGATGATACAGTCAATATCCTAGTCCTCAGAAGGTGACGAGATTAAGCATATAAAACGACAACGGCAGTGAGTGACCTCGGAATATGCACTGACGAGATGATACTACATCCCAATCGGGTATAGCTCATTCTCACCCTTCAATCATCCCGTCTTGAACGGCGTCATCCCATCTCCACCACAATGTCCTCTCCCATCGTCCACGGCGTCTCCATCACGCCTCTCACCCAATGCTCCCACTGGTTCTCCGCCCTCGACATCATCGCCATTAAGATGAAGTGCTGCAATGAATTCTACGCGTGCATCTCGTGCCACGCTGCCCTCGCAAAACACAATACCAAGGTCTGGACAAAAGAAGAACGGGACGAGGAAGCGGTGTTTTGTGGGGGTTGTAAGAGCGTGTTGAGCATTGAGGAGTATATGGCCGGTGATGGGAAATGCGAGGAGGGGAGTAGGTGTCCGAAGTGTAACGCTGGGTGGAATCCGGGGTGCAAAAACCACTGGAGTCTTTATTTCGAAATTTAGGGCTCGGAGAGGTTTGTGAGCCATTGAAGGTATGAATGCGCGGTGCAATAAATCCCCCTGCTTTGTATCTAACTTTATTTAATTTTCTGACCAAATATAGAACGGAAACAATAAAATACCCATGTAGAAGATCCGCCAAGGACTGAGAGATTCCAACAGGCATCCTAGTTTTCCGGTGAAGGTAAACGAGAAGTCCATAAAATCTACATATTCAGTGTTCCTGCCGTTCAACCCCTCCCGGACCTTTACTGCTCAATGTTACGAATAGTATCACCCTAAATCATGATCTTACCCATATTGGCACCCCTCCTCTTTCTTCTCACCCCCCTCACCCTCGCCCAAGCCACCACAATCCCCATCTTCGCCCTCGACGACCGCGGCTCCGGTAACAACGTCTACACCATCACAATCAACTGGGGCGGCTCCGTCCTCGCCGCCAATGCCACCGCCACCACCTTCATCGTCACGTCTACGCTTATCCAGCACGTGACGCCCGTCTATGCCGGCGAGACCGCGCGCTGGACATACTACTCCACGACTGGCGGCCCGCAGACCATCACGCAGGGGCCGTCGATGTACGAGTACACGACTTCTTACGGCAATAGCGGCATGGAGGATGTGACGGCGTGTCAGATGCTTGGCACGACGGAGGCGCGGTGTAATTTCACCGGGGCGTCGTGGTACGGGACGCATGATACGAGGAGCTTTACGTGGAGGGCGAATGGGACGGTTGATGGGGGGGTTTTGGGGGGTTTTGCGCCTGTGACGGTGAGTGAGGGGCTGGAGAAGTTAGGGGTGACGGTGAGTGGGGGTACGACTGGGACTTTGACTGGAACTTTGACTGCGACTGCGAGTGCGATTGCGACTGCAACTGGGAAGAATGGGCCGGCGAAGACGGGCGAAGCAGTTGGGAAGATGATAGGGCTGGGGTTTGTAGTGATAACTGCTGTACTTACGATAAGTTTTGCATGGTAAAAACGGTTTACGAGATTGGATGGCTTAAAAGGTATCTAGTTCAATGAATGTCCCTCCCCCTTAACCTGTGTGCCGAGCCAAGTCCATAAGGTGTATAGGCCGGCCATAGAAGCGTGCGCGAATTACCTAGGCAGTGAATAATGAGGATAGGTTTAACAGGTACACTGAAGGGGTGGTGTATTAGGATTTCAAGTCTGTGCTTGTAGGCCAGTTTCGCTAAAAATGGGGCTGCTAGAAGTACGATTTGGGCACTCTAAAGAACTTACATAGTAAGACACAAGGCGGAGGACCGGAATGCTCCTCCAAGCCAATCAGAACCTTGGGAAGTCACGTGGTATGTCCAAATAATGATATTCTACAGGCTTAACGGAAGAGGTATGTCCATTTAGTGGCGCCTTTATTAAGGTCACTCCTACCTCACAATTATATTAGCATCGCGGTCTTCCTTCTGCAGCCTTCGTGGCGCGGTTCTTCCTTAGTCAGAGTAGGTATGCTTGCTGCGCCACACTCTGCTTCTCACCGGTCCTCGCAAGGTTGCCTGATGCCAACGCACCGGATGAAGTTACAACATTTCTGCTGCAAGACAAACGACGTTGCCTTTTGCTCAAGATCATTTTAACAAACTCAATATACAAGTTTACACTCAGCTCAGATTCTGCCACTAAAAATGCGGCTTCTTAGTTCCAAAAGCAACGGCAGCCTCAGCCTGACCAGCTTCAGAGACAACAACCCTCCTAGTTATGCCATTCTTTCCCATGTATGGGAGGCAGATGACCAGGAAGTTACATTCCATGATATCGTTAATGACCTTGGAAGCACCAAAAATGGCTATAGAAAGATCCAATTCTGTAGCGAACAAGCTGAAAGAGACGGCCTGCGATACTTCTGGGTGGATAGCTGTTGCATCGATAAATCAAACAGCACGGAGCTCCAAACGGCTATCAATTCAATGTTTCGCTGGTACAAGAATGCGGCAAACTGTTACGTCTACCTCTCAGGCGTCTCAACGGGCAAACACTCCCGGTCCTCCGATTCTTTGTGGGAACGGGCTTTCAAGCAAAGCAAGTGGTTCACACGAGGCTGGACACTTCAAGAACTTCTTGCTCCGCGATCAGTCGAGTTCTTCTCCCGAGATGGCAAGCGGCTTGGCAATAAGGAATCGTTAGAACAGCAAATTCATGAGATCACTGGGATTGCAATTGAGGCACTTCAAGGAAATCTGTCTCAATTCAGCAATGACGAGCGAAGAATGTGGGCTGCAAAACGCGAGACGACAATTGAAGAGGATCAAGTCTATTGCCTACTAGGTATTTTCGACGTCTATTTGCCGCTCATCTTTGGCGAAGGAAAGAAGCATGCATTCCGTCGGCTCCAAGATGAGCTTGACAAACGTTCACTCGATTCACAAGGTAGTTTCACCGCATCAAATTCAAATTCGCTGGCTAATCTGCGAAGTGAAATGGAATGATAAGGAACGCGCATGTATGCAAGCCTTGCGTACTTCAGCTTTCAACTACGAACAGTTCAAGGACAGGAATCCTCATCGGCTTGAAGGAACCTGTCAATGGGTTCTACAACATGAAAACTTCCGGAACTGGAAAAACAGTAGCTCTTCAAGTCTCCTTTGGTTATCTGCGGATCCTGGATGCGGAAAATCAGTTCTGTCTAAGTCTTTTATCGACGAAGACTTCAGAAGCACGGACAATCGCACCACTTGCTACTTTTTCTTCAAAGATGACAATGACGTACAGAAAAATGTAGCCACAGCGCTTTCGGCACTATTACACCAGCTCTTTTCACAGAAACCGACACTTCTTAAACATGCCATGTCAGATTACGCCGCCAATGGAGATAAACTTACCCAATCATTCCATACACTCTGGAGCATACTGACGAAAGCGGTGGCTGATCCGAGGGCTGGGGAAGTCTTTTGTGTTCTGGACTTCCTCGACGAATGCGCAGAAGCAGGGCGCTACCAGATTATCGAGGCCCTTGATACATTCTACCAACATGCAAGCTCCGGGAAAAACCCATCTAAACTCAAAATGCTTGTCACCAGTCGTCCTTATCTTGACATCGAACGGCGTTTCACCGAGCTTGTTTCCAAATTCCCCACGATTCGATTAAGAGGCGAGCGAGAATCCCATGCGATTAGCCGTGAGATCGACGATGTGATTAAATGGAGAGTATCAAAGCTCGGATCTGAACTGAAGCTCAATGATTCAGAAACTTTGAATCTCGAAAGAGAACTTTTAGGAATGGTCAACCGAACGTACCTTTGGTTGACGCTCATTCTAGATATCGTTCGGAAAACAATTCTTCCTACCGGTCGAAAACTGAAGGCCATTATCAGTACCCTTCCGTCCACGGTTGATCAAGTATATGAGGCGATCCTCTCAAGAATCGAGGAGGATGAACGACTACAAGCAAAGAAATTGCTGCATATCATCGTTGCAGCTAAAAGGCCCCTCACCTTGGAAGAAATGAACATCGCACTAGCTATCGAACCCCACCATCGATCCTACGACGACCTCGACCTTGACGACGAGGCGAGGTTTGAAGTATCGGTGAGGAATCTCTGCGGACTCTTCGTGACTGTGGTAGATCAGAGGGTCTATTTGATCCATCAGACCGCGAAGGAATTCCTTCTCGCGAAGAGTGACGTAGCTACTGGCCGATGGAAACATTCTCTTATTCCAACGGAATCGGAGACTCTTATGGCCGCAATATGCGTTACCTATCTTTCGTTCAGTGAGTTTGATGTAGCGACGGATTACGCATCTGCAGCAGTTGAATACGGCTACTTGGATTATGCCGCGGGTTTTTGGGTTGCTCATTTCCGAAAAACGCAAGATTGTACAACTAAGCAAATGTTGCAATTGGTTCTCAAAATCTGCAACACTCGATCCAAGTGGTTCAACACTTAGTACCCTATGTACTGGAAGATAGCTCACCCTGGGATCGATAACCCCCAGTTCACAAATATTCTGATGGTAGGTTCATGTTTTGGACACCAAGCCGTGGTAAAGCTACTCCTCGAGGGCAAGGCGGACGTCGAATTAAAGGAGGGCAACTACGGTCAGACGCCGCTGTCGTTGGCGGCTGAGAACGGCCACGAGGCCGTGGTTAAGCTGCTCCTCGAAGGCAAGGCGGATGTCCACTCAAAGGACTGCTACGGTCAGACGCCGGTGTCGTTGGCGGCTGAGAATGGGCACGAGGCCGTGGTTAAGCTTCTCCTTAAGGGTAAGGCAGACGTCAACTTAGAGGACTACAACTGTCAGACGCCGCTGTCGTTGGCAGCTGAGAACAGGCACGAGGCCGTAGTTAAGCTGCTCCTTAAGAGTCGGGCAAACGCCAATTTAAAGGACCGCCGCGGTCGGACGACGCTGTTGTTGGCGGCTGAGACTGGGCACGACGCTGTAGTCAAGCTACTCCTTAAGGGTAAGGCGGACGTTGACTCCATGGACTACTGCGGTCAGACATCGCTGTCGTTGGCGGCCCTGAACGGGCACGAGGCCGTGGTTAAGCTGCTCCTCGAGGGCAATGCGGACGTCGACTTGAAGGACGGGGGTGGTCACACGCCGCTGCTAAAGGCGGCCGCATTTGGGCACAAGGCTATAGTTAAGCTGCTTCTCAAGAACAAGGCGGACGTCGACTCAAAGGACAACAACAATGAGACGCCGCTGGCGTGGGCGGCTAGGAACGGGCACAAGGCCGTTGTTAATTTGCTCCTTAAGGGAAAGGCGGACGTCGAAGTGAACAGCGGGTATGGTCGCACGCCGGAAGCGTGGGCGGCCGTGAACCGGCACAAGGCCGTGGTCAGGCTACTCCAGTCTTTCAACTCTGAATAAATGTTAACCTCTGCCCCGTCTACCTCGTTTATCCCTCCGTATTTCTTTATAATCGATAGAGATAGGCTGGAATCGTCTTTCGCTGTATAATTTAGAGGAAGAAGATAGGGGTAACGATAAGTAGGACTGCGACTAGGACTGCGACTAGGACTGCGACTGGGAAAAGGGGGTAAAGGTAGGTGGGGCGGCTGGGAGGATGGTGGAGTTCGAATTTGTGGCTTTTATTGCCGCAATTAGTTCTAGTAAGTGTTTCTAAGTAAGCGCTATAGTTATTTTAATACTTAGAGCCAATTATGTTAAATCTCTGCAGATCATTGAATCTGTCCCGGAATCCCGGAAATACCACACACCCCTGACTTCTTATTTCGAACTACCCCAGAAAAAGACAGACACATTCTCCCCGCAAATGCTTCCCCGCGATCTACTCCGCACTTCATCAGACTCGACAGCTTTATCTGACCGACTTCACCCTTAACATACCACCACTCTAATCTTCATCTCCATTCGTGCTTTACCCGTAACTCCCACCCAATATCAACGACTCTAAGCTGAAATGTCCGAGCCCTCGAGGACCGGCGGTACATCATCTTCAAGAAATACTGGAGGTCTCACCAAGAAGCGTGTCCGGACTGCAGCCCAGCTTGAAAGAAAGCGCGCTTTAGATAGGCAAAGTCAGCAAATTAGCCGTCAAAGAAATCAAGAGCGGATGGATAAAATGGAGATTATACTTATTCGGCTTGAAGGAGAGTTCACGGATATGTCCAGGAAGCTAGAAACGATACAGAGCTGTGTGACCCGATCGTTGCCCTCTTCAAGAGCTGGCTTGAGTTTGAAAGGCTCCCATTTACGCAGCCGGAAGAGCCGCGAATCTCATCTCTCCAATGGCTCAATATCGGATGCGGGCTCTGATACTGCTTGGGAGGTTGCATGTATGAACGAAAGCTCTTCGTCGCCTTTGATGAGCACCCACGAGACGGTTACGCAGTCCGTAAGCAGAGTCACTTCGAGCACAGAAAAACTCGTCTCAAAAATCCAGAGCCAGTCTTCTCCTAGAATTAGCGCGCCAGCTTTCATCTCAGACTTCAATTTCCATGGCCTATCACCCCAAGCTGACGACACCATTTCTGCTGGAAACCCCATGGATGCTACCGGCCACGTTACCATACACGTATGGTCGCCAGACCAGAGGTGTACAAACTCTGATCCAAACGACCCTCTGTCTCCAATCTCCCTTCCTTCTCCTTCCTCTCAACCAGGATGCCTCTGCGGAACCTCCCACGGTAGTAACACGACCGACTTCTTCGCTTGCTCCACCTTCGGTATCCTCTCCCGCGCGCACCTAAAACTCCTCGAAGACTTTAAATCCGCGCAACGAATTCCTCGAAACCCAACATTGGCCAACTTACTACTTCTGGACATTGATTCAAACGCCGTTGTCAATGTAATCGGGTCAAGTTTCACGCTTGCTAGTCCGCCGAATGCCGTGGATATGATGGCAACGTATTTTATCATGTATCGATTACTCCGTGTAAGTCTTCACGTTTCTATTGCCGAACAAGTGGCGAACTCCTGCGTACAATAGCTTGACTTTTCATTCTCACTGATGCCTTGGGAAACATAGTGGCGCGTCCATCCAGACTCCGAATCATACGAAGATGTCCCAGTTTGGTATCGACCATCGTATTTGCAAGAGACACTCCCACACGACGTTTCGTGCGACTTCTGGGCATGGCCAAAGCTACGTGACGTGCTGATCTCTGGCGTGTATAGCTACGACAAGCGTGCATTTAGCACTGATATGTGCAGCGCTATCACGGTGGAGTGGCCTGCGGCGAAACCTCTGGTTACTAAGACGAAGGCGCCGTCGGTTGTGGAACTGAGTGACGAGTTCGAGACTTATGTCATGAAATATGAGAATTGGAAACTGAAGAGGTTCTGGGCGGGGAAGTATCCGGAGCTTGTGGGATTTGCGAATGTTGGCAACGAGTGAATGAAGACTATAAGTCGCAGTAAGAAGTTGGCAGAAGCTGAGGTACTCTCTTGTACACGTCCCTCCTATAGATCATACTTACGCTTGCAACAGGAGAGATTTCAAGCGGAGAGGCCTTCCTGAAGCCTAACCTTACCATCAACCTCGACATGGTCAACCTCAGCGTCCGCAAAACCCCCATTTACGGCTTTCTTCTCCACCCCACCATTCACAGGCCCATTCGAAGAACCTTCCGACCTCTGTTCTCTCGTAGCCTTAGCACTCTCCCTCGTCGGCGCCGGTCCCTCATAATCCGGAAACGCCGCATAATCATAAAACTTCTCATCCAAGAACTCCTTCTTCATATACGGCGCCTTATCCGCCTTCTCATCTCTCTCCCTCTCCGTAAACCCAAGGCCTAGATACTCCCACATATTATGCTTACTCATATGCTTAATTTCAAAGTCCTCCCACCGCGGCTCCCGGATCACGGACTGGAAGTGGAGCGCAGAGCCCGGCCAAATCGCTGTCACGCGCCCGTTCTTGTCGTGGTACCATCCGCTGCACGTATCGGCCCACACAGTGCCGCCGAGCATGGTCTGCGTATGCTCATTGAAGGCATCTGTGACGTCCTGGCGCGGCGCCATGGAGCGGATGTTCTCGGCCTGGATCTTCTGGATCATCTTGATTGCGAGGTCGCCGACGGCGCTGAGACTCTCTGTTACTGAGCCGTCGAAGATGGGCCAAGAGGGGCCGAACTTTAGGTGAGAGTGTTAGCACGGATCCCCTTCAGGGTATAAAAGGCATACGGGAACTTACAAACATGAGATAATTCGGAAACCCCGGCGCCGACACCCCTAAATACCCATCCGGATGCGGTGTGAACTTGTCCGCCAACGAAACGCCCTCTTGCCCAATGATCGGAAAATGCGGGCGGAAACTGGTATCAAACCCCGTCGCGCAGATCAGCGCATCTACCTTCGTTGTCGTGCCATCCGCACGCACAGGCCCGTCCGGCGTGATCTTCACCACAGGGGTGAAATGCACATCAACATTCGGCTGTTTCAGCGCTTCCATAAACGCGATCCCAGGCGAAGTCCTCCGACACCCGACGCCGAACTCCGGCACCAAATTCTCAATCAACCGTGGCTCGGCGAGGATCTGCTCCATAGCCTCCGCGCTCTTCTCGTACATGACCTTGCTCTCTGGCCGATCTTTGAACATGCTCGCCCATCTCAAGTTGACGAAGAATTCGTTCTCTCTCGCTTTGTCGACGAGAGCACCGAGGTCTTTTTCCAGGGCGGCTTGCTCTTCGGCATCGTACACGGTCTTCATGGGTCTGATGGAGCGCGGATTCGAGAGCCAGGTGTTCGAGCGGATAAAGATGTCGAGGTGGTCCACGAAGGGCTGCATGCCTGGCGTAGCTTGCACGCTTGAAGAGCCGGCGCCGATGATGGCGACGCGGGTGCCCTTCCACTGCTCTGGGCCGTATTCGTCGGGCCAGAGAGCGGTATGGATAACCTTGCCTTTGAAAGTCTCGATGCCTTCGATGTGGGGTGTGATGGGGTTGTTGAGGACGCCAGAGGCTTGGAGGAGGACGTCCTGGAACCGCTATCAGCACCTCTCGTTGATGAGGCCCAGAGGGGCTGACTTACACATTGATCATGGATGACTTCGGTGAAGTCATCAGCGTACGTCTTCTCGATATCGACGTTCCACTTCCCGGTCTCCTCGTTCCAGACCGCTTTGATTACTTTATGGTTGAATCGCATATATTTCCGGAGACCGAAGACGCGGCAGACGCGGTCGAGGTACTTCCAGATATGGTCTGCTTTAGAGAAGAGTTCGGGCCAGTGAGGCTGTTCAATATTAACATCATTAATTCTAATTATAATGGCATGCCATGAGAGATCAACCTACGTTCAACGCGAAGTTGTACACATAGGAATGAGCGGGAACTATAAATTCATCAGCGCGTGCAAATCGAGTTATCATATGAAGAGCTCACGCACCATCACAAGCACAGTTTGGGTACCGATTCTCCAACCATGCTCCGCCGACTTCCCCGTTCTTCTCATAGATCACATGCTCGACGTTCTGAAGTGATTTCTGGAACTTGTATGCGAGCAGAATACCCGAAAAGCCGGCGCCAATGGTTATGACACGCATGCGGCGGTTGGCTGGGGACTTGTATGTGATGTCTGGGACGGTATAACCGGAGCGATTGGTGTGGGGCGGGAGGCCTTGGTATTGAGGGAGGGTTTTGGAAGGCATTGTGATGGCAATTTGAGGTAGAGTAGAGACAAGGACTTCAGATGGATAGAATGTAAAGATATATTGTCTTAGAGATGGGATATATGAAGGGTATATATATTTGTAGAAGAACTAAGAGAAGACGAGTGCGGAGATGATCGATAGATGTGTATGAGAAACGACTATCAAAACAGGCCAAGCTTATAAGTCTTCGTCTGGGTCGTTTAGACATCCTAGCGTTTGAGATCTCGCGTAATGGACGAGTCGTCCACTGTTTTAGAGGAAAAGCGGTAAGAGGACGGAGTGGACGAGTCGTCCAGGAACCCTCAGAATCCGTTCCGTTCTATTGGTTCGCCTGTCATTCTGGACGAGTCAGCCCTCGGATATACGGCTTTTCCTCCATAGATCTAACCCTAGCTCATACTACAGTGTCGCTGATTTCTCTTTTCTTTTGCATCGACCATAAAGCGTGACTGAATCTGTGATATCTTAACGAGATCCTAGAGAGGGGTATACTCCTACCTTAACACATACTGTCTCCCCAAGCTCTTACCTCGGGCGTTCCATACAAACTCCGAACTACAATTCATCAAGATGCCTCTCACGCGTTCTGCTATCCTAGCCCTCGCAGATCCGGACCCAGAAACAGCAGAGGTAGGTTCAGCACGACTCCCTCGTCAACCATTAAATCCATCGATTAACATATCCACGTCGTCGCCAGGCCCTCAATTTCTCTCCGCAACTCCCAAACAATTCATCCATCGACTTCTGGCGCACCATCGAAACTACCCGCCGGCCTACCATACTCGCATCCCTCGGTCCCCCACCCACCGGCCTCACCGAGCGCGATCACCAAGTCCCCACAAGAGACGGCCATAACATCACGGTCCGCTCTTACTCCCCTGATGTAGCCCCAGCAGGCGGCCGGTCGCTCATAGTAATGTATCACGGTGGGGGCTTCTGTCTCGGCGGGCTCGAGACGGAAACTCCTACATGTCGGGCCTGGGCGCTGCAGCTTGGCGCCGTGGTGCTGAATGTCGAGTATAGACGTGCACCGGAGTGGGTGTTTCCGACGCCTGTGAAAGACGCGTGGGACGCGTTTAAGTGGGTACGTTTTGAGCTCATTAGCTGGTAGTGGGAGGAGAAGATTTGGTAGGCTGATCGTGAATAAGGCCGCAACGAATGCTTCGGAACTTGGTGCCGATCCTGCCGCTGGGTTTTTGGTAGCGGGCGTCTCGGCGGGCGGGAACATGGCATCCGTTGTTGCGCACCTGGCGAGGAACGAAGGCGTGGTGCCGCGATTGACGGGGCAGTATCTGAGCGTGCCAGCGCTGATACCCGCGGATAAAGTCCCGGAGGAGTACAAGGAGGAGTACCTGAGCCGCGAGCAGAACCGTGATAGCCCGTTGCTGCCACGGACGATGGTGGAGATGTTTGAAAGTGAGTGCAGTTGCCTTGTTTTGTGAGACGTTACTAATGCTGTTGGTGCTAGCAAGCCACAAGGCGGATAGTGACTCGCCTCTCTTTGCTACCTTCAATGATCTGAGCGGACATGCGGACCTGCCTCCTACGTATTTCCAGGTTTGTGGAGCTGATCCGTACCGCGATGATGCTGTGATCTATGAGCGGGTGCTGCGTGAGGACTATAAGATCCCTACGAAGGTGGATATGTATAAAGGGTTGCCGCACATGTTCTGGGCAATGATACCGGGCTTGAAGCAGTCGGCGCAGTGGAAAGCCGATCGAGTTGATGGAATGAGATGGTTGCTTGAGCAGTAAAAATCAACGCATAGAGTCTGCCACATATTTATCACTGCTTGTGTTCATCTTGCTCGGTCCACAACGCTGTAAGGAATAGCCCAGCCAGTCCGTAACTAGTCAGTTAAAAGGTAGTCTAACATGTACTGCACGAAATTTGACATCGCGGTGAGGGTTTCGGACCCCATGGGGGCACCGCACGCAGTGCTAAAGCGCAAGCTTGTCGCCTCAGCTTGTATCCCTAGGCTACATTGGTCGTTCAGGAGCTCGGGTCGGCCTCTATCGGGTCGGCCTCAACAGAAAATTCGGAGGCGTCCAGTCCGTCGCCAAAGCCGTCATAAACAATGGCGACCAGCTCTTGTTCGTCGGGAAAGTCGGGATGTGTGCGATCGGAAAATACGAGCCAGCCTAGACAATGAGTTACTGAGTAAAACTCGGAGTTCCCGGACCGAATACGGGTGGCGAGGAAGACTACTTTGACATACCATACTCGTACACGGTATCTAGCATCGAAACCCAGGCACCGAACGGCTCTTTTCTCATCCTTTTTGGCTCTCCATCATTGACCTTTTCCTCGTTATAAAGGAAAACTCGCTCTCTGCTCGAGGGACTACCTTGAAGGAAACATCTTGTGAAGTCTGGATCGAAGTTGTCTGCGTGTATGGCTTCATATACCCTGACGCTAGATCCCCTTCAAGCTCGTCGATGTCGTAATCATCGTCATCATCAACAACACCCTTTTTAGGACTAAACTTCAAGTTGACTGCGCGAATGAATTTTTTCCATGATTTCTTCGAATTGGGACGGCAGTGCATAGACTAATCGTAACGATTCTCATAGAGGAGATCCTAGAGACTTATCAGCACGACATATGCGGTATACCAGGGCAAACCTTCCGGAGATTGCAGCAAACGAGAATGAGAACTCAATACTAGTGCTTATTTCGTCAATGTGAGTTCATAGAATCCCTTCGACGGATTCAGCCTGCTACATCGTACAACGGTCTCTAGTGGGTCAATATCTTCGTGATACATCACCTAGCTAAAGTGTTCTTTCGGTCTTCCCCTCCCTCTAGCAAACTTGTTGTCGCGGTTATTGAAGACTTGTCGGACTTTCCATGTGCCTTTTCTGGCCGCGGAACGGCACGAGTACTCTTTTTGGATGATGGTACCACCCTGGGCATTAGCGTCCTGCTGTGGAACAGTGCTTCGAGTAAGCTTCTTGGCCGTTGAACCCCCAACCACTGTTTGCGGTTGTCCCCAAAGTAATAGTCCTGAATGAATGGCGAAGCTGGAGAATCTTGAATCAAGGAGGCCTTGTGAGTTGCGGAAAAGCTTTGAGATGACGATGTTCCTTTCTGCGGGATTCAAGTGATTGAAGAGGCGGTACTTTTGCCCCAAAGAAGGATATTGGCCTCTGTTTTCCACGTTGAGGCCGGGAGTCGCCTCAGCAATAACTGCCGTTGATTCGCCATCTTTTTCACGTCTCCACTGCTTCCAGCGCTCGAATGCTCCCTCGACGGTAGTCTCTAGCTCTGAGAGTTCGACGTCGTTGAAATAACCTTCTTCCGCTTCAAAGATCAATCGTGCCCACTCTCTGACTCTTTTCAAGATCATGTCTCCGATGGTTTGCCACTCCGTTTCATGCTCCGTCAACTTTTCCTGGTATTGAGCTTTCTCAGCAGTTCACTCACACCGTCTAACTCTCGAGCGGATACTTGACACAGTTGCCCTCGTATCTCCACCCTGTCATTCATGCTAGTACTCCTTTCTCCTCGCGTCGCTCCTCCATTTCACAAATGAATCCCGCGGTCGTGACCAGCACGATTCTCACAAAGTCCGGCGTCTTTTCTCCAGGCTCCGGATCCATTTCATACTTGGATCTTTCGCCCCATGGTAATTGCCCGGTATCCTCCTGCACGGCCCAAGCATCTACAAGGGTAGATGTGGGGTCGAGGACGACGTAGCCAACGTATTGGTGGAACCAGAGTCCAAAATCGCGGAAGTGGGGTTGTACGCCAAGGGAAATTCCGTAATTAGTCTCTAGTATTTCACCAATAGTGATAATAGTGGTCGTTGATGACAATCGGCCTGAGATATCTAGGTGCGGAAGCCGTGATCCTGGCATGATGAGCTTGGTGCCTCTGGGGGCTGGGTACATAGGAAACTCGAGAGCCTTGTTCACATCTGAATCATAGGCGCATGATAGGAATACATTGGCGTACTCAGTAGAGTGTGAGAGGTAGATCTCGACTTTGACGTTGGGTTTCAAGCGTGGGGCCATTTTGGGCAATCAAGATGGCATAGGCCTTGTTTGATAAGAAAACTGACGTGATACTACTTGTCGCTGGGTTGGAGATGATGTAGGACCCTGGACACGAAAAGTGAACATAGGAATGGACTTTGGAGGAGAGAGCAAAGACGGAGGTGGTAATTGTCTGCTTAGTCAGACCGCTGGTTCTAGTTAGTTATCCTAACCCTCCTTTGAGGTTACTGCCACGTCCTCTTACCTCGAAGTCAAAAACTGATAAACCCATCGTCCTCTTAGAGCCGATAAGTTTCGTTCCAGGTCTACCATGTCGTCTCTCCATGCGTCTCTTCGATTGACTTGTCGTTCATAGTTGTCCGAATGAGGGCGACCACAACCGTTCTACCCACAGCTACACAACCCATTATGCCATTCATCAGGCAATATTCATCTTGATGATAAAGAGGATTTCAAGGACGTAGGATCGGACTACCTGCCTCTCGGGATGGCACATCGTGTCTTCGAGTTGAGGCCAAGCCGATGTGGATACCGGAGGTCGGCACAGCGGGAAGTCTTGCCCTCTTGGGACTGATCGATGTGGGGAAAGTCCAACGTCACTCCGCGAAAACATTTAAGACAGAACATCTATAACTAGACCTCTTCCGAGTTCATTTCTCGTTTTTCAGCGTAGTCACGTAGGGAAAATCTTTTCCATTATCTTTTCATAGCCATCATTTCAAAATGAACGTGACCAACAGCCCCATCCCCTCCCGACATTTCCCCAAAGATGCATCCCCATCTCTCTCAGAGTTCAAATCCCTCTGCTCGAGAAATACTCAAAGCAAACAATACCCCCTAGCGTCCTCCATCCAATCAAACATCCCAATCTACACTCTTCCCCCTTTCTCCTCCCTCACCCCCTCCCAAATCTCCGCCCTCCAAGACGAATGGCACCACATCCTCCTCTCCGGCCCCGGCGTCTTCGTCACCAAAGCCACCCTCCCTAGACCCCTCATAACCCAAACTAATACCATCTATACCTCCATTATCGACGCCGAGCGCGCCACCGCAAAAGGCGACCATTTCTCCTCCGCCGGCAACAATAGCCGCATCTGGAACTCCTTCAGCAAACACGCCCTCGCCGACCCAGCCAGCTTCGTCGCCTACTACTCCTCCCCTTGGCTCTCCGCTATCAGCGCCGCTTGGCTAGGTCCCGCCTACCGCATCACCGCCCAAGTCAACCTCGTGTGTCCCGGCGGCGCGGCGCAGGTCGGCCACTGCGACTACCATCTCGGCTTCCAAACCGCGGAGGCTACTGCCGCGTACCCAAAGGTTACGCAGATCGCGACGCAGCTGCTGACGCTGCAGGGCGCGGTCGCGCACTCGGATATGCCGCTTGCGAGCGGGCCGACGCGGTTCTTGCGGTTTAGCCAGGCGTTTGAGGCTGGGTATGTGGTGTACCGGATGCCTGAGTTCCAAGAGTTCTTTCAGCAGAACTTCGTTAGTGTGCCATTAGAAATGGGTGATGGGGTGTGGTTCAACCCGGCGCTGTTCCATGCGGCGGGGGAGAACACGACGAGTGATGTGGAGCGCTGCGCGAATCTGCTGCAGGTGAGTAGTGCGTTTGGGCGGACGATGGAGAGTGTGGATGCGGTGCCGTTGGTGGAGAAATGCTGGGGGAAGTTGGTAGAGATGTTTAAGGGGAGGGATGGAGTGCAAAGGCAGAAGCCTTGGTGAGAGCGCTGGGGGACGGATATCCGTTTCCGACGAATTTGGATCGGAGACCACCGCAGCCGGGGGGTATGGCGCCAGAGAGTGAGCAGGATGTATTGAGGAGGGGCCTGAGGGATGGATTAGATGTGAAGAGTGTTTTGAGGGAGTTAGAGACGATGAGGGAGGAACCGAAAGCGTGAGAGGTTGATGTAAAGCCAGATATTGAACGTCTACAAACGTTGTGTGCGACTAAAGGAGTATCAATATGACACAGGTCCGAATAAGAGCATCCAGCGTTTTCCATCGTGAGGCCGTTCAAAGTCTGAGCGGTAGATATACTCCAGCTTACCCAAAAGTCGAATCAGATGCCTTCTTCGCCGTCGGCTTTCGTGATTTTTCCTCAATACTTCCTATACAAAGGTACTAATGCTATCGTAAGTTAACAGTAAGCACCGCAAATCTCGACCCCTATCTTTTCGAATCCTAACTATAAAGCGATAGAAGCTTATGGCCTATCTCTATAGAGTATATAAGTACACGGAGGAATAAAGGAGGTAGACGAGGCAGAAGTTAACATTTATTCAGAGTTGAAGGACTGGGGCAGCTGAACTACGGCCTCGTGCCATTCGCGGCCGCCCACGCCCACGCTTGCGCTGTCCGGCCAAAGTTGTCATTGAGGTTAACGTCTGAAAGGAGAAGCTTTGTGCGTCTTTCTGGATTGTGGCACGTGCACCATGCTAGTGTTTTCGTCGTAAGGGGCGTCAACATCATTCATCCTTCCTTTCCCCAGTTCCCAGTCAATGCGATCCATCGTCAATACGACTACCTCACAACACTCTTCTTGATGCATGGGAACTCGAGTTGCTGCATCGGAAACCCCGAACAAATCACGTGGATGACGGTAGCCCAATCACCGTTTACCTTCCCTGCAAAGGCATCTGCAGCCTCGCCAAACCTCTTCGCAGAGCTTCAGCCCCGTCTCGCTAATAAAACCTCTACAAAACTGGCTGCGGGGCTGAGCAGACCTAAAGCTGGGAAGGCTGGCAGGCTCTAAAGATGTCCACCTCAACCGCCTTCTCGATCTTTGATAATTACGCTCTGACAACAGTCTTTATTCACCCTACCCGATGTTCTGACCTACCCATGGTAGTGAAACATGGAGAACTTGGCGTCGTCATCACGCCGGGTGGCAGATCTCCTGGACCGTTATTTCGTTCCCGAAGTCGAACCATGGCGAAGCCGCGCCTCATACTCTGACACCGAGATCCAAGGAATTTCCTCTCTGCTGAACCACGTTAACTCAGCATGGAGTAGATCCCCTCGTACATATGTTGTTCTCCGTGCCATCGGGAGGCTCGACGAACTCGATCCGTTGTTAGCTCATGGCTTCAGCGACCACTGGTTTCCAGTATCCGTAGAGAAACCTCGCACTCTGCCATCCCAGCTATCACCGGACACTCGAGCAGACATACTGAGTGCGCAAGGGGTTATATTAACGAAGTCGTTGGATTTAGAGAAGGGTGAAAAGGGTCGACATTGGCATTTGGCAACGAGGAGCCAGCTCCTTTTGAGTCCAAGGACATTCTTGGCTCGGGCCGTTACGGACAAGTTGATCGAGTTCTCAGCCTCGTCAGTTACAAGGAGTATGCATGGAAACGAATCCACCGCGGTTTACCTTTTGGTCATACATGGACGCGAGAGACCGGTGTAGCCTATATCAAAGAGATCAGCATCCTGAAAAACCTTAGGCACAAACACGCAGTCCAACTCACCGGGACCTACACTGATTCCTCCTATTTCTGTTTTATCATGTCCCCTGTGGCTGATATGAATTTATCAACGTACCTCTCAGAGTCGCCTATACCAACATCTTTGGCAAAAAAAGCCACGCTTCAAACGTTCTTTGGATGCCTTGCATGCGCCGTCCGGTATCTCCACGACAAAAAGGTTCGTCATAGGGATATAAAGCCGCAAAATATCCTCGTAAAGGGGACGAACATACTACTGACAGACTTCGGCATTTCCAAAGAATATGATGAAATCCAGAGTGCAACATCCGGCCCCGCAACTTTCTCGTCGCGGTACTGCGCTCCAGAGGTTTTCCTCCAAGCATCGCGCGATTGGTCGTCGGATATCTGGTCTCTGGGATGTGTGATTCTTGAGATCATTAGCGTGCTTCAGTCCTGGACGGTTCAGGCGCTCCATTTGTATTTCGAAAACAATGGGACTAAAGAAAGCTATGTTCGCCAAAATGGCGCGGCATTGGAAAGCCTACTCCTTCTCCTCTTCGCCAAAGAAGATCTAATCAGCAAGCGTCCTTTACATTGGATCAAGGACATGTTAGAGATTGATCGAAGCAAGCGCCTAACAGCTGCCGCCGTCGCCGATGCCACCATGGACTCTTCTAATGATGGAGTACGGTTCTGTGGTCTGTGTTGCATGGCACAGGAGGGCGATGACGAGGATAGTCTTGCAGGACTAGCCGAGGAATTTGAACCAAGTCCGAAATTCGTGTCCGCAACCACCAGTAAGAACCTCGAGAAGGCTTCGACGACTAGAAGTGACCGTCAGGCCGGACGAATAGAAAACGACGCACGGGATATCGTGAGTGGGGAAAACAATCTGCAACGACTGGCCGGCGGCACAAAAGCTAGTGATGATGACCGTTTTACGAGGATTGTTAACAATAGAGAATCAGAAGCGATCTCAGAGTCGGGCGGCGTCCACAGTCGAAGAGTCTCTCGGAACCGAGAAGAGGACCGCATGAGGTATAAAGCCGAAGCAGCTCAAAGCCTCGATCTCAGAAACCAGAACCTCAAAAATCTCAGTCTCAGAAACCACAGACTCTAGGAAAACGGCCTGGACTTTTTGACCTCTTAGTACCGTTAAAGGGGCCAAAAGCCAAATCAAGCCCTTCTCAGCGAAATCCTGCCATGGGTTCTACAATCACTCTTCCGCCACCAGGACCTGTACGCCGAACTAAACCAGCTACGGGTTCTACAATCCCTCTTCAGCGATCAGAATCTCTACGGCTTCCTGAACCAGCCACCGGTTCTACAACCCCTCTTCAGCGATCAAAACCTTTACGCCGATCTGAACCAGCCACAGGTTCAACAGCCCGTTTTCAGCTCTCAGAAACCATACGAGCCGCAGGTTCTACAACTCTTCTTCCACGAGAATTAGAGTCGGGTCATGCTCAAGACCAGCTCCTAATGACGGAGGAGGAAGCAATTCGTAAGGCTAGAAGAGAACAACGTCGCGTTGCACGAGAAAGGGAAGAGGCTCGCCGCCGAGTTGATGAAGAAGAGGCTCGCCGCCGAGGTGAAGAGGAAGAAGCTCGCCGCCGAGTTGAGGAGGAAGAGGAGTCGACTCGCCGAGCTGAAGCGGAAGCAGCCGGACAAGCTAGGACAGGAAAAGGCCATGACAAATGTGTGAAGCGGGATGGCCTTGATGACGCCAATCAACGCAATGCTCGCAACAGCGCGTCTTCAAATAAAACTATCCCAGGATATCTGGAAAGAGGTCCGGAGAACCCTCCGGGGCGCATGAATCTAACCGATGCGGTCGGGGGCGCGACCAGTGGTGCAGATAGCTGGAAACGCGCGGAGGAGGTGACGCAGCGGCTCAAAGCGCGGATCGAGCTGATGAAGGTATTTTCACTTTAGCGCGGGATCCTGCTTTGGTAGACCCGGAATTCTGGACAATGGGCTGACCTTTCACTGCAGGCGAAACAGGGCCTATGCTAAGTCTAGCTGCGATTCTAGTATAAAGGTTGTGCATTGCGTGCTTGTGCACGCTCATGAAGCTCTGCTTCTACCAGCGCACTGGACTTGCGTGGGGACATCGTTAAGTTCGGCATTGTGGCCCACGTCGGCCAAGAACATCGGCCCAAAGATGTCAGACCGTCTCTTTCAGCTTGTTCGCTACAAAACGGGATCTTTCTATAGCCATTTTTACTACTTTTTATGTGATTATTCAGATTATTGAATGTAACTTCTTGGTCATTCGCCTCCTATACATGCCTCCATGCGTGTGGAGGAATAGTAAAACTCGGAATGTTATTGCCTATGAAGCTAGTAAGGCTAAGGCTGCTGATAGTGTAGGAACTAAGAAGCCGCATATTAAGTAGCAGAAAGTAAAGCCGACTGTTTTACAGCAGCAATGTTGTAGCTTCACCAGCTGTGCGGGCATCATGCAAACACAGAGACGTAGAGCGCAGCGCATATACCTTCTAGCAGCTCCTCTTTCAGCGAAACCGGATTCTTAATTCACCAGCCCCTCGGTTACACAGTGATGGGATTAGACCGGACTAGAGCCGCCAAAGCCCTTACTTCAGTCTAATCCAAGATACACGCGGTTTGGCTACAAGAGGTTCTATGGGTATAGTTCACCTGATGTTCCAGGGGTACGAACGTTATACCGTATTTGGCTAATCACAAAACCTTGACATGAACTCCACGCCACCATCGGACGAGTCCCACGCCAACATTTCTGGCACGGTGTACATGCTAGTTCGAAGTGAGCGTTGTCGCGATGCCTACGGCAAACTCAGTTGCTATAGCGGTTACGAACGAAACATATCTACGACACAGTCTGCGTACGTAAAGATCGATAGCTAGGCGTGGAAGATTTCCACGACCCAAAGTGCTGGATCATTAGCTGCTGCTTATCCACTGCACGTGCGGTGGCTGCACGTCCTTAGACTTCGTCCAGTAAAGGGCATGCCGGATAGTGTGCTACAAGGATACTAAGAATATGCTACTAGACAGATATCGCACCGCATAAACTTAGGCTCGGAGGAGCAAGCGCTATGTCAATCTGTCAGTATCAAGACGGTATGTGCAGCACCCACCACTGAACGGACTGGACATGATTGTGCACGAACCGGGGTTTATGCAGGTCGTATTCAGAAGTTAGATAGCCTCGGAAACCGATACCATACCTGCTGTCAGGGACCATGTCGTGGCTTTCCATTTGCGATTGGCATACAGTCCCTGTCACCGCTTTCGATGGTCTTGATCAGCAGTATTCGACGGTAACTTTTAATAGAATCTTATTAATATGCCACCCTAACGTATGACTGCCCCCCGCTTGTGCATGCGGTTGCGGTATCCGTCTACTGTGCATCACCCACACTTGGAGGGGCCCAAATCAACGCACGCAGGGACGCAGCTTTGCAGAACCTCCTATAAGCAGTTTAGTACGATGATAGGCCTCCGTATCATAGATAGTTCGACGGAGGATGATTGGAATCTAGGAAGTCTGGCTGCATAGAGAAGGATTTGAACTTTGGAAGTATTTGAATGTGGGAAATGTAGCTGGACACGCGGGTGTCAGGAGAGATTGGACTGCGGCGACCGCCAACTTCGCTTATTTGATACAGTAAAACCTCCTTATAGCGATAGGGGTCGGGGGCTAGGGGTCGTATCACTGTATAGAAAATATCACTATAGACCAGTATCATACTAACGAGGTTTTACTGTAGTTGGGCTTTTTGCGCCACCCGCAGGATGCACAAGGTTCTGGCGCCTCTATCTGAAGGCTAATCCCACAGTCTCCACGTCGATCAAAGATTAAGCATTTCCAAGAAAGCTTAGCCAATGAACTAGCTATGGGACAGGCTCGCTTTCTACTCGTACAAGGGGAACTCTGGTACGAGTTGCTGCCCCCCTTAACACACGCCTCAATAGGTTAAGCTATATCCCCCACTCAATTGATGCAGTCGGAAAATACAAGTACCAAGTACGGTATATAAGTTGCATGATTTATCCTCGAGCCCCGCTCATTAAGCTCTCCGTGCATTCACTACAGAAACCAACACTTTAAATATCAGCTCTTTAAATAACAACACTCCATACTTCACTATGAAGACCGTCGTGCTATACATCCTCGCAGCTGCCCTTGTGGTAACCTCCCTGGCTATGCCAACCACTCCCAGCTCCAATCCCTGTAAGCTCAGCCCTGACTTCGCTCTGTCCTTAATATGGCATGTTCCTGTATGTTCTTTGCGCTAATGTTCGGTAGTGGAGCTCGAGAAACGTACATGTTATGCCCAGGGTGCTCGGTGATACCGTAATGACTCGATCCGCTGCTGTTCACCATACGAATGCGACGTAGATACCTTCACTTGCAAATAGGTAGGAAAGGGGGGAAGGACGCGGCATGTGGTACCATATGTACGCCCTGGATTGGGTTACCATTTGATAGTGACGATTGAGAAACGCTGTGACGGAAGTGGTGTACCGTGTACTAGAACTCAGGCCTACCTGTATTGCTCGGGTTGCAATGTTTCCACCGTGAAGTGCTAGTAGGGGCTGGTGGGTGGTGTGCGGAAGTGGGTGTGGAATAAGTACATGGAAGAAGAAAAAAAAAGGAACGAAAATAATTTCAATCACTATTGACTCATGCTGGCCTAGGACTGCCTCATGGTGATAGTATCTTGCGACATTGATTACAACCTTGTCGGTCGCCTCGCGCAGCAATCCGCCCTCCTCTTCGCGTTCTGGAAATTGCTAGGAGACTTTGGCAACAAGAGGCACTCGCGAATTGTCTCCCTCATGATGGGCTTTCCAGCAAGTTGTCGCCCGGCCGGCGACGCAAGGTGCCCGTTTCATGACCTCGTCGATGATGAGGCGTTCCTTCTTGTTGTTCCGTTCAGTCTCAATATACCGCTCGCTTTCGGCTGCGATGATGGTGGAATCGAAACCAAGCTGCTCTTTATTCATTTAGAGGAACCGAAGCACTGCGGACACGAACTGCAGCCCTTCTTGATTAATGTCGAAACGTGTGGACACGATGTTTGCTGGGTTCTCTTAGTTACTGGGGGATCTTCTACATGAATGATTTGTTCCATGCTGTCAAAGGTCAGAAGGAGGCACAGAGGAGCAGCTTTTTGTAAAAGTTGTATTGTGATGACGGCACAGTGGCTAACTATATACACCGGGTTGAGGTGGCTGGTAAGGAGGGCTAGGCCCAACCATCCGGATTTCGGCACGTGCTGCGTTAGGTCCAAGAACTTAGATAAAGTTATAACTAGGCGAATTACACTTCAAACACCTACTTTCCCCTTCGCCCTCCTTCTCATTCCCCTCCTCACCTACCTATGAACGCGAACCTAATTCATTACGGATGAGCCGGAATCCGCTTAAAAGCAGCGTTGGGTTGCGCTAGTAACTACGGCCCGAGGGTATCGCTACTCCACTTCTACCCCACCAAAGATAAGTACTGGAGGACAATAATTCTAATGCTTAGTCCCTCCTGCGGCCTCTGCTTAGGATGAGTTCAACTCTACCTGGTATAATAGATATGTTTTCCATTCTCTATTTCGCCCTCTTTGCTCTTACTTTACACTTCAACATCTCGAATGATGACAATTCCATACTCTATATGACGTCCGCTCGTTCCTTAGTCCCAAACACCACCCTTTCATACGGTACTCGGCTTTGTGAAGCTCTGCAAGGAGAAGCAAATCCTACCTGTCATGGAACACCTCCTCAATGACGCGGAGCTACAGAAGTACGAGGCCAGGATAGTGCCCATTCCTTGGCTCAGCTTTGACCACGACCGAAGCCGAATGTACCCTTCAGCATCGTCGCTCGAAAGCTATGCAAGCTTTCGAGGATGGGAAAATGAACAGCTTAGGAGTCTGAAAGCCGATCCTTGCACCCACAAAATGAACGGCTTAGCAATGCTCCAGAGCATGATCGTCTTTGGAACGTGGGAAGCTCTGACCGGAAAAGTCGTGCCATCTAGGGATATGATCTTCGACTCCCCAAATGGCCCAGTGCTGCGGTCAACGAAATTGCGCTCGCTACTTTTAAGGTTGACCAAGAGCATAATTCAAGCTAAACACGTTGGCAATTTCACCGACCTTCGATCGAGAGCGAGACGTGTAGAACATGTCTGCAATAGCATTGCCGCGTGGCAAAACGCCTTCAGAGCAGATCATTCTTCAGAATTTCAAATGATATTTCCCATCCTTATACGACAGACAGCACTGATCTTCGACGCTCTGACCATGCTGTTGTCTCATTTTCCACGCGAGTGTCGGGAACATGTCCAGTACTTCCACCATCTGAATGAAAACTCCGAATTTTACAATCATCGATTCAAGGAATACGGATTGTGTCCCTCCCACTACGCATACCTCGATTTCGTAGGACAAAGTGCTCTGGAAGTATTCTGCGTTACCAGCCCACATCAAGATCCATCGGGTGTTTTGCATCGTCATTGCAGCTCTCAAGGCTGTCAGAGAGCTGCCAGCTCTAGAACTCCAAGACTGAAACCACGCCATGTTGCGGACGGTTGTACGTGTGTATCAGTCAGCATCCCAACGGCAAGGATTGGAGAGGTTTTGGCTTCTGGGAACTACTTTGTTCTGGACATGGCACGTCTCCTCGACGAGGCATCGACAAATGACAAGGCGCTCGTCCCCTATGAGAACAAGCTCTCATATGTCGCTTTCTCCCATGTTTGGTCCCATGGCCTTGGCAGTACCGCTGACGATGGTCTCCCTCTCTGTCAATTGCTACGCCTTAGTCAACTTCTGCAGGATGAATCAAATCCCGGGCGGAAGAAACTTTTCTGGATCGACTCATTGTGTATTCCGAAGGACTATGACCAAAAGATGATGACTATAGGCATAATGGACCAAATATACCGAAATGCAGTCGCGGTGATGGCACTAGACTCGACGCTTCAAGAATTACGCTTCGATCAAGTGCTCTCCTATGAAACTTTAGCCTTGGAAATACTGCTATCGGATTGGAATCAACGTCTGTGGACATTTCAAGAAGCGAGACTGGCAAAGAGCTTAGTCGTCGCACTGAAGGATGGGATAATATTCCTTGAGCACCTCTGTGATGCTCTGCTTGGAAAATATGAGCAGGGCAGTTCTTCTCCTCTCACAATGAAGTGCTGGGCGCAGTTGCAATGCTTAATTTCGCAAACCGACGGCCTTTTCGGATGGCTAGATCTACTCCAATTCCGCTCCTGTGGCGTACCCAGTGACGAAGCCCTAGTTATCGCTACACTCACGGGAAACGACACAGCTACCCTCACCCACTTTACGGAAGATTTCCGAATGGCTAAGTTATGGGCCATGCTTCGCCGTGTTCCTTCCGGAATTCTATTCCACAACAGTTCTAAGCTGGCCGTTGAGAACTACAGATGGGCCCCACGGTCATTATTATGTGGCTCCGCCGAGACAGGTATTCGTGGCCAAACTGTTTTCGATGCTGAAGTCACTCCCCAGGGACTTCGCGCAGAGTATTTCCTTGTTGTCTTTGAGGAGCAGAAGCTTATCGACGGCTCAATGTCCAGTATTGACCTTAGATTGCAAGATTTGAGGATACGATGTTACCATCAAGATAACAACAGGGTTCAACCAAAAACAACGTTGGATCAGGATCTTCGTCTTTGGTTTGATGCGGTGGCATTAATTAGAGATCCTGTAGATCACATGAAAATGATTGGAAATACAGCAATCAGTGCTGTTGCACTGCTCGAAGATGGTTGTGGAAATGGTGATCTCCGGCGTTATCGATATCAGTGCCAATTCCGGGGACGTATAAGTCGGCACGCGTTTGGATCCTTAGAGTCCAAAGTAGGGAAGTTTGAAACAATCATTATATCGTAGTCTTTATTATTAATTTTGGGAGTATTAGCATAAATCGTACTTATCTAGATATAATTCTATATCTATTCTACTTACGTGCTGTGGAGGTCTATAGGAATAACTGCCATCCCCTACAAAGCTAAACTAAGCTATTCTCCCAGCGTACCCTAGGTAATACTTTAGCAATAGCTAGGTTAACACTCTTTCTCTATAATTAAAGGCTGGCGCTAAGACTATAATGTTATGCATCTTCATCGCGTTAAGCACCACACATCCTTATCGTTGCATTTGTCAGGCCGAAACCTCCAAGGCTGCCAATACTCCCGTGCTATATCTACTTGCGTGCACACACAAGGCAACAAGGCCACGCCATGCCTGAGCAGTAATCGGCCTCGTTTTTGCTTGCGAAAACCCCTCCCCTACATGGTTTCCATCAGCTTATGCGGTGTAAGGCTCTGGATGGCATAGAGTGTTCTACCTGCAAGGATAGGGTCTATGTAATGCAGTTCTCCGTTTTTGCTTCCTTCGATCGTAGACTGCGATTCCCCTCCCTTTCTAGATATACCGCTTCAGAAAATCTGTCATCTCGTCTTTTCATAACGGTTCCGGTAATTTCAGTCTTCAGCAACGCAAAGACGAAACTACAGTGAGCTTTTTCGAGCGCTTAAGAACACCCTAAGATGGACAAAGTCCAATATAACGTATTTTCGCCATCACAACGAAGGAATCCGCCAAGGATGTCTCAGATGCCGGAGGTAGAGGCGTATACGAGTCTTTGCCAAACAGCAACTTTGTGTTATACTTAAAAGCCACGTCAAGCTAGCCATCAAACGTGTTGAGAGGCTGTACACGGTGCCTATTCAGATCTTTCCGTGGAAAGTTTACTCTTATCTAGGAAACGTCTTCTGGAACGTCCATTTTATGGCAGTAACACTTAGACGAGCTTTTCTCTTCTTAGGTGAACATGCTCCCAAAATTTAAGGTACCTAGAGGCTGTAGCTGTAGAATGCGACTGTAGGAGCAACGCTACTGGTGGATAGGGTCTAGTTTACAATTCTAGCACCTTGTAGAGATAAGTTTCCGCTGCATAGGACACAGTCTCTAGACACATCCTGTGGTTACAACAGGTCAACTACGTAGCGGCGCTCCGACGCTTCCGTGCAAGGGTGGAGCTACACATAGAGGCTTTGAGACCACCGCATTCGCCAGATTGACTTGCCAGCTCCACACCTACACAATCCATAGCCAAATTTTCTCTAGAAAATTTCTCGGTACCTACTCGGGCCATATCGTAGCGTCTAGAGCGGCCTTGCTAGACTAGATATCGGCCTCTGCTGGATTGATAGGAGAAGTTCGCTTCTAGATTTTCCAAAACAAATACAAGCCAAAGTAAACCGGGATTCCAAGGTAATATGTGATGAATCCCTGGACAGACCAGTTACCCTTAGTGAAAACTTCCCAACCGCTGAACAAAATAATCATGGCGAAATAGCACAAAGCAAACCATGCAATGTACGGCTGGAATTTTGACTTGAAAACGAGGGTATTGCGGTCAACGCCTTGCTTCGCCAAAGCTTGTCGAAAGCGTAGGTACGCAATGGTAATGCTACACCATGTAAAGAGCGCGGCAATAGTGCCGAGGGTGAGGAACCAAGAAAACACTTCGCTCGCGCCTGCAGATACAGACATATAAGCCAGGCCGCTCCACATGGTGGTGAAGGCAATACCATAGATTGGAATTCCACGGCTTGTACACTTCAGGAAGATGAGAGGAGCTTGTTTGCTTAGGGCGAGGCCAAAGAGGTACCGGTAAGCCCACGAACAGGAACGCGTTGGCGGACGAAGATGCTGAGGTGATGATGACCGCATTTATGATATGGGGAAGCATGCGGATCTTCGCGTGCTGATATCTGACAGAGTCTTGAATTGTCTGCTGGCGAACCTGCAAAAAGAACTGTCTGTGTAGTTCTTGATCTTGTTCCAGGATCAGTAGGCCGAAGCGTTCCATGTACCGTTTCCGGCAGTGTCGAATTGAAGTGCAGTCGTGCAAGTGGCACAGCAATGGATGTGAAAACAGGCAGGTTGGTTTCTTTGGCCGTGCAATTGTCAGTTTCATTCGTGGCAACTCCATTTACACATTCTTCCATGGCTGTTTACAGACACGGGCTCAGAGATCCGACTCATGAAGCATGACAGCCATGGCAAATTTACCTTGGGGGGGAGAGGGTGGCTCTTTGAGACGAACGTCCCTACGTAGGTGGTACTTTCACATACCTGGGGGGTTCAAAGAAGACGAAGTCAGTTTCATCGGTTTTGAGAACGGTAACCGGAGGGACACGACTGGGTCCGCCAAACTATAATTTTGCTCGACAACTGTTTGCTTTTAATTACATGACTCCGGTACACACGACCGGAAATCCCACATGATGATGTGCACCTGAAACCCAAATCTAGAGACGAGCTTCAGCGGCAACGTTCCGGTCTGCCTCTGCAGAAAGAACAGCAGCAACTGCCCGATCCAAGATCAGAAGTGCCTCGCTAATCTCCTCCGCAGAGACAGTCATAGGCGGTGCCAGCCTGAACACACCACACGCTACCGGATTGCCCAGAACCTGGCACGAAAGCCCAAGCTCAAGCGCCTTCGCTCAAACCGCTGCTCCCAGCTCGGCGCTCTGAGCTTTCGTGATCGAGTTGGAAATGATCTCCATGCCTTGCAACAGCCTGCGACCGCGGACGTCGCCAATACACCAGTACTTATCCTTCAGCTGTAGCAGCCCCTCAACGCAGCTGCTTGCCCCGATCCCTAGCCAGCTTTGGGATGTTGTCTCGCAGCGCGATCTCGAGCACCTTGCAACCCACTGCACACGGCAAAGGGTCATTCTGGTGCGTCATAATCATGGTAAACCCCCTTTCCATGGCGAGCTTCGCGATTTCCGCAGTCGTGCTGACGGACGACAACGCCAGACCGCATCCAAGCGACTTGGACAATGCGAGAATATCCGGCACGATTTCCTCGCGCTGGAAGCCGAACATGTCCCCCGTCCGATCGAGTCCGGTCTGCGCCTCGTCCGCGATGAGCAGCATGCCGCGCTTTTTGCACTCGATGCTCAGCCGCTTGATGTACCCCAGGGGCGGCTCGAGGATGCCACCGGCGGAGAGAATCGGCTCGAACACAATTGCAGCGAGCGATCCAACAGTTTGTTGGTCAATCATAGCCGAGCCAAAGCGCATCTCGGTCTCCCAGTCATAACTGCCGTCGGATTTCCGGAAAACCGAATGGTAGGGATGGGGCGCTGGAAAGGCCAACTGGCCCGGCATCGTAGGGCTACCACGTTTGCGGCCCATAGAGTATGTGGCCGAGGCCACGCCCTGGGTGACGCCGTGGTAGCTTGCGGAGAAAGCCACGTTTTCAAACTTCCCAGTGGCGCACTTGGCGATTTTGATGGCAGCTTCGACCGACTCAGAGCCGGTGGCGAGGAAGAATGACTTCTCGAGAGGCGCGGGAAGGATTCGAGCGAGGCCTTCGGCGAGGTCGACGACGGGCATGGAAACCATTTGGCTGTTCAGGTGGTTGAGCTCCCCGGACCACTTCCTCACCACTTCGACGATTTGGCGATGGCAGTGGCCGAGGCTCCCGCTCAGTTGGCCAGATGAGAAATCGAGGATCGCTTTGCCGTCGACATCGTAGATCAGTGTACCCTGGCCTCTGGTGATGATTATTGGTAAGAAATCCATACCGGTTTTCATCAGGAACCGGCTCGATCGCGACCAGAAGGCAGCGCTGTCGTAGGCCATCTTGAATTCTCAGACCAACTCTCGAAACTGGGAAAAACGTTCAGTGCCAGCTTATTCGCCCTGTGGAGAAGAGTAGAACGGCTTGGACAGGGGTTATAGGAGACGATAGACTCACGTGGGAGTAATTTTTCCAAGCTCCGTTGGAATAAAGAAAAGCCGGGTTAGCATAAAGCTGTTGCATTGTCGAGAGCAATCATTTTTGTAGCAGTCCAAAGAGGTTTCCCGCTGGAAACTTCCACAGCACCAATACGATTAGCCGCGGGAAACTTGTGTAGTACTATTGGCCGCGGCAAACTCGTGCGGCACGATTAACCTTATCACCACTCAAAAATATATCCGTTCCAGATTCACACTGATTTTGTCCTATCGACTAGTTCGACGATAGTAAGCAGTCTTCGCGATAGTTGCCGGGATGCAATTGGCAGATACTCGGGCCTCCGTCGGGTGTGTACTCCGTCGGTCTAGCCCGCGCGCGTACTGGAGTATGTTGAAATCACCGCGGCCTGCTGTATATGAAGTCAGTCCTCATGCTACTCCTCAAAATATAGCTTGATTATTATTTCTGGCCGCATTCGTTTCTCAAGTACCACCATCTCTACTATCAACCGCTCTTTCAAGATGAGCGTCGAAAAGGGGAGCGACATTGCCACAGACAGCAAGCATATACTTGAAGATGGTGCGAGCGTCCGCATTGAGGAACAAACGGCCACCACCGCAGTGTTTGGAGAGGCAGTTGATCTATATGGGAATGTTGCGACGGCTAAAGAGCTCGGATATGTCCAAAGAGGGTACGTGGATCCATACTATCATGCTTGCCATCTCAATCACCAGTGTTAAAAGCCCCCTAATAGTCTCAAGTCCCGCCATCTTCAGCTCATGGCGCTCGGAGGGGCCATCGGCACTGCTTTATTCCTCGGTATCGGTGGAGCTTTAGCGCAGTCAGGCCCTCTTTCGGTCATCCTCGGATATTCCATCACCGGAGCGGCCGTCTATGCCATGATGATGTGCTTGGTGGAAATGACGACCTGGTTACCTCTCCCTGGAGCCATTCCTCAGTACTGCTCTCGCTACGTCGACCCGGCTACGGGCTTTGCAGTAGGTTGGAACAACTGGTATCCCTCCGCACTCGCTATTTGCACCGAAATATCCGCCACCGCTGTACTGGTACAGTTCTGGAACGACGAAATCAACCCTGCCGCGTGGATCAGCATCATCATCGTGGTCGCTGTCTCTTTGAACATCTTCGCCGTGTCCATATATGGCGAAGCCGAGTTTATCTTTGCAGCTATAAAGATTGTGACAATCGTTGGTCTCTTGATCACGGCCTTCATTGAGGACCTTGGTGGCAGCCCTGCTGGTGATCGTTTTGGCTTCCGATATTGGTACAATCCTGGCCCAGCAATGAAAGAGGTTGTGGCAAGTGGCAACACAGGCCGCTTCCTAGGCCTGTTGTCCACTCTCATGTACGCCGCCTTCTCGTATGGCGGCGTTGAAATGATGGCAGTGGCGGCCGGTGAGGCCGTCGACCCTCGTAAGAATGTTCCCAAGACCGTCAAGCGGATCTTCTGGCGGATCGTGATATTCTACGTGTTCAGAGCCCTCGCGATCAGCGTGCTTGTCCCCTTCAACGACCCGGAGCTCGGGAGCGTCCCGCCATGGGTCATTGCCGTTCAACCTAGTATGCCTTTCTTGGCGCATTGTGCATCTAATGCCTATCGACCAATTACAGCCGACTAGGAGATAGAAGTTAGCATTCATTGTAAAACACAAATGGGATAAGTCTTTGATATTGTATGTACTTTCAAATTTGCTTACCTTGTACACGCATGTATTCTCCCCTTACACTAGTATTCAACAGTCAGAAACACTTTCTCGAAAGCTGATCCCAGCAACCCAAGTCTGCAGAGGCTCAATCCACCCGCCAACATGCACCTCAACGTCTCTCAAGCAACGCACCCAAATCCATTCATGAGCAAGAAGCGTTCACAACAGCAGCTGCTCCCTTTCCTTGGGCCGATCCTCAATAATCGCTTCTAGCACACGGCATGACCGGGCCAGTCCCACCGGTGGAGCCAAGCGAGTCGCTGGACAACGAGATCGACCCCATGTTCCGACGAAGCAACTGGCGCCTCGGCGTTAATGAAGTAAATGTGACGGACGAGTTAGACGGGCCTATCTTCACAAACGACGTAGCTAGCGAAGCGGAGTTGGACATCTTGTGGAAGATGATGCTTCTCTCGTTCCGTCTCGCAACAAAGCTCATCCGGCACGAGGGGCTACAGGAATTCTGAGTAAAGAGCGTAGAGGCGTACAAAGAACTGATCCCGGAGGAGTATACAGGACTGTCACCAAAGGAAGTGGCATGTAAGTACCTCGATCTCCTTGACAGCAGAACTATGTTCGCGTTCTGGGCAGGGCAAGCATAAGCGCGGTTGCTCGTTCAGAAACAAAACCCACGTGAGGCTCCTAGTGATGAGAGACAAGGGTCTGCTAAGTGATAAACTAGTTTGAGGTTTTCGAGGCACTCCGACCGGATCGCCCGAGCACCCCGTAATAGGCTTGAACGTATACCATAAGCGATCTCTCCTGCTGGCACACAGGAAGCGGTTAACTAGCGACCAGAGGCTGAAGCTCAACTTCAAGATAGCAATCAACCTCTGCCATGAGGTTGCTCATAGCTTCCACAAGATCTGTGGAGGATTTAGTACTGACGAGAGGGAAGTCTTCGTAAGACAACCTGTTGTTGAATCAGGGGACTCGTGGGAGTTTTTTGCACTTGGTGGTGTGACGCAACAGTATTGCTATTGGGTCGGGCCATCCATCGGTCCTCAGCCGAGGAAGAATCCAAGAATAGGGGTCATATCTTTATACCGTTGAAGTGGATTCTGCGCCTTTTCCTCAATTCTACTTGGGACAACTTCAAGGATTCCAAACAGAAAGGATTCCTGGACTATCGATCGCTTCTAATTGATCGAGTCTTAGAATTGGACGGTTGGGTTAATGCGGCTAGAGACGAAGGTAAATATACCCTCAAAGAACGCGGCGAAGTCGTCGAAAAATACGAGGAAAAAACGAACGATCACCCAAAGAAACGCTGAGCACGTTACCTTCCCAGACCGAGACTGAGCCACATGGCCAATGATTCTCCCATAGGGCGTGAGTCCAGCGACTGTAAGAACCCAGGAACAAAACCAGATGAAGACTAACATAGTCGCGTTAGAACAGTCTCCTGGATAGTGTTCACGTACAAGCGTTTGCCCTCACCTGTGCCTCACCTCCATAGCAACTTCTCAGAACTGACACCGAACCTAATTTTCGACGTGACGTGACGGGACAAGGATATGAATTCGAAATCTCAGAGTGACTTGGTGCGGGCAGTGACCAAATCCCAGCAACGGTAGTCGACGTTGTGTCCCAAAACGTGGCTGCGACCCTTGACTTGGCGCAGAGTGGCACGTGACTGCGAACTTTGACTGATTGGAGAATTTGAGCGATGACTTTTGAGAATTTTGCACCTACAGGACAAATCCGAAAGGTTAATCGAGTCGCAATACCCGTTACTATTTTAATTGCCAACTACCTAGCCCGTTGCGAGAGCCCGCCGGCGTCACCATTGATTCTTTACTGACCAGGCCATACTCACCTTAACCCTTCCCTTTGCAGAACAGCATGCATCCCATCTATCCAAATGACGAAGTAAACTCGCCATTGGCAACTCACCTCCCTCATCTGTGTCGATAAATCCCGAAGTCCCTGAACTTTTCCGGACATGCGCCTGATATAGTCGTACCCCCTATCACAAATCGATGCAGCTTTTGGTGATGGAAAAGCAAGGGAAAGATGAGAATGTAAACGAGAGCTTAGCGCCTGGCGGCCAGCCACTCGTTGGTCTCATTCCAGACCTGCTTGTCTTTGACGAGATCACCGGCAGACTTGATGCCGGCATATACGGCGTCCCAGAGTTTGAATGCGGTCCCCAGATCTTCCACGATATCCAGGCATTGAGGGAAGTAGCGCGCCACAAGGTCACCCTTGACCATAGCCTTGGTTTCGTCTGCAGTAGGGTCCATATTGTTCTTACCTAGAAGCTCGTCGAGGTAAGACTTGACCGCGATCCCAAGTGCGCAAGTATTCGGTAGCAGGAAGGGAAGCCTGCGCGAAAGTTAGCAACGTCATTTTCATCTTCATCATATGGACTAGGCGAGTCTTACCCCATGCCAAGCTGGTAAGGATCAGATAGCGGGCGCTTTGCATCGCCGCTCAGCAATATCGACGTGAGGCTGACTTCAGCAAGATCACGGAGACTGCTACGAACAGCGGTAGTCATCGAATGATATGCAAGCACATGTCTACTGAGTGGTCCAGTGAATCCGATGGGCTTATGGCGTAGATTGCCAAGGCAAGCAACGCGGGAGACAAGTAGATTGTTCCGCTTGTCAACCACTGCAGCATATTAGTTGCGTTTCTGGGGCCTCTTGGATTGGATACTCACCTTCACCTCGCATAGGGGCACCTCCATACCGGAACATTTCTCGAGCATTGAGGAGATCAAGGCGCGCAAGTTCGACGGCGATAGTTGCGGCCTCTTCGAGCTCGGTGTTGCCCTCGAGTGCTGCAATGGTCGTTGCGAGCACCTCCCCCCAAGGAGTCAGCTTGTGACTGCTATCGATGTAGCCTCTCAAGTGAAAAAATCGCCAAACCGCGTTGGAAAGAATCTCGTCATTCGTCGATAGGAGCTAAGCGTTGTCAGAAAATGGCTTAGTGTTGACTTCTTAAACTTACGTTTTTTAGATTCCTCGCTGTGATTGTTTTGCTGCCGAATTGTGCATCTCTGAGGCTCAGGATGGCTTTTCCAATGAGGCCACCTTTGTATTTAGCCGTCTCATCTTTGAATACTTCAGTCTTGACGTTCCATTTCTCAACCAACGGCTTAGGGTCGGTCAGATCTTGCATACTAATGCTATTAGTATGCCTTCCGCCTTGTCCATCGTCAAAGTAGCACGTCAGGTTTATGTCGTTATGCTGGTAGAATCGATGTAGGGAATACGAGAGCAATGAGATTGCAGTCGTACGCATCGGTGTAAGCTTAACGCTGACGAGCTTGCGATATTCATCCGAGTCACCGCCATCCAATGGTTTCAGCTCGACGATTTCCCCCGACGTCCGCCAGTTCAGCACCCTCGGCCCGATGAGGCCCTTGGATAGATAGTAGTAGATTTCGTCGGGTAAGCGCTGACCGATGAATGCGTGCACGTCGTTTGGCACATTGCCAGAATCTAAGGGTTCGATTTTTCCCTGGTCAGTGAGAATCGGGTGATGCTTCACAGCCATGCGCGTCTTTCGGTACTTGTCGAGATAATTGATCGCCTGAAAGCTCGGCTCGTCCTGGTATTGGAGGCACACAGCAATTCCACTGCGAACAGGACCCATCATCATCATCTCAATCGCACTGTGTGGCTTAGGTTGTTTGACGCGAGCATTGCCGTGGTTCAGCTGCGGCAGAGTTGGGAGAAAATGGGTCCCTGACAGCATACACGCATCAACGAACATGTCGCCGGAGATTTCGCCATTGCCAGTGAATCTCTTCAAATCTGAGATGCACTTGTCCCGCTTGATCCATCTCGCCTGTCCGTTAAGGAAATCAAAGCCAGTTATGAATTTATCGCAATCGAAGAGGAGGAGTTCGGAGGAGCCAGCAATGGCATGGATTCTATTACGGCAGTGCTTTTCGAGATAGGCTAGCTGCAGAAGAGTCAGCATGCTGTAGCAGGTGAGTAAGTAAGAAGAAAGCATACCTGAGCCCAGGCGCTGTATGGCGCAACCTGGAAAGGAATCTTGTGCTCGTATAAGATAGATTGGAGAGCGCGAAACAGATCCTCTGCTTTGATGGAAGCTATGCCGATATCAGCCATGCGAATCCACAGGTAGCATATCTTGTCATCTTACTTGACTCCCCAAATTTCGCAACAGCAAGTTCGGCCTGATGTTTATCGTACAAGTCCCAGGCTTGCTCGTTGACCTCAGCAGCAATCTCAGACAAGCGAAAGACGTCTTCCTTCTCGCCAAATTCAAGACCGCTGAATACGAAGATAGGCTGAATGCGGAAGGCCTTGAATTTCTCCAGGTCCGACTCAACGCGATGTTTTATGCCAAAGGGGAGGCCGCCGAGGGCTAGGATAAGCGGTTCCTTGCATGAGTGATTGCGGAGATGATTGGTGATATAGTCTGCTGCCTCTATAGCAATAGTACAATTGGCAAACTCGTCCAGCGCTGCGACCTCACTCAGACTGGTGTTCCAGTTGTCGAAGTCGCGGATCATGGTGGATGTCGGGCGGGGGAAAGGACCGAGGACGGTGATGGTATGATGAAGGAGACCGGCAGCTCCTGCAAACAGAGGCCACCTCAATGCCTTTGGGATGCGACAATAATGGTCAGTGTTTGCGGTTTGGCAGGTGTGTTTGCGACGCGTCCACCCAGAATTGAGGTTGAGGTTGAGCTCGGAATTCTACGGCCGACCGAAGAAACCAAATGCGCTAGTCTGCCCATATGTTCTTCACGTGCAGTTCCGCGATAACCTTAACACGACGACTTAGCTATTTCTCGATCCTTAAGATAATCAACATGGCGGCTGTGGCAACCAGCAGTACGGATCTTCCCGTCATTGACATATCCTCTCCCTCACCAGAGACCGCAAGAGACATTCTTGACGCCGCGTCAACATTCGGCTTTGTCTTCGTCAAGAACCATGATATCGGCGTACCTCCAGCAGATATACAGGCTATGTTTGACCTAGTAGGGCTACGTTTTGTGTCTAAGTGGGCGGTATCCAATGCTGAGTGCCTCAGTCGCGCACATTCTTCCAATCGCCAACGGAAGTGAAAGCAACATGCTCTATCAACTCGAGCACGTCAGGGAAGAATCGAGGATGGCTGTCAATGCATACTGAGACACTCGATCCAGCACATCAGCAGGTACTTCAATCTAGCTACCATCTTGACCTATCTTGAATACATCTCGTACAACCCCACAGACTGACTCGTCGGCAGAGAGGAGACTTCAAAGAGTTAGCATGCTGATAATTCCATCACCAGTCCATATCTAAACTTTAGTAGAGCCTTCAATATCGGCGAGTTCAGCAGCGGTAAAGCCAACCAGCCACTTCCGGCACCTCTCGTAGAAGGAGAATATCGGATCTCTCAATTCATTGATCAGTGCCACGATCTATGCAATAAGATCATGGACCTCTTTGCTGCCGGCCTGGAAATTCCTTCTGCGGAGGGTGGGGATAAGTGGTTCTCTGACCGACACGACAAAACCAAAGGGCCGTCTGGAAGTATATTGCGTTTGTTATACGTACGACTGCCTTACACGACATCTTCACTAGATTGAAGTTTGCTGACTGGGGTAGTACCCCTCCGTGCCATCGCCACCGGAACAGACCGATATCCGAGCAGGCGCCCACTCAGATTACGGAAGCGTTACGCTCCTCTTCCAGCTTCCATCTCAGCCTGGCTTGGAAATTCTCACTACGTCAAACGAATGGGCACCTGTTCCCGTGAATCCAACTTCCGATCCCAATCCACCTATACTTGTCAATATCGGAGATGCACTCTCTTATTGGACGAATGGACTTCTGAGAAGCACTGTCCATCGCGTCATCTTCCCTCAGCCAGAGGAAGGCAAATCTAGCGAAGACCGGTACAGTATCGCGTACTTTTGCCATCCTCTTGATGAAGCTCGCTTGGTGCCTGTGCCTAGTGAGAAAGTGAAAGGGTTTCATAGCGCAGAAGGCGAGAATCAGAAGCGCAAAGTTGGCTACGGAGGCGGTACGGGAGATGCGGACGAGGCTATCACGGCACGAGATCATTTGAACCGAAGGCTAGCGGCAACGTACGATCTTAGCGATGTGAAAGCTGAATAGACATGCAAATAGATAGGTAATCACGAGCTACGACAAGTACAAATACCCTCAAGTTGCCTCCACTACTCTAAGTCTTTTCGATCAGATTGACACTCTATTTCAGTGTGGCAGATGTGCTGTCTTTCACTTAACACAGTTTTCTCACCAGCAGTTGTTTCAAGATCAGTTTTACGCAAGATACATTAGCATTGCTAAACTACCTCTAAGAATGTATTGTGAAAGGACTAACGCCTAATCTGGATTCCCATACGCCATCAACATATGCTTTAGGACCTTACTGAAACATCGTAATCCAAGTAATCAAACCATAGCCCCAGTCTAGGACGTCGAGTCACCTATCATACATGGATCCCAGTCCAATCATCAGTCCGAGATCCACTCACCATCCCTCACCTCAGCCCCTGAGATCGCCTACCATGGTCCAAAATTCTGGCGATTGATGTGGGCCTCCTGAACGAGGAACCTTCCATGCATTCCAAGTAGCGCATCGATGAGACTACGCACATCGGCCACCGTCAATGTCTCCGCAGCTCGCTGGACACGAAGCTGCTCAGCCATCTGCTGGAACAGCTGAAGTTTATTTCGGACGACCTGCGAAGTCTGGTTATGGTAGAAGAGTTGATCTCCTACCGCCTGGATCAAATTGCCATCGGCAATAGACTTCTTGAAGTCGACCCAATATTCTACGAAGCCGGTGTAGCAGGCCTCGTCATGATCATCTACGTCTGCATTGGGCCACAGAGCGCCGCGGCACCAGGCAGGGTTTCGCAGAATCAGGCTCATCTGATTCAGTTCCGTGGCTTCGGGTGCGATGAAATCCAGCCATCTGTCGACAACCTTGAGGCTGGCTTCAGAAGCCAGACCCAGCACAAACTCAGTTTTGGCAACATAGACCGGGAAGTATTCCGATCGCATGCGTCGAGAAACCTGAAGTAGAGCAGGAACGGTCGGAAGGCGAATCTGGTTGCCATCCTGAAGGTATACATACTGGGTGCCATCGTTTGTCGCATCCGCCACACATCCGTAGATTTGATCACGGATCTCGCGCGGGAGCTGGAAGAAGCTCGAGAGATCGTTAATTTTGATAAGCGTCTCCGACTTCTCAAACTTCCGGTCGATTTCCACCGCATCGCAAGCGTCCACCTGCATATCACCGCCATCCAACTCCCGGGAGCCAAAGGCCTTTCCTGAGTCGGCAGGATTGACTTTCTTGGCGCTCGCAGCCATCTTCGCATCGGAGTCTCCGGATTCGCTAGGATTGAGAAACACATCCTCTCCAACTGATTCCAAGGGGCTGGAAGCCGTCGCTTTTTTGGACCGGCTCTCTACGCGGGGTGGATATGGTGCTACACGACTTCGGCGACGGCTGCCACTGCGGATGGAAGGTTGAGTCTTAGGCATATTGCAGGCCTTGGTTTTGGGTTGGATGATGGTACCGATATCAGGCGCTTCGTCACGGCTTCTCCGATGCCCTTTGTGACTTCCGGCTACGCTTTTTGAGTTCTCCAGATGCTTTATGACTTCTCCTGTCACTCTACGGCTTTTCAAGAGAAGCGTCGAGATCGAATGCCCGCGTGCCGGCGTGGAGTAGGAAGACGTGGTAGTGATGGAAAGCTTCAGTCTATGGTGGGTTTCGGTTACGTATTGTTGTGCGGATTACTAATTGAAGTAGACACTGGAGAAAAGGAGTAAGACACAAGTCGGGTCACCAGGAAGTGAGCGTGGTTGTGTCTGTGTGGAAACCCTGGGAGGTGTGGTGTCTGAGTGAGCAAAAAGGAGGAAGAAGTGTTGATGTTGATTTAAATACAGGTTCCGATGTTACAGAAGTGGAGATACACTTTCTTTCCGCATGGTGAAAGGGTGCTGGAAGACGTAAGAAGATATCTCTCAGTGAATGTCACGGGCCGAGCACGTGACACGCAGTCTGCAGCAATATTACGAGCTGTTCATTCATACCCTGGCGGAGCTCATTTTACGAGAATCTCTCCCAAGCTTAGCTATCTGGAACCATATGCTGACACTCTTCAGATGCATTTCCAAACGTAATAAAAAACGACCAACGCCTACCCGAGATTTCCAAACGCCATGAACGATTACCACCCAATGCTTTCCAAACTCCAATCATAATCAGTCCGGAAATCATACCCCGAGTCCACTCCCAGGTGTCAACCCGGACAGCCTACAATATGAGATGCCCTGTTAGATCGCCAGCAGTTTGAAAAGAACAGTGGCATGCCCAACCGCCATATCTCACGCAGCCTCCCTATTTTGGACTCTTCTACCAAGGCCCGAAGTACATTCGAGATATCTGATCTTCTATACCACGAAATTCCCATGCATCTCCAGGAGGGTCTCGATAAACTTCTTCATGTCTTCAGTCGTCAATGTTTCGTTCTCCCACTGGAGACGCAAAGGCTCAACTAATTGCTTGAAGAGAGCGAGCTCGTTCCGAATAACCCGGGACGTCGTCTCATGGTAGTAAAGGGGTTCTTCCATAACCTGGATAAGATTGCCGTCCGCTACACCCTTCTTGAAGTCCACCCAATACTCCACCCAGCCGCTATATCGAGAGTTTGGGTGGTCCTCCATGTCGGATGCATGAAAGAAGTTTTTGCGGTCCCAGTCGGGCTTGCGGAGGATGAAGCTCATCTGGTTGAGCTCGGTGACCTCTGACTTGATGAAGTTCAGCCACTCATTAACGACCTTCAGACTAGCTTCTGAGGCTAGGCCAAGCACGAACTCGGTCTTCGAGACGTAGACAGAGAGGTACTCAGCCCGTATCCTCTGAGAGACCTGTAAGAGAGGCGAGATAGGCGGGAGACGGACCTAGTCGTTCTTATTGGTCTGTAAGTAGACGTACTCAGTATCCTTCTTTCTACCGTCCGCCACATAGCCATAGATGTGGTCTCGGACTTCCCGCGGAAGCTTGAAGAAGCCTGACAGATTGTTGAGAGTGAGACGATCATCTGGCGTGCCCTTCAGGATCTCCTTCTTGACAGGCTTTTTTGCAAAGGGGTCTTCAGGTTCGATGATCGGGAGCATCCTACCGTCAAACCACATCATTGCCTTCGACTCCACATGGTCCACAAACGTATCTTCATCGTCCGATTCCCATGCATTGAAGGTTGTTTCTGGCTTGACAAGGGCTGGATCTGGGGCTTCTATAGCCATCTTCTTTGTGTCGGCATCTCCGGACTTATTGGAATCAACGAACAGTTCTTTGTCGTCCGCTTGCCGAAGGGTAGGAGCCATTGCTTGATGGGAATGGACCTCCTCGCGCGAGGGGTATGGCGACACGCGTGCGGAAGATCGACGCCCGATAGCGGACATTCCGTTGGATGTCCGGACTGAAGTGTTGGCTTTAGGCATATCGAATAGCTTGCCTTGTTGTGTGGAAGTAGTTTGTGTGAGCAGCGAGGTGGATGTGGACACCAGACAGGGTGTGTGATGTGTGATGTATGGGTTGTGGGTTGTGAGCTGAATGAGGGAAAAAGACGAAGTGTTGATGTTGATATAAATACAGGCGTTGATGCCCCAGAGGTATAGTTACAGTTTCACTCCGCGTCGTAAATAGCCCCGGGAAGCGCAGGAAGGCGTTTGGGTGAATGTCCATATGGGGCATTCACTAGCTGTCCCTATTCAGCTCCTAACTGCATGTGAATGTAAGGTAACAATGTTCTGTAGGTCGAATCTCCCATTCACTGTTCTCTTCGCTGGAAGCCCGATTCCGGACTTTCCAAGCCTTCACCTGTTCCTTGTTACCTTGAAGCCGGCTCCGTCGGATATCGATGGTCGGCCTCGAGACGGTAGCCTATTTTGGGAGTGTTAGGGTTAGAAACATTAGACTTACAGCCTCAATCGTGGACCTGGAGCTACTACTGCCCCCTCACGAATTTCTACAGTGCCTCGTCATAGAAATCCGTACACTCATTTACCACTGCATCAGAAGCTTCACAGTATTTCCAGCATTCCGAATGAGAGAGATGTTTGGCGTTTTGGACAAGTAGCAAACTCGCGAGGCTACCTTAGACAGCGTTAACAAGGTCTACGCAAATTGAAAGTGTACCCGCTGCCTCCGCTTTCTATTAATACATTGAAGCCCCGCAGACAGTGGCAGGAAAGTGTACGGATATCTACGACGAGGTACTGTAGCCGCTGTAGACATCTCCCGTGACTGAACGAACGCTTAACCCTAGGTACGTCTCTTCGGCATGATTTCATTGTATATACGCCAATAGTTTCGTTGGAAATTGGAATATGTATAACAAATTATGTTTAATACAGAATGCGAGAAGAGGAACTCATAATTCGATTATTCCTGTCAGCTCATCAACGTGCGTCCTTGCGTAGCGAGAAGCCCTACGTGGCGAGAAAATCAATAGGTACATTGACTTCAAGCAACTCAAACTCTACACACACACTAATCTTTCCCACAGTTCTGTATAAGTTGTCTGCTGTGGCTACTCCTGAATACTCAGAACCCTCCCACCTAAAAATTACGTTCGCATTGTCGCCTTTACGCCCAATTTGCGGAGAGCCGCCTTTCATGGCGCAATAGAATTCCTTTATCATAGGACTACTATCAAGCTTTTATCACTCCTAATGCTCATGAGAGGGCCTTATCCAAGCTTTAGAGCCTCACTCTCATACTGGGAAGTTGTTATCAGCCTTGTGGCTGCTATCGCACGCAAATTCACGCAAAGTTGCCACTCCGATTAGTACCTTAAACCAAAGCGATCACCAATCCCGGCTAATGCAAACAGCCTATATAATCATCACTGCGTAATTTACTTAAAGTGGTTGTTAGACCTGTGGCTGTGTACAGTCTTGGCAAGCGGGCCGGCCTTGGCACTTTGCGATCCGACTCAGCCTTGGCCATGCCTCCGGTCAAGCAACTCAACTCTCTGAAAGCACCTGCAGAATTTGCCACCTCACAAGGGTGTGGCCGGAGCGGGTCGGCCGTCCTCACTGCTAGGTTAACCGATGCGTTTGTCTACTTCTGCTAGGGTTTAAGTGGCAAAACTTTAACACGTGGTTCTATAAGTCAGCTGATTAGAAGGTGCTCGAAGCTTTACTGTGGCAAATTGGGAGGCTATATATATTCACCTAGATCCCCGGCCCCCTCTATAGAATAGAGATAAAAAGAAAAAAAGAATAATAAGCTAACTCCTCACAAACGCTCGCTTCAGGCATGAAGCCGCCTGGAGTGCGTTGCCGTACCCTCCCCCTTGTGCGTTGACGTGGGCGCCCTTCTCAATTAGCAGCTTCACAATCTGCTCGTGGCCTCCGTCTGAAGCCGCCTGGAGTGCGTTACCGTACTTTCCACATTGTGCGTTAACGTGGGCGCCCTTCTCAACTAGCAGCTTCACAATCTGCTCGTGGCCTCCGTATGAAGCCGCCTGGAGTGCGTTACCGTACACTCCACCTTGTGCGTTGATGTGGGCGCCCTTCTCAACTAGCAGCTTCACAATCTGCTCGTGGCCTCTGTATGAAGCCGCCTGGAGTGCGTTGCCGTACTCTCCACCTTGTGCGTTGACGTGGGCGCCCTTCTCAACTAGCAGCTTCACAATCTGCTCGTGGCCTCCGTGTGAAGCCGCCTGGAGTGCGTTGCCGTA